TTAATTACGCCTGCCCTTTAAATTAATTTACTTTTCTTCTTGAATCCACATAACCGATGGTGAATTTTGGTTGGTAACCATATTCATTGGCAGTGTACGTAATCCTAAATGGTGTTCCATCAGGGAAGTAATGGTAACCGTCACCATTCACTCTGTTGTAGCCCAATTCTTCTCCATCAGGTCCATAATTACCTGTTCCTTCCCAGGTTCCGGCTTCTTCACGTCCGATGGGATCATCGGTTTCGAATCTAAAATTACAACAATTTTAATCAGATGTTCTGGGAAAATAATCACCTAATGTATTTCTATTTAGTAGAATGATTTATTAAATTAATTCAATTTGAATATATAAAAATATGAAAGAAATAAATAATCGATATCTTACTTAAAATCATATCCGCCTCTTCCTCTAACATCGCTTTGGTATTTCACAATTCTTGCTCCTTGGTTTTGGGAATAAACTAACCCGCATAACACAAGCAACGTAAGCGCTACCGAATGAAAGTACATTTTGACTTATTAATGTTGGCTGATGTACGAGAATACTGGACTTAGCTAAATTTTTCGAAATATATATATACTTTAGTTTTTGGCTGATTAATATTCAAAAAGGCCAATGATGTACCTCTATCCAATTTTCAAGGATTTGGAATGTCATATACGAATCTTCTTGGGTAACACCTTTAAAAAGACGCTAACATTTTAATTTTGAATTGTTTCAAATTTACATAATATTGGATTTTAACATTTACATAAATGTCAAATATTTTTGCATTTTACTTGGAAAATAGTTTTTTCTAATGTTCACCAATTTATAAGGGAACAGCGCCTTTCGTGGTGAGAAAGAATAACAAGTACCTACACCATGCTCTGGCTATAATACAAATCTTCTTTTGTCATTTTCATAAACCCTTAAAACATGTCTGAGAACAGCTGGTATTATAATATTAAGAGGATATAGGAAACTAGTTTCTTTGTTTTTCTTGATGTACAGGAAAGGTACATGAAGAGATACAATTGCTATTTCATGATGGGTTTGTAAATGCTGATAAGGTCCATCATTGAAGCTAAAGGCAATCTTTTATAAAATTCCACCATTCATAAAACATATTATTGATTCAAAATTTCGATAAATTACAAAATTTTGCAATTCCATAAACGCACCTCAGACTCCTACGTATAATATTCATGAGGCCAACAAATAAAAAAATGGAGATTCACGTCAATTCTTGCTTATTTCTGTTTTAAAATTCGAATTATGTAATTTTTTTAACAATTGGAACCAAAAAGCTAAAGATCATCGAATATTAGTAACTGCTTAAATGCGTCTCGTCGAAGAAAAATGTCACAATAGTATTCCAAACCTTGAAAATTTTATATTTATATTTATTTTGGCCTGAAAATGATATAGTTATATATGTATATATTTCTAAAAAACTAAGCTAAGTTCAATTTAGTTTATAAAATTGTCGTATTTGGATCGGATTATTTTTATAACTAAAATTATTTCCTACCCTATTCCTAATAATATGTATAGGAAAATATACAGAAAATATAGGAGAATATATTTCTATTAAATAATTACATTTCTTCCAGAACATTTGATAAAAAATTGTTATAATTTAAGTTTTCAAAAAGTGATCTTACCGTACGTATAGAATCCAATGCAGAACCTAGGAATAAAGGGGTAGGTAATGCGAGTTTGAAGAAGCAATAGGCACTGATGTGGAGTAAATGGTTACGTTTTTGAACATTTTCCAATGAAATATCATTTGTATATTCCCTATGGATTACCTATATTCACTCATCAAAATTTACCATCCATATTTTAAAAAATTTCATAAATAAATGTCTATGATAGTAGCCGGTTTAAGGGTCATAAAACCTCTAATATACATACTTAAATGTATACATACATTTGTATACATATGTATTACGGGCCAGTTGTATATCTGAGATACAAGTTGCAATATGTATAGAAATAACGTAGAACAAGAAAATAATACAGTTAGTTTTGTTTGATATTAATTTTCTCTGCACATTTTCTCTGCTACAGCTGTGATCTGAACTGCATAAATTTGTAAAAATTGTTGGATATATGAGAATTGCATTGAGAAACAAAATATGCAATAACGTGCAAATAAATGCACTAGTTTTTTTAAACCTTCATGCGGCAACAAATTAGATTCTACTTACTTAAATGCTTCACCATCTTTTAATATTAATATTACACCTGGATTTGGTCTCGGGCTTCCTCGAGCATTAACCAGCAGTATTAACAGGAATACCAGTTTTGGTATGTGTGTCATTGTGCACCAAACTTGAATGCTCGTTTTCGGGATTATATTTATACTGTGTGATAAATCCCTGTATTACTATAAAAATTTTATTTGATACAATTTGATAAACAATGCGCAATTAATGTTTCCTTGTTATATTGAATTTTTAGGGCCTTTTATATTTACCAATAAACAATATAGGTGCTTGGAATATTTACTATATTTTATATTTTCTTACATTTTCTAACTTTATTGCTTAAAAAATTAAATTCGATAAATATAAGTATATTTAAACAAAAAAAAATAAAGAGAAATATCTTCTCAACAATTAGGACAAGCAAAAAAATTCATTATCTGCAGTTTATTTCATACACATTTTCTAGTTATAAATTACAATTCGATTAATTCATTTGTACACGAAATCATAAGAGATCGATTTAACAGGTTTTGAAAGAAAATAATTTACTGTTTTGAAGTTGAACCAATAGTGAACTTTGGTCTGAAACCAAATTCATCGGCGACGTAGGAAATCTGAAATGGTGTTCCATCAGGGAAATAATGGAAAGCGTAACCGCTCACTCTGTTGGTACCAAGTTCTTCTCCATTCTCTCCTAGCCTACCGCTTCCCTCCCAGTTTCCTGATTCTTCACGTACGATAGCGTCGCTTGATGTAAAGCTGAAATTATTACTTTTTTTAAGATATATTTGGAATTAACAATTTGCCTAACGAATAGATTATTTAAAATTAGATTATAAGCCATCTAAATGTAATATTTATATAACTTACGTGTATTCTTCATACAAATGTGATTTACTTTAGATTAAATGACTGTATTTTGATAAAGTTGATGTTAATGAAAATCAGAAACGTAAAAGAAAAAAAATGAATAAACAAATATAGAACTGAAGTTATTAATTCCCGTTACATACTAAAAATGAAATATTTTATTAGATCTTACCCAAAATCGTATCCTCTCCCTCTAGGGTTGTTGTGATAATTCAAGATTTTTGCTACCGGGATTTGAGCATACGCCAATCCCAATATTACAAGTAATGTAAACCCGAATGTGTGAAAGTACATTTTTATTCTTTAATTGTTGCAAATAACAAGAATACTGGAGCTTACTAAGTTTTTTTGAATTATATATATACTTTAGTTTCAGGCCAATAAATATGCAAAAAGGCCATTTTCAAGGACTTACATGACTATTAAAAGAGTTTTCTTGGGCAACACGCCTTTAAGAGACACTAAAATTCGATGATTATTATAAATTTATTGTTTCCAATTGTCTCGTTATTGCATAATAACGGTCTCGTCTACATTTAAGTTCCATCATATTAAATTACTAATTTATACATAAAAGATTTGTAATTATCGATACCAATCTCGATTTCTTATTTGTTTATTATTGTAAACAAATCGCGTAATCATTAGAGAATCTCTTTTGACTATAATGTAAGTAAACTTTTTAGTTCCCATAATGATAAGCTAAGAATTCTTGCCCAACTTAGTAACGAAATGTTTCGTTATTAATCAGTATAATATTATTGCCAATAGTTGGCAATTGGGTAAATTGAGTAAATTTCTTCCCTTTCTGGTAATTCTTCCACAAAATTAGCACCTCCACCTCGTTTAGGGAAAACCATGCCAGTACGCCCCTGTTTGAGCAAGGAGCTCTTCCAGGATGTGCACTAAGGTAAAGATGCACCTACGTGAATCACCCTGTATTAAGTAAAAAATCCAAATGTTTATATCCAATTTCATTACCTCGAATCAAATGAAGTCATATGAACATTTTAATTAACATTGGTATAAAATATAGTATGTGTGTATGTCGTTATTCGATACTCCTACATTTAGAAAATTATTTTTAACCTAACCTACGTGTTACAATGTATGTAACAAAAGAGACACCAATTTTATATTCAATTAATATAAATCGGTATACATCAATCAGAATAACACATTAAGACATAATTCGTGATGTATTTGACATTTTATTAATACAAAAATAACATTACACGTGATATATTCTCGTATCAAGTCATTTACCTAAACCGCCTCCTGCTAGCGATGCAAGAGCAGCAGAACTTATGCGTTTCGTATCGTCGACCTTGAATCTCGTGCCGATGGTAACGGAAGACTTCTTTACTGTCCCGAATTCAACTTTTGGACGGTATCCGTTTTCATCTTTTAATATTAATATTACACCTGGATTTGGTCTCGGGCTTCCTCGAGCATTAACCAGCAGTATTAACAGGAATACCAGTTTTGGTATGTGTGTCATTGTGCACCAAACTTAAATGCTCGTTTTCGGGATTATATTTATACTGTGTGATAAATCCCTGTATTCCTATAAAAATTTTATTTGATACAATTTGATAAACAATGCGCAATTAATGTTTCCTTGTTATATTGAATTTTTAGGGCCTTTTATATTTACCAATAAACAATATAGGTGCTTGGAATATTTACTATATTTTATATTTTCTTACATTTTCTAACTTTATTGCTTAAAAAATTAAATTCGATAAATATAAGTATATTTAAACAAAAAAAAAATAAAGAGAAATATCTTCTCAACAATTAGGACAAGCAAAAAAATTCATTATCTGCAGTTTATTTCATACACATTTTCTAGTTATAAATTACAATTCGATTAATTCATTTGTACACGAAATCATAAGAGATCGATTTAACAGGTTTTGAAAGAAAATAATTTACTGTTTTGAAGTTGAACCAATAGTGAACTTTGGTCTGAAACCAAATTCATCGGCGACGTAGGAAATCTGAAATGGTGTTCCATCAGGGAAATAATGGAAAGCGTAACCGCTCACTCTGTTGGTACCAAGTTCTTCTCCATTCTCTCCTAGCCTACCGCTTCCCTCCCAGTTTCCTGATTCTTCACGTACGATAGCGTCGCTTGATGTAAAGCTGAAATTATTACTTTTTTTAAGATATATTTGGAATTAACAATTTGCCTAACGAATAGATTATTTAAAATTAGATTATAAGCCATCTAAATGTAATATTTATATAACTTACGTGTATTCTTCATACAAATGTGATTTACTTTAGATTAAATGACTGTATTTTGATAAAGTTGATGTTAATGAAAATCAGAAACGTAAAAGAAAAAAAAATGAATAAACAAATATAGAACTGAAGTTATTAATTCCCGTTACATACTTATTAAAAAATGAAATATTTTATTAGATCTTACCCAAAATCGTATCCTCTCCCTCTAGGGTTGTTGTGATAATTCAAGATTTTTGCTACCGGGATTTGAGCATACGCCAATCCCAATATTACAAGTAATGTAAACCCGAATGTGTGAAAGTACATTTTTATTCTTTAATTGTTGCAAATAACAAGAATACTGGAGCTTACTAAGTTTTTTTGAATTATATATATATACTTTAGTTTCAGGCCAATAAATATGCAAAAAGGCCATTTTCAAGGACTTACATAACTATTAAAAGAGTTTTCTTGGGCAACACGCCTTTAAGAGACACTAAAATTCGATGATTATTATAAATTTATTGTTTCAAATTGTCTCGTTATTGACGTTTGACTATAATGTAAGTAAACTTTTTAGTTCCCATAATGATAAGCTAAGAATTCTTGCCCAACTTAGTAACGAAATGTTTCGTTACTAATCAGTATAATATTATTGCCAATAGTTGGCAATTGGGTAAATTGAGTAAATTTCTTCCCTTTCTGGTAATTCTTCGACAAAATTAGCACCTCCACCTCGTTTAGGGAAAACCATGCCAGTACGCCCCTGTTTGAGCAAGGAGTTCTTCCAGGATGTGCACTAAGGTAAAGATGCACCTACGTGAATCACCCTGTATTAAGTAAAAAATCCAAATGTTTATATCCAATTTCATTACCTCGAATCAAATGAAGTCATATGAACATTTTAATTAACATTGGTATAAAATATGTGTGCATGTCGTTATTCGATACTCCTACATTTAGAAAATTATTTTTAACCTAACCTACGTGTTACAATGTATGTAACAAAAGAGACACCAATTTTATATTCATTTAATATAAATCGGTATACATCAATCAGAATAACACATTAAGACATAATTCGTGATGTAATTGACATTTTATTAATACAAAAATAACATTACACGTGATATATTCTCGTATCAAGTCATTTACCTAAACCGCCTCCTGCTAGCGATGCTAGAGCAGCAGAACTTATGCGTTTCGTATCGTCGACCTTGAATCTCGTGCCGATGGTAACGGAAGACTTCTTTACTGCCCCGAATTCAACTTTTGGACGGTATCCGTTTTCATCGGCCACATACGAAACAAATAATGGGACACCGTTGGGGAGGTTAAATGAATATTCACCTTCCACGTTCACGACAGGCTGATCTCGACCCAACAATTTTATTTTGCCTGTTTCTTTTCTTGTAATATCGTTGCTTGTTTGAAACCTGCAACAATGGGGTGTTGATATCAATTTGTTAATGTTGTATTTATGATTTTGATAGCTCTGCTTTGGCGTAAGAATCATACATAGGTATACATATCATTTTAGAATCGTAAAAGTTAGAGGACGGAGATAAATTGATAATTTCATACACAAATCACCATATTCCTATTGAATAATTTACTTATTTTTATAATGTCAGGTGAGGTTCAATAAACATTGATGACTAAGGATTATTGGATTATTTGACCGAAAGGTAATTGCAATAGCTGCAATATTCGAACAAAACAGCCGACTCTACTTTGATTTCTAATTTGAATTAAACAAATTGCGGATGTACTCAAATTGTCCACTCATTTGGCTATTGAAATAAGTCTAAAAACTTACTCGAAATTATAGCCGTCCGCGTTGTGGTCGTTTATAAATTTCAATATTTTACTGTCACTATCAGAACTGCATTTCACGTAAATGAAAGCGAACATCACTAGAGAAGATCGAAATGCCGCAAATACCATTTTATAAGGCGATTCAAATATAAAATCGAAATAAATTGACGTTCGTGATCTACAAACCGACTCGCAAAAGTGCAACGTAATATAGAAGAATCTGCAACCAGAAACATATAAAAAATAAACTGCAAGGATTTCTTCGGTAAACACGTATTTGCTAAGTTTCCTTGAAGATGGAGCAGGTACTCATAATTATAGACGATTATACGCTGCCGTAAATAATTAAAGTATCATATTGTCATAAATGCTTTATTTTACTCTTACATTTATACTTATACTACTCGGTACTACCATATTGCGTCAATAGTAATAAAATTAAAATTTCATATTAGACTGAATTGTAGATTAATTGCTCTCCGCTAAGAGTCGTATCGTTTGAAACGGTATGTTTGTTTATATTTTAGCTTATTTTTGGAAGCACATAAGTCATTTGCCTAAACCTCCTCCAGTAAGCGAAGCTATAGCAGAACTGGATATAAATGAAGTTTTTTCTGGGTGTTTTCTGCCAATGCTAACGATGGGTCTGTAACCGTTTTCGTTGGCTAGAAACGTTACAGTGACGGGGATTCCGTTTGGTAATTTGTAAGAATACATTCCTGCTACATTTAAGATTCCTCGTTCTTTATCGCTAAAAAATCCATTTTCTCGTCTTGAGATACCATCGCTGGTTTTGTAACTAAAATTGTATTACTTTATCAATAGAAACTAAAAAAATAAAAAAAATACTCACTTGAAATCGTATCCGTCCTCTTTAACGCTGTTTTCGAATTTTAAAATTTTGCTTTCTGCTTTTCGTTGTGCATCCGTGTTTACGAATAAAACGATTATAACAGCCAATTTCAGATTAACACTCATTTTTATGAATCTATGCTTCAATATTTAGCAATAATGTACGAATGGTAGTCCAATAAGTAATCTTCGGAATATATTCAAGGTATCTTGCAGAATTGGAGATAATTAGTTTTTGTTATTCACATAAACTTATTAGTGATTTATTTCTAGACAAGCATTGAAAATAAATGGGTAATTGCGAGTTAATTCGTTTATACAGAATAAGCACTTATCTTCCTACACTAAAATTATTCGATTAATTTGCTGAAATTAATTATAATAATAAACCATTAGAAATCTTCCTTAGTGTATTACAGTAGAAATTTTAAGCAATTGTATTAAGTAAGCACCCACTAATAAGGTAATTAAAGGAATCCATGAATTAGTTTCCGAATCCCTTTAAGTTAAAATGTTTTACCGGTAACTGGTAACCGGTTTTTTTACCAGACTCCTGTCTAAAGTATGCAAGTAGTACCTACAAAATTAAGTGAATAAAATCTTCAGGTAGGTAAAGTCCGTATCAACTATGACCTTTTCATAACTTGTTAATACTTAAAATTGAATTAATTTTATTACCTACTCGTTTTTCAATATGAAGCTACAATTTCATACATATTTAATAAGGATGAATAATTGGGTGGGGACATGGAAAACTGATTGGGATAAAACTGATTTTTACCTAAAAACTCTTGTCATTTTCGTTTAAACAGGGCCGTGGTTCAAAATGAAATTACTGGTAAGTCGATATAAGTAATAGTATTCCAAATAATTATGATTTAAGCTTATGCATGTGTATCAATTACAACGCATTATATTAAAAAAACTAGCCTTAATTAATTAATAGAAAATTAAAAAAAAAATAAAAATGCTTACAATAGTACCTAACTAGAGAGTTAAGTTCCTGAGAACAAATAGTTCTGACTATGAATTTTATGTAGGTAGTTCTTATAGGCACATAGTTCTTTAAGGTGCTATAAAATTATTTGCTCTATTGATATACCAATAAATTGTTCAATTCTTGGTTTTAATAACATTCTTATAACAGAATTACAAATAATTTTAAAATAGCATTATCTAGTTAATCTTTAAGATTTTGCATGATTTTTATGTAATTAATTCAGTGATGTAAGATATTCAAATGTCAAGCATTTAATTTTTATCTATAAAAATATTGGAAGATCGTAATATTGATAACTTATTTAATGAGGATTTAAATGAAAACAAAAATTATTTTATTCATTACCACTTAATTTATATCTTATTTAGTAAGTTTTAATCTTTTAAAGTTTCTCCATTGAAAATTTCAAATCTTTGCAGGTATTATTATGTGCAGTTGCTATAGCAGCATCAACTCAACGAATTCTGTCAGTAACTGCTGAATCATACGATGATGGATCGTACCATCCTGATCCTTCGGAAGATGACGGACAGTACCACCCTTCAGCAGACGAAGCAGAATACCATGATGATCATTTAGGTGATTACTTAGGACAAGCTGTCGATAATGGCGAGCCCTACAAACATATCGGCAGTAAAGTAGAACCTTATAAACATAATCCTGATCAATTGGTTCCGTACAAACCGTTCCATGATGGTGGTGTGTATAAACAATCAGGAGATACAGGAGTTTATAAGCATGTTGTTGGTAACATAGAACCTTATCAACATACTTACGTGCAAAATTCTGGGTTGTACAAAGACGTCTATAATAATGGAGAATATAAACAGGTATAATTTAATGATGAGCTTTTGAAAAATGTGATAATATGACAATTGTAGGGGTCATTACAATATAATCAAAATAAACTCAATCGTAATCAACATGTTAATGTAGGGCTTTACAAAAATAAAGGCGAAGATGATGGTAGTTACCATCCTGATCATTCAGGAGATTATAAAGCAGTAAAAAACGATAATGATGGAGTATACAGGCATGTTGTTGGTAACGTACAACCTTATCAACATACTTATGTCCAAAATTCTGGTTTGTACAAAGAAGTATCTAACAATGGAGGCTACAAGCAGGTACAATTTAACACCTGTGTGCAATGTACTTAGAAAAATATATACATTTTATAGGGATCGTACAAATACGATCAAAATCAACGTAATCAAGGTGTCAACGAAGGATTTTACAAAAACGAAGGCCAAAATGATGGTAGTTATCATCGTATTTATTCGGAAGGTTACATTCATGGAAAATCTGTAATTTCTGATGTTAATCAACAAAAGTCTGTATCCGACATGCATAATTCACTTAAGTTCGGAGTATCAACAACTGGTCATCATCAAAATATTGGAGCATACGATCATCAAGATAAACAGAATATTCACAAAACAATACCATATGATAGTACCCGAGGCAGTGGAAAATTGTATTCTGTTTCAACAGAAAATTCCAAAACACAACAAGGTAAATAATGAATATTATTATTAGTCCAATTAACAACTTCACAATTGTAAAATTACTAAGAAATTAAATTTAACTAATTAGGTTTACTTTTCACAGGTTCTAATACTCAACTTGAACTTAATTCCAAAAATACCCAACAACTTTCATATACAAAACAAATACCAAGTGCTAAGGATATTTCTGTTCAAAATTCGTTTAAAACAACGCAAGAGGGTGTTGTAAGGAAGACACAAGAATCTAACTATAATGACTATCATCACGTGTAAGTAACTGAATATTTTCACTTACAATCTTTCAGACCTTATAGACATAACATTACAGAAAAGAAGGCGAAGAAGATGGTAGTTATCATCCTGATCATTCAGGAGATTACATACCGGAAAAAATTGACAATGGAGAAGCGTACAGGCATGTTGTTGGTAAAGTTGATCCTTACAAGCAAAATCCTGTACAGCCAGTTCCTTCAAAGCCTTCTTATGATAGAACAAGTTACGAACACGTTCATGCTAAAGTAGGATTTAAACATGAAAATAGTCACGGAAAATCAGTACATCTTGGTTTTAATCAACATGAATCTAAATTACAAGTTCCGGTTTCTTTTGGGTTCGGACAAACAAGGAATAATGGAGTATACAAACATGAAAATCACGAAAATGAACACAATGTTTTAGTACAAAATCAAGGTCGTGAATTAGGAAGAACAAACATTGTTTCAACTGAAAGAGGTAGATTAAAAGCTGTGCTTTAAGATAATTACAAATATACATAGATATTATTACCTATACAAGGATTTTAAAGAAATTTAAATTAAATCTAATTTTTCTCTGTTGCAGGCTCAAATGTCCAATCCCAAATTGGCACTACATTAGTTAATAAAGTTAGCACTGCACAGAATCTTAACGTAGGAAATGTGAAACCTATCCAGCCAGCAATTTCGCCTAAATACAATATTGGTCAAAATTTGAGCCCAACAAATTTGAGAAACGAGGGCCAAGATGATGGTAGTTATCATCCTGATCATTCAGGAGATTACAAACCTGAAAAAATTGATAATGGAGAAGCGTACAGGCATGTTGTTGGTAAAATAGATCCTTACAAGCACACTCCTGTTCAGCCAGTTCCTTCAAAGCCTTTTTATGATAGAACAAGTTATGATCATGTGTCTGCTAAAGTAGGATATAATCAAGAAAATAATCTTAACAGTCACGGAAAATCAATAAATCACGGTTTTAATCAACATGAATCCAAATTACAAGTTCCGGTTTCTACTAAGTTTGGACAATCAGAAAATACTGGAATCTACAAAAATGAATATCACGAAAATAGAAACAATGTTTTAGTGAAAAATCAAGGGGGTGAAGCAGGAAGACCGAACATTGTTTCAACTGAAAAAGGTACACTAAAAGCTGTGTTTTAAAATCAATTTATGTATAGATAGATATTATTACTTACATATTAATTTTCAAGAAATTTAGATTTAATGTAATTCTTACCTGTTGCAGGTTCAAATGTCCAATCCCAAATTAGCACTACATCGGTTAATAAATTTAACACTGCTCAGAATCTTAACGTAGGAAATGTGAAACCTATCCAGCCAGCAATTTCACCTAAATACAATATTGGTCAAAATTTGAGCCCAACAAATTTGAGAAACGAGGGCCAAGATGATGGTAGTTATCATCCTGATCATTCAGGAGATTACAAACCTGAAAAAATTGATAATGGAGAAGCGTACAGGCATGTTGTTGGTAAAATAGACTCTTACAAGCACACTCCGGTTCAGCCAGTTCCTTCAAAGCCTTTTTATGATAGAGCAAGTTATGATCATGTGTCTGCTAAAGTAGATTATAATCAAGAAAATAATCTTAAAAGTCACGGAAAATCAATAAATCTCGGTTTTAATCAACATGAATCCAAATTACAAGTTCCAGTTTCTAGTAAGTTTGGACAAGCAGAAAATACTGGAATCTACAAAAATGAATATTACGAAAATAGAAACAATGTTTTAGTAAAAAATCAAGGGGGTGAAGTAGGAAGAACGAACATTGTTTCAACTGGAAAAGGTACACTACAAGCTGTGTTTTAAAATAATTATATGTATAGATAGATATTATTATTTACATATTATTTTTTAAGAAATTTAGAGTTAATGTAATTCTTACCTGTTGCAGGTTCAAATGTCCAATCCCAAATTAGCACTACATCGGTTAATAAAGTTAACACTGCTCAGAATCTTAACGTAGGAAATGTGAAACCCATCCAGCCAGCAATTTCGCCTAAATACAATATTGGTCAAAATTTGAGCCCTATAAATTTGAAAAACGAGGGCCAAGATGATGGTAGTTATCATCCTGATCATTCAGGAGATTACAAACCTGAAAAAATTGATAACGGAGAAGCGTACAGGCATGTTGTTGGTAAAATAGACCCTTACAAGCAAAGTCCTGTACAGCCAGTTCATTACAAGTCCTTTAATGACAGAGTAACTTACGAACACGTATCTACTAAATTAGATAACAAGCATGGAAATAATCTGAAAAATGATGGAAGATCAGTCATTTCAGACGTTAGTCTGCACAAATCTGTTCTTCAAGGTAACATAGTGGATCTAAATTAAAGAACAGTACAAATCAAATTAATTGGGGTTTATTGCAGGTTTCGATTTACAGTCGCAATTTAATGCAGGAAATCATCAGTACCAAGCGGCATATGAAAAACAACTTACGACTAGTAGAGATAATACCGCGCACACCTTTACTGTAGACAACATGAAACTAATCCACACGAAAATTCAATCATCCATTTTATCCAAATACAATGGAAGTAAGAACGTTTTTGATGGATATCAATCAGTTATCAATAGGAAAACGGAGGAATTCAGTCCGACTGGATACCACTATGTGTTAGTAAAAAGTAGTAAGAAATACTCAACATATGATAATAATAATTTAACTTTTTAGGTACCAAAACGAAAACGGTATTATTTACGAAGAAGTAGGGCATATTATAGAAAAAGAAACTCATGTGGCACGACTTGAAATAAGAGGATTTTATTCTTTCCACGGATTAGACAAAAATCTTTACACTGTTGAGTATTCTGCAGATTCTTCTAACGGATACCTTCTGAAATTCGGTAAAGTCGTTAAAATCGCAACACTTTCCAAAGGCGCAGAATTTTGCATCCATAAAAATTGAACCTAATAATGTGGATTGTACCTAATGACATAAAATAAAGTACACTTATGAGTATGTAATTTTTGATTCATTCAACTATTTTAAGAACTTTACGTAAAGATACGTTCTATTTTCCTTCGAAAAATTTAGGAACTTTCATTCCAATTTCAATTAATACGCGAAGGTCGAATGCACCTTTGTTCGCATAAAAATGCAGGCCTATCAGCCGCCAACATCTCGACAGCGCGCAAAATTGAATCCACCTAAACGGAAGATCGATTTCGATATTTCAATAGACAATGACATTGATGGAAGGAGATATCAAAACAGCAGAACGCATCCCTGGCCATCTCGAACCCTATTTACGCGGATATTTAAGCAATAGATGGAAGCGACCTTAAAACAGTTAACGAGGGACCGTGCAACATACCGCTAGGTACAACGATTCTGCATAATGAAGAAATTGGTAAGTGCTATGAATTGATATTGTCGATTTTATTATAGTTTATTGGAGGTTATAGCTTAGATAAAATATAAGTATTATTGTATGAGCAACCATTTTTTTTAAATTATGTACTAAATTAAATTCAACAGAAACTAGGAAATTGTTTACTATTTGCCCTTTTGTAACATTGCATTTTAACATTTTTAATTACTTTTATGTTCCATCAAATATAAGTAAGTTATCAGTTTGAATTTTTTAGATTAAATTTAAGCTACATTTTCGAAATTTTTATAAATCTACTATATAACTTTAAAAAAGTGCATTTTTGGTACATTCAGTAAGTGTATGAAATATCATTATGAAACATCTCGTATATCGTTACCACTTACAGGATATGTCACATTGCATTGTGGAATTTTGAATTACAATTCCACGCAATTTTGTAATCACAATTTAATTGTTCCTATTAGGCAGTACTGAACATAATGAATTACATACATCACTCTTGAGGAATTCGCAATCAAAGGTGCATCGTTGCACCTTTCTAATGACATAATTTATTCAATAATAGATATTTCTAAGTTTAAATTATTCATTGTTCGGGATCCACTGTAAATCATTCGTAAATTTTCGTTGACAGGCAACCTTTCTACTTGTTATTTATTCGGCCGGAGGACAACGTTTCCAACAAGATGACCAGGATGACGGACAGTACCGTCGTCCTGACGATGAAGGGCAATATATTGAAGATAATTCTGGGCAATACGTACCCGACTATAGCGGTTTATACCAAGATGATGGCACCGGAAGATATGTTCAAGATAAAGCCGGGCAATACAAACAATCACACGGTACTTCACCAGTATAATGCGGCAATAATTACAATAATAATTTGCGATTATCTTACAGATAAGTACCAATTTCAACGTCAGCTACCTAAATCTAATTACGCCGCTGCTACTTCGCTTAAAAAACAATTTATAGAGCCTAAGGAGACAGAAGAAAAACAACAGAAACCGCCGGTTTCTAATGCAATTCCAACACCAACGGACAGATTCGGAAAATACGATGATAATAGGTGGAAAATTATCAAACTCTTTAGCGATGTTAAAAATAATGGATTCCATTGGGAGTAAGTGCATTCACGCAATACTATATTCGTGACATGAAAACTGTTCACTTATATCATTAAAAATATCACTTATCTCATCTAAATCACACACTTCTTCAGACAAGTACCGTTTAATCGGACACACCACATTGTATTGTTATAGACAAACTAATTGAAATACCGATAGAAAATTACTATAATCAAGCAAGGAAACATAACAGAAAAGAAATCAAACATTATGTTAAATCGATGGTTTGATTACAAAATGATATGTTTTAAGTTTAAATTAATAGTATTATTGATAGTACTTTGTGGTTACCCAATATTCTAATTGTTCATTTTTTAATACGCAGGTATGAAACAGAAAATGAAATAAGTGGTCAGGAAGAGGCACGAATATTTAACGGAGGCACGAAAGATGAAGCGCTCAGAACTAAAGGGTTCTACCAATATACCGGAGCCGATAATAAAGTCTACAACGTAGAGTATACAGCCGATGAAAATGGGTTCGTACCGAGAGGGAATCACCTACATCCTGTTTTGCAGAAAGCCATTTTGGAGAATTTGAAACGAAATGCCGATTAGAAGATTTACCAAAAATTCCTTACAGAACAGAAAATTACAATTTCTTGGACAGTTCAGACTTTATTTAACTTATTTATTGTACTATCTACGTACTATAAAGGCTCTTTCAGAAATTCGTTAGTTTGATATGCTTTCGATTATTAAGGAAAAACTAAATTAATTATAAACTACCATGTATCTCAGTAAAACATTGATATCGAGTCAATGTTAATAGGACATCCTGTTTATACTACTAAAATTATTCATAAAAATTCATATATTTCAGTTAGCTCCATACAATAAATATTTTTAAGCATTAAAAATAGGTATAATTAGATAAAGATTGTGAAGTTGCATTTATTATTTCAAGCAGTATATTTATATAGGGTGTCCCAATGAATGGTAATCAGCTTATATTTTTTAAACGCCTATTAATCATAAAAACATGCGATTTTCGCAGATATGTTTTATTTCGCAATACCTTTTGTTACAGTGACACGGAAATTTTGTATCACATGTACATGGTGTTCTATCAAAATCCACTCTTATCAATTCACATTAACCAAATTTTATCAAATGGGCTTGTTTTGTAGAATAACTTGTACAAATAATGCATTTTTGAAAAATAGAAGAGTATATTTTTCAGAATATCTCTGAATGTTCCATTTCCAAAAATTTGGTTACTGTGAATTTACAAGAGGAGATTTTGATAAAACACCCTGTATTGGTAATGCATAATTTCTGTATCACTGTAACGAAACTTATAATAAAATAAAACGTATTTGAGAAAACCGCATGTTTTTATGATTAGGCGTTTAAAAATTATAAACTCATTAAAGGGACTACTTTTTATTGAGACACCCTGTATTATAAAAGCTAATAACTACATTATTAAAAATATTGGAAATTATATTGTTACTGCATTAGATAATATTTTAAATAAATTTATTAAACATTGGTGTATAAAAATCCTTTTTAATAAATTATACTACAGCGCCACCTATTGTTAAGCATGTACAACATACTATACATAAATACAGATTTCTTTCTATTATATAGAAAATAAATTATGCAATTTAAATAGACAAAAAAAGAGTAATTTTCGCAAATAAAAAAAATAAACAACAAAATAATCTATAAAAAAATCCGCAAATTATAGAAAATTTGTGCAAAAGGATCGAGGTCTAGCTATATTGGTCGGGCTGACACAGGACGCCTACTCCCAGGCGCGATCCCACTACTGCACGACGCGGGGACTTTTGGCTGCTGGGTTTCCCCCCTGGCCCGGTTCGCCCCTCCTTGGCTAACCTGGCCGTCCCGGACTCCTCCAGGACGCCCATATTGACGCCGTGCTTAGTGTGGACACCCGGTCAACGTAAACAACCCTGCACCAGAACTCCCGACCTCAAACCATCCACTAAATCCGGCCTCGAAGTAGCTCGATTACAGGAGACGCCACGCTCCCAGCCGTTAGAGTAAGCTTCGAATCGTCAATTTAACTTGCACTTTTTTTTATTTTTTATTACTGAATTTAAATAGAAATAAATAAGTATTATTACAATGTTTTAATATTTGCTTTGATGCGCTTGTAGTTATTTTCATTACATTTGGGTTGCTACTAAAACTTGTTTAGTTTTGATTATTATGAAACAGTGAAAGTGTAATGTGTGTTGCATACCAATTCAGTTATTCATCATAATTATGTATTTATTATTTTTTTCCTTTAAAATATCCCTTGATTTGCTAATAAATTATTGATATATTATGTATGTATTAATTTGATGATGATATTAATACATTGTTTTATAGTAAAAAATGTACAGGGTGTGGCGCACTCAACCGAATAAAACAGTCGTTTGCACAGGTCAAGTTTGAAAACTGAAATTTATTCTGAGTCACCCTGTGCGTATCTACTCGTATATAATGAATTATTATGTTTAATTTTTCTTCTCATTAGATATGTTATTTTCCATACTTTCTTCAACATTTTCTTATTAATTACGTTATTAGAGGTGAGTAAGTAATCCCAACACTTAAATTTACATACATGACAATAAATAAATTATACTTATAAGCAAGTTAATCTTGTAGTTTTGTATTTTTTTTTTCATCCAGGCATGCATTTGGCATGTAAAGTATGCAAATTTTTGTTAAATGGAAAATTTAAAGGTTAATACGCATTTTACATTTATGTACCTACGAAAGTGCATTTGAATTTTGCAACTTCAAATAAGAAAGTAGGTAAGGTTAATAAATCAAATAGAAATAGCTTTGGAAATAGACGAATGGAATTTCGAAAATTTACGAGCATATGGATGAAAAATTAAAAAAAAATCGGTAGTAAAATCAAACATCTTGTTAAGAATTGTGTTGCTTCATTCTGCTAGAATCTCTTGTATTTCAACAAACAATTCTTCCATTTAATTGCATTTTATGTGTCTACTTAAGTTCGCACCATATGGAAAACTTTTTTTATTATTAATTTTACGAAAAAAAGTTATTCTTCATAAAAAGTTCTGCATGCTTTAAAATCTAAAATACAACCATCAGATAACAATTTTTTTAATCCGTATACGAGGTTTGTCAAAAAAATGTGTTTTTTACTCAAGAGTAAAGTACCTTTATTTTTGAAAATATCGGAAATTGTTATTAAGAAAAGTTGATCAGGACTAAAAATTACGTTCAAATATGTAATTACATAATCTATTTTTCTTATCAACACCTAGCAATGTTTTTATGTAGTCGATAATTATTGATGTGAAATAAGTTATTTTGTTATCATTTATTTCAATGCATAATCAAACTAATGCAACATAGAGATTAAGAGATTTTTAACGAATAGAGAGATAACAGATAACAATTTCCAATATTTTCAAAAATATATTTACTAGCGTACTAGTGTACTTTAAAATAGAATTACTTTTGAACAAAATTCATATTTTCTGACAAACCTCGTATACGACTGAAAAAATTAGATATCTGATGATTGTACTTTAGGTTTTAAAACATGCAGAACTTTTTATGAAGAATAACTTTTTTTCGTAAAATTAATAATAAAAAAGTTTTCCATATGGTGCGAACTTAAGTAGACACACTGTATATTTTATGACAATAAAATTAATATCGTGACCCGTCAAAATAACCCAAGATAACCCAAACACAAATTTTTTTGACTTTGAGCTTTTTTAAATTTTTTACTTTGTTCTATTTTGTTGGGGCTGTTTATTCTTGGGCTATTTCGACGGACAACCAATTAACATACTACCATTAAAAAAATAGAATGTTGGTAGTTTCCTAAGAATTTCGACGACATTGTTTTACAATTAAAATACACGTTAATTAAATTATTTCTAGATATGGCAAGTGTACATGAGCGAAAATTTATTACCAGGGATTCTCGTTTGACCTTTAAAACGTTATTGTCTTCTGGATTAAAATGTAGGTGGATAGGTATAGATACCTATAATTTCAAATCAAGTGCGTAATGCATGCAAAGGTACCGCTTGTTGCAATAGGAACTTTCACTTCCACTGTAATCTTTTTTTCAATTTCATCCCATGTACCTAATGCGCAGTACAGAAAGCCCTATAATTAAAAACCACCTAATTTATAATTACCTATTTTAGAATAGAGTATAAAGTTGGTCTCAATGGGAAAAATTGATGTAATAAACTATAAATTTAACACAGTGATGAGTTCAAACCTTGTTATATAATTCATCAAAGGTATGCAAGAAAACAAGCGTTTTACAATGAATTCTCCAAGAAATGAAATGAAACGTTAGTGGTCAAGGATTGCAATATACGAAGGTCACATAAATCTATTGGAAGAATGCCTTACACGATTTTTTGTTGCATGTGTAGGTTTAACATTTTAACTTTTACTACTGGCAATTGTGACAATATCAATGCTTGAAGAGCTATAGTTTACAAATAAGTGGGTTTTAGTTATTTTTAGTCTAAAATTTGTACCAATTTTGTATTTCAATGTTATCGCTACTTAACCGCATCACCAACGACACCTAAATAGCTATTCATCCAAAACTATACTTAGGTATATCTAAAAGAGAATATATTATTACTTTCACAGTAATAACAACAATTGAATCTGCAATCGCGATGATTAGAAACGTTTGATGAATTCCAAACATCCCACTTAGGGTCATTTTAGGTGTCCATTGTCATGAGGGTGTTCCTTTCGACCTTCACATGGGTCATTAATGTCATCATGGGTGATTTACCGTGTCTAAATGATAATAGTATTGAAATTGATATGTAAACAATCCTGTTGGCGGATAACTGCATATAAAATATGTCATTAGGATGCTTGCGGATTATTACCTAATAGATTTCATAGTAAAGCGCATTATTACAAAAATAAAAAATAATGAGTTTTCATTGTTACCTATCTCCTGCGTTCGAAATATTCAATTTCAACAGCCTATTATCTTAATTTAATTAATGTTTAGTTTTAATAGCGTTTAAGAAGATTGAAATAATGAATCCTAGATTAAACTGATTCCCGTATCATATAATAAAGAATAAATGTTGAAAGTTCCTCGTATAAGTCGAGCTCATTGTTAGTCGCATAAGGCATTAAAATAAATAAAATTAAATGTATATTAATTAAAATATAATCCTCCCGCAGTATGATAAAAATGTTTCCATCAATACCTACCTATAGGTACTTGAAATATGGGTGAATAATAAATACCATTTACTTGGAGGAAACAACATTAAACTATCTAACAATAAATTACATATACAATGTAAAGACAGGACAGTACTTATTAAAAAAGTATGCACTTTATATCAAAAATTCTGTTGGTATAGGTACTGCTGATTTGTCATTATGTAGCATCCTTCGAATTTTGAATTATTCATAGAAATGATGTGGTTATTTAAAATAGGTCATTGGCGCTTTAAAATAAACATTTTTCAATATGACCCTATATAGGGTGAAAAATTGACTTTGATTGGCGTTATGCAATCAACTCCTTTAGTTGCAGAAAATATAAAATGTACTATTGTAATTTCTAACATTTCACGGAGCTATAGTTTACAAGAACAGATCTCCCTAATTGTCATATTATCAAATTATCCTTAAACAATAATAATATCCTTCAGCTCCGGACCTGTCAGGCTCGATCTTCTCATGTGCAAAAAATAAAAATACATACGTGCATTCGCTCAGCGAAGTATTCACTCGAGTCATAAAAAAAGTGTTTATCAATGGAGCATTTGGATGGCTGTCTTGATGCCATTTTGCAAAATGTTGTAACAAAAGCATAGAGATGAATCTTGTAGGGGGAGCATCCATTAAAATACATCAGGTATTGTATTTGCTATAAATACAAGGAGCTCCTATATAAGGTGGTCTATTGCAGTTTTGTTATTTGGTGACTAATAATGGATTGGATAAGGGTGAGTGCGAGTGTAGATTTTGGAATAAGGGGTAGTTTATAAGATGCTAAAAAGTGGCCATAATAAAGTCTATATGATACATAAGTTACTTGAATAAAAAAGATACATAAAAATTTAATAAATAAAATATATTTTAGTTGGAACTATGTGCCAAAAGGTTTGTTTACTCTGAAATTCAAATGATAATTTTTAAATACTTTCATTTCTGGTAATATCCAAAATATTTTATTCAGAAAAGTTTAGCAGAATTGAAACACATATTCCAATAAGAAATTTCGTACTTCTATTCCGGAAAATAGAAATGTTGAAGAAGAATCTACAGAAGAGTTTTTGAAAAAATATTTGATTAATTTATCATTATTATTGACATTATTTGATTATTCAAAACAGAAGGATTCAAATTCTTTATCAGAAACGGGGTTTTCAAAGGCTTAAAGTCTTTTTAAAGTTTAAAATATGTTAATCGTATGCAATAATTGAATACTTCTTTGTTATTTTATAGGAGTCTAATATAGGACACACTAAACTATACAATAATACGTGAAAAAAACGATACATGATTTTTATGGTTTATTATAAAAAATTGACATTTAATTTATTAATAATAATACTTTATTTTAGATAAGTGTCTTATGTCTCTGTATTTATTCAACATTTGGAGCACCACAAGCAGAGAAAGATGCCAAAATAATTAGCCAAACTAATGAAATTACACCCGAAGGAGGATACAATTGGAGGTAAGAAGAACATTAATAATTGAATAATTTGATTGTACAAAAAGGTTTATACGTGACTATGTACAGCACACCATAATAACACTCAATTAGTATAGTAATTTAATGGATTTACTCAGTTAATTACCTCAACTCTAAGCTATTCTGATACATTATTTATTACCTCCTAATGGAGATATCTACGTATTTTTTGTATAAGTTCCTAGAAAAATTAGTAAACAAAACATAATTTAATAAAGGTAATAAAATAACATCGATAAATTATTAGGTATGTCATTTATACATTTTCAAAGAAAATAATGTTACAATGTTAATGAGCTAATAATGTTAATAAGTTTGTATTAAATTGTAAAATATTTTAAATATTAAACTGTATTAAATTAGCAATGCAATTATGTGCATTCTACAATGCACACAGTAGATAATTTTATATCAATTTGTTGTTATCAATTACTTAATTATTACATCCTTAGCTTCTATTTTTAACAGCGAGATACTTTTGAAATGCGCACAATTTATAGATAGATTTATTGAATTTTCTAATTAAATTACATACTGTAGGCGTACTTTACTAAGTAGGTAATTAAGACCTTTTGAGTATTTTCTTTTGAGTAAGATTTCTTAACAAAATCTCACTTCACTCTCAGTTGATACAAATTGTATATTGTAAATATTAAACTGTATTAAATTAGCAATGCAATTATTCTCATTCTACAATGCACACAGTAGATAATTTTATATCAATTTGCACTTAATTATTACATCCTTAGCTTCTATTTTTAACAGCGAGATACTTTTGAAATGCGCACAATTTATAGATAGATTTATTGAATTTTCTAATTAAATTACATACTGTAGGCGTACTTTACTAAGTAGGTAATTAAGACCTTTTGAGTATTTTCTTTTGAGTAAGATTTCTTAACAAAATCTCACTTCACTCTCAGTTGATACAAATACAGTGTGTCTACTTAAGTTCGCACCATATGGAAAACTTTTTTTATTATTAATTTTACGAAAAAAAGTTATTCTTCATAAAAAGTTCTGCATGCTTTAAAATCTAAAATACAATCATCAGATAACATTTTTTTTAATCCGTATACGAGGTTTGTCAAAAAAATGTGTTTTTTACTCAAGAGTAAAGTACCTTTATTTTTGAAAATATCGGAAATTGTTATTAAGAAAAGTTGATCAGGACTAAAAATTACGTTCAAATATGTAATTACATCCAATTATAAGTAAGTAATCTATTTTTCTTATCAACACCTAGCAATGTTTTTATGTAGTCGATAATTATTGTGAAATAAGTTATTTTGTTATCATTTATTTCAATGCATAATCAAACTAATGCAACATAGAGATTAAGAGATGTAAATGTAATCGAATTTTTAACGAATAGAGAGATAACAGATAACAATTTCCAATATTTTCAAAAATAGATTTACTTTACTTTTGAGCAAAATTCATATTTTCTGACAAACCTCGTATACGACTGAAAAAATTAGATATCTGATGATTGTACTTTAGGTTTTAAAACAAGCAGAACTTTTTATGAAGAATAACTTTTTTTCGTAAAATTAATAATAAAAAAGTTTTCCATATGGTGCGAACTTAAGTAGACGCACTATATAAAAAGAATTAAGCAACTAAGATTAACTTACAGAATTAGATACTAAAAGGCGACATTTTTGTCCTATCAGGCGGGACCTTAAGAACCGATAGTCTAAGAAAAAAACAGATAAATGCATTGTAAATTCCGATCAACTAATAGCGCAGAGTACACGATGCTTGGCATTCAACGAAAGGTCTCTTCTCTTTTACGAATATATCTTTATTGTTTCGTCGTGATGGGAAGATCGTACCAAGTAGAAACTTTTTTTCAACTCGAAATTAGAGGTTTCGATTGCAGAAACTAATCGTTCCTGAACGAACATTACGCCAAATCATGTAGAAGACCGCAAAAGGTGTTATGAAACATGTCATGTTACAGTAACCTCTTTGAATTGTAGGTACTTGCAATAAAAAATAACAAGACTGATGATATTACTGTTCCTTATAGCGTGGGAATATTTCAGTCTATTAAAAGAATATTAGTGTTTGGAATATTATAATGGTGGATAATTTGGTGGAGCACTAGGTTAATTGGTAGTTATTCAAAATTATACAAACTTCTGTAGGTATTAGTGTCTAAAAAATGTACAGAAAGACATGTCACCAAACAGATATATTCTGTACAAATTTTCACAAAATAGAATTCTAGCCATTCTAGCCTAATATCAAGAAAATATCTTTTTTATTTTTAACTTTAAAACCTTGTAAATTACTTACTAAATAGTTTTGGATATAAGTAAGTGTAATCATATTTTCGTCTCAGAAGCGTGAGATCCCAACCTTTTTGCAACACCCTGTATAACATACAAATACTAACACGTAGAAAAAGTATAGAGATAAGTTAAGTAGGTACAATAAATCAAAAAATAATCAAAAAATATTTTCCAGTTACGATACCGACAACGGCATCAAGGCCCAAGAAACGGGCACCTTGAAGAAGACTAGCGATCCCGAAAATCCGGAAGTGATAGTGGCTCAGGGAAATTTCGAATACACCGATAAAGAAGGCAACAAAATATCGCTGACGTACGTGGCCGACGACGAAGGCGGTTTCCAGCCCCAGGGGGCTCATCTGCCGACGTCGCCGCCCATTCCGCCCAATATTCAAAAAGCCCTGGATTGGATCGCCTCCCAACCGTCGACGACGGAACGCGCAGGACGAAGGAAATAATTCGAAATCGCTCGGAAAACATAATTCGGTTCTCGGAACGTTTATAAAAATTATCTGTTGATCGATGAAGGTACTCGTAATAGATAATATTTAACCGTTTTAATAGTAATAACTTTTTTATCGATTTTATTTTACACTTTAAGAGCTCGATCTAAAAGTAATAAATTTAAACTAAATTTATTCCTCCTACGTCGATTAAATATGTATATTTAATTGGCCCTTTTAAACATACAAACAATTTTTTTAATAGTATAATAATTTATATAAATTACTGAGAAACCGCGGGCGCATTTTTTCCAAAATTTCCTACTCTGTGATAAAAGCAATCGGTTTTTTAGCCAACACGGATTTATGACACGATTTGGTATATGATTTAACCGCTTCGAAACTATGATATTGTATATTTATTTACATACTGCTAGTTATTTACACTTTATTATTATTTAATACTTACTATATTATGTACATGTTTTATGAATAATTACGTACATACGATTTTGCAATTTGAAAACTGTTTATTTTTCACTTTTCATTCATTTCCAATGAAGGGCAAAAAGATAAAATACCCAAACTCAAAATTAACAACAATAAAAAAATAATTACATATGATATTTAGTTATTAATTTCATATGGAGGACCAAAATATAGGCAATGACAATAGGCAAGCTTTCAATAAAATTGATGTAATAGGTAAGTAATATTTACTTTGATTATGGCACTGAGGTTAAATTGTTTAGCACATAAAATATGTAATATATTTTCTTATAAATAGCCAGTCTTAGTTTCGGTTAGACAGTTGCATTTTTGTTTGCAAAAGTGACAGTAGAATCATGTTTTCTATTTCGGTAAGACGATTTATTTACATCTAATATTTAATTTAACTTCACAATTACCTAATAAAGTGAGTGAAACAACACTAAACAAATTTATTTCTGGATAGGTTGTATTCCCTATTATTGTGAGCGTGTGCTTTGGTGCACCCCAACAGTCTCCAATCGTGCAAAATTCAGCTCAGCACCCTGGAGCTGCGACTCCTGGTCAACCAGGTGGTGATGCTACACCTATAGCTATTATAAATCAAACTGCAGACAGCAACCCTGCTGATGGAAGCTTCCAATTTAGGTGAAATTTATACTAGATTTATAATGTGAAAGCATAAAGAAGTTTCCTGTTCTTTGCAGTTTCGAAACAGCAAATGGGATAAAAATAGAAGAAAAAGGTTACCTAAAAGACGGTGCTAATTCATCCGAAAAAATTCAAGTAATCGAAGGGAGTGTTTCCTATACAGACAATGAAGGAAACCCTGTTAATTTGAGGTAACTACAACCTTGCCTAAAACATGTTTATTAAATAAATATAATATTTTATTAGTTACTGCCATTTTGACAACTATTAAATTTGTGACTTATCGAATTTCAATTGTAGATACATTGCTGACGAAAATGGTTACCAACCAGAAGGAGATCACATTCCCAAAGCACCGGAATCCCCACTTGGATCCCAACCAGACGCAGCTCAATCCCCTTCTAGTCGACCAGCTCAAACAGCTCAGCCTGCTCAATCTGGGCCACTGGCAGTGGGTGCCGCAGAAGTTGAGCAATCTTCGCTTGCAACTAACTAATTCATTAATGTGTTTATTTAATAATACTTTTTTTATACATTTTGTTAATTGGAGTACCAATATAGAATATTTTTAATGAATTTAAATCACAAAATTCACTTTCTTTGATAACACTATAGAAGCATATGGTTGTAGAGAATTCCTGCCAATTGGCTTTTGGGTCAATTAAATTCAATAATTCTTTGGTTACTGTGAATTTAAACGAGGGGATTTTGATAAAACCTCCTGTAGTCGTAATGCCTAATTTCTGTGTCACTATAAAATATATCAGCGAAAATCGCATGTTTTTATGATTGGGCGATTAAAAGTTAAATGCTCATTAAATGGTCTTTTTTTCATTGATGCATTTTTGGAAGTAGGTATTTTAGATAAAAGTACCTATTCCAAAATTTACCAGAAATATTAATATACAAGGTGTTCCATTGAAAATAACAAAGCTACTGCCCACCTTATGCGTACCAAATTTTATTTGACATATCGTCCTGATCGTACCCTGTATAAAAAAAAGTTTTTATTCTGTATAAAAAAAAGTCTTTATTTTCATATCATCTATTTTACCGTAAGATTAATTTACCTTTCCTCGTATAATAAAAAATACTGCACGCGCTGCAAAAATTAATTTATTTAAAGTTAAATAGACGCAAAATAATTTATTTATAGATAAGTATAAAAAAAACTATAAAATGCAATTATCATTAAATTTTATCTGGAACTTAAAATATTGCATAATATTTATATATTGCAAGCTGGAATATTATCTATTAATATTGTGCACTAGTCATTTGATACGTGAAGTGCAGTCTGAAGCAACTATCTTAAAATATGAATTGTAAGTTTAACTTGATTCATAATTAATTCATTTTTTGTATTTTTGGATTTTTTTTTCAAACTTTTATTGTATTATTTTTAGATATAGACGAAAATATAAGTTTGGGGGAAATATATTTTAATTCCTTAAAAAAAAATTCACAGAAAACATTATTGGTAAGTATTATGAGAGTGCAACACTAATTATAAAATTAAAATTAATTTGTAAATGAAATAATTTATTTTTATTATTTTATTATTATCGATTTTTGTAGTCAATATCTTTGATTTTCTGGATTATTCATTCATTTAATTTATTATCTTCGATTTAAATGCATATTTCAGTACATATCCGACACAGACGAAACCCTAACTTACTCTGAAGTACTCACTTTAAGCGTACGAACAGCGCTAGCACTGAAGCAACGCGGAATCGGTAGAAATGACATAATTTCCACCTGCACTTACAACCAAAAGTACAATTGCTTGCCGGTGATAGCCTCCCTGTATCTAGGAGCTATCAACGCGAACTTCGATCCGATCCTATCGCATTTGGACACGGTCCATTTGCTGCGCCAAATGGCGCCCAAAATATTGTTCGTCGTCGAGGAAGCGCTAGAATTCATGGAGAGATGTTTAAAAGAATCTGGCATCGAAACGGTATTGGTAGTATTCGGAGAAAGCGACAAATACCAACGGTTTTCCGAATTCATCACGCCCCATCCCGACGAAATGGCCTTTCGTCCGGCGACAATCGACCATGAAGAGACCGCTTTGATTCTATTCAGCAGCGGCACGACGGGTCTTCCTAAAGGCATATGTTTGAGCCATCGCAGCTTGAAGAACGGAGGACCGAATTTTTGTCCCATGAATATTACCAACAAAAACCCCACTGTTAGCCTCATATTTACATCTTTCTATTGGATTTCGATGAATTTGTTTTTTTACAATAGCGTCATAAACGGCTATGCACTCGTGTTATGTAAAAAATTTAATCCTCAGGATGCATGGAGGATTTTTAAAAAATATAAGGTATGACCTCATTTTCTTTTGTAACATATTCGCATACTAATAGAAACACTTTTACATCAATTCTAATTCACGATAAGCGATAGGTACACGCAGTAAACTTCCGAACGAAGTTCAACTGCGATGTTCTAAATTAAAGTCCAACATAAATATTATTGGAAGTGCAAAATATTAAACATTTCAGGTAACCTTTACTTTTCTTGCTCCTTATAACGCGGCAGAATGTTTGAATAACAAGCCCGTCGATGGAGATTGCAGTACCGTAGAGGTTTTGTTCACTGGAAGCTGTCCAGTAAACGAGAAACTGATGAGCGATCTTTCAAACACATTTCACAACGCCAAAATCTTGAACATTTACGGTCAAACGGAATCCGGAAGCGCGATATCCAGTTTCGATCCCTTTAACGACGAAGAATACGCTTTGCAGCTCAAACACCCCCTTTCCTGCGGAAAGGTGAAGAAATTTATTCAATGGAAGGTAAGTATTGATGAAGGTACCTATTTATTTTGAAAAGTCTCTACTTACTTAAAATAACTTAGATTGTAGATTTGAACACAGAGGAAACTCTCGGGCCTAACAAAGAAGGAGAATTGAGGATAAAATCCAACTACCTAATGAACGGGTACTACAAATTGGATTGTTCTTCCTCATTCGATACAAATGGTTATCTTAAAACCGGCGATGTGGCTTACTACGATGAAAACAACTGCTTGTACGTTGTTGACAGAATTAAGGAGATGTTCAAGTACAAAGGTTGGCATATAATTCCTGCTGTCATAGAAGACGTCCTGAACGCGCATCCTGCTGTCAAAGACGCCGTTGTTATCGGAGTACCTTGTAAGAACGTTAATGACGGTTTGGAGCCCATGGGCATCGTAACGTTGCGCGAACAGTACGGTAATATCGACTTAAATGACATCGTGATTTACGTAAATGGAAGGGTTTCCGAGACTCAGAAACTAAGGGCAGGCATTAAAGTTTATAACGATATACCGAAGACGGCTACTGCGAAACCTAAGAGAAGAGAATTGCGCCAATTATTGGGATACTAAAATAATAAAATTATAATGTCTAAGCTGTTAATTTTAGTTAAGGATTTTGTAAAAGGTTGGGTTCCTTTGCGATCATTCATTAAAATAACCCTTCGGTAATTTTCTTCTTGGAATAACAAATTGGTCACAAATCGTTTTAGTCTCCTGAAAATATCTCAAAAATATTTCTGGTTGGCTTATACGACTCATTTGATACACTTATTAAGATTGTCTTCTGACATAAAAGTTAAATTCAAGTCCAAATTTTGGTCCTTTTTGCAGCTGCTAGTATCCAAAAGTCGAAATCTCACAAAAGAAATTTATAAAATTTTGTCTAAATCAAAATGATGTAAACTTTTTAAGTTTTTGAAAATGATTCAGCCTTATTTTACAAGTCTAGCATAGATACTAGACTACTATGATAGTTACTAGTACATACTAGCCCAGTATTTTCTAATGCATTCCAATTAGTTAAATAACGATAGTTTCTTTATTAATATAGTTCTTCTATAGATGTCTTGTTTTTGCACTGTTTTGGAACAAGACGAAAATTTGATGAAACCCATTTCCAGTAAATATCTGAGTGATAATATGCAATAACTGTTGAATAAAGCAATGAAATGTTCTGCGTACTACTGATTGCTGCAATAAAAGTTACTCAATCGGGTTTTATTTAAATATTTACCTAAATCGTATTCTTATACAATAAGAGATCAAATTAAGTACATTTAAACTGTGCACTGATTTAATCTCTTGCTTGAATTAGTTGACGATAATATTTGTTTGCCAAAATCATGAATAAAGCCTAGTTAAGATTCACGTTTAATTTTGTCTTTTTTTGGTAATTCGGAACATAAAATTATAAAAGAATTAAAAAGCTGTAAAGATTTGGAAATCCCTTTATAACATATTTATTCGTAGCTCTTTACTAGAGAGAAATTAGACTTATTTTTTTCTTTACGCGAAATATAGTCTGTTAGTAGTTTATTTTAACATGATCAATAAACCAACTGAAAACAAATTTAAAGGGACTTTTCCACAAATATTAGCTGTGATAACAGGTACGTTGTAAGATAATACAATATATTTTTTACTTTTACATAATATTTTTCAAATAATTTCGAAATGTTTTATATTTTGTTTACCAAATTTGATTCACTTCTCTGCCCATAACACATTATTTTATTATGAGTAATTATCTATTGGCAATTAACAATTCTATTTGGCAATGATTTACCTAATTTTTAATCCAGGTTCATTGGTAGCCCTAAGCGATGGAATGCAATACGGATGGAGTTCCCCAGCATTACCTATACTCTTTTCGCCCGACTCGCCCTTAAAAGTAACGAAATTACAGGGCGAATGGCTCGAAACCTGCGTTATGGTTGGGGCGTTCTGCGGCTTATGGCTGACGATGTTTTTAGTCGATAGCATCGGTAGAAAACGATCGATTTTACTAGCCGCGTTCATGAGCGTATGCATTTGGGTAGTAATAGCAGTAGCTCCTCGAATTGAGTACGTTTTAGTAGCCAGAGCTTTATCTGGAGCCGTCGGCAACACGGCCTTCGTCGCCACTCCGATGTACGTAGCGGAAATAGCTGATCAAAAAGTAAGAGGATTCCTCAGCAGCTTGATCTACCTGATGATGCTTGTCGGGATACTCGTCATATACACCGTTATGCCTTATACAACTTTTTACGTTCATTGTATAATTGGTATAGTAATTACAGTAACGCAGCTTATTATATTCCCGTTTATGCCGGAAAGTCCGTATTATCTTATCTATAAAAACAAAGAAGAAGAAGCTAAAAAGTCGCTTATAAGGCTTAGAGGCGGCACGAAAAATATTGACAAGGAGCTGGCGGAGATCAAAACAGCTATTGCCAGGCAAAAGGAGGAGAGAGGAAGAATTCAGGATCTATTTCTAATTCCCAGTAATCGCAAAGCTATGATTATTATGATAATTTTAAATTCAGCCCAACATTTTAGCAGTATTAGCGTGTTATTAATGAATTTGCACAGTATTTTAGAGCAAGGTGGATCATTGTACATGGAACCTTCGACTACGGGAATAGTGTTCGCTCTAATAATGCTGCTAGCAGCAAGCGGCGCGTCTTTATTCATAGACAGATTTGGTAGAAGAAGTCTTCTCATATTTTCCAGCTTGGCCACAGGGATTTGTTTAATGGCGCTCGCCGTTTTCTTCACCTTCAAAAATGCCGGTTACGATACCTTAAGTATTAGCTGGATTCCAATAGTATCTGTAATGCTATACGCACTCGTCTTTAAAGTTGGTTTAGGGCTTGTCCCTATAGTCTTAACAGCAGAATTATTTCCTGCTAAAATGAAAGCGTACGGGATGACTCTCTCGGATGGAGTTTACGTTGTGGCCGCTATATTTTCTATTCAAGTGTACCAGAGACTCAATGATAGTTTTGGTATAGAATATCCGTTTTATGTATTTTCGATTTGTTGCTACTTAACCGCCTTATTTACTTACTTCATCATTCCGGAAACAAAGGGCAAATCTTTGGAAGAAATTCAAATGATTTTAAAAGGAAATAAGCGCCTAAGTGCTACTTAATTTTTGTTAAATTGCTACAATAGTCTAATGAAAATCACAAAATGTTGTTATCACATTGTACATGTACGTTTTTTAATTTCTTACTATTTTAATAAATTCATAATTTGGTTTAGTTTTTTATCTAAATATGAACCTATGTATGTAAATGAACTAACACCAGTTTATACATTCTTCAAACAAATCCCCACTATCCTCAAAGAGGATCTACAGTTAGACTACATCCAATACACTGTATATTACATACGTGTACGACATTTGTTTGTATTAAATTACTAAATTTGTACTCATGTATTTACTTATATTAGAGCTATTAAATATCGGTTATCCATATCTACTAATTTATTCTTATCTCGACATGCTTTTAAATAAATTACCACATCAAATAAATTAGGAATCAACCAATTCAGAAAGAGTGTGGTGTAAAGTAAATTTGTAGATAATTCAGTTGATTTGTGAAAGTCGCGAAGGTTCGGTTCATTCGAGTCTATTGCTTTAGATTTGTTTCAATTATGTCAGAAAAGAAGATTGGAATTATTGGAAGGTCTGTATCTAATTCATATTTCAAGTTCTAACAATGTAATTTTAAACTAAATATTTAGTGTTTAGAAATGTTTAGAAATGTTTAGAATTTAAATGTTTTTCCTTTTATTTTTACTTTCATTGGCTAAATCCAACACTTTGCGCTACTCAGTATAATCGATAAGTAAACTGAAACAGTATAAAAATATAATTGTTTCACAAATATTGATAAGAAATCCTTGACATTATGATATCTCAACAAATACAAACATATATGTATAAGAATACCTGATATACGATCATCATGTTTTAGAATAATATATCTTTTTTTTCGATTACATGATTTGTTTATTTAATAAATATTTTACTAGATTTTTTTAAATTCCTATTAAGGACGGGTAAGTTCAGGAGTAAAGTGGTTCTTATCGACTTGATCTTTATAATATATCATGAAACTAATGTAGGAGTATTTTTGCTAGATACAAAAAACAATATTTAATGCACCAACAGTTTGTGAAGTTATAAATAGAATGCTCTATATACTGTAACACTGTAGTTATGAAACATATTACTTAAGATATTAGATAAAACACAACCATTTATTTATTACAAAATGCATGAATATTTAAAATAACATTCGTCGATTCTGCGTAAGTTACCTTGCCACTCTGGCGTATCTCCAGCTAAAATTTTAAAGACTTTGATTTACTTTTAGCGGGTTGATAGGCAGATCATGGGGCATGATATTCGCTGCGGCAGGTTGGCGAGTTTCGCTGTACGACATCGAGCCCAAGCAAATCGAGACTGCCCTCGCTGATATCAATCAGCAACTAAAGACTTTGGAAAAGGAGAAACTACTAAGAGGAACTCTTAGTGCGGATCAGCAATTCGCTCTAATTTCAGGTTTGATTTTGAGATAAATTATTTAAGGTGAAATTTACATTTTCCTTTAAACTTTAAAGTAAAAAAATGAATGTAAACATTACTCATTTTCACTTCTCAAAATGCACTTAAGTTTGTAATAATTTGGAACGAGAAACTTATAGACATGTATGTAAAATTTATGTTATTATAGGCACTACTAAATTGGTCGAATGCGTCAAAAATGCAACGATGCTTCAGGAATGCGTTCCGGAAGTCTTGGAATTAAAAAAGAAAGTATGGAAGCAAGTTGACGAAGTCATGGATGACTCTACCATATTATCTAGTTCCACATCAACTTTTTTGCCATCCCTAATAAGCGAGGAATTAAAACACAAGTAATCCAACTTCTTATACTTATCTGCATTGATAAAATAGATTTTATTATATTTAATTTAAGGAAAAACTTCCTAGTTTCGCATCCCGTGAATCCCCCTTACTACGTTCCAGTGATAGAAGTCGTTCCAGCTCCTTGGACCGATTCAGATGTAGCCAAAAAAACCCGCTCCATATGGGAAGAAGTCGGGCAAACTCCGGTATCGCTAACGAAAGAAGTACCCGGTTTCATCATTAATAGGCTCCAGTAATGTTACTTACTTAAATCAATTCCCATTAATTAACTCACACATCTACCGTAGGTACGCGATTCTAAACGAAACCTGGCATTTGGTCACCGAAGGCGTATTGGACGTTAAAGATATAGATAAAATTATGTCCGATGGTTTGGGAATGAGATACGCTTTCTTGGGTATGCTCGAGACAACCCATCTGAACGAGCACGGTTTCATAAACTATTGCAAAAGATACGCCGATACCATCTACGCTGTCAGCAAAGATTTCAAACCGCCCTGCAAGTTCGAAGGTCCACATGTGCCTGTAATTGGAAAGCAATTGGAGTCGGATGTGCCTTTAGATAAGCTACAGGTAATGTCTATACACTGTTGGAAAATTATTCGCGCATAATAGGGAAATCAATGTTAAATTCTTAGCCGGCTGAAATACAGTCTACCAGTGTACATTTAAATAGAACGTCGCGATAAATTCTAATAAATTTAACTGTTCTACTGGACTTCACACCGCGCTTTGGCTTGGTTAGATTAAAAATCAAATAATTTCGACGGTTTCGACACTTCGGCAGTATCAAAACGGGTTCGGATGGGTGAACGTCGAGTCGATTACAAAGAAATGAGAATTTTTAATCGATAATTTATTGAAAAAATATCACTAATATTAAAATAGAATTATGTAGATATGTCTTTTTGCCACAATGGCTTGAAAAAGAAAGTAAATTCTAAGAAAATAATAAAAAGGAAACTCCAAAAATAAACTTAAAGATTATTTTAAAACAGAAAATAAAAACTCTAAAAAATAGTCCACCGCTTTCTGCTAAACTATAGCCAAACCTGTCATACAGATGTAATCCCATATTACTGAGCTGAGGTATAATTCTAGCTGAAAATTGAATTATTTTTTCCCTTATTTCAACAAAATTTGTTGCTGTTTCAAAACTGTACCTACCGATACACACATTTTTTGAAATATCCCCAAAAAACCTATTAAGTGTAGTTTCTAAATAATTTTGTACCTCATACCTAACACAAATAGCTTTGTACCTCTACAAATCGCGGCGTGCGATCCAGTAGAACAATTAAATTTATTAGAATTGATCGCGACGTTCTATTGAAATGTATACTGGTATACTGGATTTCAGTTGGCTAAGAATTTAACATTGATTTCCCTATTATGCGCGAATAATTTTCCAACAGTGTATACTGTCGATTATAATCGGAATGATTTTCATTAATTGATTTTTTAGGAGAGAAGAAACTGGAGAGACTTGGCATTGACTAAGCTGAGTCAACTAAAGAAAGATATGAACAAACTTAAGTAGTAGCAGAATGTGCCTTATTTTGATATAAAATTGATTTTTGTACGGAAGGCCTTCGTGAAATAAAATAAAAGCAATTGACTCACTGATTTTCTATACGTAGTATTTATAAGTTATAATATTTAAGTTGGATCTGGAATTTAAAAGAATTCTCTATGATTAAAAATAATTCAAAATGAGACAAAACCAGTTTCGCTGAAACTATTGAAATAGTTTTTTCTGTGTAATTTAATCTGCACTTAAAATTTGTACAAAATATTCTTGATTATCTTGTACTAAAGTCATTAAATATTGCCATTCCATAGATAATACCTATTTAAATTATTCCATAGTATAGGTAATAAAAATATATATATTTAATCGTACTTTGACCGAATTTTCGCGGTATAGGAATTACACAGAAACATCTTAAATACCTACATCTAAATTAATTTTAACGGTAATCACTAAATACAATAAAATATCCAAGTCATATTTATCTCATTGATCCTTTAAATCAATTATATTATTAAAAGATAAGATAAATATTCAGATAAATTTCAAGAGATGTATTTTTTGTACCAACTTACACTTGTGGTAGGCTCCTGAGGTAGGCTAAATATGTTTAAGTTCGTGGCTATTTTGGTTTTTCTTGTTGCCGTTTCGGCTAACAAACAAGTAAGTTGTTTAAAAATAACCAATTTATGTTATTTTTACTAAAAAGAATTAAATTAACAGAGAAATTAAAATAGTAGTTGATTTTTTTAACAGACCCCTTTCGTTCATCCCAATGCACGAAACGCGAATTTATTAGCTTCTCGTTTAACGATCATCAATGGCAAAACTGCTGCTCCCCATCAGTTTCCCTATCAAGTTGGAATATACGTCACAACCCCAAATTACATAGACTTTTGCGGTGGATCTTTAATCTCTAGCAATTACGTTTTAACAGCTGCCCACTGTCTGGAAAGGTATCTATCAATATCGAATAAATAACTAATAGTTAACGTGAATAATTTAATTATAGCGCTACTAATGTAAAGTTGATTTTCGGAGCTCAAAATATCACAGATCCATCCGAATCAACCCAGGTTCAACTAAAATCGGAATCCTTCGTCGTCCATGAAGGGTGGAATCCGAAGACTTACAGTAACGATATCGCTTTAATTAAGTTACCAACGCCTGTAAAGGAAACCAACGCAATAAAAATCGTATCTTTGGCACGAGGTGAACGAACATACAGCCACGAACAAGGTTAGTTATTTGTGCCAGAAAGTAGAGGATTTTTTATTTTTCTATGATTTCTTCTCTGTTTTAGGAGCTGTGGCAGGTTGGGGAATAAGCAGAAGAAACCAAAAAGGTGTCACCCCAATTTTGCAGTACATAACGCCCTATATACTGTCCAATAGGGATTGCAAAAATATCGATCAGAATTACGCCGCAGTGATAACAGATTTGCTACTTTGCATATCTCCTGGTGAGTGTAATTAACAATGCGTCGAGTTCAGATGTATTTATCCTTTCAGAAATAAAGCTTGAATATAGCTTTTTGAATATGGCGTAATTAATTTTTTTATGCTTTACAGGCTACTCGAAGCTTTCTACATGCCAAGGAGACTCAGGTGGTCCATTGGCTGTAAATGGCATACAAGTAGGACTCGTCTCTTTCGGTGCCACCGATTGCCTATCGGGAAAACCTTCCGTTTTTACGCGTATAAATAAGTACGAGAGTTGGATAAGCAAAAATTCAGATGTACATTTCTTAGATTAAAATGTTATCCTTACATTTCCAATTAGGTAAAATTTGGATTTTTATTTGTTCATTACCTTTGGTTATTATTTACAATCAAATAAATTTATTACAATAAAAAAAGTTATCTTGACTATGACTATTTTATTAAGTACTTTTTACATTTCTTATTACTAATATAAATTATTTGTACAATGACTATAGTGTTTTTCTAGATGACCGTAACATAGTCGGCTTTACTAAAAAGATTGTCTGCCTAGGATCTTCTTCCATAAGGTTTATTTTCGTTTGTTATGAGATAGTATGATCCAAATGTTTTGCTGAAAAACAATAAATGAAGTATTGAAGCATTGCTTAACATCAAACTTGAAACTTGAAAAAAGATTTTCAGGTCATTGTACATTGGAAACTTACTTATTATTACCGAATCCCATGTACGCATCTACGGAAAAATCGCACTCTTTTTCCGGCCCTCTCCACAATGAGCATCGTGTGGCCGGAAATGCTCTTTCGTTTATCACTGATTCAGCATATAGCTGCCAAGCTCTGACGTGGCTACAGGCCACTGGAAATAACAAATTTCTTATGCCAATACGTTATTTATTATTGCTAAAATAAATTGCAATATGTTTCTGAATTTATCTTTCCAATTATTTAAAAATTATATCTGCGGAAAATACTTACACACTTGATCGACTATTCTTTGTCTAACGAGATAACTAGGTTGGCAACCTGGTTGCAGAGCTCTTCCACCGTTGGGGAAAAAGTCAGCATGACCTATTGCTATTGGAAAACCAAATATTCCTGCATCTGTATGGATAATATCCACATATTTCGCGTCTTCGTAGGATAATCGTTTTGAACGGTCTGGAGAAAAAATAGATACCCAGTTACCTCTCGTACAAACAATATACTAAACAATTTCATGTTTCCTAAATACAAAACAGTTACCTCCAAGAGAATATTCGGGCAAAGCGGGATCCAGCCCGGTGATTCTCGGAATTTTAAGGTCACTCCTGAGCAGTTTGCCCGCCAGGCCGGCTACGTGGCAACCCAAACTGAATCCAATTACATGTAAATTGTCTATCGGTATTTCTCCGCTATCGTGGAAGATCTCGATGAATGTACGCAATCGTTGAGACACGTGCTTAACATTGACCACGGCATTTTGGTACCAAGGAAACGTTGCCAATTCGGACCAGTCCAACAAGATCAAGTTGCGAGCTTCCGGTCTGGAGAAGTACGCTGTGAATATATTACACGGTTAAGCGAAAGCAATTAGTTGTGTTGTTTAAATCAAGATAATATGTAATAGCAAGTCATTCACCAGTTATAGACGACCTAGATTCCCATTCTCTTGTTGGTATATCTTCAAAGAGTGCATTTTGAAAGAAGAAGTGTTAGTTTAGATTGTTAATTTGTCTCGTACCATTCAAAATTGTCCTTCCGCTGTGACCAGGCGAGCCTTCGGAAAAACCGTGGATGAAAATAACGGTGGGTAGATTCCTATCGACGCCTACACGCCTGGCTTCGCCGCTTCTCAGTTTCATCAGTTTTCCATTGAGATTTTCTTTCGAGTAGGCGACGAAACGGATGTCTTTGGGAAATTCCACCGGGCAACAATTGGAGCAAAGGCCGCGCGGCAGGGCTGTCATTTTCAGTTCATTTTCACCTAATGAAAAAATGCAAACTGGTTAATATTTTTTTTCACTAAAACGGTCCATATAGAAAGAATCTACAGCGCTTACTGTGAACAACAAATTTGAAGATATGTACATACTTATGTAGACTGTAATACATAGTCTAATATCGCAATTTCTAATAAATTTTTCGTATTATAACTATTTCTGGAAAAAAGTAAAATAAACCCGTTAGGTGCAACATATACTTAGATAGGTAGGTACTCAATAAATTTAATTAACATAAAAATAGTGGTACCTGCAGAAATTTAAAAGTAATGTTATCATTTTTAAAGTGTGGACTTATCTAAATATACTTTCACAAAAAAAAAACATTTTCACGGTAACAGATAAAAAATCTGTTTGATTTTTAAATTTATGTATATTAGAAAAACACGATATTTAGTAAATTTAAATAAAAAATAATAATATGGTAAATATACATGCAGTCACGTCACCACGATTTTACTTGAAAATAACCACGTTTCATCGATTTAGAATATTAGGTATAGGTCCTTACTCCTTAATGGTACTTTTGATATGTATGTAATGTACACAGATAAAATAAACAAGGAAAAATATCTACTTCCTCGCCTTAATCGAAGATTAACCTCCAATAAAGCCCACCTAAAACCTTGTTGAGCTACCGAAATCTTGACCTTTCACTCGTTGGAAAGATTCATCTTGATTGTAATCCGTGTCAAGAACGGTAGGTAGCATTTAATAAATGCACTATTATCGTTCTTAATTATTGACATAACTTTTAATAGTCATAATTGGATCAATTTGAAAGGAATTAAAAATAATAAGGGAATTTTATAGATATTTTGTGTAAATTATTTTTTAATGGTGTTGAATTTAATGCAATTTACGAATTTAAGGCAAAAAAGTTTACAATGATTATATTATTTTTTAATTCAAATGCGTATGAAAATAACTTTGGTCGATGATTTGTCATACAGGTGGCCTCCCATCAATGTCATTAAAATTATTAAATCCATAAAATGCAATTTTAACTTCACACATTTCTTTTAATGGTTTTGTCTGTTTTTTATAAAATCTGTCCTTCCATAAAACTCTCGTTATTTTTCAATATTTCCTATCAATATTGAAATTCCCCTTAATATTGTGGTTATCATTCCATAAGAAAACCACAAGAAAATAAAAGTATAAATACATACGTGAATATACGTTTATGGTCATTAAATTTTCTCTACAACATGGAATTATATTAACAAATTGCCTGTGAAATAAAAATCTACTCGAATTAATCGACAAACGAATTAGTTACGTCCGATTATCGTAATTGAAATCGAATAATTTCGTTATTTCCGGCAACCAAAAAATTTCCTTTTTTTTAGAATAGATATAATTTTAATGTTCAATTTTCTTTAACGTAAGTACTTCTTTATTCACGAAATTTGAAATTAATTATTGATATCGTACCTATTAATGGAAATGAATTAATACTTTCAATTATGATAAGTTCTAAATGAATAAATTAATTTATTAGGGTTATTTTATTTTGCATAATTAGGTATATGAATATTTTATAACCAAGTTCGTGCGAATATTTTGTCGTTACAAAAAAGCAATAGTATTCAATGTTAAGGTCAAGGATAAATGATTAAAATCAACAATAACATATTTATATCAAACTAATTAGCTAATTAAAACAACAATGAAAGTCATTTCAAGGAAATATATTTAGCACATTTTCCAGGTACCTATTAGGAGATAAAAAATCCAGATTTCCTAAGCTTAAATGAGCCGTTTTAGAATTCTCAGTGGTTACATATGCTCTCAATTAGCTCTTAATTCGTAATATAAATGTTCTAATAAAATAGATATCAGATTCAAAAAGATAACAGAACAAAAAACTGATACAAAATCATCTAAATAAAATTTATTTCCAATGCATATTTTTCAAAAATTAAATCCCAAAAATTATGTAATTTCCTTATTTCTGTTTTTAGAATATCATTTTTATATTATTTTACAACAACTAAACGAGTATTTAATGCACATTTTATTTCAGATGATAACACGATGATAGAAAAATCACGTAGGCAAAAAAATAAGTACCTAATAATTTGTCATTATCTAGCTAATATGTGAAATTTAAGAAATAAAGCTATGTATAAAATTAAAGAACCTTCAGGATTACAATTAATTCCTATGCAATAATTTGTGAAATCTAGTATAATACTAAAATTAAAAATTATATTATTAATTTATATAAATATAATTACTAAATAATAAACTGTAAAAATAACGGTTTAAACTGTAAAATATGATATAAAGAAGATGGAATTGTGCATCATTTTTGAGCTTTTTATAAATCAAAGGTAGAATACAAATTAAATCAAATAAATTGCAAATATCGCGAAATTAATGACTTTTTAATTGACGCGATTAATTAATTTATGGTAATTCCATAATTCTATTTCAAATAAGAGGTCTTTGATTTTTTTTGAAATGTAAAGGCTTGCAATTCTTGTGTAAATTTCTGTACAAGTTTGTCTAGTCTTTATGTCTATGTGCATAAATTTGTCCAAAATTTTTACTCACCCATTTCTAAAGAAAACGTTGTGCACGGTTCAGGCAGGGTTCTAAGGATGTCGAATGGAAAAATCGCATTGTCACTTCTCGCAAGTCTCGAATTTTCACTATTTTCACTAAACGGAACACTCAAAAAGTTTATAGCCAAACTAAGCACCTGCGACAACAACGACATTTTCCCCAATTTTTTAATTACTAGTTTTTCATCAAAATTCTCCCTCAATTCGGTTCACTTAGATACTTTACCAGTACCATTCATCAATATTTCTATTACTCGGAATTTTATTATAATTAGATTTCATGCACTCTCCCTATTGCATCAACGCGTTCATCAAGTGTGTGCGTATGGATTTTCCGTCCGCAAGTTTTACGTTGTTTTTTAACCGGCAGCGATTGTTTTTTTATACAACTCACAACCTACTACGATTATTTCGAACATTTAACGAGGTGAAATATTTATTGACAATAGGAGGGTCCCGAATGCGATTAAATATTCAGCAAGAGGGGACATAAATGGGTTTTTTAAGGTTATCTTAGTGGACAGATAATAATCCATTACGAGTTTGTTAAAATTCGTTCCGTCCTTTCATCTGATTGATAGATTATTAGTTTTTTCTAATTGCTCCTCTGAGTCTGAATTAATCGATAACCGGAGTTTTGCTTTAGAAAATTCAATGGTAAACTTGTAAGTAAAATGTTGAATATATCTTATTTTTCATTGAAATCTTCTCTTTTATTAGGAGGATTTATTATCTTCGTGATAGTAATACGGGGATAAATCGGGACTGTATAGAGGATGTTCCAGTATTTTCCAATGCCTTTTGTCCAAGTTTTCTTGAGTTAATGCACTGATGCTTGGAACAACCTTGTCATGGAGCAAAAGCGTACTTCGAATCGTAGCAGAAACTTTCCAAGCAGACATATCTTGGCTAGTCCTATTGTTGTTTCTCAAGGTCTTCCCAATTTTGTTTTACCAATCGGGGACATCGATCCCTGAAAACATATTTCCAGTGGACTGTGCAATTACTCGATGCGAAATTTTGGCAGGTTTTATGCTCTCCCGCGACAAAAATTTAATAATAATGCGTTGCTCAACAGACCTGTGCACCTCTTGCTCAGACGTGATGGTACTAATAGCCAATCGGGTCTTCGGAAATTCAGAATCACAAATTGTTTTATACCTGCTCATATAGTAGAATATTTGACTATTACACCTTGCTATTATCATTCTATTCTTTGATATCATGCTATGATATCATTCTATGATTTTTCTCTAATATCTACAATTTTGTGCTATGCTTCTGTAGCTCTCTCAGTTTCCTCTTAGTACTTAAGTTACTTAGCACAAGTACGTAGGTATGTATAGAATACCTACATTCTAATATAAGAACATATCTTGTTGATTATCTCAACCCTTCTACAAAATTCTAATTTACCTATAATAAGTCAATTAGTTTCTGCTTAATAACGATTTAATTATCCGGTGTGAACGTAACAAAAACAGTGTTCCGGACGGTTTATATCACATCATAAATTGAAAATTTGAAAATTATACGCATATTTTTCAACGTGAAAGATATTCCGATTAAACCTCGTTAATTACCTATTTGAACTGGAAAAGAGGTTAATTACAAATTAATTGTTTGTACTTGTAGATACTTATTTTTGCAATAATTATTTGTTTGATACTATGCACTTCAAGGAAATTCTAGTGAATAAATTATGTTTAACTCTAACTCGCCAATTTAAGCGAATTAAATATTAGCCTAAGAATTTGATGAATTGAAAGTATCTAAAACTTTTTGCAAAAATATAGTTAAAGAAATGCACTACAGCAGAATCTTTTTACTTAGTAATGAATCTTTTTCAATAAACTAATGTATATTTTGTGTTAAAATGGTTTACTCACCCTGTAGGTAATTGAAATACAATATCTTTCGTAGCATTACAAGTGAAACCCTATAACCTACACCAACCTAAACGTGTCGTTGACTGAATATAGTGTTTCTTGTAACAATTTAGAAAGGTTATCAACATACGTACTGTTAAAATGCAGAATGTTAACGAAAAAATGGCATTGTTGGACAACAAAAGTACAACTAATGGTTTGACAACGTTTTTTGCGGTAATTTGTATTGTAGATGTTTTCGGTGTATTCCCGGTGGTTACATTACCAAAAGCTGTAATTGATTGTGGTACGTACATTTATACAACATTGTATTACAGTAGAAGTGTTTTCCTATTAAATTATAGGCTTTTATGGATTTTTCGTTGTAACTTTGACATGTTTGACCCAGATTTATACAGCGTCGCTATTAGGAAGATGCTGGGTTATAGCCGAAGAAATAGAACCGTCAATTAAATATAAAAATCGTTATCCTTATGCAGCTCTAACTGAAATATCCTATGGGAAGAAAATGGCCAGTTTTGTTACATTTTTATTAGATTTGACAATATTTGGAGGCGGTATACCAAATTTGATAGTTGGTAAGGCATGAATAACAATATATTGTTCGTATAAAATTTATTTATTGTTTGCCTTATAAATATTAATTAGCTTCACAGAATTTACAACTTCTGGGCTTAAGAGCAAGTGATGGATCTGTAAACATATCATTTTGTTTATGGATCATAGTAGTAGGTTCTGTCCTGTGTCCTGTACTTTGGCTGGGAAGCCCGAAGGATATGAAGTGAGTTGAAATAAATGTTTTTGATATAAATAAACTTGATTAACTCGACTTATTTTTCTAGATTATTGTGCTCATTATCAGTAGGTATAGTTATAACGGTTTTCCTACTCATTAACGGATGCATTTTACTAAGCACAAGTGATCCGAGCACAGAAATTTTGGAAAATAATTCAACACCTGTATGGAAAAACGTGTTAAAGGCGTATGGTATAATAGCATTTCAATTTGACATACATCCTTCTATTTTGACTATACAAGTCGATATGTTGGCGAAATCTCGTTTAACAAGAGCTATACTGGCAGGATTTTCTGGTAAATTTTAATTGCAACATTCCTGCTCAATAAATAGCACCAATACATTATTTACAATTTGACTCACTTTTCAGTAAGTTTGGCAATGTTCGCAACAACCACATTGATTGCATACTTGAAATGGGGGTTTCTCGATCAACCCAGTATATTAGAAGCCTTACCGACAACGATTTCCTTGCATGTAGTTGCTGCACTTGTAGCGATGCAATTGTGCCTGACGTCCGCTGTTAGCAACAATGCTCTCTACCAACAGATGGAGGATTGCATGAATATTTCTAGAGGTTATTCGAATATTCGGCTTGATTAAACGAGGCTGTTATTGTTTGTTAATTGCGTAAGATTAATATATTTCGTTTTAGATTTTAACTCCAAGAGATGTGTTTTAAGGACATGTTTGACAGTGTTGGCTATTGTGTTGGCAGAGTCTGTGCCGCGATTTGATTTGGTCATGTCAATCATAGGAGGAACGTTCACAGGACCACTAGTGTTTATGTTACCTCCATTAATGTTTCTGAAAATAAGAAAATTGAGTAGAAGACGCGAAGAACAATTTACGAATGAAGTAAAAGCCGAAAAAGCCACTTCTTTAGAATCCTGTAAATTCGTCGTGGAGAAATTCACGGACAGAGCGAATGTGGAAAGTATTTTCTGCTTGTGGATTGTAGCAATTAGTATTTTATTGACTTCTGCAACAAGTTATATTAATTTTAGCAATGCCATTTATTCGTATAATAATGCCAGCCGACCATGCATTTATAACATATCTACAATATTAATAAACTCCTAGTTAAAGGAATTTATTTACTTAATTAATTTAATTATAGATAAAATCTTAACAATGGTTTAAATTTCTTTAATGATCGTTATAAATTATTGTTCAATAGGTAAAAGCATTGTTGCACAATTAGAAAAAACTTTTTGAAATTTCTGTCAAAATATATAACAATTGTAGTAATTTATTCCTTCTTTTTGTTATACATACTTGTTTAGTTATACATACATAATAATATTCTTAATAATATTTGTACTCTTTTGTTAATAACAATACTCCTTTGAGCATTATTCTCTGGTGATAATTACTTGTTACTCTTGACAATATTTTAAAAAACAAAATGTATACAAGTTGGGAATTTATTTACAAGTGCAATTTGATACAAATTTAACAATTCAATTCATTTCAAAATCATGGAACATCCTCTCACTGGCGCATATTATCCAAAATCCACTTCATGAAGAACTTAACGCTAGTAAACGTACTGGCGATACTACAAGTAGAGTGCCCGAAACTTACTATTCCAAGCTGAACGTATCTAAAAATAAACCATTATACACTTTTATAATGGAATAAATGAAGATATTTACTTTTCCTTAGCTTTATTCTAAGCAACTTTGGGTTTAAAATTCAAAAAGAAGCCCTAAGCGGTAATGGAACAGCTTAGGAGTCTCTCATTTGTTACACGTTCGTAGAAAGGGAAGATATAATTGACCGAGAATGTAAATTACCTACTCAAATTTAAATAAGGGTTTTATCTACCTGTTAACTCCATTGTGACGTTCTTCAGCTTGCACTGGTCCTCCACTATCACCTCCACAAGCATAAGAGGAGTTTTGTCCCCCACCCGCGCAAATTACTCTTTCGTCTATCGTTTTCTGTTCGAAATTTCTATATAAGGTCTCACATTCTTTTATGTCCACTACAAGAATATCGGCTTTCTGCATTACGCTACTTGTGCCTGAAAAGTAAAATATCTAATGTTAAAATTGCTTATTCTGTTAAAAATAATAGTGTAGTAAATTTTATAAATAACGAATTTTTCCATTGGACTTTATTTTTAACTTTCAATTAATCGTTCAAAATATCACACTTACTTCCGAAAGCCTTTGTTATACCCCATCCTGATAGCGTTAAAAACCTGGTATTTATCAAATCGGGTTCGCCTTCAGTTGGAAGACATATTGGTCTAATATTCTCTAAAACAAAAAAACTAATTAAATTCAAATAAATTTACAAATCAATTTCTGATCTGCTCTTATGAAACTGGAATTTAAATAAATTGGCCTATATTTATTATAATATAATTTTGAGCACTGCGAAGATCCCAATGTTTCCCTTTTGGTGTTTATTCTTCATACACGTGTGACCCTTTATGACCCTATTGAGATCCTTGTGACTTTTTTCATACATGTTCATATTAATATACTTACTTTGGTTGAACTTAATTGGAGCCACCCTCAATAAAGCAACATCATTTTCTAAAGTTTGCTCGTTAAAATTAGGATGACTTATCACTTCTTCGATTGAAACATCTTGGTGTGGATCATTGCAATAGTCTTTATAGCAATCTGTTGGGCTATTTTTGTCATACTCTCCTAATCTTACGCTGACCCTAAAATAAAATTGTACTTATGTACCTAAAAGAGTAGAAGAGTCTTGGAGATAAACAAATTAAACTACTTACAGACTGTCCTTGTCAATTACACAATGAGCTGCAGTTAACACATATCTTTCATTTATTATAGTTCCTCCGCAGACGAAATCATTACTCCCTATACAAGAAAAGAAAACGATATTATGTTATGCTGATAGGAATATTTGTTTATAAGCACTTTAGCGATAACCTGCATAATTCTCATAGCATAAGCTAAACTTATCAACTTACCAAACTGCCTGGAACTGAGAAGTGCCATCCAAGGGAACTCGGTCAGTTCAGCGTCCGTTCCGTTAATAATCCTTTTACCAGCTATGTCCTCGTAACCACATTCGCTGGGTAGCAAATGGAAGCTCCTGTGGGCAGTCAGGTTCACGTTGCTTTCCCTGATTAGAACGGCCCCTTTGAGCGGACAACACACCTTCCTGAAAGCTTTGTTGTCGCAGGAGTAAGCCTGCAGTTGCTCCCTCGCGACGTTGGAAAGCGGCCTCTTAATGGTGGTGAGCACCTCTGACATTGAAGCGCAATCGGCTGTGTTGACGCAGTTCCCATCGCGCCCGTCTGGAGTTTGACAAGCTGGAAAGATTTTTGTAAATCTATGAAAGAAAAACTATTGTCCCTCGTATTAACAGTTATCTTGTAAAAGAGATAGCCTCGGAATTATGAGAGAACAGATAAATGCTTTGTTAATTACTATAAAAATGAAGAACATTTTCTGATGCGTTGAAATTTTGAGTTGATTCGTTATATTTGTATCTCAGGTTGCTCAAATTTAGGGGTTAGGCTATCATGATTTCCTCCGTAATATTCTTGGTTTAGCTTAAACATAGTCAAATGGCATTAATTAAATGGCAAGTTTTATTGAGGTGTTTCAGCACTTGTTTCTTGCACTTGTTTTCTGCATTCAAGAATTAAGTCTATCATTAAAAAATATTGCAAATTTTTATAAAATAAATTTCGATCCACTTCTCTTGACAAAATGAAATATTTCGACCTCGACTTCAGCACGTGTAGCGGTAAATGTAGATGATTGACCTAATGACATGAAAACTTAAATAATAAGTATTTATTTATTATAAATTTAAAACTTGTATATTTGCAAAATGACTAATATCTATTAATTGAAGTAATTATTAGGTATTCCACTAATTCTTACTTTTTCTTTGACATACTAATTTATGTTAATTATTCGTTGTTAATGAATTGCAAATTGAAAATATTACTTACGTGCAGTCGTATTAGATTGAGATTGACAAAGTAAATAACAATAATTAAATACCAAATAAATAATATGCCATTTTAGGCTATTGATAACTATAAACTTCATGCTTTCATTGTGCTGCTAACCGAACGCACCGCAAATCAAAGTCATAGGTTATGGAGATACTGGCTTTTAAAAACATGTTTATTACATCGATTGTGGAATATATCTCTGACGTTGAAACCAGAAATCTGACCGGAGTACCGGAGTAATGTTGGCGGCTCTCGATACAAAGACTGTTTTGGAAATTTTGGATTTCATAAATCTCATAAAAGGTCTCTTTATACAAAGGATATATATTCAATTTGTTATAAATTATTGTCTTTTTAGCGAATTTAGCTCACGTTAATGGCTTGTGTTTATAAATAAATTAACATTCGTGAGTAGAAAATTGATACTCAAATTTACTCTCCACACAATTCCCTTATTATCTCCAGGTTTACATGCCTACATTCCTTGAGTACGATCCTGCAAATCTATTATATGACCTTGAAATTAAATCATACTTGAGATAGGTATGTAATTTTTAAGTATTAATAATTATATCTACATTAAATAAAATTCGAATTGTATAAAATGATTGATTTGGTAAATACTGATTTTAAATTCGATAAAATGTTTAGAAATGCTGCCATATTCCTTTGGTTTCTAGGTGTTTTCCAAATTACATACAGTGTCACGGATTTTTTCGCCCAATTTACGGAAAATGGATTAGTTTTTCAGAATCGCTATCAATGTAAGTTCTAATAGTATCTAATTACTCAGATAATGAGAAATGTACATTTGAGTAGAACCAAAATTATAAAGGCTCTCCACTTTAAGACCATTTAACACAACAATTTATTGTTTGTTGCAGTTAAAAACACAACATTAACGGGTATCATAGGAAAAGATTTCAATTTCTTCAGGAGTAATGGGAAACCAATTTGTGAATACGTCCATAATTGTATGCTCGACAAGAATATTCATCTAGGAATCGATTTCGTTAAACAAGACGGCTTCCGCGTTACGTGGACATCGAAAAATGCATCGTCAAAATTTAGGGATTGCTTCTACTTAAATTCGCCTACTATGAATTGGTTCGGAGGACCTGAAGTATACGATCAAACGCGACTAGAAAAAATTAATTTAGACGGCAATACTCCGTACACCATCAGGAAAAGCAACAATTTCGCTGTAGCTGAACGGTTTTGGTTGAATAGCTTGGGAACTTATATTTTCGTCGATGACGCTGTGCCCCTATTCGTTGATCAAAATTCCGAACGAGTTTGCTTCATCTCAAAACCTGAAGATCCCTACATTAATAGAAACAGAGTGAGTTTTCTTCACCTAAACGGTAATCTAACCACGAACATTCTTCTCTTAAAAGAAGAAAAAAAAACTTCAGGGAAATAAATATGTTGCTGTTTAACTTTCAGACAATTTTGCAATATTATATTATGACTTTTAACAACTCACTATCAGCTCACGTTGACGCTGTGAAGTACCATTTAGGGAGTCAGAGAGGTACAATTTTTTATAGTGTTATCAATTTTTTATTAATAAACTGAAAATATATTCCTATCAGAGCGTCCTAGCGAAAAAATGATGTTCGAACCCATTTGGACGACGTCAATCAAATACAAGAAAAATATTGATGATGCTAAAGTGAGGGAATTCGCCAAAACTATACATTCCTATAAATGGACTGGCCAGATACAAATCGATGAGCAATGGGAAGTGGGTAATTTAATGTATAACATATTACTTTTTAATTGAATTTAAAAATTCAATCATCAACTGTATTGCTTGCATTTTTAAGGATTGCTTTGGATCCCTAGTTGTTGATAAAAATAAATTCCCAGATATAAAGTCGACTATTGCCTACATAAAGTCATTAAACCATAGCAGTGTAAAACTATGGGTAAGTCCGTTTGTTAACGACGAATGTAAAATTTCACAGGAAGGAATAGAGAAAGGTAAGAAGAAGTTTATACGAACAGATAAGAATAATATACTGTTTCATATTTCGAGGTTACTTTGTAAAAGATGTTAATGGTAACACTACAGTTAGTTGGTGGGAAAGCAATAACGCTCATCAAATTGATTTCACCAATCCGAAAGCATTCAGTTGGTTTTCAAGCAGGTTAAAAGTTTTGAAAGCTGATACAGGAGTAGATGGTTTCAGATTTGATGCTGGAGAAACAGACTATGCACTTAAGGTAATTATTGATTATCTGCAGGAAATCTTATCAAACAAATTTTATTATTATTTCCAGCCCAGCGAATTTTATTCAGTGAAAGACCAAGAAAACGTCCCAAATATACTGACTACCCAATATGTCGATGCTGCTGCTCAATTCGGAGAATTTGTTGATGTTAGAGCAGCTTGGAGGTATCTCATTTTTGTTTAAAAAATCTTAATGATCGTTCTACCGAATTTAATTTGATTTTAGAACTCAAAAACAAGCTATATATACCAGAATGGTTGACAAAGATTCAGTATGGGGTTATAACAATGGATTGAAATCACTAATACCTACATTGATACAAATGAATATGAATGGATATTCTTTGTAAGTGTATCTAATACAATATCTAATTTTATTGTACAAATTTATAAATTTTATCTTCGTAGTTTATTAGTTAATATTATTCTTTAATTATTCACATCAATTATTCTCCCTCATTAATGTAAATATCTGTTTCAGGGTTTTACCAAGTGTAATAGGTGGTAAAGGGGGTGACCATAAACCTACACCAGAGCTACTTATTAGATGGACACAAGCGAATTTGTTTATGGTAGCAATGCAATTTGGTCATCTTCCTTGGGAATATCATAGTGATTCAGTAAATATTTGCCTAGCGAGTAATTATTTTATTTGCACTATAAAAGTTTCTTTTAGTTTGACGTTATTAAAATTATTAACGACTGTTTTTCAATACGTCGGAAATATCACAAAAGATTTTTAGATGCGTTGACATTAAATTCTAGGAATGGAAGGCCAGTAAATTCTCCGATTTGGTGGATTGATCCATACAATCCAACTGCCTACACTTACGATGATGGTAAGTAATTAAGAAACTCGAATTTTATAAATTCGTAAGTTATAAATTAAAAATCGACAAAATCTAATCTGTTGATTTACATTTTGTTACACAATTTACGATAATAAAATCGAGCGAACAAAAGATTTACATAAAGCGTAGTGAAATGTGCTCGAAAATGATTAATTCCAATGCGACTTCGAAAGTTATGCAATTATACTTGCACTTGCGATATTAATCGACAAGAAATATCTACAATTGGAATAGCGTACAATAGAGTAACATTATTCCTCTTTTTGTAGAATATCTTCTTGGCATGTACATTTTGGTTGCTCCAATTTTAACTGAAGGTGCCGTATCTAGAGACATTTACTTACCTACTGGTGCGTGGAAAGATGGACAACACGGGACAATGTATCAAGGACCTGTACTTATAAAAAACTATTCCGCTCCTATTAAAGTGCTACCTTATTTTGAAAATATAATTTAAAAATTTAAGACTATCAGGCTTTTTTGTCGATCAAATAACATTAGCTAGGATTGGTGTGCTCATAAGGCATGAGGGAACATCAATACCGGCTCATTGTATATATGTAGTAGATCAGAATGGCGCCAGAAAGGCAGATAAGGGTATAAGGATTACATTTTTAGAACTATCACAAAATTTTATCCTGGAAAAGTTTCCAGTTACCTATTGCTCAACTATTAACCAATTTGTGAACTGGTGAAATACTCAACGGAAACAAATCTTTTATATCAAATAAAAAAAGGCAGAAGGCCCCATAAATTTAGGGAGAAATTTCCAAACCAAAACACATACAAAAGTCCAATTTTTTAAGATCAACTCTGCGGTACTTGTTCGAATATTGCTTAAAGGATCCAAGACGTCCGTTTTTAAAGCTATAAAAATGCAAATTTTCTAGATGCAAACAAAAAGAAACGATTTCCACATTCTTCGAACATCTCTATTGTAACGCTTTGTAAAATTCGTTCTTGTGGTACGACTTTTCAGCCTTTTCAAGGTCGCGGAAACGATATTTGTCGAGTTTAAGAGAGCAGTCCTTTCAGATGTTAACTTAACAGTATGCTGCTGCCCGGTAGTGTCACGGACAAGTTCCAGGGGACCTTTCCCCAAGTACTGGCAGCAGTATCAGGTGAGTACCCTACCATTAGTTTTGTGATTTTTTTATATTTAGTCCGAGATATTTTTTAAGTAGGTACTCTCTAAATTTAAAAAATGTTGTAAATTCTGTAAAGGGTTGGTTTTTAAATTTCAATTTAAATAGAATTGAATATTTTAAAATGTTACCTAAATGTATACATTTTTGCAATATTACGATAGGAAGCAAATCCGTAATTTATTATTGTTGCAATTAGTTTTTGATAAATTATTAGTGAAATTATTAGAAGAATTTTGGGGACGAAACAATAGGCGAAATTTGTTCCAAGAGCTTTAAATTTTGAAAATCAACTGTTTGAAACAATGCTTGAACCATTTGAATCATTGTGAACAAAAGTAATGTAATAAATTCTACATTTATCTATCTGAATATTCATATAAAAGTACTTGGAAAAGGAGAATCCCTTATTCTAATAGTTGCAGGACTGACGGTATTAAAATATTTGAAGAGCTATAGCTCAGGGAATATTCATATAGGATATGTCATATTTAGGATAGGATATTCATAGTAAAAAGGCCCATTTTTATTTACATATAAACCACCCTGTATTCATGGACTTCCTGTTTGGATAATATAAAAACATAGGTACGGAGATTCGGATATGAAATTCATTTCCTTTCTAATCAAATCAAAATTAAACATTAAAAGAAAAATTTATAGAGCATTTCATACATACCTATGTACCTATATTTTCGTTGTAATTGTTTAGTATTTTGATTAAAAAAAAATTTTTCCTAAAGGAAATCCTAAAGGAAATCAAATAATATTTCAATTTTTCAACTAAAATTTGTCTCAGGGATCTGATGTATGTATTATTAAATTGTACAATACAAACATGTTCAGAGCTGTGTAGAAACTACTTAACTCAGAAATTAATATTAAAATGTAAAGTCAAATATACCAAAATATTTCCATTTTTTAAAATATTACTTTATTTGGATTTAAAACAACTTAGCCTTCGAATAATATATGAATAAAGTTCATTGTTACCTGATATACCTTTTAAAGGAGAATAAACCTCTATCGATAAACGGATCGTTTCAAAACGGTGAAATGATTCTTAAAGGATATTAAAAAAAGCATTGACGATAGATGCTCATTAACAAAGAATGTTGAAGCAAACTGCAATGGCAGGAAAGAATATCATTTTTTGTTTTGTTTGTTATGCATGTATTTTCTTGGTCTTGTTTCAATTTGACTGTCTTGGTCAGTTCGTTGAAACACTTGCATATACAGGGTGTCCCTACAATAATACGACATACAATAAGCTATAAATCAATCATTCGAATTATTTATTAATCAGTGACTCTAATTTTAGGGTACAAATCAGAGTCTCTATTTTTAAACTTGCGTTTTTTATATTGTGATTAAGCTTTTATTTTCAATCGAGCTTTCACTACTATTGTAGCATGTATTAGAAGGATTAATATTTTTCCACAAATTACAGCAATTTCCAATGACTATGAATTTTTTAGTCTCGACTTGTTTGACATTTAACAATAAATATAACACATATAACAAATGCGTAGCAGTAAATATAAAACTTAAATTTTAATAACAGATTTATGTGCATTTTGTAATATTAACGCTTATAACATCAGATTCATTTACCTACTACATTACTTTTATTAAATCAAATTGAAGGTCAAGAATGGAACTGATATTATTATGCAGTATAATATTACAATGGAATAGAAGAATAATAGTTTTAACTTAATTACCAGTTGATTAGTCACTCTAAGCGGAAGATGAACAGGATAAAAATTGTCATTAAACAAGCTCTCCTCGACTTTTACAAACTACAATAGATTCTATTTGATTAGAACCCTGTTAAGTTAATCTTTTTGTGCAAATAAAAGATTCTAATAAATCCATATAAAATTAGGTAAAATATACAAGGCGTCAAACAGAGGTATATTGTATATTACAAAGCATGAATCTTTGCGCGTTAAAGAAGCAACCTTTCAATTAAATCACTATGATTTTAGGTACTATATCAGCAATATCAGATGGAATGCAATACGGTTGGACATCTCCCACAATCCCTATCCTGCTATCGGAAGATTCGCCTTGGGAAGTAACCGCATCTCAAGCGGAATGGCTGGAATCCATTCTGATGATAGGAGCCTGCTGTGGGCTGCCCGCCACGATGTACTTGGTGGACAAAATCGGAAGGAAAAAGTCCCTTTTGATCGCCATGGTGATCACCTTACTGGCTTGGATAGTAATGGCAGTAGCGCCGCGGATAGAATACGTCTTCGTCGCCAGGTTTTGCGCAGGAATGGCCGGAGATATGGCGTTTGTAGCTGCACCGATGTACGTAGCTGAGGTTGCCGATCAAAAAATCAGAGGATTTCTATCGAGCTTAATCTATGTTATGATGCTCACAGGTAAAGTTGCAAAACCAATAATTTAAACTGTATTACTTTACCAATATTATTGCATTATTGATAATGACTCGAATGGTAAGTAAATAAATAGAACTTAATGGCAACAAAAATTATGGATACTTGAGAGTTGGAGATGTGATTTAGAAGCAAATGTTAAACAATCTCTCATACATATTATTATAAAGGTATTTGCTTACCATAACAATATCGATTCTATGTAAATTCAGTAACTATTACTTGTGTTATCAAGTCTTCATCGTCATTGTTTTCTAATTTTAATAATGAGTCATTGCTAACAATTATTCTGATATACAATATCTATTTATGTATCTAAATCAATCGTGTTTCAGGGATACTAATTGTGTACTGTGTCGCGCCATTCGTACCCATGTGGGTACCGTGTCTATTAGGAGTTCTTATCAACTCCATTGGTCTCACGATCTTCCCGTTTCAACCGGATTCTCCGTATTATTTGCTGTACAATAACAAGCCGGACGAGGCGAAGGAAGCTCTAAAGAAGCTTAGAAAAAGAGACAATATCGACGGGGAATTCCTCGACATATCGGCTGCCATTGAACGGCAAAAAAGCGAGAAGGGTCGGTTCCAAGATTTGTTCCTGGTGCCGAGCAATAGAAAAGCTCTAATTATAATGGTGATGCTGAACAGTTCGCAGCACATGAGCAGCATAAGCGTGATGCTGATGAATTTGCATTCGATTCTCGCCGAAGCTGGGTCTTTTTACGTCGCCGCCCATACCGGGGCTATCATATTTTCGGCCACGATGTTTGCGTCCGCAATGACCGCTTCGTTGGCGATAGATAACTTCGGAAGGAGGTTCTTGCTCTGCACGTCTGGGCTTTTCGCCGGTGTCTCTCTTCTAACTATTGCTATATACTTTACGATAAAAAATTCAGGAGTGGATATAAGTAAAGTTAGCTGGTTGCCGCTGTTTATGGTGATCCTTTATGCAGCGTCGTTTAAATTCGGTATCGGGCTTGTGCCTGTCGTTATGACTGCTGAATTGTTCCCGGCTAAGGTTAAAGCTTTCGGCATGACGTTGTCGGATTTGTGTTATGTCGGATTTTCCGTGATATCGTTGCAAATATACCACGTGCTCAGGCATGCTTTTGGTATTCAAGTACCGTTTTATTTGTTCGCTTGTTCCTGTTTTTGCACCGTTATATTCACGCTATGTTATATACCGGAAACTAAGGGACGAACTTTGGAAGAGATACAGATGATTTTGAAGAATGAATTCAAATCTAAGTACACTGATGGAGATGCTAAATTGGATGATGGAAACAAGGATGGGTACAAAAATGAGGCGTATGTTCCATAAGTATTTTGTACGGCTTTTTTCTCACGAAAAGCTAGATTTATTTATTAACGTTTTTAGGGATAAAGTTGGTATAAGCTTAAATACTTTTTTCGTAACAGCAATTTTCCAAACATTTTCAATACCTTTCATTTGATATATCAAATATATTAAGGAATATTTCCTTGTATTTATCCAATTACTATTAAAGTGAAAAACCAGTACTTATTTGTGACCAAAAAAGCGTTTGAGATTTTATAAGAACTATCATGTAATATGTTTGTTTTATTAAAAACCAAGTACCTACGTATGTTAAGTTTTAATAAATAAATAAAATATATAAAATAAATAAAATAAAAAGTTTTAATATTCCGATATTATTTCTACAATAATTATTACATACTGATTGAGTTAATTGAGCACATAGGATTTATAGTAACTTAGTTACTGCTGCGTTGTTTACTTAGATTACTTAGGCAATACAAATTACCTTAATGCATAAAAACAATTTTGGTATAATTATGAAGTACACGTGTTATGTAAATTATATTTGTAATTAAAAATAGGAATTATCTATCAATTATTATTCCATTAGAGCTACTCAATCGACTTAATGAATAATTATGCTTCGAATAAGGAATGAGTCTAGTACCTAATACATCTCGTTTGAATAAAATAAACTTAAAAGGATATTATGAAACGGGATTTTTTATGGTTTACCAATAGATTTGTACCAATAGTATTTTTTATAGGTGAGTATACCAAAATACACAACATTTTATTAATTGACAATAGCAACGAATCTGCCTTTAAAAGAATATCTTACTGAAATTAACCTATTCAACTTTATCTTAAACTTAAATGCCCTGGGTGACGAAAAGTGTATGTACTCTCCAAATACCTGGTGCAAACTATGTAGTAGGAATACGTTTACCAATAAGTACCAGATTATTTAATAATTATATTTATTTGCATGCTAATATTATTTATTATTTGTAACTAATGACAGGATGCCATTATGGAACATTCCAAACAACTTGATGATTGCTTCGAATTTGTGAAAACTTCAAATTAGTCATGAGTCACAACATTTGCGTTTTTGAATTAGTTTAATAACATTTGTTAATAGCAAAACGGTTTATAATTAATAAAATATGTGTCATAGTTTTTATCAAAACAGGAAAATCTGTTAATTAATAAATTAACTAATTAATAAATTAATTCCATGAAAAACTGATTTGCCTTGAACGATTGCGGAAAACTTTAAATTTACCAGTGAAAAGCTGGCTGCGGTGAAAGGTGTTGGTTAGTTCTTAATAAAAAATTCTGTTGTTTGTTTCTATTCATTTAATTTTAAATTTTTTTATTATCGTTTCGAAGACCATTACCAGAAGTTATATTTTGGTGAGTTCGACTTATTAACCATAAAAAATGAAGGATAAAAATTAGAGAAAAGCTAAAACTTTATTATTAGACACATCTTTAAAATATTGGATCATGGGGTCTTTTTATATATTTTTTATTGTTTAAAATTTTTACCAAAGATATAATATAATTCCGTAATTGTCCTCGTTGTCAACAATGGTTAACTATATTTCTGAAAGACTTTACCAAAAGTCACTCGTTCAAAACATTAAATAAACTTCATTTTCAATAGAGTTTTTACTTCAACTCTACTAAATGGTTCATGGTTCCAAATAACATTGTAGACTGAGGAAAAGATAATTTAAATAGGAAATAATGTCCAACCACCATAATCTCCGGAACAAAGCATTAAGAAATATCCGTAGATCCTGGGGGCAATGCATGTATAAATTATCGTAATTTCATCTAAGTTATAAAAATAATGTTACCTTTAAAAAAGCCCCACAGGTTTCAAAATATTTAAAAAGTCATGCTGAATTATAAAGCTTAAAGAGCTTTTTAAAACCACTTAAAATATAAGATTTTTTTTTCATAAAATGGAATACGTAAGGTTATCTAAGTTTTCATAATGTGTAGTAAAAATTTAAAAGAATAGAGCTGTGTTTATAGTATAATGTAGTTTATAATAGAGTGAGTTTATATTTTAATTATTATTCACAATTACCGTAAAATATGTGGGTGCATAAATAAATAATTTGTGCAAAAATCCTATGCTCAAATAATACAATAAAATGCAGCTACTAAAATAATTTATTTAATTATCAATATTCGTGATGTAAACGCATATGTAATTAATTTTAACAATCCACTATTTACAATTTTTATATCGATAATTATTGACGGTCGAGCTAGCAGTAAATATTAAAATACACATTTGAAGCCTCTAAAATAGTCTTTTATATTATTTCTAGATTTTAATTAGCGCTTTTTTATTTGTAATTTGTTTACCCTAATTAATAACAATGAATTAGTGTTATATTTATTGGTAATTAGTTTAATTGAAACTGTATATTGAAATACGCACAAACTTATTTCTTCACCTTAGTCTGAGATGTATATTTGAGTTTAGGTTTAGGTGATATTTAAAATGTGTTCATGTGAAAAATTCTGGAACTTAATGAACTGGAATGAAAATTATAGAAAATTAACAGTATAACATAAAAATCTCATACCCCATTTCAATCTGATTGTACCTGACAACTGTTACAAATATAATTTACTTACATTTTTCTGCTCGATAACACAGGACCACCGTGTACAAAATAGTAAAATTAATGATTTCATTGGAATACCCAAACTAACGTAAATTCATTATCCTAATGAGAGCTGATAATACCTACATATTATTTCCTGTATCGTCGCATCGAAGTGAAACGCGACTCATTCAAAAAAGTACCATTGCCTACGCAACGATTTCACGTTGCCAATACTTTACTATATGCAAAGATTGTCGATTAGCGTGAAAAATCGACTTTATACGCAGGGAATTCCGTTTACTCAATTTGTCTTTCTTAGGATTACCGATGGCCAGCGGCCAGTGCGCCGCTATCGTCATCGACTTCGACCTACCACGAAAACATAACCAGATTTGTCTTTGTTCTTTTTACAAACTAGCGGGCACCGGGTATACTACCTACCTGTGGGTATTTTCGAAGCCCAGAATTAAAATTCAGCTTCTCGCGGTGGCCTGTGTTAAGTGGGTACTACTATTAATATTATAGCAGCATGAGTTTGGTTCACTGATCTAATCGGTTTGAATCTGTGCCTGTGTGTCCAGTAACCGAGAGTCTTCAGCAAGAAATTTTCATTAAGCCGAAGTGATGAATTATAGTGGAATTGAATTTAAAAAAAATAGGTAAATTTAATTTAGTTTATATTTATAGGTAGGTTTTGTACACCTATATCATATTTTTACATTTTCACACATTCGTTATTCGTTTAAATTGTTACTACACAAATGTTTTTTCTTTTTGAAATTTATCTGAGCAAATGAAAAATTTACTAGGATTTTTTTAATGTACCTACCTACTTTTTTTATTTTTAACTTAATTTTGAAATTCTAAGACGAAAACTAATATATCTTGCAATATATATTTTTCAATCATTTTTCCGTCTTAAAAATTCCAATATGTCGAAAACTGTTATCGAGGATTTTTGAAAATATGAAATAAGCAATGTTACAAAATTCGTTTATATTATGGTATATTATTATAATTACGTGCAGTATACACACATTTTATCATAAGTTGTTATTACATTATGAAAGCTAATAATATCTTATCTAAAAACTTTTTCGATTTTGACCAAAGTTCCCAGTAATTAATCATTTTACGGCCTGGCAAAATTCGAAATTTTGACCTTATCGACTAGATAGCCTTCAAATTATTGTTCAGTTACTATAAAGTTACTAGGTGTAGTAATACCAGGAAGCAGACATTTTTTTACAAAAAAAACTTTTTTACACATTGCCAATATTTTTAATTAATCAATTTGCCAATTAATTTTTGTGAATTAACATAACCTGAGTATGAGCCTTAACATTGCCTGAATCTGATTGTTACCTGTCAATGTGACAGCTTCCAAAATTACTTTTCAAAAATAATATAAAATGCATTTAATAACGTTTTGTGATAACAAATTTTGGAAAATAATGCAAATTTTATGTTAAATCAATGTTAAATTAAAGCTAATGTTATATAGACGTTTTGATTTTAGCTGTAAATTTCCGCATTTTTTACATTACACTTATAGAACTTTTTTGCAACACTTGACAAACTAATTAAATTAATAATAATAATTAATCATGTTTGTTTAAAAAATTAAAGGCACACAGTCCTGCAATTAAAATTGTATTTTTATTTCGTGCAGACCAAACTTGTGTTTTAATTCTTAAAAACTTAATTACCATAATTAAATCAAGGTCGGTTTTTTTCCTAATGAAATCGCTTAGTTGCGTTTATTAATAATGTCTCTTACTTTGTCGTACAGAGAAAAAATATTCTATACAATAAGAGTTATTAATAAGTTAAGAACGAAAGGAAAAAAAATGAATTTGTTAAAAGTTCACATTAATTTTCATTAATAAGGATTATCCCCTTTCTTAGTAGCTTTTATATTAATAGCAGGTATTCCTGATTTTTCTCAATAAATGCAAACTTATTCAATTCTAATGAATATTTTATTACATTAACATTGCCATAAGTACTTATTTATGCATTTTTAAATGACGCTTTTTGCAATTGAGTATCTAATCTAAATTTCAATCGACGGTTATGCATTTTCATTGTGAATTATGTGATTTAAAATTGTCAAAATTGCAGTTTGTAGTTGTATTTTTTTCTAATTGCATAACTAACCAATAAATTAAATTATTCAATGACCTTTTTGCATTTCTTGTTCATAACAGACTTAATTAACATTCTTCCAATAAGCCTACAGAAATGCCTTTTTATAAAATTATATAAATCATTGATCGCATATTTAATATTGCTTAATTAATTTTTAAATCTAAAAAAAGATTTCGATCTCGCGCTGCAAACAAGACCTATAGAGTTAAATTCATTTTTCTTTATAGCCCAGGTAATCATACTGATTTTAATGCAAATTAATTACTGGTTAAACCCATCCCCGCAATATTTCCCTAAGGATTATCCGTAATTGGTTAAAGTAGTGACATGAATATTAATGCATCTTCAGTGTCTTAATGGTATTTTACATACAATCTTTCTTAGAAATTTAGCTGTTATTGATGAATTTAAATTTGTTTTTCATTTCAACAAGTTTCCCAAGAATCCCCTGTTTATATTTCCATATTAAGTCGTAACGACAATAATAATTCTTGTCTTTTTACATACTACTTTATTTCTTTTAAAACGAATAGTAGATGTATGTTAAAACCCATGGTAAAACTTAACCAAAACCTACTACCAAGCTATTACGTATTCTAACAATTTTACATTTTATATTCTTCATAACAATTCTTATTATTTTTTGTTACAGCATTAATTCTCAGTAAAGAAGTGTTTATTAGTTTATTTAACTATTCTACTAAGTGAGAGAGGAATCAACTGCCATCAAGATGACTTATATGAATAGTATGAAAATATTCCAGGGCACTTTGCCACAACTCTTCGCTGTGTTAGCAGGTAAATTGCATGATGAATAGAAATAGAAATAGTTCAACCTCCGTAACATCAAAATATTTTGCGATACCTCGGGAATGATTTATGAAGCACATCCCAGTTTTCACTCACTCATAAAATTTATAAATTTTCCTATTCTAGCCACATTGAACGCCATTAGTGACGGCATGCAATACGGTTGGACAGCTCCCGTACTACCTATACTCATGGGTCCAAATTCGCCAGTTCCCATTACCGAATCGCAAGGAGAATGGATGGAAACGTTTCTTTGGATCGGGTCTCTTATGTGCCTACCTCTGACGATGTACTTAGTAGACAAAATAGGAAGAAAACGATCGATACTACTAGCCTCATCGTTCATGTTTACCGTGTGGGTCGTGACTGCTCTTGCTCCTTCGGTGGAATATCTTTACGCTGCGAGGCTTCTGGCCGGTGCAGCCAGCGATACGGCTTACGTTTCCACGCCAATGTACATTGCTGAGATCGCGGAGCACAAGATTCGAGGTTTCCTGAGCAGTTTGATATTCCTAATGATGCTCATCGGCATTCTTCTGGTGTATTTGGTAGCGCCTTTCGTTCCCATTTACGCTCATTGTATATTAGGAGCGTGTTTGGCCGGTTTGGAGCTGATTATATTCCCTTTCATGCCGGAAAGCCCTTATTACCTGTTATCAAAGGATGATGAAGTTGGTGCGAAGAACGCTTTGAAACGATTAAGAGGTCCAGGTAGCGATATCGATAAAGAAATAGCAGAAATGAAATCTGCCGTAACGAGGCAAAAAACCGAAAGAGGAAGGCTTATCGATTTGTTCGTTGTACCGAGCCATTTTAGAGCTTTGCTTATTATGATCGTATTAGATGTAGCTCAACATTTTAGTAGTATAAGCGTTCTGTTAATGAATTTGCATATAATATTGGACGAAGCGGGATCTATTTACATGGAACCATCGACGGCTGGTATTATATTTGCGTTCATTTTGCTTTTGGCTGCTACTGTTGCGTCATTTTCGATAGACAAATTCGGAAGAAAAATCCTCTTGATAATTTCTAGCGTTCTATCGGGGTTCTGCGTTCTTATCATAGCTGTTTATTTCCAACTTAAGAACTCCGGTTACGATACTGCTACCGTTAGCTGGTTGCCGATTGTGAGCGTAATGCTTTACGCTTGCGCATTCAAATTAGGATTAGGTCTCGTGCCCATAGTGCTTACAGCGGAATTGTTTCCTACGAAAATGAAGGCCTACGGAATGACTATCGCTGATGCTTTGTACGTCATCAGTTCGCTGCTCTCGTTGCAGGTCTATCAGCGGTTAAGCGATAATTATGGTATGGAATATCCTTTTTACGTTTTTGCTGTTAGTTGCTTTTTTACCGCGGTTTTCTGTTACTACTTCGTACCTGAAACTAAGGGCAAAACGTTAGACGAAATTCAAATGATACTTAAAGGAATGACGGAGAAGCCGATAAAAGTGGAACCCATACCAGAAACGATATCGACTCATTTGTGAACGTTTTCTAAATGCTGCCTAATAAATTTTGGAGCGATATTTCAACGGTGTTCTAAATTGAATATCTTAGAGATATTTGCTTTAATTTAGGTATAATGGCCTCTCTTTAACTTTAGCGTGACTCAAAAGACGCGTCTCTAGTCCCTAGTTACTCCATAACAACAATGTAAAACTGTCAAGTTAATAACGCGACTTTAGTGTCACTCTAAAGTTAAAATGTGTTTCTGAATACGGGCTAATACATTTATTTGATTAATAATGTTAAATTATAAACAGGTTACTTATTTCTTATTAGATTTAAAGTAAAACCGTTCTTCACATGTATTTTTTTCTTTTTTGCTTCTTACGTTTATTTTCATTCAAATATCATAATTTAATTTGTTTATATTTAACTAAAATACTAATTTATTTGTTTTTCTTACGAAGAAAATATCGTTAATTGTTGTTAATTAATTTGTAGTTATGTTTTGTAGTTTTTCTCGAAAAGTTTATTAAATATATTTATTGTGTTACGAGTAGAAATGTACGTAACTTTCCAAATGTTGTTCATTTAAAATTTGTTGATAAATATTAGCTTTAGCATCGTATTTTTCTTAGGAATTCATGTTGAATTCGTTAAATTTTTATGCAACTTTAAACATAAAATTTAATTGCCATTACTAAGGTTGAAATAAAATGTAAATTTGTACATACCTACCTATTTTTTATTGACAAAATTCTAGATATAAGATTTTTTGTATATTTTTATAATAAATGCATTTTACTACCAATAGTATAATTACTCATCTATATGTATATGCCTCTCAGAATCGTCATCTCTTGTTAAAAGGCCTCTACAGAATATTTTTTTTATTTATTTAATCTTTATTACATTTAAGTAGGAATAAAAATAGCAATGAACTAAACTTATATAAAAATAATATTATTATTTAGGTGCAACATCAAATACTTGTTTATAACTAAACTACAATGATCATAATCAAACACTCTAAAATCTAGTGGTAAGGATTAATTTGCAAATTGTAGTATTTATGGATATTCTGGTGGCATAATTTCAGGATAAACTTGAGGAAATTCATAATAGGAAGAATACTGATTATTTGGAGCTGGATAATCCAGAGGATCACTTATTGGATATTGATTGTTATAATTTGGATTAAATGGTAATGCTATCTGTGGATTATTACTAAATTCTTGATCGAATTGCATTGGATTATTCATATATTCGTTAGTCGTTGGATTACTATTGAAGTTAGAATCGGATTGAGATGGTTCATCCCAAGAGATTTCCAAATCTAAAGACGGCGGTTTCGTTACAACTGGATCAACGAGTTGATTGAACAGATCCGAAAAAAACGATTTTGGCGACTCTTGTGGCATTGCAGTTGGAATATTTGATAGCAATGTGTTCACAGGTGATATAACTGATAGCAATGTGTCTTCTGGTGATACAAACGATGCCATAGACTGAGTTGTTGATTGTGTTGTAAGTGGCTGTTTCGTTGTGTTTGGATTAAACATCCCCGTCATTATATCCTTGTAATACGATTGTGACGATCCTTCTGGCTTGTTTAATAATCCAAGTACTGACTGAGTTGTTGATTGTATTTTAGGTGGCTGGTTCGTTGTGTTTGGATTAAACAACCCCGACAACATACCTTCAATAAACGATTGTGGCGATTCTTCTGGCTTGTTTATTAACCCAACTACAGACTGAGTTGTTGATTGTGTTGTAGGTGGCTGGTTCGTTGTGTTTGGATTAAACAACCCCAACAGCGTACCTTTAATAAACGATTGCGACGATTCTTCTGGCTTGCTTATTAACCCAACTTCAGACGGATTTGTTGTTGGTACTGCAGTTTCTGTTGAAAGTGGTGGTATAGATGGTGATGGCGGTTCTTTAGTTGGGTTTTTATCAAAAAGTTCTTTTAACAGGCCTTCATAAAACGGTAGTGATGTTTCTTCAGGCCTTTTTGGTGAATTAATAGATGTTATGGTTTCTGAGCTTGTTAAAGGGAACATAGACTGAGTTGTTGATGGTAATACTGTTTGTATTGTTAATGGTAAAGGTAGTTGTTTCGTTGCATTTTTGTCAAAAAGTTCATTGATTAGATCCTGATAAATCGAATTTGGCGATTCTAACAATACCGGCTCTATGGATTGCATCGTTGATGGTATTATAGTTTGTGTTGAAAATACTGGTGTGGATGGTAATGAGGACGGTATTGTTGATAGTATTGTAGATTGGGTTGCAGATTCTTTTGTTGGAGGTATTGTCGAAATGGTTGATACGAGTTTTGATTTTGGTGTAGAAGTAGCCGTAGATGTTATTGGTTTAGTCGCTTGATTATTTTGTTCCTTTTGATCCGATATTGTCTTGTGAAGTTGTAATTGATTAATAATATTACTTATTGCAAGTGGCGTACCATTTTTTGACTCAGTTAAATTATTAAATATGAGAAAATTCCCCATATATATTGATGATGGTAAACACGGGCAACCTAAAAAAACGAAATAGTTTTATTAACACTGTAGTTTGGATAACTCATCTACCCTAATATATTTAAATTTTTGTTTTTTCACTTACTTTCTCTACGATCCGGTAAAACTAGAAAAACTGAAATATATTGAATAAAAATTTTGTTAATTTCTAGTGTTAGATTTACTTACGAGTCAAAATAAACGTTAAATGAAAAATATTCATTTTTTTATTTATTTCGTTTACTGTTTGTTTGTCTATTTGATTTCTGAACAGTTTATATTTGAGGAAAAACTTTGTTATATAGACTAATTAGACATGGTAAAAAATAGATTTGTATTAATTAATCGCTTCATTTTAGAAATACGCCAACATCACAATAATTATTTGCATATACATACATAGGTACCTAATCTTATCGTAGCGAAAATAATCGATTTAATAGGCGATGTTTTTATTTATATTAAATTAGTGTAACAGATTTAGCGTAGAAACAATATTTCTTATTCTTATTTAAAGTTTCCAAAGTTGGGGCAAATTTTGAAAATTGGATTACTCTATAATAGAACTTCCCTGAACTCTCACCTTGACAATATAGAGATTGTTCAACTTTTATAGTATTATCATTTTTTCCAGACCATTCAAGTTTTAATTAATAAATCTGATGTCTCTGACTTCTTAATTAGAATTAATTTAATTAATTACCTGGATATTTAATTATATTTATTTTTAGTTTATAATACGTTAATAAAAGTTACTCAACCAGATTGTATTCACGCGTATGAATTTCCATATTAAATACACTTCAATTAATCCGTAGATACATTAATAAATTAGTTGAACTGTATTAAACTGAGTAGGCCATGATTACATTTAATCTTCTTTAAACGAAATCTAAAGGAAATATTGCAACTAACACCAGTTTAATCAAAACTTTTACATTTTTTATCCAATTTAGCGTACTCCTCCCTTTGGTATCTATTTTTGATTACCTTTTCAGATGTGGAAAGTTTTATGGATCACAAATAAAAGATGTGTATCTAAGTAAAATAATTAACAGCAAATTCACCACAAACTTCAAAAGAAGTCGATAATATTTTAAAATATATGTACATATATCAAATAAACGATTCAATAGTCATCATTAGTCAAAAATAAATATATTTAATATAAAAGATATTTAAAAAACCATAACATTTATTTATGGTTGTAGGTACAGTAATAAGGTACCTACTAGTAATAAAACTACTAGTAATAAAGATAATGGAAAGGTAAGAAAATATTACTGTTATTGCAAATTTTTTATTACTCAATACTTATATTCTAGTAACACCTCTACAAGAACAGTATTTTAATAAAGTGTTTATAAATAATTTATGATTTTTTTGGATCATTGCACATCACAGCAAATTACAATTCAAATATGACTGAAAGCACTAATATATTTGAAGGTACTTCACCACAACTAATCGCCGTATTAACAGGTACTATCGATATCCAGGGTGTTAATTAAATGAGTGCCGATACTTCAGGATGTGAATATTTGGATGATTTTTAGAAGAAAAGTTTATATCAATATGTGTTCTAAACCTCTTAGTCTTCGAGCTACGTAGTTTAAGGTGTTACAGTATTAGGAAAAAATACTTTTCTATCATAGTTTTCTTATTACTCCAGATATTTTTTTGAAATTTTGTACACACTTGTGAACTCAATTAATTAACACCCTGTATGAGCATGATTGGTTAATGATACTGCAAAATATGCGAGAAATGAACTAACTGCCTCTCTGTATTTAAACTATTTTAGGTACATTGACTGCAATTAGTGATGGAATGCAATATGGTTGGACGGCACCAGTAATACCAATACTAAGAGGACCCAATTCACCTGTTGAAGTAACAGAACAACAGGCGGAATGGTTGGAACATCTTCTAATGATCGGTTCGTTTTGTGGACTGTGGCTTACGATGTACTTTGTAGACAAAATAGGCAGGAAAAAATCCATATTGTTAGCATCGTTTGTTACCACGTGTGTTTGGATAGTCATTGCAGTTGCTCCGCAAGTTGAATACATTTTTGTAGCCAGAGTATTCGCTGGTGCGGCTAGTAACATGGCGTTCGTCGCTACTCCTATGTACATAGCAGAAATAGCCGAGCAAAAAATTCGGGGTTTCCTTAGCAGTTTGGTTTATTTGATGATGTTAATTGGAATCCTGCTCATATATGCAGTAGCGCCGTATATTCCTTTCTACGGTCATTGCGTCATGGGCGCTCTTCTCGCCTTCCTTCAATTTTGCATTTTCCCATTTATGCCGGAAAGTCCGTACTATCTGCTTTACAGAGAACACCCAGACGAAGCTAAAAACTCGTTGAGAAGACTCAGAAGCCACGAAACGAACATCGATAAGGAATTCAATGAAATAAAGGGCGCCGTTGCCAGGCAAAAGGAAGAACAGGGTAAATTGCAGGACCTATTTTTGGTACCCAGCAATCGAAAGGCCATCGTCATTATGATCATTCTAAACGGCGCGCAACACTTTAGCAGCATTAGCGTTCTTTTAATGAACACACATGCTATATTAAATGAAGCTGGTTCAATTTATATTGACTCAGATATAGCAGCAATCTTATTTGCGTTTTTAATGGTAGTTGCAGGGACTATAGCTTCATTTACTATAGATAAATTTGGACGGAGAATGCTTCTGATCTTATCAAGTTTAGCAACAGGTATTTGTTTAACAGTTCTAGCGATTTATTTCAATTTAAAAAACGCCGGTTATAATACAGCACCTGCAAGTTGGATTCCAGTTGCATGTGTACTTACTTACGCTCTTACATTTAAACTAGGTTTAGGTATGGTTCCGATTGTATTGACAACAGAATTATTTCCAGCGAAATTGAAGGCGTACGGAATGACCTTAGCAGATGCAATGTACGTTACTGCAAGCTTGTTGTCACTGCAAATTTATCAAAGATTGACCACTTTTGGTTTGCACTATCCATTTTATATCTTCAGTGCTTGTTGTTACATTGGCGCAGTTTTCACTTATTTTTTCATTCCGGAAACTAAAGGTAAAACGTTAGAACAAATTCAAATGATACTTAAGGGTAGACCAATTGAAGAAGCGGGAAGAATTGATACTTGACTAAACATTTTCTTTTGCGGTGGTTTTTAAATATTTGAGGGTTTATAATCATATAGGTTGGTTTTTATTTTTTTATATAATTGTTATTAAAATTTAAAAAATCTCTATGAGTTAAATTTTTACTTGTTTATTTTCGAACAAATTGAGCTGTTTAATTATGAAATCTTCCACTTTATTAAGCTAAAAATTGCTTACTTGTTTGGATACTTTTTTTGTTTACAATTGGGAATGTTATAGTCACTGAATAGACCAAGCAACTCAGTTCACAATCCAAATTTAATTAGATAAGAAGAAATTAATATGTCAACTGTCAAGTCAACTGTCAAGTCAACTGTCAGTTGAAAAAAAAATTATAAAAATAAAAGAATTATCAACGGTTCAGAAATGACGATCCAGTGGAAAAATAATATTTACCTAGACGTTTTCATGAGTAATTATAATCGTAATAGCGAATAATGAACGTTAATAAATGACTGTAAGAGATGGTAAAGGGCAATTCCAGCAGGAAAAACGGATGGATGAGAATCAGATACAGAACGTTCTTCGTCGTCGGCATCCTCATTCTTTCCTTCCAGATTTTATTAGCAGTGAAATTTCTGTCTATAAATAACATAAACAAGCCATCCGATGATCAACAAGTAAACGAATTGCCGTTATCCGGCGATTTAGACGGATCGAACAAGAATATCAAAGCTTACGAGTCCTTCCATAACCTCCACCCTAATCCGAATTCTAATAACAACAACACGCATTCGTTAAAGTATGAAGACTTAGATTTCACTCCGGTTTGTCACATAAACGCCAAAGAAGCAGTATCTGCGATAAATAGGGCTAAAACACAGTACTGTAAATACCTGTTGGCTAACATTACCTGTTTGTCGGAGATTAACGATTTGTACCCGAAGAAATTGAAAAGTACTTGTTCTTCAGTGGGTGTTTCTGCTGGAGCGGATTTAGGTTGTTACAAAGACGAAAGGAATTTCCGATTATTGTCCGGGTATTATAAGATCGACAAAAAAGAGAACTCGCCACAGCATTGCACTAAATTGTGTTTACAATCCGGGTTTCCTTACGCTGGTGTGCAATACGGGTTAGTATATTATTACGTCTGTAATTCAGATTAACTGTTTATTATTATTTTTTTAGGAGTGAATGTTTCTGTGGAGCAGATGAACCTCCCCAAACGTCCAAAGTTCCTGATTCGTCCTGCAATTTCAAATGCCCGGGAGATGTACGTTCGACTTGTGGAGGATATTACACTATGAATGTTTACCATACGGGCATAAAAAGTGAGTAACATGGGATCTACATGATTCACTGATATGCAGATAAGTGCAAATTTGTATGCAATATGGTCTATAGGTGCAATATTTGCACTTATGTAGGTAAATTGTACGAGTTGAATAAAGAAAGGCTATTAAAATAACAGTGGTTAGCGTGAGAAAGTTGCAATCTCACAATATCACTCTTTTTCCTTTATATGAGACTTACACGATTTACATGAGATAATTTGCACTTATTTGTATGTTTGTCCCAAAGATAGTGGTATGCCATTTCAATGAGTAGTATTTTAGGTAATTTTTTTGAATATCTAAGCATTCTCAGTAAATATTTGCCAAGTACCTTCTCCTATTGTCTTTTTTTTATGATTATTTCATTTTGCATTCATTTATTTATCCATTTTACAACATAATGTGACCTATTGGTATTTTTTTTAGAATTCGTTCCACAAAACGCCCTTACAGATGGCAATGTTACAAATGGTACCAAAGAAACAGCTAAAATTGCCTTCTTATTAACCTTAAATGGTCGAGCATTGAGGCAAGTGAAGAGATTGTTGAAAATTTTGTATCACAAGGACCACTATTACTATATACATGTAGATATAGTAAGTAAACAGTGTTAATATTTATGGAAAGAGTATTTAAAGTTTGTTATATATACAGAGACAAGACTACTTATACAGGGAGCTACTTAAACTAGAAAACAGTCTACCGAACATCCGTTTAACCAGAAACCGTTTCGCAACAATATGGGGAGGCGCTTCCCTACTGCAAATGCTCACGTCCTGCATGCGGGAATTGTTGAACATCGACGATTGGAAATGGGACTTCGTAATCAACCTCAGCGAGAGCGATTTCCCCGTTAAACCTGTGACGGCGCTGGCGCGGTTTCTCGCCGCTAACCGGAACCGCAACTTCGTCAAATCGCACGGCAGGGAAACCCAACGATTCATCCAGAAACAAGGTCTGGATAAGACGTTCGTCGAATGCGAGCACAGAATGTGGCGAATCGGCGACAGGATTTTACCGTCCGGCATACAATTGGACGGCGGTAGCGATTGGGTGGCTCTGTCGAGGAACTTCGTGCGTTACGTATCTCGAACTCGTCCGGACGCCGACGAGTTAATCGCCGGTTTGTTGAGGATATTTAAGCACACGTTGCTTCCGGCCGAATCGTTCTTCCACACGGCCCTCCGTAACTCTATTTTCTGCGACACCTACATCGACAACAACCTGCACGTGACGAACTGGAAGCGGAAGTTGGGCTGCAAGTGCCAGTACAAACACGTGGTGGATTGGTGCGGGTGCAGCCCCAACGATTTTCGGCCGGACGATTGGTTCAAAATCCAAAACACCCTGTCGAAAAGGGTGTATTTCGCTAGGAAATTCGAGCCGATCATCAACCAGGCGGTCGTGCTCAAATTGGAATTGTGGCTGTACGGCTTAGATAAGCCCAATAGGAACGTGTCGAATTTGTTGGGCTATTGGGAGAGCGTGTGGCATCGGAATGACTTGGACGCTCTACGAAACGACGGGTTGCTCACCCTGTCGAATAGCGCGAGAAGAAATTTAATACATTGTGATACGAGCGTAGAACTAAAATTAGTCGAAATAACTTCTTATTTATACAACGACTCTTACTTATACACTCTATTTAAGTTCGAATACAACACTTCGAATAACGCCAGTTCGGAAATCGAAGTGGCCGTCGAACCGAAACGACAACGGTTGTCGTTGGTTAGGGACTGCGAAGGTTGCGAAAGTCTGACCGACGACTTGGATTCGTTGGTAATCGGCAGCGATTACGATCAAAAGGAGAGGATTTGCAGGAATTTTGCGGGGGTGTTGTCGGCGTACTCCGAGCCGGTGCTCGCCTATTCGTTCAAACGCTGGCCCGATAACAACGAGGTGTACAATTTGAGCGCGTTGTGGATCGGTCCCGACGGGGAATTGTACGGCGTCGGCGCGTTCTCGGTGGACGGGGCTTCGCTCGTTGGACACTCCAAGAGCGGATTGCAACAACCTATTTTGCCAGGTACGTGAATGGACGGTGTTGATATTTCACTGATTTACACGCCAATTCCCAGTCCTATGTTTCTTCCCGTTGATTATTCCAGCCGTAGATTCTTTAGCGTTTTCTATTTATCTCTTGCTATTCATCTTTACTACTAACTACTAACTAAAGGTGCAGGTGAACCTTGACCAAAATAGGCTCAAGCCAAGGTCCTCTGGCGGGTCCATTCAATAAAGGAATCGATGCTTCTCAATGGATGTCTGTTTATGTCTCCAGGGGCCATAACAAGAACTCCAAATATTCGCCTATGGGGCGGTTAATCTAGGAAGACATGGTCCTATGTTTCATCAACCATGCCGCTACCTTTCCTCTGAACCTAGATTATAGAGGTACTTTCTCAGACAGCAGTTCCCTGTTAGGAGTCCTGCTATCTTTTTCAACCTACTCCTTGGTAGTTCTACTACTGCCCTAGCATGCCCAACAGTCCAGCCCTAACAGAATGCCTAAGGTCCTGAATAGCACTAAAATAACACTTAATTATTACAGTATTCTTACATTGAATTGTACCGACAATCCCATCGCTTGTTGTGCATATGCAATTCCTCTAGTAAAAGCAACAATGTTGGTAAAAAGGAAAATTTTTCCAGGCATTTGGACGGTAAAAGTGCTGCATAAGAACGCCAAAGTAGCGCAACTGGAATTTCCCATACTTCCAATGGAGTCCTACAACGGACAGCCGGTGGATAGCCGTCAACTGGCGTATCTGAATGGCGGTTCGAAATATTCCGGCGAAAAATTCTACAACGAATTCGGGAAGTTCTTGCCGTCGGCGGAACGGAGGCGCAGCCGGCGCTCCGCCAGCCTTCGAAATACGCGGAAGATCGGCGAGGAGTTGTGGAAATGGTCGGACGAGCTAGTGAGCGGGTTTTATGAAATTTCGAAGCGGTGCGTCGACTCGGAATCGATGGAAATGTGCGGGGAGATTTGGGAGAATTGCCGTAGGACGAATTGGAGTTCTCTGGCCGATGATCCGAAAAGTGCCATTAGGAGTATCAACGAGGCGACAGGTTCTTTCGATATTTGGTAGATGGTTTATTGTCCATTCTACCCTCGTCTACACTTCTACTCTCCTAACTTCGTCGATAAAGGAGAATTAAAATAACATTTGAGACTGTCGCTTGAAGAGAAAATTTTCTACGAATCTCATCCCCAAAAAAATCATCAGTGGGTTTTGGTTTCTGGAAAATCTGAATCGTATTCCATAAATTTAAGAAACACTGGAAGATTGAAAGACGAGAAAATACCGCTGGTTTTTTTTGGAGAAGAATTTCGTTCGTGTTTAAAATGCGTTACTTGTTAAAAAAGACTTTAATTTAAAGTCTAAACTAAAAGACACTTTAAAAAAGATGTTATATCAAATGAAGCAATAACAAATTTTAACTGTTTTTAATTTGTATACCAGAACCATATCATTTTCGCTACTTTATCCAGAATCATCACAATGGACTTTACTTGATAATTTTTATACGGGTGTGAATTTAGGCTCAGCTGAAAAATGTATTTATGTCGAGCAAAAAATAGTAAACAATCGCAATACAAAATATTCAATTTACAGAATAAATTACGTTCGATATTTTAAAAAAATGCCCTGAAAAATGCCCCTCTAGAGTTTGTTTTTGAAAGAAATCGAGGCAATAAATTGCACAAGATTATTACGAATCCAAGCGTATAATTTAAAAACGGAAACTAACCGAATATTAGTATAAAATATTCAGTAGTGTTTTGCGTTAAATTGCAGCTTATGTGTGAACGGCATATGCGAAATTTCTCGATCAATTTTATCGCTTTAATTAGATTTTTCTTTGAGTTATACCAACGTCTAAACTGACTCATTTGTATGCCGGAAAATGTACCACGAGAATTTAAACTGGTGCTTAAAGGTGTACACATTTTTGGGTGTTCATCCGCGGAAAAAGGGAATTTTCAGAACAATTCACTATGTTTTTAATGTTTCATGTCCATTCGTTATAACTTCGTTGACGTTGATAATGTTGCATTTGAACAGGCCTTTCAACATTGAATACCTCGGAGAAGCTTCGACCGCTTTGACTACTTTTCCTCATGTACGATTATTTACTTATTTAGCCATTTTAAACTTTTCTGTTTCAAGTTTTTTTTAAGTTATTAATCATTTAAAATAAAACTTTATTATAGATAAGCTTCTACCACCCTAGTATTTGGATACTTTATTACTTTCTCTCATATTTCAGGCTATAATGAAGTTGACGACACTTTTTCTGCAACAATCAAAAATTATTGATTTATTGGAAAGAACAAGATCGCAATTTTGGACCGTCGATGACGACAACGTTGAAATTAAACGTGCTAAAAGAATAGGAAAAGTATTGAAAAATGCTTATTTCTACTCTGTGGCTTTTTTTATGTTCACGACGATTTTGAAAACCATTCTAACTCATGATTTAGCATACAGGGTATTGCTAATTTTTCCCAACATATACAGGGTGTCCCACATAAGAACCGACACAGAGCAGGGTGTATAGGATGTGTTGTTTAACCTAAAATCACTTAATGCAAAGTTCGTTCGAATTTTTTTACCTGATGGATGATTTAAAAAATTAGTAGTTCATTTCATAGGTTATTTCATTTTAATTCTTTGTAGTTTTGATGAAAAAAGTTGGCTGTTAAAGTTGGGTTGAACAATATATTTTAGGTTTCCTACAAAATCAGTTCTTATGCGGGATGGCCTGTAGTTTATCATTATGGTCGGCTTTCTCCGTCTTAAAAAAATTCAGTGTACAATTTTAGTTAAAAAAATTTGATTCAATTACAGTGTTATCAGCCAAAATGGATACCAAAAACATTACTTATTATTTATCAAGATTACACTTGCTGCGTGATTCTATTCACTTTGATGAGTTTCGATATCATGTTTCAAACGCTCCTCTTTCAAACGCAATTGCAATTTAAGATGCTAAACAAGAAGTACAAGCATTTATTCGATTATGAAAACCTCGGACCAACTGCTTTAAAAAGTATGTTAAAGGAATGCGTGGATCATCAAAGTTTCCTAATCGAGTAAGATTACTAGTGGTTTTAACATATTACAATGATAAGACCTCAAAAATGTACAGGATGTCCCTCATAAGAAACGACACAGAGCAGAGGAGTCTGGGGAGCTATAAAATATGTTGTTAAACCCAAATTTAACTTAATACAGCCAATTTCTGAATTATCGATGATTTTAAGTAACTTTTATAGTGTACATGACGTTATTTTTTATTAAATTTTATTTTATTATTTTGTTAAAAACTTAATGAATAAAAATGTTTTAAAATGAAATAATTACCGATAAAATGAATTCATAATTCTTTAAATACTTCATCAGATAAAAAATCCTGTAACATTTTAAGGGAGCATCATCCCTGATGAACCCTTTAAAATACAACAATTTATCCTTCCTCCTGTGTAAGTTCTTATGCGTTGCATCCTGTATTTTGCGAAATATTGTGAGTATAAAATGTCTTCATTAAAATAAACATTTTTCCCATTTCAGTTTCGTTAATCGTATTAAGGATACTTTTTCATTGTCGTTGCTTCTGTTCGTAGGAAATATAATTGTTTCTCTTTGTATGAGCGTTTACATCATACTGTCCGAGTAAGTATTAACATTGTGTCATTGGCTTGAATACCCTATGGATATCAAATATACCATACTGTAAAAAATTGTGTTTTTGAACATGATATCATTCAAAAGGGTGGTTCGATCCCTTGGAGTTGAGTGGGGACGACATATGATAAGTCCAGAAGCTATGACAGCTTGACTATTATTTTTACAGGGTATAAAGGGATAAAAAAGTATTTATTTTTTAGGAATAGAGTATTTTCTGTGCATATTTGTATAAGGCTTTCGTTCATCTACGCTAAATTATTAATAAGCTTAATTATTTTCAGTAATTCGAAATTAAATTTAAAAATTGAAGCAGTGGTGCATACAATTGCTGGTTTAAACGAAATAGGTCTTTGTTACTCCATCCCTGCTCAGATGTTTATGGACGAGGTAGGGAATAAATATTTTAATTGCTAAATATGTATATGTAATTTAATTATTTTTGATATTTAAGGCTGCTGAGATTAGAAATAGCATCTATTTTAGTAACTGGTACCAACGTCCTCGATTGGCAAAGGAAATTATACCTCTATTAATCAGAGAACAGAAACCATTGACGATAACGGCCGGTGGTTTTGTAATGATTGATCTACAAATGTTTTTAGTCGTAAGTGTTTTAAGTATCTAATTGGAAATAAAAGAAATTCATTTATGTCATTTTAGGCGTGCAAAACAATACTTTCCTACAGTATGTTTTTGAATACTATCACTCAACTACAATGATAAAATTAGTAATACGAAAATACACATTAATTTTTAGAAAATTAAATTAAATTTCTAGTATGTAGTATTAAATATATTTTAGACGTGCACGAGCACTAGATCGTATACATTATTTTTCCCGTAGTGTCTAATAATATGCAGATCAGAAGAGCAAAAATTTACATTTTTACTGCGTTATGTAACACCACAAGACCAGGCCACAATTTCTTCTTATTTATTTTGACATAAAACGTACCGTCACTTTTTGGCAGATACCACGGTCGTATAATAACAACAGGTCGGGAAATTCCTAAGACTGTGGCAGTTGATGTGACTCGTACGGAAATGTATAATATAACAAAGGCTGCTAGAAATTCAAAATTAATCCTACCCGACCCCAGCGTTCCCGGCACATTTCTCATGAATTCTCGACCCGAAGTCACAATAAGCACTATCCCCCATTGCCAAAAGACCGAGCTTCCAGACCTGTATGTAAGACCGTGGCTATTATTACTCTGTCAATTACCGTTTTGTTTTCTTTCCAATGTTGTTCAACACAAGTTTCTCAAAAACGATTTTTGCTACTTATTATAATCACGCGAATCCTATAAACAATCATTACAGTTATCATTATGCATTATTATTTATCTACATTATCGACTTTTATTTTATGCATCAATGTCATGCCTCGATTTGTAGATAACAAATGGCCACCGTAAGCTATTTATCCGATAATGATAAAAAAATGTAATAAAAAGAATGCCGTGTTATCATCCCAACATGATTAAGTGCTAAAATACACATAGTAACTGCAAACTGGCAACATTGTTGGTGATGATATCATCCATTGTGAGAATTGGTAAATCCCCCAAACGCTTATCGAGTCAACTAATTCCTGTCTACTTCATTCTGTGTACATTGAACTTGACTACACCTTTCACCGAGATGGAAATTTGTAAAATTTATGCAATTGCAATTATTGTACCCATTATCGTTTTGCTTACATTTATTCATAAAACCCACTTTATCATGTAATTCGAAGATATTACTTCAAAAATATGTGGGATATATGAACGAAAACCAGTGTCAAAGTACTAAGGATAGTTAATTTCAATGTCAAGAGCGTCAAATGCTCTCATAATTTTATATATGGAGTGTATTTGGACGTTGTTCAAGTTATAGTTGTTATCACGTATCACCTACACAAAATAGTGCAAAAATTCGATAACTTTTGTTATTATTGTTTGGATTAATGTAGGGAGTGGTCATCAAAATGAAACGAAGGGAATCTAACGATAACCGACGGGTTGCCAGTAAGTCAAAATAATTTTCTGTGAAATTTGTACACTTGTCGCTTTATGTAGGTTTTATGTATATAGTTAAAAAGATTTTTTGAATATAAAATATTTACAATCAATATCATAGATGTTCCTATATCAATAAATGAGATTCAATTCTTATATATTTTAGCTCGTATTTTAGTTTGTTCCACCAAATCAATCGATGTATGTTGTGTAGTGTAATCTTTCCACAAGCTTATTAGTTTAACTTTTTTCCATGATTTTTGCATATTGCAAAATTAGCTATAAACCTTTTAATATAATTTATAAGTAAACTTTAAAATAATCTTACATATAAATCTTATAAAAACGTGGTAACCGCAAGCCTATATTAAGCAATAACCTTGCAATAACATTATTAAAAGCTTCTCATGTAAAGCTTGTCCCCATGAGAAAATGACAATTTTATAAAGTTGTCAGAACAACCTTGCAATAATATTATTAAAAGCTTGTCACGAAAACCTTATTCCGACAATGCTATGACAATTGTATAAGGTTGTCAAAACAACCTTACTCTAACCTTTTTATAAGCTTGTCTTGCAAAGCTTGTCATGACAAGGACATGACAAGTACATGACAACCTTGTCACAAGCTTACGTGTTATCTGGGTCATGTATTGAATATTGTAGAATATTTGTTCAAGAACATTGTCAGTTATACAGTGCATTTCTTTAATGATGGCGCCAAGTCGCCATCTTGAAATTTTCATCTGTCAATTTTACTTCAAAATATAGTAATCATGCATTAGTTTCATTATCCCAAATTTCAATTTTCTAAGTTGATCCGTTCAAAAAATAAAAGGGGGGGGACATTAAAGAAATGCACTGTATATTTCTCAGTAAACACTTCAAAATATCTCTTAAATCAAAAATTGCGGACAATTATTATCTCATGTATTATTCATTTTTTGCTATTTTATTTCAATTAATATTTATGTTATTCTTATGTAGAAAATCCAGAACGGAGCTCCTCCAATTGGAAAAGCAGGGATGGTTCTAATACGAAAGAAAGTGATAAAATAAATAGAGGAAATGTGCGCAAAAACGAAGAAAAGAGAAGTAAAAACGGCAATTTCAAAGAGAAGCAATCATTTTCACGCGAGAATAATAATGCAAGTGGAAGCCGAAGTCATGGTGGCCGAAGAGAAGTAATAATGGGTTTCAAAATGACTCAAGAACTTTTAGAAAATGATGATATTGAAGATGTAAGTTAATTAGTTATGTAACATTGAAAGAAAGAATAATTTGGTCATATTCGACATATTTACAAATATCAATGAATCCTTGCAAGCTTAACAATATAAAACAGAACTCAATTAGTTTGATTCAATTAGATAGATAATTTGAATCTGTTAAATTGGATTATCAGGTGTCGAAGTAAGACAGAACTATAAAATCATGTAAATCATGTAAAAATGCACAGAGTTTAGGATCATTATCATTTAACTTCATCATTCATTCTTCGTTATTTTATCATAGCCTTCATTAAAATTCTTTGGCAATCTTACTTGAACAATACAAACACAATATCTATCTTGTAGGTTGGAATTCGGTCAATTAATTCTAATCATTTCCCTTTTCTATCATTTGAGGCAAAAATGGAATTAATTAATCAGATTTAGTTATTTTAAATTGTTTTCATCTTAAAATGTTATTAGAATAAGAAAAATTGTTCTTTTTTTACAGGTAATATTTAGACTAAGCAACAATGAAAAATCATTTAAAAACCTGTTAGATGATTATAAAATGCAACCGGATATTATTGTTTTGATTGCAAAATTAATAGCGAAAATAAGCGAATCAGATTTTAATACCGGTAAAACACATCTGCTAAACGTCGTATTATCCAGTAATTTTTTGGAAATATTAATCAAGTTTATTTCGACTGTAGCTGTCCAGGTAAGGTATCGAGCCATTGTGATTGTTTATAAAATATTAATATAGATATGCAAGTACAAGTAATTTTATTTTAGAACGAAAAAGAGAAAATTCGTAATAAATATTTGTGGAAGGATACCGACGATTTCTTCTTGAATGTGATATCTATATCAAAAGTATTTAACAATTTGTTACCATCTAATTCTTGCGAAATGAATCATAAAGTTTTAAGAACATTGAAATTAAATTTAACAATTATCGAAGAGGCTCATAATATCCACATTTCCGATGATATTAAGAACCAAATAGAACAGTTGCTCGGCGTTGTTGAAAAAATCATGGAAGAAATCGAACAAAAGAAAAATACTAAACAGTAAGTTAAAATTTTTCTAAAAACTTTCTTGCCAATCCTAAACTTCCAATAATCTTAAATTTAGCTAATTTAAAATAATTTAGACTAATATTTTCTATTTTTTTATTACTGTCTAACGGGAATCAGTAAGTCAATAAGAATGTTTGGCATGCATTAAGTTTGTTAATACTTTTCGGTATAATTGAAAATTTTTGTAGGTATGTAAAGAAGGTTGCCGTAACCGATGATCTTTTGGAACCGCCTGATGATTTTCGATCTATAGATGTTTTTCCAAATGCTGCAGAGATTGCTAACAGGCAAACGGCATTTCTGAGGACCAACGTTATTGCTGGACCATACAAAGATGTTGAACATTATTTAGATATTCAGTTCAGGCTTTACAGGGAGGATTTTGTCATACCGTTAAGATACGATATATGCAAGTGAGTATCAATTTTTTAATCGTACAACTACGTTATCGGAAGTTCCAGAGAACGTCCTATATTTATTTCTTTTTTTTTTATTATTTTCTTTTATAACGATATCTTTTAATTTAGTTACATAAACGACAATCGCTGCAAATTGGAAAACACGAAGATCTACAAAGGCGTGAAGTTTATAATTAAACAAATGCGAGGCGACAGTAATGTTTATGTTGTACAATACGATTTCAGTAAAACGAAAAAATCATTCCAGTACGAAAATTCCAAACGATTTATGTACGGTTCTTTGCTATCCTTTACACAAGACGGTTTCAAGACGATGTTTTTCGGAACTGTCGCGGGAAGGGATTTGAAGTTACTAGAAAATGGTCAAATCCTAGTGAAGATAGTAACCCCTAATTTCGACTTACCTGCTGATCTTTTCCAATTGGGGTATATAATGGTGGAAAGCACGGTATTCTTCGAGCCTTACTTGCAAATTCTTAACTGTTTAAAGCAATTATCTTCTGACAATTTTCCCATGGAAAGATACATTATAAATGTGGAAACATCTTCCGGACGCCCGAAATATTTACTGGACAACGCACATATGCCTTTTAATGTAGATGGTTCTACCTTTTCGCCTTTGCAATGGAATAGGCACTTTCCAGATTTAAATCAAGCCCAAAACGCTGCTTTCGAGGCTGCTATTACAGACGAGTTCGTTTTAATACAGGGACCTCCGGGTACCGGTAAAACTTTTTTGGGATTGAAAATAGCTAAAACATTGCTCGAAAACAGTCACATTTGGTACCGAAAAACACCTATGTTGATTATTTGTTATACTAACCATGCATTGGATCAATTCTTGGAAGGGTTGCTGGATACTACAAAAGAGGTACGTCAAACTTTCTTCTATTTCTACATTTGATTATGGGACTAGGGGTCGAGATATACATGGTTTTGAAGATCATTCAATTCTCTTTATACTGGTACATCTAAAATGAAAATCTAACCATCCGTTCTCAAACTATGAATTTTATAAACTGATCCCTAGTTTCATTTAAGGTTTAGAAAAGGCTAACCACCCTGCCTATGGGGTGTCCCCCTCAAAAACAAAATTGAATTGTTTTGGCTTCTTTGCAGGAAAAATTTGGGCAGGTGGAACGGTGGAAAAAAATTTCAATTTCAAAAAATCACGAATTCCGAATTTCTGCTATTGCTTTACTTCCTATTCTAGAGCATTCAGCACTTATTTGATCGAATTTATCATTTTCATCTCGTTCCTATAACAATTATTTCTCATGTAATCATTTCACAATCAAATAAGAATAAAATAGTATTTATTTGCAGTTAATAAGAGTCGGTAAACAATCAAAAAATGAGAAATTGGAACCATTTAATATACATAACTTCAGAAGAAACCGCAGGAAACCTGACATTATACAACATTTAAGAGCAGAAGAAAGGAAGATGTTTTCAATATTAGAAAATATCAACACAAACCTTATGCACATTGAGAGTTATTCAAGTATTTTGAATTTCAATTTGTTCGAAGCTATTACTGGTAATTTCCGTGATAGTTGGTTCGCTGAAGCGTCGAATGAAAATATTTTAGATTGGCTCTTACAATATCAAATCAATTACAAAATAAACACAACGAACAACGCATCTGAACAATTAACTGAGGTATTATTTGTTATAAGTGTTTGTTAAAAAAATAGTGCAAATGGATCATAGAGTAATTTTAAAAATATTTTATTCAAAACCCTTTTTTATTGGTATTTATAAGTTTCACATTATTTATATATTTAGGTACCTCCAAATGACGATGCACCACTACCTATTGAATTGGATGAAAATAAGGATGAAAACGAAGAGTTATTTCAGGCTAACAATGAAAGTTATCTAACGGATGATGATGATAATATTACAGTTATTAGCATTGAATCACTGTTACAAAAGAAATGTCTTCTTGAACGAGAATTAAGAAAAGTTCTTTCCAACGACTATTGTTATGAATACGACAATGGACTTGAAGAATATCTTTTGAATGTAGACCTATATAATACAACAAATTGTTTGGAGGAACTTTCAGTAAGTATATATTAGAGGGTTCTAACCAGTAACTATTGTAAATGTTTCTCCGCTTATTCTAATGGCGTAAAATTATAATAACATTTTTCTCCAGTTTAGAATGCAAGAGAGAAGACAGTTGGGAGAGGCAACAAATCCTCCCACATATGTAAACCTACAAAACCCCCACTTAATGTCTATGGATCAAAGATGGCAGTTATATTTCCATTGGCTTTTTTTGTTAAAAAGGTCTTACTATAGTAAAAGAGAACGTTTGGGTGCTAGGTATAAAGACATTTACATTGAATTAAAGGAGTATGAAGCTATGGAAGACGCGCAAATAATGAAAGGTATAAATTCTATTACTAAGCGTATTCTGTACCGCCCTACATTTTTTTGCAACTGTGACTTTTCTTCTATCAATTAAGTCGTAATTCTTTCGATTATCAGAGGCCAAAGTAATTGGAATGACAACCACATGCGCTGCTCGTCTTAAATCCTCCTTACAAGTCATCAAAAGTCCCATAGTAATCGTCGAAGAGGCTGCTGAAATTCTGGAATCGCACGTTGTGACTTCCCTAACGCAGCATTGCGAGCATTTGATCCTCATCGGCGATCACCAGCAATTGAAACCCAGTACTGCCACGTACAAAATCGAAACCACGTACCGATTGGACGTTAGTCTCTTCGAGCGGATGATCATGAACGGCATGAAGTGTCATACTTTAGACGTGCAACACAGAATGAGACCGGAGATAGCGAATTTGATTCGAACTAATATTTACAAAACAATTAATGATCATTCCAGCGTTTTAAACAGGGAACATATTCGAGGGATAAATTGCGATTTGTTCTTCATTGATCACACCGAGAAGGAGGTGTGCTGCGATAATGGAAGTAAGAAGAACGTCCACGAGGCAAAGTTTCTGATTCAATTAGCTTCGTATTTGGTTTTGAACGGGTATCGGCCCGATCAGATTATTCTATTAGCTGCGTATTTGGGTCAGATGTATGAAATGCAGAGAGAAAGAAGAAACTACAGGTAAGCTTTCATATCGATTTTGAACGAGATTCAGTTCGATTTTTTTTTAAAAACTATTAACATTTTAGGTCGACTTTAGAAAACGTGAGAATAGCTGTATTAGATAATTACCAAGGAGAAGAATGTGACATCGTGTTATTGTCGTTAGTTCGAAGCAATGCTGAAAATAAAATCGGTTTTTTAAATAAGGAAAATCGCGTTTGCGTTGCTCTATCTCGAGCTAGGAATGGTTTCTATATTATGGGTAACATGAAGCAATTGTGTGCCAAAAGCAAGGTGATTGTTATTTTTATTGGCTTCTAATGATCGCTCGTTTTTAATGGAGTTTTTTAATAGGTCCAAGCATCACCTTATATACGAGTATTAGCATGTCATTAAGTAACACCCTGTATACACTAACTAAAAAAAAAACAATTTTTTTCCTAGATATGGACCAAAATCGAACATACGTTAATAAATCAAGAAGCCATCGGAAAGCAACTGATGTTGCGTTGCCAAGTGCACAATAAAATGACGGCCGTCTCAAAGTTTGAAGATTTTTTTCGTTTGAGCGAAGGAGGTTGTGATTTGCCATGTGGCAAAGATTTAAATTGCGGGCATACATGTACGAGATTGTGTCACAGTTTAGACAGAGAGCATGCGGAATATAAATGCTTGGTAAAATGTAACAAGTTAGTACATTTTTAGTCATTTAACAAAGTACAAATCTTGCATGTTTTGTTAGGGAAGGCTAGAGAATTTGAGTTTTTAAATGATTTAAAAAGTCACACATTTGAATCGTTTCTTTTATCGTGATAGTACTGATAGTTCATCTCGTAATCAAAATGATAATTTATTTTTTCAGACCTTTGTGTGAAAACGAGCAACATTTATGCAAGAAAGTGTGTTACAAAATTTGCGGACCTTGCACATACCTCGTTGAGAGAACTCTGCAATGCGGACACCACGTCAATATTGCATGTTCCTTGGATCCGGAAGCCTACAATTGTACCGAGAAGGTGGAAGTGACTTTAAACTGTGGTCACAAAGTAGCAAAACCTTGTTTCGTGAAGGTAGAAAACTTTGCTTGTCCTGTCGTTTGCGACACCAGAGTGGAACCTTGCGGTCATTCGTGTATAAAAAAATGCCATGTTAATAATGATCCTGACCATTTGGAGGTAAGCGATTCATAAACATTAAATACTTGAACTAACTGAATGATCTTCAAAGTTTGATAGTAATGATATTAAAGATAATGTGTAAACAAGAGTTATTTATATTTTAGTACAAATGCAAAAAAATATGCGGCAGGCAAAGAAAGGGTTGTACAGACAGTGAGCATGAACCTTGTAACAAACTTTGTTACGAAGACTGTGCCAAATGCGCTGTCTCGGTACTGAAAAAACGAACAGCATGTGATCACATGTTCCGCATAGCTTGTAGTGCCAATCCAGATGATATAGATTGCGAAAAACCGTGTAAGAGAATTTTGCCATGTAATCACCAGTGCCCTAGGAAGTGCAACGAACCCTGCGGAAATTGTCAAAAGAAAGTAAGTTTAGGATTTTTCAAAAAGCAATATTACAAGATACACCTGATGTTTGTTTCAAAAAGAAACAGTTTTTGTGTAGAATGGTCCTTTAAAATCATCAACATCTTTACTGTTTTAGGTGGAAAAAATAATACCGGAATGTAATCATACAATTTTAACGAAATGCAGCGAGGTGCCGACCAGAAATAAATGCACAAAGAATTGTCAACGTTTATTAAAGTGCGGACATAAATGCAACAAAAAATGTAATGAAACCTGCAATAAGCAGTGCGAGGAAATAGTAGATTGTTCTATAAATAGCCCTTGCGGACACACGATTAACAAGATTTACTGTTATATATCTGGCAAATGTACGTATCGTTATCAGACTATCTTAGCATTGCTCTAAATTGTAACATTAATATTGAAAACTGTAAAATTATGAACATTGAGAGTTTGAGCGATTGGGAACTTGTTCTCTCTGCTCCCTGAAACTTCTTATCAGGTTTACTTGGAATTGAGAGCAAACCTAATTATTTTGTGTGCCATTAGGTCTTTTATTTCTTCCATTTGACTCTCCAGTTCCTTTCTTTTTGAAGCAAGTGCCCTGTGGTTTTGCAGGATATATCAAAATACTCTTATTTGTCGCGTCGTCTTCATACTCTTCTACCTTGTCGAGTTGTTTTCTCTCTTGAGGCCTCGCCTTTCTGAGCTATTTGACGGTCTTTAATCTTTTATTTCAGCGGGAAACATCGATGAACTGTTAATGCGCCACTGCTTAGAGAAATGCGGTGCTCAATTGGAATGCGGTCATCGTTGCACCGGGACGTGCGGCGCCTGTTACCAAGGTCGTTATCACGTACGATGTCAGGAAAAATGTGGAGTTATTCTCGTTTGCAACCACGAATGCGGGATACCTTGTAGGGAGGCATGTAGGCCTTGCAACAAACCTTGCGAATACATATGCAAACACAGCAAGTGCAAGAAAACCTGCGGGAATCCTTGCACAATGTGAGTACATAGATTTTAACAATTAAAATCAAGAAATATCCCATTTTGAACATATTAAGAATTTATCGAGTTGTTGGGCGTATTTTTAAGGTGCAAAGAAAATTGCCCAAGACAATGCGCCCATCAGAAGTGCAAAAGAAAATGCGGTCAATTATGCGACGTTCCTCCCTGTACGAAACCTTGCGCCAAAAAAATCAAATGTGGACACCCGTGTGTCGGGTTTTGCGGAGATCCTTGTCCACAATTGTGTCGCATATGCGATAAAGAGCAACTTACTGAAACGTTTTTTGGCACTGAAGCAGACGAAGATGCTAGATTCGTTTTATTGGAAGGTAAATTTCTGCAGTATGGACCCGATGTCAATTTGTACTGTGGTTTTGTAAAATTACATCTCATACTTTTTTCGTATAGATTGCGGCCACATATTAGAATCAGAAGGAATGGAATATTGGTTGAAACAAGGAGACTCTGGATACGAAGATACAATAATAAAACCCATAGAATGTCCCAAATGCAAAACAACTATTAGAAAATCAAGTCGATACAGCGATTATGTTAAAGAAAACATGCAAGATTTATTAAAAGTTAAGAGCAGTTTTTATGGAACAGAAGAAGAAATCGGTCGTTTAAGTATGAAGTTGGAGGTAGAATTAACAACGAATCTCACCAAACTTTCGTACAGTATTGGTAAGTTTGTTTCATAAAACTACTAGGTTTTCTGTACTAATTCCAAATTTTTACAGGCTCTAAAGTTCCGATCTTGGAAAGTTTCTTTAAAACAGCTAAAAATAGATTAGCACCAATTTGTAGAATCCAAAATTTTGGGAGCAAAGTAACCGATAGCCGCAGGAACACAATCAATAAAATGAATTTGAATGATATTCGAATTAAAATGGATTTGATAAAATTGATGTTGGATTCTGTTAGCAAATTTAATGAGATGAATAACAAAGAGTCATCGATTGACCAAATGGATTTCATTGGAAACTTGATTGTTGGTAACGGTGTCGATTCAATTACACAACAAGAAATAACTGACATCAAATTGGAAATAAATCGTTTGAATAGACTTGTCCAATTGAACAGTATTCCTAATTATTCAACTGTTGTAAACAAGGTTAGTATGTTCGAATTGCAATTACTGTTATCCATTAATTATGATAGTTATCTCATTACTATTAAAATCCATTACTTATAATTTTCTGTAGAAAGAAGAAGTGAAAAATCTTATATTAAAGAAATGCAGATATGATGACAATCTTGACAAGTCGATTAAGGAAAAGTTAGAGGAACTTAAAAAAAGTACATCTTCGCCAATCAATATTACAGATGTAGAAAAAAAGGAAATCGTTCAAGCTTTAGGCTTGACACCAGGTCATTGGTTTAAGTGTCCCAATGGACATCCTTATATTATTACAGAATGTGGAGGAGCTATGCAAACGTCTAGGTAAGTGATACACCTTGATTCATTTCAGTTTGCAATATGGTCATTTTTAAAAGTTGAACAAAGAAAGATGCTAAAGTGAAAAGTTGCAATGACACAATATCACTCTTTCCTTTTCCTTTATCTTTATCAACTTGTAAAACCGAGTTTTTTAAGAATAAGACGGAAAAGTAAGTTTTATGTAAAATTTTAACATCTTCAAAACTATTAGGTTTAGGTTAGCAGTTGACCTATCATGAGACAGGTCAATCTCGATAATTATTATCAGGTAATAAAATTTTTGCCCAGTTGACCTGCGTCCGTATACACTGGTCGCGTTCATCCGTGCCACTCCGAAAAAAGCGCTACTTGATCGCTAGTTGATCGCTCAGGGAGCGATCAGGTAGCGCTATCTAGCATGGATGAACGCGATTTTGTGACATAACTGACATTTGACATTTTTGACATAAATCCCCAGTCAACACACAACCGAACCCTACAAAACACCACGTGGAAATAAGTGATCACTGATCAGGTAGCGTTGAGCATAAAATTTTTACGATCCAAAAGATGGCGTCCGCTACTTGAGCGATCAGGTAGCAAAACTGTCAAAACAAGCGTTCATCCGCGCCATCGGAATCGCTACCTGATCGCTCAAGTAGCAAGTCGCACGGATGAACGCGACCACTGTGTCTATGTTCGAGCGCTACATTCGTCCGCCGATTCATCTCGCCGAAGCCGCGCCTCTCCACAGTTCGACTGATTCTCTCTTTCTACTGTTTGCAGCGCTCAAACATGGACACTATGTATATACTGCATGCAATATTTATTCATAATTCAATAACATAATTGCTTTTTCTCTTTATTAGGTGTAACGAATGTCAAGCACCAATAGGTGGAAGTAACCACACTTTATTAGCCACTAACGCTTTAGCCTCTGAAATGGATGGATCTAGACATGCCGCCTGGTCAGACACTGCCAATATGGCCAATTATAGGTTATAAGTAAAATAAACTTTATTTTATTTTTAAAATTTACGCTTAGCTTAAGTTTTTCGCTTGTTTAACTGTTTCATATTATTTTATGATTACTTTACTTCAACTATTTGAATATTCACCTTTACTTGTTTGTTTAGTACTTACAGACCCGGTTGCTCGTACGCGGATTAAATTCGGATCAACTTATCTCGGATCAAAATCGGATTAATAGTTAGTACTGAATACGGCGGCCATATTTAATCCTGTTTTAAGCTCGGCAATCCCGGATTAAAGTTAATCCGCGTGCAAGAAACCGGGCCACAATGTATTTTATATATTATATGTTACCAAGTTGTTTGTCATTATGTTTGTGGTTTAATAAATATTTAGCAACAAAAAATGACAATTTTTTTTTATTGATTGTATTTTGTGACACTCAATTAATTAAATATGCGTGTGTGTACTCGTATAGAATATAGCAGGAAATCATGCAAAAGTGGCCAGTAACTTACTTTTGAATTTTTTTAAGCAATGTAAAAATCGAGTATGAAGATTTCACGACCTGAAATAGTAAGCATAATTAACCAACTGCCACCAACCAGTTGCCAGTATATCTTGTATATCTCGTATATCTGCACTATACAGTATACAGGGTGTCCATAAGAATCGACAGCAGGGGAGCTGAAAATGAAATTACCTATGAAGTGAACTAATATTTTTTTAAATCATTCATTAGGTACTAATATTCTGCAACATTTTAAGGGATCATCATCCCTAATGAGCCCTTACATTAATTGAACTCCCTCTCTTAACTATCGATTAAGTCACTTTGTTTTAAGTTAAGGTGGGTTAAACAGCATATATTATGAGTTACTCTACACGCCTTTGCTCTGTGCTGGTTCTTATGCGGGACAGCCTGTATATCAGCTAGTTATCAATCTCAAAAGATAATTACAAACTTACTGATACAAAAACAGCATTTGACATTACTATCATACCACCAACTTTTAATTTTATTGGATACTTAGTCAACGTCATGAATTGTAGAAGAGTTCTTTTTACTTTCATGTCGCATTGAATCCAGGGGATATTGTAAGCACTATTGAATATCTTACTACTCTGAAACAATGCATATTTAACAGGAGGCAATTAAATTTAAAATTAATAAAACTAACTTTGTCTATAACTTCATTACCAAACCAACAATACATGAATTGTTCGATTAGCATACAAGCAGTATAGGAAATTAACATAAAGCTTTGGATGCTGCCAAGTTTTGCCTAGAAGTAGAAAATAATGGCTGGCTACAGGGCTCGTTTATAACAGTCCACCTGAAATATTTTCATGGAGATTTTTTTTTGAGAAATACCCGAGATCGCTCGATTTTGATTTCAAGGGGAAATTCATTTAATCATAAATTAATGAAGCACTAGGGGTCAAGTGGCACATTATTTTAAAGGTATTTCAATTTCTCTTTTCAAATACATATGCTGATATTTTAGGTGTGTCTTAAAATTTATTTAAAACACCAGTTGGGAGTATCGGCGAAATAAATCGTAGAAAAAAGTTTCCAAACAAGTTTTAATTAATCAAATGCTCAACAAGCTACCCATTTACTTCCATGCAGTAATAAAATCTTTGTTCAATATGTTCCCGAACATTTCAAATCATTTCTGGGGTTAATTATTTCTCCAGCTGCTTTAAATGTTTTAAATGGGGCACCCTGTATGTATTTGAATAAGATTTCGCAATAATTCTGGAGCAGATTTGATTTGAACTATAAATTGTTACCCGGTTAAAATTGTTAAAATTCATAATATAGGATAACTTTCTTCCAAAGAAACTTTGAAATTTCTTAAGAAAATATAAATGTTATATATTTTCATACCGTAGACAGTTGAAACAAGCCCGAACATATTATCATACCACCTCCTAGGAAAAGTATAAAAACCGTTTTCTTATGAAGTTTTTCAATTTCATTTGCGGTTCTAAAAATTACATTTATTAACGATAAAGGTATAGAATACCTACCTCATTTCTCCAGGTCCCCTTATTTTTCGTTTAACTCCTAATAAACTCATTTAATTCATACCGTTTAATTTTCTTATGATGTTGTATGCATACAACTAAATTCTCCATGACAATTTCACTAAATGTTTTTCTACAAAGCGATGTTTCTGCAATATTATTTTGTTCCACCAAAATTCCATTCCGAACTCTATATGCACTCAAATTGTTCAAACTATGACTCAGAAAGTCACATTGCATTCCAATTTGCATCAGCAATCCAGATGTAAACGTATCCAAATTCAAGCAAATGATGTCGTTCCAAAAAACCACTATATTTTGAAAAATAAAAACCATTTCGTAGCATGGAGAATGATTGTAATCAAATGGAAACCAACCTAATAAAGCAGAATCCAATCAAATAAGTCAATAAAATTTATGAAATTTTCTTTTTTTAAAAGTATTTTTATGAACTAATACAGCTTCAAGAGAAATATGTGCTACATTCTGCATCTTATACATCTAGCGAAAGGATTTAAATTAATAAATAAATATTATCGGATATTTCTTTTAAATGCCTTTGTTATGGAAAACTTACCTGGAGTGGGTATCATTTTTTCCTTCCTTAAAAAAGGGAGTATTAAAAAGAACAAATAGGTTTGTACACCGAGATACAAACACAAATAAAAGAAATTTCTATGGAATTTTCTGCTCTTTTCAGCACATTCGAAATGTTTATCACAATTGGGTTGAAACAGAGGATTGTTTAAATTTTTCAGTAGCATTTTTATGGATTCAAAATTACTGTATATCTTTAGCATTTTGAATAAATTAACAATAAACGGTCCTGATAGAAACAAAACGGAAACAACTTCTTCGACGTTACCCAAATTTTTGTACATGTAAATAAATTGAGAAAGAAGAAACAATATCCAAGTGCTAATACAAAGTGTGGTGTATATTAAGTAGAGATTTTTTAGTTTCATTTTCGGATCTGGTTTCCACAATCCAAACATTTTAAATATATAAATGTGGTGACAAAAAAATTCTCCATAGTCCAACATCTGAAAAATATAATAAAATTTAATAAACCTTTCAGCACAATTCAGATAAATAAAAAAATTGTATTTTAAATTGTAAATACACACGTGTTTACCTTTTCCAATCTTATTTTTATGGACTCTATGAAAGTGTCTTGATAAACTCTTTCCCTACCTAATACAAACTATTATTGTATCTTTTCCCTACACTCAAAAATACAATGATCAATTATGGACAATAATTCGAGTATGAGTCGATTTCATTTTAGAACTATAATTACATATTTTCAGATGGCAGGTTTATTATAGGTTTATGCATGTGAATAAAATGATGTAATAATACTATAACGATAAATGGAACTTTAGGGTGGCATAATTAGCATAAAATAGTTTTTTATTGCAGTATACAGGGTGTTCCGCATAAGAACCGACACAGAAGAGGGGGAAACCAAAATATGTTGTTTAACCCAACTTAACTTAATACAAAGTTACATTCCTGAGAAGTTATAAACTTTCAAAGCGGAGTTTTATCAATTAAAAACAATAATATCTAGGTATTACTCAAACTTAAAACAACTAAATTTGGTATGTTATGAGTGTAGGTACTAAGATCATTAATCGATGATTAGTAAAGTTCAATTGATCTATTTTAAAGAGTTGATCAGGGATGATGCCTTAATCCCTTAAAATGTTACAGTTTTTTTTCCTGATGAAGTATTTAAAAAATTATTAAATCATTTCGTACGTAATTTTAACTTTTTTTTAATTCTTTGTCGTTTTGATGAAAAACACTAAAAAATAAAGTAATGTACACTATCAACGTTACTTAAAATCGTCGATATGCATAGTTTTGCATAAAAACGTCTTAATAAATATGCTATAATGGCATTTTAATTATTACTATTAGTAGATACAGCTGTTGACACAAAATTTGAAATCAAAAAGTAGGAAGTTGATAATACATTATATCTTACAACTCATTATCGATATCAACGACAATACAAGAGACAATTGAAGACCTCGGTGTACGAAGGAGACAGCTCCACTCCTTTTTACTGGTTTTCTGTCTTTTTATTGGAATATTTAAAGTAAAAATAATCTCTCTGTTTGTGTGGAAGAACGAACCAGCTCCAACTAATATCCAATAAGATATTAAAGGAGTTGTAACAGTCTGTATTTCGGGGGAAGAACGATACTGAAAAGCCCTTGTTCCTGAACAGATTTGAAACATGGAGCTGTCCTCTTCTTGCATCAAGGTCTTCAATTGCCTTCACAATACAACTAATAATTCCCTGTCTCTACAGGTTCGTTATCCACATCAAAAATATTACTCAAGTTAACGCAAAGGTCTAAATGCTTCTTCAGATCAGATTTACTGATATTTTTATCACAAACCAAGCACTTTACTGTTGACCCTAAATTATCACAATGAGTCTCCTCACATAACGGCTCATCCTCTTTTTCCCAACTAACACTATTAAGGCATTCATCTAAATGTTGATTCATCAACAGTTCATCTACCTCTACACCACAACATGGGCAATTCGCGTAAGTTGACGTTTTAACACGTTTTCCCGGTCGAATTGACACTTCATCTGCAGCGCATTGAGGGTGATTTGAAGAAGCCGAATTTCCAGAATTATTCGTTGAATACTTGCTCGCCCAATGATTACGCACAACACTGTAATCTGGATTATTATCCGTTGATGGTGTGGACTTGATCTTATCTTGTACTTGTATGGCGCTCGGTTTCGAAGTTTTGTTTAGATTTGATTTAGGTCCACCTTTAGAAGTTTTATTAATCACCACTGTACTAGAACTATTTCTAATGAATGTATTGTTTTTTCGGTTGATGTCGCTAAATCCGACGATATTACTAGATGTCGATGGAGTTTTATTCACTGTGGTCGAACTATGAGGAACAGTCGTGGAATTATTCGAGGTATTAAAGTATTTTCTAATGTCAGGTAAATTCTTTTTTACTTCCACCGGTTTCTTAACAGATTTTTCTGGTTCTTTAATCTGGAAAAAATACTATTTTACCTACATACTCAACTTGTCAAAGGGACAAGTACAGGATTTTTCATGGTAGCCGGGCATCAAAATAGCCATCTAGATAGCTGAAGATAAGAATGATCATAGTATAATTAATGCAAGTTCGATTATTTTAAGAACGACTATTAATCAATGCCCAAAAATACAGGATTATCCATTTGATATAACAAAGTTAGGCCACTTTAAGTTAGTCAGACAATTTTAAACGCCCTGTAAATTGACAAGAAGATCAAGTTTAGTTTCATTTAGTACCGTGTCTAGACAGTCTAGATATTATCGATACCAAATTTATTTATTAAAAGAGTAGGTTCTTTTATTCTTTTATTTCTAGGTGCATTATTAGCAGAGATATCATAGAAAATACATTTGACTATTTTTTCCAAAAAATATCAAAAAAAAAGAAATAACTTAAAAAATGGTGCATTCTTGGCATATGGTGTATGGGCATATCTGGTTATACCGGAAGTCACATATGGTTGATAATACTTTAGAAAAACTCACAACATTGTCTATACTTTACTACTAAATTTTCAGATTCGTAACTCTTCAGGAACCCCCTAAAATTTCTAATGCACGGTTACCGTGAAAAACCCTGTATAAGGAAAATCACAAGACAGGGTAAGAAATCGTAATAAAGAAACTAGTTTAAGAGTAATTCTAAAAAGTGTACATCAACAGATAACAAATATCCAAGCCATTTAATCTTGTTAGATAATACCTTTACGAATTGTCCTCCGCAGTTTCGGGCATGCTCGGCCCACCACTTATCATTAGGTCCTGGAGCTCTGTTCATTACGCGACGAACCGTTCCAAAATAGGGTTTCCAATTTTGACAAGGACCTGAACATCTCCACCAGTGTTGCTGATACAGCCTTACCTCGTCGTGAAAACTATGATAGATTGTTATGTTTGTTCCTAGTAAAAATACATTTATAAAATCACCTCATTGCTTCGAGGGTCTATTCAAAATTCGCCCTCCGTTACGCCCATTCTTACCTGCTTCCTGATTAATCCGGCACATGTGCTTCTGGAACTCCGGACCGTGCCCGTCCCTGTCTCTGTTATTATGGGTCACAAACAGGTAAGCGTGGATCATCTCGTGCAACAACGTCTCCACCAGGTCCTTCCTCGGCCTCAGCTTCAGCAAGGGCTCGCTCAAAGCGATGGTGCACATGCCTCCTCTGCCTCGGTAGGTGCACACCCCGGCGCACGAAGTCATCCGTTTGCTCCAGCCCACTGTGACCGAGCCCAGTCGGTTCCAGAAGAACCTCTCGCTGAAGGCGACGAATAAATTGTGGATATCAGGAGTGGGATCTACCACCTGCATAACAATGACAGTAATCATTACTAAACGAAAGCAATTTAAATTTGCTAATGTAAGAAACAATATGAAGTACCTCCCAGGAGGGGTCAGTAAGTGATGCAGATGTGTTGTCAGAGGTTTTGCTTGATGTATTCGAGTAAACTAAATTATGGTTGGGTTGCTGTTCATCGATTTCCTTTTCGAATTGTTCTTGTAGGGATCGAGCGATCGAGGAGTCGTTTAAATTAGGTTCTTGTTGGGTTTTTTGCTCGTTTTCGAAGGTTTCTTGGAGGGCTTTGGCGACTTCGCAATCCCGACGTTCCTGGTCGTATTTGTGTTGCAACAGCAAGGCTAATTGGTAGTCTATTTCGGACATGACGTGTGTTTTATCGTCTTGAAGAATATATTTTAATAGAAATTGTACTTAAAGCATCAATAAAAACATGCTAAACACCTAAAAAATTGCAATCTACAAAGAACGAATAAAAACCAAAATAAAATATTTTAAAATTTGTCATATTTAAAAGTCAACGTCTTCTTCTTTTTTTAACAGTAATCAGATAAATGACAAAGTTGAAGTTAGGTACAATAAAAAGGAAAGCAAATATATTTCTTTTTGTAACATATAAAATATAAGTACATACCTACTAACCACTGCACCCATGTTTAAAATCCATTGTGCATTTATAAAAAATAAAAATTGATGCATTTTTGAAATATAGATGGCCAAATAGAATATAGATGTAGGCCAAAAAAATACAAAAAAGAATGATTTGACAATTATGACAAGGATAAGTCAATTTTGACATTAATGTGATCAATTCGTTTTGTTTTTGCAATTTTGAATTCTATTTTCTGGTTTGTATCGTATGGGTTTGATAATCTGAAGACAATTTAACACTCTTTAGATATTCATTGTAAAATTTAACAATGAACACGATACTAAAACAGTTACAGCTACTCAAAGATGCCGAGTTGCATTCGAATATTTGCAAAGTGGTAAGTTATTTTTTTCTTATAGGATGATTATTTTTACGTTAATTTGTCACCTTCTCTACATCTTTTAACCCTTATAATCAGTTCATTTTAATTTGTTGTCAACAGCGAGTTCCAGTGGAACAATTTTAAAGTTATTCATGACTTTTTGACTAACTGAAGATACCTGTTAATGTTTCAGTGCGATAAAGCCCTAACGCTGGTGGACCAAAAATCGGAGGCCAACAACGCCGTATTCAAACTGCAAGTAACCCTCTACTATGCAGAGGCCTTGTTTCTCACCCATCAGCATTCCCGTGCGGAAAACCTTTATAGAGAGGCCTTACAATTGCGCAAGGATCAACTGTTAAAAACGAAAAACTCCTCGAATAAAATGGACAATAATTTGTTGTCTAACATGCCGAGCGACGTCGATTTAAAATACCAAATATATTTGTGTTGCGCCGCCTTGAAGCAGAAACAGGCAGCCGGTGAAATTTTGCAATCAATCGCACCGCGCCATCGAACGCCCAAAATTAACATGGCCTTGGGTAATATATACAAGGAATTGGGCATGGATAGGGCCGCCGTAGCCAGTTACAAAGAAGTACTTAGAGAATGCCCTATGGCATTAGAAGCGGCCGAAAATCTACTTAAATTGGGTATTAAAGTAAGTTTTGCTCATTAAAAGGAAATAAAAATAAGTAAATGAACGATTAAAAAAAACTTGATGTAATTTCAGAGTATAGAAGTTAATTCGTTAATGCTTCAAGTAACGACGGATATTGGATGGCTGAATCAATGGATCAAGGCACAAGGCCAGTTGCAACTCAAAGACTATGCCGGGGCGCTCAACACTTATAAAAGCATGGAAGTTAATGGCTTGTTGAAAAACAATCATTCTCTGCTATTGAGCATAGCCTACTGCTATCTTTACATGTGTGAATACGACAAAGCTATTTCCGTTTTACAAAAGGTAAATGTAATATTGTAACAAAATTCATAGGTACTTTGCTCTACTATCCTTTAGGTGGATTTTAAGGTAATTTTTATTACAGATTTTACGTCTTGATCCACATTTATTAGCGGGAAGAGACTTATTATCTACGCTCTTAGCTGCGTCTGGTTCCAAAGAGCATATAAGAGCATTAGAATTGTTAACGCCCAAGATAGATATCGGCCTTTGGTCTGCCGAGCATTGGGTAGTATTAGGAAATTACGTGTATTCATTGAAGAAATACGACAAAGCTACGTATTACGGGCACCAAGCTCTCATCATGGATAGAAAGAACGTGGAAGCTCTTCTTTTAAAAGCTAATGCTCTATTACAAATTAAAAAATACCAGGAAAGCATAACTCATTGTTCCGAGGCGCTTCAAATATGCAACATGAGGTAAACAATTTATCAATATAATATTTTTTTTGTAATTTGGATTTATTTTTTTTTTTTTTTTAGATACGACATTTATAAATGTTTGGTCGAATGTTATATTCAGACAAATAGACTAAGGGAAGCTGAATCTATGGCGATCAACGCTTGCAATCAGTTGAATTTCAGCGCTCAGGGATATTGTGTAAGTAAATTTACATATTAAAACCTTGGACGGAACCACCTAAAATGTATTATTCCAGTTACACGCCTTCGTGTTGCTGAAGGATCCAATGGCGTCGAGCAAAACCATCCGTAGAACCCTCGAAAAAGCCGTATCATTGGACAAATCCGACTCGACGAACGCCCTCTATATGCTCGTCGAGTTCCTGCAGAGGGAGCAACAACACGAGCAGGCTTCACAGTTGCTGTTGAAGAGATTGCAAGCGCGCGAGCCGACGTCCAGGCTGCATCAGCTCCTCGGCGATTGCTTCATCAATCTGAAAATGGACGACGAGGCGTTCGACCATTACAATGTAGCCTTGAATTTGGATCCGACGAATCAACGAGCCACCGAAGGCTTGAACAATATCGGCAGAAGTTTGACGATGAGTAAAAGGGACAGTTACTATACGTGCGTGGGCGGTGAGACTTCGTATTGCAATTCGCAGGGGACCAATTCTCTCGATCTCGATGGAGAGGCGGAAAGTGATACAGAAAGCGGAACTTGGTAGTGTTGATTAATTTATGTTTGTGTGTAGTTTAAGATTAGAATAAGTTTCGTATTTTGTAAGTATTGTTGATTAAAAATTAAATTTGTGATATTTTTTTAATTATGACTTGCGTTGTCTGTTGCAAACCATCATATACAGGGTGTTCAAAAAAGTGTCACAAACAGTCGGGAGATAGCTACAGACTTGCGTTGTTCCGGACGGTCTTCGATCAATGATAAAGGTGAGAAATTGAGGTCCAAAATGATTACGCTAGTATTAGAGAAGTAGCCCTTGAGTTCAATATCTTCCGTTAAACCTCTCGTTTGATTTTGCTCAATCAATCGGACATGCTGCGCATTGAGGCATAGTTGACAATATCGTTTTTGAAGAAAACTCATCTCTATCCGAACGAGCCGATGCAGACGCTGGTTCGTTTGACTTACCATCCACCACTCACCGCCTCACTCACCAGATCTAGCCTCGTGTGACATCTCCTTGTTTTCCAAACTCAAATTGCCACTTCGGGAATCTGTTTTGACTGCATAAAAACCGTACCAAAAAGGGCTTATAAAAATGTTTCGATGATTGGAAAAGGCTTCTGAGTAAGAGTATCGCTTCAAAAGGAGCATATTTTGAATGAGATTCAAGAAAAATTAAAGAAGATTAGGGATTTTGTGTTTTGCAATTCCTATTTTCCGGGTACTTTTTTGTCACTGTCTGCATGTATTTTTGAATGTAGTATTTATTTGCCAAAATAGCATCTTTACCTCCAATAAGCCGACTGTCTCTTGTGCAAGAAGGATTGCCTAACGTTGTGTAACGTTGTGTAGTGCATAACGGTATAATATGAGATAATGATTAATCTATTTATACTCACTCCATGGAGAGTATATTAAATTTTGATTTTTAAAATAACAGCATTCTTATCCGTTTCAATTGAGTAAACATTAACCTTATCAGTTTTTTTCATTTATCGTGACAATACAACAGTGTTTGTGAGTTTTTTTGTGTTCGACAATAACAGGAATGGAAAATCACGAAATAATAAAATGGATAAGGAAACTTCTGTACGCCGAATATTACACGGACTTTCAGATCGAAATCGAAGGAGAGAGCTCGTCCAGGCATGGTGCATCGTCGCGAATAATTTTCGCCAAAATAATTATCACAGACGGTAAATCACGTGAGGTACTTCACATAGCAGTTAAATTCAGCAAACCGGCCCTGCGACTACTACCGGCCATAAGAGCCGCGTACAGGAAGGAAATTCGCTTCTACGAAACCGTCGCGAATGTAATCGAGGAGTTGCAAACTGACGTAGAAGGACCGTTTGTGGGCCTGTCAAAATGTTATGATACTTTCGCAGACAGTACTACAGAGATAATAGTGTTGGAAAACCTCCGGTACAAAGGCTACAAATTGCACAGAGTAGATTTGCCCATGAGCCTTCCGTACATCGAACTAGTCCTGACGAATTTTGCCAAATTTCACGCTCTATGTTTCGCTTTAAAAGAAAAAAACAGACGATTATTCGACGAATTGGCCGAAACATTTAAAGCCGATGTGGATATTATCGTTGAAATGGATGATTTCTTCAAAACCAAACCAGCCGTGGTTGTTCAAAATTTACGCGACAGCAATAGAAAGGACTTGGCGGATGAATTAGAGAAACTCATAGCACCGGGTGTTGCGAATATGGTGAAATCCATCGTAACTGATAAAGTAGATAACGTTGTTATAGCGCATTTCGATTGCCATTGTAATAATTTCATGTTTAAGTTTGAGGTAAGTATTTTCCTTTATCTTCTCTTCTTTGTTTCACCCACATTTCCCCTATATCATTTTACAAAAATGTTGATTATTGTGCAGTGCAAATTCAACTTTATAGGACTTTATTTGTTTTATCTAAACTCTAGGATTTTTTCAGGGAACAGACGAAGGAACTCCAACAAATGTGGCTATATTGGATTGGCAATTGGCAAAAATGCATTCACCAGCAATAGATGTATCTTACTTTCTTCACACCGTTTGTTCCAAACAGGAACTAGACAGAGAAAATGAATTATTAAAATATTACCACGACCAATTAGGGAATTTCTTAACGAAGTTAGATTGTAACGTCGATATTTCGTTTCCTTACACCACTTTTTTGGAGCACTGGAAGAAATACCGTTTCTACGGATTTAGTTTCGCCTGCTGCTTCATGGACTTTAACTTTTTAGACGAAAACAGCTTCCCGAAATTTGACGATGCAAACGAAAATAACAACGTTGGAAAAATTATGTCTGAAACTGTCTTGAAAAATCCCACGTTGTACAGGCAAAGACTAGTCGATTTGGTCGAACACTATTTGCGGAAACCGAATAATTAATAATAAAATGTTTAATTACTTTATACGATAAATTAAATATTCTGCTTCCTTATCTTATTTTGTTTCATTAGGAGAGTACGGAGTGTGTCAATTTATTTAATTATGGGCCCCTCATTCGGTTTCAAAGATGAAGAATACATTTTTTTACTTAATAGTTTGTTCTCTTTAAGGATAATAGATTAAATTGTGCAAATTTGGTATTACCGAGAATGTTAAAAACTACGTTGTATTGATGTTTAATTTGATTATCCAATACAATACGATATCAATATTGGTAGAATAATAACAACACATTTAATGCAATGTACGAAAGACCTACTTTCAATTTATTTACATTGATTAGAACAAACTACATATCACACATACGCAAACTTACGATTATTACAAAACTACAAAAAAATAAACAAAACTTGTGAGAAACTAGATTTAATGAATTAAAGTTAAAAGAGGGAAATTTCCATAACAAAATTCGATACGTTTTGTATAGAGTACTAGTACTGCTTATCTACATGCCACCAACGGCGCTTTATTATCTCTTTAATTTATATTTTAAGTACACTTTACTAGCAATTGTAAAAAAATTATTAGTTACTTCACCTATTATACCTAACAAATTATCGAAATAGTTGAAAAATTTATCAGGATAATCGAAAGTGTGCGGTCAGTTACATATAGTAAAGACAACGAATCATCTACTTTTGTGTAAGATTAATTATCAATAATTCGTATTTGATAGTAAGTGAGCTTATTATAAAAAAATATAGTCCTATTATCCCTACTTACCTATTATACCTTAATGCTCATTCATAATCTTCATTCGGGGAAACTCTTGAGAGTTTTTAATAACATTGAAAATTTATTTGGTTATTTCATTAGTATTATTTTTAAATTAAAATTAACGTCACATATTATAGATTGTAAATAGATGTATTTGAAATTTAAATGTAAATACATAAATGTTATTGTATTATAGTTTTCTTATTTATCCTGATAAAACCTAAGAAAGAATGGGGAAATTTTTAAATAACTTACATCAAATTTAAATGAAAAAAATTGTAAATATAAGGTTTTAGTGTTCACTATATGCATTTTAGCACGTTAAAATATGCATTATTTTGAACAAATACCACATGTACTATGGATCATAGGTTCACAACCTAGATAAACTAATTTATATTTTTATGGTTACATTCCATTTTATCACTCTTGTATAGACACTTTAAAGTTCAATTGCATGTTATTAAAGTTTTAATCGTCGATAAAGTAATTTTGGAATTATAATTGTCAGTATGATTAATACTTAAAACACCAAATTTGATAAAATAATGAACATCAAAAATACATATAGTGTTCGTCAAAATTAGCGACTTAGAAAAAAATTGCTTCTTACTACATCTCAAATGGGGAATTTGTGGAATCCCCAAAAAGTTGAGTTTTTAAACATTGTTTCATTCAAAGTTCGCGGGATCAACCGCTTTGAGTTGATAAGGGACGTTTCTACTTTTTCGATACTATGAGGCTATCCCTATCGAAAATCACAAGTACCTAGTACAGCTATATTCTATTTTTTTAACTACAAGAAACTTTTATGATACTTACTATGGTAATACCTCTTCTTTTATAAATCGGTTTAGACTAACAGTGGGCCCCATTAGAATTTATCCTAATGGTATACATCTGAAAAAAATATATCTTAACAATAATGTATCATCCATATGATAGTTCCTTTATATCCCTACCTCTTTACCAACAATTATTAAAGTAAGCTCACTTACTAATGCCTTACAGATAAGGAATATTTAATTATTATCCACTTGTTATTGTGACAATAAGAAGTCGTCACATGATAGAATGGTCTTATATATATAAACAATTCTTTTATCCGCGGTATAGATGTTTATTTTAAGCACTACGGAACTTTGTTAAAAAACAAATCGTCAATTATAGAAGAATGGTTGTGGAAACTGCTGATGAAACTTCCAAGATCTTAGTTTTTTTTGTCAACGGAAAAAAGGTTGGTGAATTATCGCAATATTTTAGTAATTTCATAAGAGTTTCCGGGAAGATTGATGTTAATGAACTTTGCTAAACTATAAAGGAAGTTCGTAAAACAAAAAAAAATCATAGCCTCCCTTAAAAATCACTGCTCCTGATGTTTTGTTCTTTCAAAAATTTTATGAAGAAGAAAAGTAATTTACGCTTAATTTTTTTGACCACTCATCATAAAAGAGCCAAAAATTGTTTAAAAAGTATCTGATATAACAAATATTTTATATGAAAACTTCCTTTAAAATTGGCAATATTCACATATTCCAATGATATTCCAGGAAACCCTTTATGCTCATTTGCCTTTTTCCTACAGTATGTTGTAACGATACTGGTAATTAAGGAAAACTAAAAATAAATCTACTTAAATTATCTAGGAAAGTAATCTAAAAATTATATATTATTTATTTTAAAATTGACTTAACTGCATTATTAACTTGCTAGTTATGTCGAAACTTTCTTTGTGTATTAATCTACTTTCTTACATTTAAACCTATTCTTTACGAAGGCTTGAATTTTTGAAATACAGGGTGGCCGATAATTCGCTTTACCGAAATTGCTATCTACTATCTATCGACTCCGAATCGACGAGTGCCTTTACTTCGGTAAAGCGACTTTTATCGGCCACCCTGTATATTCAGTAGTTTTCATAGGATTTGGGAAATGCTTTTACATTGAAAGTCCTATACTCAAGAAATTGTAGGTATAAATATACCTACACTCTTAAGATTGAATCAATTGACTTTTTTTATTTGTAGTTTTACAAAACATATGTATAAGATTCTATTGAAAAACATCATCTTCAATTTAAGAATTTAACGTAAAATTTTCTAGGTAACACCTGTTGAAAAATACTTAACTTCTAAATATACAGGGTGGTTTTTAATAACATACCTACTAATACTGAATGGGGTGTTTCTTGGATCCATTTAAAAAAAAAATCCTATTAACAAAAAAATTTACAAACGAATGCATTTATTTTTTTATGCACGACGGTGAGTCGTACAAAAAAAAAGTGAACGAATCAAATTTGTCCTGAATTGAACGGGGCCTCCAAAATTATTTTTATTATAAGAAAAAGCAATGGCGTACCACCTTAACCCTCAAAAATATTTCGCCTGAGTCCAGTACGGACGCCACTGTTGGAAATAAAAAAAAATATTTTTTTGGATCAAAAAATGCACTTTAATGCATAAACGCCGTACGCCAAATTGCATAAAAATATTTAAAGTGGAAATGACAATAAAAAATTTATTTTTTTCTTAAAACTTTTTTTTCTTAACACCATATATCTCAAGAGTTAAGACGTTTAGGACATATGTTCATATTAAGTTTTTTCTTAAAATAGGCCCAAGAATCACCCCCCTCAGTATTAGCATGTTATTAAAAAACACCTTGTATAATTTTTTGTTTAGTAAAAAAATTGTTTTTTAAATAAAAAAGCATAAGTTGAAAACAAATATGGAAATGAATGGAAATGATGTTATCTCTGGCATGCGTTGTAGATTGTAATCGATTTGAATAAATATTGTTTTCTAAACGAAATTAAAAATAATTGGGAAATACTAACGTCGAAGTATTCCGTTCCAAAAATAAATAACAAAATATAAATTGAGTACAATCGAATGTCCTTTGCCAGGGGCTTCATAAATATAAATCATACATATGTACATAGGGGTAGGTAACAATTATTATTAGTTCGAATAATTTCTGATAAGTTTCTGATAGCAATGAGTTTTGTGTTTTTTTGTAGAAGATTTATTTAAAAAATATTACTAAGTCCTGATTTTTTCAAAACATCTCATTTTTTTTTAGTTCACTAACATCCAAAAAATAACTAAATTCAACAAAATATTAGGTATCTTCTAACAATTTTTTAAGAAAAAGGGTTATTAGTTTAAGTTTTGTAGGACTGAGTAACTTTTGTAAGAAATATTGTTAGAATTTATTTTTTAATTCGTTTAAATTTCTTTTGTTTATGTTTTTCTTAAATTAATATTTACATAAACAGCAGATAAGTCAATGGAAATTTTCAACAAATTATATGACCCTAGTAAATTATATTAAGAGCGTTTAGTAAGTTTTAATTTACCTTTAAAATTCATATTACATATTATTAATGTCTTTTATACCTGAAAAAACTTAGATGAGATTTAGATAACTCGTAAGGATAAAAGCGCTCTATTATCTAATTGTTCTTCAATGAGGATAATATTACGATGTTTACATTGCACAAAGCTACCTGCGAATTTTAAAAACAAGATTTTTTTGTGTTTGCTTTATGTATTTTTATTGTCTTCGCATTAAAATATTTACATAGTACATACATAGATACATCCGGTTATTTACATATCTAATTTTATTACAGATTGTAGATGATAACGTTGATCCAGAATTAACCCTATTGCAGTATTTAAGAAACAAATGTATCCTTTTAAAATATGCAGTTGCAAGATTGCTTAATTGATGCAAAATTAAGGACGTTTAGTTCTGTTCTATTGCATTTTCATTTGGTTTTTTTTCAATTGACAAGTACATCTTGTACTTTTTCTCTGGCGAATTTCTTGCAGATATTGCAAAAAATATTTTTCTTAACTATCATTTATATCCACAGTAAGATTATGCGGCACGAAATTAGGATGCGGAGAGGGTGGCTGTGGTGCTTGCACTGTTATGGTTTCCAGATACGATAGAACCAAAAATAAAGTAATGTATCCTTTTCAAACATGGAAATTTTGGAATAACGTTGTAAAAATATTTGTTTTTCACCTGTTACATATTATAAAACCAATATTTACCGAAGGAGAATTTGCGTAACCACTAACGTAGAATTTGTTTTTGTATTATACCTGTTTTTTTAACAATGAAATTTTTAATCCCTTTTATATGGGGCAATTGAAAGGAAATATCTTCTTAACATTATTGCGTTGGTTTTTTTTCCTATTAGACTCGTGCTTCAACTTGTTTTTGTTTGCATAAGAATGCAAAGTAAAATCTTTTAATAACGTTAATGGTTAGAAAAACATTATAAAATAAAATAAGTTAATCCTGGCCATAACGCAGCAAATTTTGTTTTATAGTTAGATTGCGCTTCTCCTGTAATTTGTTTCATAACAACCGTAAATTGCAACGTTTACGACTTGCACAATATTCCTTAACACACACTTTAGACACATACCGGTTAATGCATGTTTAGCTCCAATATGCTCAATGCACGGACTAGCTGTAACAACAGTGGAAGGAATCGGCTCCACCAAAACCAAACTCCATCCAGTCCAAGAGCGACTAGCCAAAGCTCACGGCTCCCAATGCGGCTTCTGTACCCCCGGCATCGTCATGTCGATGTACACCCTGCTGCGCAACTCCCCCACACCCTCCATGAAAGATATGGAAACAGCTTTCCAAGGCAACCTGTGCAGATGCACCGGCTATAGACCCATTATAGACGGGTTAAAAACGTTCACCGAAGATTGGGAAGTCGTACATAAATTCTCCAACGGTAACGGGGTTTGCGGATTGGGCGATAAATGCTGCAAGCTTCAGAACGGCTCGGCGCCAGTGCACGAATTTGATAGTTTGTTCGAATCGAGCGAATTTACTCCGCTCGATCCCACCCAAGAACCGATATTCCCGCCTGAATTGAAATTAACTGATAAGTACGACAGGCAGTACCTTACGTTCAAGAGCGCCGATGTTACCTGGTACAGACCAATAACTTTACAACAACTATTGGATTTAAAACATAAATACCCCGAAGCGAAAATTGTGGTCGGCAACACGGAAATCGGCGTAGAAACTAAATTCAAGCATGTGACTTATCCGGTGATAATTCAGCCTGTACTTATACCGGAATTGACCAGAATCCAGTCAACGGAGCGTGGAATTCGAATCGGAGCATCCGCCACTCTTGCTGATATCGAGGCGTACATTCAAAGAGAAATTCGCGATAAACCTAAATACCAAACCAGAATTTTCAAAGCTATGATAAGCATGCTTCACTCGTTTGCTGGTAAGCAAATCCGCAGCGTCGGAGCTTTAGGCAGTAATATAATGACTGGAAGTCCAATTTCTGACATGATTCCTGTACTCATGGCTGCCAAGTCTACTTTGGAATTAGCAAGCAAAAATTCCACAAGGATTGTTACTCTAGATTCCAATTTCTTTACGGGTTACCGTAAAAGTATAGTTGAACCCAACGAAATACTTTTAAGCATACACGTCCCTTACACCCAGCATTTCCAATACTTTGAAGCTTACAAACAGGCTAGGAGAAGAGAAGACGATATTGCTATAGTCAACGAAGCGATTAATGTGGTGTTTACCCCAAGAACAAACGTAATAGAATCCATAAGTTTCGGAATAGGAGGTATGTCGTTCAAAACATTAACAGCACCTAAAACCGAAGCTAGGTTAATAGGTAAACCGTGGGACAAAAGTACTTTGGACCTTGCATTAGACTCGTTAGCGGAGGATTTACCATTATCCCCAGATGCACCAGGTGGAATGGTATCGTATCGAAAAACCCTAACATTAAGCTTATTTTTCAAAGCGTTTATCGCAATTTCCACCGAATTGAAACAGTACTTACCCGCAATCGAAGTCGATCAAGTTGAGTTCAACAGGAACCAATACACCGCTCAGAAACACCACAATACTCAGAACTTTAAATCGATTGTACCACCAATAGTACACAGATCAGCCTACAAACAAGCCACAGGCGAGGCTATTTACTGCGATGATATACCCAGATTCGAAGGGGAGTTGCAAGGTGCGTTTGTATTGAGCACCAAAGCTCACGCTCAAATTCTCAACATCGACGCATCGGAAGCTCTGACCATGGAAGGAGTCAGGGGGTTCGTATGCGGCGAAGATGTTCCGGGGAAAAAGAAGTGGGGTATGGCGATTCAAGATGAAGAGGTTTTCTACTGGGACAAGGTGACTTCTGTAGGACAAATAATCGGGTTGATAGTCGCTGATACCCAAACTATCGCTCAGAGGGCTGCTAGGAAAGTTAAAGTGGAGTACAAAGACTTGGAGCCCATTATAGTGAGCATCGAGGACGCAATTAAATTCAATTCATTCCATGAGATAGACCGGAGTATTGAAAAAGGGTCCGTTGAAGGGATATTCGAGAAGAGCAAGCACGTGTTAGAAGGGGAGGTACGATGTGGTGGACAGGAGCACTTTTACTTGGAGACTCACGGATGCATCGTCGTACCCAAAGGAGAAGATGACGAAATGGATGTGTACTCCTCTACTCAAAATCCTACTGAAATTTCGGTGAGTATTCAACGACATTGTGGTATGTTACGATTATTTCAATGTATCTTTTCCAGAAAATAATCGGTCAAGTCCTGAACATCCCCCAAAGCAAAGTGATAACGAAGGTGAAGAGAATCGGAGGCGGTTTCGGAGGAAAGGAATCCAGAGGGTCGATGGTTGCGTTGCCTGTGGCCGTGGCGGCGAAGAAATTCAATCGACCAATCAGGTGCATACTGGATAGAGACGAAGACATGGTAATGTCAGGATCCAGACATCCGTTTTATTTCAAGTACAAAGTGGCATTCGACGATGATGGAAAGCTGCTGGCCTGTGATGCTGATTTATATTCAAACTGCGGTTACTCATACGATTTGTCTGTTGGTGTAAGTATGCTTTTCCTTACGTCTATATTCGGTTAATGGTTCAATCATTTTCAGGTAATGGAGAGAGCTTTAACGCACATCGATAACGCTTACTACATTCCTGCAGTAAATTTGAGGTGTCACCTGTGCAAAACGAATTTAGCATCTAACACCGCCTTCAGAGGATTCGGGGCGCCACAGGGAATGTTTTTGGCCGAAACCATGGTCCAGCAAATCGCTGATTACCTCAAAAAAGAACCAGAAACCATTAGTGAGCTTAATCTCTATAAAGACGGTCTCGCAACGTACTACAATCAGTTAATCGAGGATTGCACGTTAGATAAATGTTGGACAGAATGCATGGATTCTTCGGATTTCCACAACAGGAAGAAAGCTGTTATAGAATTTAACAGGTCCGTAGTCAAACAAATAATTCCCTGATTAGAATCTTAATTTTTTTAAATTTCTAGGAAAAATAAGTACAAAAAACGCGGTATAAATATAATCCCCACCAAATTTGGTATAGCATTCGCGGTACCGTTTCTGAACCAAGGCGGAGCTTTGGTACACATTTACACCGACGGGAGCGTTCTGCTAAATCACGGCGGAATCGAAATGGGCCAGGGTTTGCACACGAAGATGATCCAGGTGGCCAGCAGGACCCTAGAAATTCCCATCGATAAAATTCACATTATCGAAACCGCCACTGACAAAGTACCTAACACCTCACCTACTGCAGCCAGCTCGGGATCCGATCTGAACGGAATGGCGGTCATGGTGAGTCATTTTGCAAAAAACATATTCTCTCTCTAAAACTAATTAATTCCACTTTTACAGAACGCTTGTCTTACATTAAAAGAACGCTTGAAGCCTTTCAAAGAAAACAACCCAAAGGGTAAATGGGAAGATTGGGTACTAGCAGCGTACCGCAGCAAAATCAGTCTATCCACCACCGGGTACTACTTCATGGCGGGATTAAACCATAATTGGAAAACTGGCGAAGGCGACCTCTTCCAATACTTCACCTACGGCGTGGGTTGCACCGAAGTGGAAATCGATACCCTCACCGGCGATCACGAGATCCTGCGGACCGACATCGTCATGGATTTAGGCCAGAGCTTGAACCCTGCTATCGATATCGGGCAGATAGAGGGCGCATTTATGCAGGGATACGGGTTGTTCGTGATGGAGGAGATGGTGTACTCGCCCAAAGGGGATACGATAACCCGCGGACCGGGAACCTACAAACTACCCGGACTCGGGGACATACCCAGAGAGTTCAATGTATCCCTGTTGAAAGGTGTTTCGAATCCTAGGGCCGTCTATTCTTCAAAGGTGGGGATATTATTTACAAAATTCGCTAAAAATATGTGTTTTTATGTTGTTTGTTTTACAGGCGGTTGGGGAACCACCCTTATTTCTGGGTTGTTCGGCACTATTTGCCATTAAGCATGCAATCAAAGCAGCTAGAGAGGAAAACAAGGTACAAGGTTATTTCAGATTGGATTCTCCAGTTACCTCTGCAAAAATTAGAATGGCTTGCGTCGATAGCATAACTTCAAGGGTATGTAATATTTTATTAAGCACTATAAATATGGTTTTCGGATTCTCTTATCTGATATATATTTTCTATTATTTAGTTCAAGGAACCAGAACCGGGCAGTTATAAACCATGGAATGTCGTAGCCTAAGTTCATTAGCATGTAAAATAATATTACTTGTATATATTTTATTCTATGTAAAGCATTATTGTACATAAATTTATATATTTATATTGCATACTGTTGTTTTTTTGTACTATTGCAGAGATAGTGGTGACTTTTTTACGTTTCTCCAAAATAATATCTAGTGTTTATAAATTTGAGAAGAATAGCTTAAGTACATATGATTCCTGATATGATATAATTCCTACAATAATTATCAACACCTTAAAACAGCGTCTTTAATCTTATTTGTAAATACACCTTGTCAAATAAAAATTTCTGATTTTTTTAAAATAATTTTCATTAACTAATTATTTCGAATTTCTTTTCAACTAAGAACTCCACTTTAAACTCGTTACTGACGACTATTGTTTATCCAGATTTTGATTGCTGTATTTTCTACCCCTGAAAGATCATAATTCAATACTGACTGATTTTAATATAGAAATTGTTTAAACATCCTTGAATTATCTAGTCATCTAGTGCACTTAATTAAAATGCAAACACTTACCATAAAAATTCATTTTCTTGCAATAAATTTTATGTCAGTACTTGTAGAAGAAATTAGACGGTATTACAAGAGTATTTAATCCTTTTTCAAGTACAAATTCCTTCAAAGGCGATGTAAAAATTAATGCGTTCTTTAATTATACTTACATAATTAAGAAATGCCTGATATACCTACCTACATATTAAATGAGACAAGAATTTCTTTAAGATACTTTTCCTTTAATTCTAACGTATGGAATTGCTGTAGAGCCAAACGAATATTGATACTTTGTAATTATCCTTTATAGAAGTAGTTATTAAGTTATCCTATCATTATTTTTCTATAATGCATAGAACATTTTTTAAATAATTTATAGTTGCACAGTTTTAACTCGGATTGCAGATTCAGAAGTAGGGTTAAGATTTAGAAGTCACAGCAATTAAAGTCTATACAATTATTAAAATATCTAGTATCATTTTTATAGGATTCATACAGATGATAACGCAAATTTTAGATATTTTCCCATAATTTAATTTAAGTAAAATTCAAACAGGCGATCTTCTTATTTTTGGTCTAGACTTGAAAGCGCACTTGCATTGCACTTTTTTGCAAATACGACACGGATCTTCTTTACGTGAACTATGAAATATCTGTAATACAATAATTAAAGGCAATTACAAATAATCAATTTTGATATTATTCACCTGCTTGGTTGTACTATCAGTCCCGTGTTCTTCGTCTTCTTCTAATTCCTTACGGATGGTATCATAGCAGGAGCATCTGTACCTACTAGTATTTTGATCAGGAAGGCATTTTATGCATCTGTAATATTTGAAATTATTTTTTATATATAAAGAACTAATAATAAGAGAAAATTATTTGTTTCTTTATATTTTAACACATTTTCTTCTTTGAAGAGATTCTTCTCTCTCTTACGGAGAATTTACGTACTCGCAATGTTCGGTGCATCCGCTTTGAAGCTTCCTGCAAACGTCTAAGTAGCACAAAGGAATTTTTGGTTGATAATTTTTGTGTAGTTTTTCCCTTTTCTTAGAGTTTTGTCTCCTTTCGTTTCTCTTTTTAAATGTTTCGTATGGTGGAAATATCTCCAGTTTATACGTTCTATTTTCATCTAATTGATTCGAATTCCAATCCTCATTAGGTCTCTCTTTAGTTTCGTCAATTTCGATACAAGATTCATTGTTGTTTGAGTTTTTGTAATTCGATGTTATTACCTGCGATAAATTCAATTATTGGGGCTAATATTTTTACTTTCGGTTTGGTTCTGTAAACTACTAAGCTATTATACAATTATTTTCTGTTGTTTTTCATGCGTTAATATTTGCTTTTTGTATAAATTTTGTGCATAGATCTACTAATTTCACACCTCTTTGATTATATCGTCTAAAATAAGGGATATATCCCGGATTCTTCTTTTCGCAGAATCGTTAATTATTTCCTTTTGAACTAAATTAGCGACCATCGAATTCACAATACCATTAATATCATTGTGCAATTTGATCACGAATTCTACGAGAGAAAAGGTTTAAATCAGTCTTAAAAATTAAAATATATATAAACAACGTTTATTCACCTAAAAGACGTTGATAATCTTCGTGGAGTTGCTTCAATGAAGAGACGTTGTTACGATATTGTTTACAACATCTATGTGGCGTAACTGACTAAAATTATATTAAAGAATGCTAGTAAAACAATTATTTTGAATAGAATTCAAATATCAACATTGTACTTACATTTGTATCACAATATTGAAGTTCTTCATTTCTGTAAAATTTGTAATTAACATTTCCACTAATATTTGTTAAAGTGATATTACTAAATTTGCATTCCTCGTCAAGTTTTTTGGCACTTTCGATAAAGCCATTATTTTTTAGAAACTGAAATTTAGAATTATCAAATACTCAAATACCAAGGTATAATAACTAATATTACGCAAAATTGATTAGCTTTGTTGGATAGAGTTAGCCCCTAAAGCTTTGTATAGGTATCTGCATCGTAAAGTGTTCTAAAGATTGACTCTCTGTATTTACTAGTTGAAAATTGCAATCAATTTTAAAAACTCACCAAAAGTACTACTTCTAGTACTCCCTGAAGTTCGTTTTTTCTGTTAAAATATGCCAAGCAGTAATATTAATCGCTATTCAAAAATAATTGTTTACCTACCCTTCGTTATCACATTCATTTTTAAATTTGTCCATTTGTTATCCAAAGGGAGTTTATATTTCTTAATAACTTTTATTGACGTTTTCACCAAACAGACTGGACGGAGATGAGAAAATTAGAAGTAGAAACGTCGAGAATACAATCGATGGGAGGGTTTTCCCGAACAGCACGCGAATATTTTGCACTCCAGTGCCGTGTCTTCGGCAGTTTTAAAGGAAATTCTTAAAATAGCTGCTTGATAATAGTGAAGATACAAGAATGAAACATAAGGGCGAATCGAATACGAACTGGAATTTTGCTTTAAAAGAATTAATAGTAAGTTAAACATAATTTTGAATACATCTGATATTTCTATGTAATTTCCTCTTTTATTACCACAAATTTCCCAGCGAATCGAAAGTTTTTTGCGCACAAACGTTTCCACACCTTCATAGTTCGTTGAAGTGTTGACCTCCTGGTTCTTCTTTGAGTGGCCTAAACATGTGATGATTACATGGCGATAAATCGGGACTGTAGGGTGGTTGTTCTGGAGTATTTTCCAATTTGATTTTGTCCAAGTTTTCTTGAGTTAATGCAGCTGTGCTTGGCCGAACGTTGCCATGGAGCAAAATCGCACTTCAAATATGCTTTTCCTGCCTTTTTTGTCGATAGGCCAGCTTCACTTCATCAAAAAGTTGGCAGTAGTACACACCATTAACTGCACTTCGTTCATAAAGAAAATCTATGAGCAATATGCTCCGCTTCAATCCCAAAAAATCATCTCAAGAACTTTCTCAACAGAAAGACGAATCTTGGTTTATCCCATTGTTGCTCCTTCAGGTTTTCACAAATTTCTTTTTACCATTCGTGGAGTTGAATCCTTGAAAGAATGTTTCCAGTGAACTGTGTAGTTACTCCGACGCAAAATTTTGATAGGTTTTATGCTCTTCCGCGACAAAAATTTAATAATAATGCGGTGCTCAACAAACCTGTGCACCTCTTGCTCAGACATGATGGTAGTAACAGCCAATCAGCTCTAACGAGCCAAACTGATTTAGGTACTATTTATTTTACATCCCCATGCAACATTATGTCATTATATCAAGACGTCATGTTACTCACTTCACCTATAGAGAGCGTTAAAAAGAAAATTCCTGTTCATATTTGCGCCCTCGTAGAAGAACTCTGATTCATAGTATCCAGAAATGCTATTTGTTTCTATTATCCTTCTCATCAATGTCCTCTGTATAGTCAAGGAGCAACAAATAGGAACGACATAGGTACTTGAGTTGACTAGTGTTTGCTATTTGTAATTATTTACCCTATATTTCATACTCAAAGGAACCTTTCCACCCCTCTGGTTAGCGTGTTTTCGAATTTATTGTATTAAAATTTATCAAAAATATACATATTAATAAGTCGATATTATTCCGCAGAACGAAGCGCCGGGCCGCTTTCGTACCTTTCCGTGTTATCCTCCGTTACGTTATATTCCGGAAGTCGTTTGTCGGTTGTTACGTTAGATAACAGGCCTCTTAGAGGGTAGTATTAATTAGTATTAGTATTAGAGATTAGAGGGTAGTATTAATGCGATGTGTGAGGGTCTCTGTTCTTCGACGTCGTGGAAATGTTTGTCAATGTTGCAATTGTACAGGGTGTCCCGCATAAAAACCGACACAGGGGCGTGTAGAGGAGCTCAACATACGTTGTTTAACCTTTAACTTTAAATTAATACAGACAATTTTTGAATTATCGACGATTTTAAGTAACATTGATAGTGTACATGACTTTATTCTTTAGCGTTCTTCATCAAAACGACAAAGAATTTAAAAACAAAAAGAGTGAAACAAATTTTAAATTGAAATTACCTACAAAATGAACTTATAATTTTTTAAATCATCCATCAGGTAAATAAATTCAAAGTGCACTTTGAAAACCTATAACTCCTCAGGAATGTAACTTTGTATTTTGTTAAGCTGTGTTAAACAACATATTTTATGCTCCCCTGCATGTCCTGCTCTGTGTCGGCTCTTATGCGGGACATCCTGTATATTTATAAATTATTTAACAGAAAATAATTGATCTTTAGAAGAGTGTGATTGATGATAACGTGCCATTTTCAAGCGAGAAAAAATATTAATTAATTACTAAACGACTTAATTACTAAGCAGGCTTGACTCTTCAGAAGTATCTGTGAAAGTTGCTAAAATGTGGGAAAATAAGCATAAAAATAAAGGGAATGCGAGAAGAAAAAATACACTATTATTATATTATAGAATATTTATTTTTCTGGAAGGTTAAAATATTTTTTAAAATTATTAATAAATGCTAATCGAGTACTAAAAACTCTGAAATAGCAATTTTTTTGGACCTGTGCGCGGCTTCAAGGCGCGAATATCTAACCAAGTATTGAGACATAACTCATTTATATACTTTTAAAAATAATCAGATGAATTTTCAATTTTTAACTTATAATTTCGAAAATTTAACGTCTTCATCTTTCGTCATAACTCCTGTAGCAGCTTGAACCAAGTCCTCGCTCTGAAGGTTCAGTTGATTCCACAATTTCTAAAACATCAAAAAAAAATTACAATCTTATTAATTAATCTTTTCTTATAATAAGGTAAGGATAATGGACAAAAAAGACGAATAAAAACGAAACAAGGAGTAATAAATGTTTCCTTACAATATGATCTAATCCCTCTTGAACAGTATGGTCACGGGAATATAGCAAATTAGCTTTAGTAGTTTGGACAGCTACAGGACTTTTTTTTGCAATAACTTCAGCTATTTTTAAAGTTTCTTCTAATAACCTAAAATGGCGAAGACGAGTTTAGTTATGGTATTTACTACTGATCAAATATTTACTCATTATGAGTCCCAAATACTCTGGAAACCAGACCACAAGTCAGCGCTTCATCGGCGTGCATTTTCCTTGCAGTATAACACAATTCTCTCGCTAAACTATCTGAACCAATAACTTTTGGGAGCCTTTGTAACGAACCGACATCAGCCGCTAATCCCACTTCCACCTAAAAACCACCATCTGTTAATTACAAAAACGATTACTTCTAAAATAAGTTCAGTCTCCATACTTCTTTGACTTGAAACCAGGCGTCTTTAGAGCAATATCTAATATCAGCCGCCGTTATCAGGTCCACTCCAGCACCGATGCAAGCATTGTGAACTGCCGCTAATATGGGTTTTTTGCATAATTCCAAGGAAGTCATCGATGCTTGATAGGTTTCGATTAACTTGTGGAATATTTTGGCTTTCCTTGCCACATCGTCTTTTTCCCCGACCTGTTGGGCCGTTGTGACGAAATCAGACAAGTCTATGCCTATAAATGGTTGTAGATTGTTGGTTTTTTAGTTGCAAAAGAAAAATTGGCAAAATTTGATATATGGATAAGTGCAAATTTGTTTGTAATATGGCCAATTACACAGAATAACAATCAAAGGGACAGAAATACAGGATATCCCGCATAAGAACCGATACAGAGCAAGGGAGTGTAGAAGAACTAAAAATATGTTGTTTAACACAACTTAAACTTAATATAAAGTTACAATCCTGAGAAGTTATAGGCCTTTAAAGTGGAGTTACAATTAAAAGAAAAGTATATATACAGGGTGTTTCTGAAATAAGTGGTCAAACTTTTAAAATTCAAAAACCTTAAATGTAATTTTATCGAAATGTCAAGTTTTTGAAAGAATTCCCTCCTACTAGATATTTAAAGAAACTCGTTTAATATCTCCCTGTATATCTCATTGTCAGCAATACTCAAACTTAAAACAACTAAATTGGGTATATGTTATGATATCGTCGACAATTCAAAAGTTGGCTGTGCTGTGTTAAATTAAGTTGAGTATTTTAAGGGACACCCTGTATTTTTATAATTACCTGCGGTAAACATTTTTCCTTCGCCAGAAACGACGACGGCTCTGCAATTCTCGTCTTCGCTGATTTGTTCAAAGCACTGCTTGATTTCTCTAAAACAAGTTAATTTGCAAGATCGCGTAAATAATTATTTGTATTACGCGTACTTACAGCCACATCGCATGGTTAAAGGCGTTTCTTTTCTCCGGCCTGTTTAATTTAATGTGATAAACGTACTCCTTCGGAACGCCTACCGATAATGTTTTGAATGCTGTTGAAGACATTTCTGCGAAGTTTTTCAAAGTGTCTGGAGGTAAATTGTGTTAGAAGTGTATTTGAGGTGTAAATATAATAAACTTACCACTCCCAATAACAGGTCGCAACAGGTTGGAAGATTTAGAAAGTACAGATTGCATGTTACTTCTATTTTTACCAAAAATTGGTGGAGTAATAAAGCATTAAGGCGAGAACTAAAGATATAGCAAATATAAATATGAAAATTAATGTATCTGGAGATTATACGTGAAAATTAATTATAGTTTACATGTATCAGTTAAACGATCAAAGTTCAAACACTTTATTTTTGTAAACGTTACAAATTTTTATTATGTTTGGTTAGGTTGTTTGTTATTGGTTATTGGTCTGTAATAAAAGGCCTTGACTGCTGCAACTGTTCAGCTCAACTATGTAGCCTCTGTTTTTGCGCCTATTCTGTTAAAATTACATATAGGAATTTGGCGAGAAATTATTCAAATAAATTTATTGTTTTATGTGACGAGAAAACCATGGAGAAAGAAAGTCTTTTATCTTTGGAGAAATGAATTCTATAGACAAAATATAATATTTCCTTCACTGTGGAGAAAACCTACTCTAATGTAAATTTCATTTCAATTTTCAATAGGTAGTCCTAGCACACTATTTAAAACTGTCCAGAACCATTTAGAACATTTCAGAATCATTTAGAATTGTCTATAACCATTTAGAATGCTCCAGAACCATTTACAGCTGTCTGGAACCATATATAACGCTCCAGGACCGTTTAGAATGGTCTAGAACCATTTAGGATTGTCTAGACCCGTTTAGAACGCTCCAGAATCATTTAGAACTGTGTATAACCATTTAGAATGCTCCAGAACTGTTTACAGCTGTCTAGAACCATATATAACAGCTCCAGAATCATTTAGAACTGTTTAGAACCATTTAGTAGCGTCCCGAATTATTAATGAAATGTATTAAAAAAAGTTGATTTTATGTCATGCACTAAAAAAATGCAAAATTTGTAAACTAGTGTCATTTTTAATACTTATCAATAGATTTACATATTTACATCATTATACTCTTTACAAATTTACATTCTATTCTAATCATCGTCTAACCGTTGCCTTACATTTCTACCACCCCCAAACTTCTTCCTCTTTTTAAACGACGCGGGACCACAATCGTCTATATTTTCCACAGTTTTCTCTTTAAACTCTTTCTTTATCGGTTCCGGTTCGTATTGCACAGGACACTCGGTCCACTCCTCTTGTACAACGGGTAACTGCAAATCCATTATCGGCTCCTCTTTTACTGTTTTCCACTTGCCGTAGGGATCGTTCTTGCCGGGCTCTATAATAGGCCCGTACTCGGGCGGTGGTGTTTCCTCTTTAACTCTCCTTTCTTTAAGTTTCTCTCGCTCGATTCTCGCCCTTTCTTCTTCAGCTTCGGCTTGTTGTTGTCGAGCGATTTTCAAACCCTCCATTTTACGTTGTTTATCCAGTTCTTTGAGCTGGTTATCCGCTCGTTTGTCTCTGATTTGAGCTTGCTCTTCGATGGTCGAGTAGCCCTCTTTCGGGGGTTCCCAAACGGATTCGTTCGTTAGGGTGTTGTAATAGTAAACGTGGCCTTCTTTCGATTTAGCTTCGCACCAAATCTTATTTGAGCTACCGCTGAGTTCTAAATTATCTTCTTTTAGTTTTTTGGAAATTGCAATTGAAGTCAAGTCGGCGCTGGAGTTAGATTCGACGTCGCGACGGTAGGCGACCATGGCGGCTGCTTCCATTTTCTTGATGGCGACATCCACTTGTTCTTCGGCCTTTTGGGCCCGTGCGCTGGCTTTGGAGATGTTTTTCAGACGTTTTTTCACGTTTTCCTGATGCCTGCGGCCTTTTTCGTGGAATTCCACGCTCGGTCTGTTGTCTGCTATCCAACATTTGCAGAAGTCGCAGTATTTCCGATCGTTTGATTTCCAGTAATCCGCCATTTTGTGCACAGATGAAAATTATATTAATTTTGAAATATGAATTATTAATACCAGTAATAATGCACTGTTTTTTGGGATTTATTAAATCAAATTTGTATTTTACTTGTTATTGTTGACTTTACTTCACTAGACATTGACTGTCAGTGTCAACTTGTCAACTGTCAACTTAATAATGTTCTTCGTTTTCTTCTTATAAATACGTATTTTAGACTTTTGCAATTGACACATTTAGCTACCGTTTGAATCAATTTTTTTTGAAATTGTGGTAAAAAATAATTAACAATTCATTTTTGAACTCTTTATTGAGCAGCTATTGCGTATAAATATTTTGGTACAAAAATATTTTAACCGATGTACATACATACTGCCTCATATTACTACATGCTAAAATCGAAGGAAACCTTTTCAGACTTTTCCAGATCGGCGTAAAAATTTCTGCAGACATCGGCAATAAGAAGAATGAGATAAAGAGCGATAAGTTAAGGAAGAAATTGAGAAAATTAGGTTGTTAAGTTTGTGGTGGTTCTATCTTTATTGAAGTGTCGGCAGAACATTTACACGTAATCAAATGGTTGGTATTTAAACAGGGTGCGATGGTAAAATTTACCAATGGCCATGACCCCATCCGTTGCCCCATCCGTTACCCCATCCGTTACCCCATCCTCCGTGTCCCCATCCACCGACAACACCTGAAAATAAAGTATTTTTCCAATGAAATTACCGATAAAATTAGTCGATGCCGGTCTATAGTGTACGGTCTACCATAATATTCGCGGTCTACCTAATATTTTCTTGGTCTCTTATGCGATCTACCTATAAGTATACCCCGTCGCCCAGGTATATTTAAATACCCGTTTAAATATTATACTGGTACTTCCCCCAATTTTCTAAATATGTGTTTATACAGGTTTGATTCATTTTAGTTTACAAGATAGTGATATTGCAGTGATATTGAAAGAGTGATATTGTGTCATTGCAACTTTTCACTCTAATAACTGTTTTTTTTAATCTTTTTTTGTTCAAATCAATGAAATAAGAAATGACCATTTTGCAAACTGAAATGTATTCTGCTATTTTCGTAATAAATTTGGGTAGACCGCATACCCCAGATCGACACCAATTGCTTTCTTTCTGGTAAAATTGTACTATCCTGGACAATAGATCTAGGTAATGAGCATTCCGATTGCATAAATACCTTTCATAAATCCACATTTGGAAAAAATCCTTCACTTTTCAATAAACATTTAAATAATTTTTCTATATTCAACTGATTAATGTGAATACGTACCGAGAGCGGGACCGGCAATGACGGAAGGCGCGGCTACGGCCGGAGTCAGAACGGCACCGTGGTTAACGGGTCCGACGACAGCACTAGGTCCAGCCCTGGGTCCGATGATAGCAGAAGGTCCTTCGACGGGTCCGATCACGGCAGCACCGGGAGCGTGCGGTCCAACGACGGCGGCTCCGTGGGCTACTGGACCAGCCAAGACGGCTCCGTGACCGCCCCAAAGGGCACCGTGTCCCCAGGAGGGGGCAGCCGAAGCTACGGCCAAAGTGGCGAACAAAGCAAGGACCTGGAAATCAAACAGTTTATTTAGATAATGTTTCAAAATCTGTACAAAATTGAAATCAATAATTTGAAAAAACTACCCAATTATGGTATAGCATGGTATATGTTAATAAAAATTGCAAAAAATAATTTGCCATGCTTGGTTTAGTAATATATGTAGATTTGAAATATGAGGTAAATATGTACTTACCAGACTGTTCATAGTGATATCTGTCTTCAACACTGATTGTCCACCACTAACCCCGTATCCGTTTATATAGTCGCATTTTGACCTTCTCCACTTCTGTTTTTTTATATTTTTTTTTGCATTTTTTTATAACTGCATACAAACCAATCTTAGTACAATACATATATGTCTTAGTTGAAAAATTATGTATGTAACAATTGCCAACGCCTAGCGCAAAACTGTATGCAATTAAATCGAAATAGTAGGTATTTAATGCTTGTAATTATTTTAAAATTTATTCGATATTTAAAACTGATAAAAACCGATTAAAATCTCTAAGGTTCTTACCATAGAAAAATAAATTTATATTTTGTCTATGGACTGTATAAGTCTAATGTGTTATAATTTCTCTTCAATTTTATGTAAATATTAATCTAATTATCTTATAATAGATCCTATAGATATATGTGCGAGAAGCTTAATAAAACAGACAAATTTCGTATAAACTTCGTATTTCAAATTTCGTATAAAGAGTAGCATAGGCATAGAAATTCCTAGTTTACAAATTTAAATTTTCTTATTTAAAAAAGCCTTGTTGATCTTCATGCGCAATTATTGGACACCTTTGTTGAAGATATAATACATAACTTTATCAAAAAGTTCCTTGGTAAGTTAATTTCTAAAATTAAACGTAATAAACTAAATCATTCCGTTTCGTAACAAACGGTTAATGGACTATAACGAGTCAACGTGCAAGTGCAAGATCAAGTGCGACGCTAGTTGTATACAGGGGATTCACTCAAAGTGTGTTATTCAAAAAATAGAATATCGATTCAAACTTATATCTGCTTCTAAAGAGGATATATGTACCCGTCTATAAACCATGAAATTACAAAATAATAATTACATATTAATTTGTATCTATTTTATGAAGAATCTAGTAAAATAATTCGCCTCAAATGTTTCTTAGTGAATATCGGCAGAGGAAAAAACAATAAAGTGCTCTCCGTATTACATTTTAATTTTCCTTTTTTTAATAAACATTACCTTCTCTTAACCTATTTAAATGCGAAAAAGTATTCTTCAAGATATAAAATCTTTGATCATTCATGTCGCTTTGCTCAGTACAAATGCGGACGTATTAGAAAGAACAAATGAATGCCAGCAGGGCTGGGCTACGTTAAGAAAAAAAGGCGGCAAGGCCGCGTAACCGTATAAAACAAGATTATTAAGATAAATTGAATAAAACCTGAATGTACACCTTATAGTATTTGTATTAATGCAGTTATTAGATATTAAGAGTTCCTGATCGTAACATGAAATTTACGGTAAATATGCTTTTATAAATGCCTTTTTTTGTTGTACAGTACATTTAACTAGTTATTTAATTATATTTCATCTTTTTATTGGTTCGAATTACTTCCTTTTTTAACTTTATTTACCATGGTGCTTACTCTAACATTATACAATAGCTCATACGCCTAATTATTTTCAGCTGTGGTTTTTAGTCCTCTCGGGCTATTCTCTATCGGCCTCCGCCTCTTTAGTTCCTGTAGTTACTAATCCAGGAGGTATCGGAGGCATTTTCAAAGGACCTGATTCAGAAACTATAGTTCAAGGACCAGATGGTAGCCTCATAACAGCCCAACAGGAAGGGGGCCTCATCCAAAGGGAATTTGAACCTATAGTTGCGGCCGAGCAGGAAGTTTTACTTCCAGCGTCTCCAGAACCTCCAGTACATTCAGTACTTCCAGTAGTATCCACTCCCCGCATAGTACCAATCTCACCTGTAATCACTGGAAGCGGTGAGGTACACGCAGTTGATGTACCTTTATCCGTAGGGAAGCCTATCGAAATTGTGGAACCAGATCCGCATATAATAGAAACTGAAATCGTAGATGGCCCTGCCATCGAACCTAAAGGTTCCACTGATTTAGTTGGACCATCAGGGAGAATTTCAACTAAAGGTTCAGAGTCTATCGTATCAGGACCAGCGTCGACTACCATCACTAGTAAGTCGCTTTCTATCAATACTTTTTGACTAAGTCAGTATTAATGAATATATTTTCCAGAAAATGCAAAAATTCTGATCGCACCACTTAAAGTATCAGCAGTACAAGTGTTAAATTCGGCAGCAATACCAGCGGTTAATCATATTCCGATAGTAGAAGTCAACAATGAATTACCTCAATCTTCTTCACCGGTGGTAATTTCTTCGACAATTTCACCTCCCGTATATTCGACCCCAGAACCGCCTGTTTTGCAACAAAAAGTGATACCTCTCGGTGCGATAACCAATGTTTCACCAACTCTTATTTCAACATTGGAACCGCCCAAAGTCTCTTTGAATTCACAACCAGTACTTTTAAACCAATATGATATATCTTCTCCACGTCCACCACTTCCTTACTTGGGAAATATTGGCAACGGAGGTCAAGATTTGGCAATAATTGGTACTCCGGAGAGGCCAATTGAACAATATTCTTCCACTTTATCACCTCAAAATGTTCCTGATGTCGATAGAAATGGCTTGGGAAGACCAGTATTGGCGAATGATCAATCAATTTATCAATTAAATAATAATGGTTACTTAGAAGGAGTTGTCCCCTATAATCAAAGGGTACCTTTAGTGCACACCAGCAATCAAGAAATTCCCACTTTAGGTAGCAATGGCTACGATCAATCAATTAGTACTACAGGAAGACCGGTTTTACTTACTGGAGAGGAATACACATCAACTTCGGTCCCTATTGGCTCTGCCAGTCCTGACATTCTTAAACAAGGATTAGAACTCGGTGATCAACAAATCTACCAATCGGGATACAACGGTAACTTAGACCAAGTTAACTCCCCTAATCCAGAAGTCTCATTACATACCAGTAATCAAGGAATTTCAACCGTAAGCGGCAATGGATATAACCAATTAATCAGTACTACAGAGAGACCTACATTAATTTACAAAGATCAATACGCATCAACTGTAGCTCCTCCAGTGGGATCTACTGACCAAAGGGTGGTATTAATCGGTGGGGAAGGAAGCAGTGGAGTTGCTACCGGACATCAACCACCAACTCAGGAGGAATGGCTGATAAACAGACAATATGCTGTCGATCCTGCGCAAATACCTCAACATAACATAGTACCTCCCGAGATTAGCGTACCGAAACTACCAGGGAATATACCGAGAGCGCCGGGACTGCTGTCGCCGAATATTCAAAGAATCGATAAGGCCGATTTGCAAAGATTCGTTCCAGAAGCGGACCGAACGATTCAAAACGGATATTACCAGAACGAAATCATCGTTGGAAACACCGATAGCAAGGCGATTCCTCTAAGTGATTCTCAGACATATGAGCTTGTTCAATCACAGCGATATGACGACAACATCGAATCCAGCTTATGGAACAGATACGGCAGAGAAAGTAGGAAAGTACCGTTGAAATTCTGATAGGGTGAAGATTGCTATAATATAAATACGCGAATATTTTGTTGATGTTGATAAATGCGCATAAGGGTTATCTGTAGACAATAAATTAACAATTGCAAAGTAGAACAGGGTAGGATTGTAAGGTTTTGTTTTACAGAGGTGACTCTCCTAATACTTAATGTTAACATTCAATTTTTATATTTATTAACATTTAAAACAATAATTGATATTTATTGAGAAAATTACTGCCTACTTCTTTTAGAAGAATAAAATCGATTTAAGAATTTAAATAGATGACCCTTATTCACCTATTTACAAATAATAATTTTAACGTACCTATACTATTTTTGTGATATAACCTACATGTAATCTCTTGTATTCTTTTAAAATAAAATACCACTTTGAAGAATATGTGTATCAAGTATTAACTAATAACACACAAAATCTCTCTTTGCCCGTTTATATACCTAATTTTCTCTTTAAATTTGAAGTTCATTTTCATGCTCCTTTGAAATGGATAATTGCAGATAAACAGCTCGTAGGAATTTTGATTGAAGTAAAATTGTTAACACACCGTTCAATTAAATGCGTTCATTTAACCATAAACAAGGCGTTAACAAGAGTTATTCCAACCTTGAGATATCATGCAACATATTTCCATAAAAGTAAACTAGTAGGGTGGAGTTGATTGTAAAAAAATGTCACGTTGTATACAAAAATCATTATAATTTATTATTCATTACGTACATAAAAAATGTATTAAATTATTAACTTCTATATTTATTCGAAGATCATCCGTGTTGAGCGCTCGTGTTGTGGAAAAACCGTGGAATTCGGTTCAATTTATAAAATAATTTTTTTTAGAACTGGGCCTCCAGTAGCAATCTGCAATCGACAAAATTATTGGAAATAAAAAATGTTCAAAAGTAACTGAGATATTTTAACATACAATTCCTGAAGGTCCTTCTATGAGAACCTGCGGATGAGCGGCAACTACAGCAGGAGGCGCAGCCACAATCAAGGGTTGGTGAATTAGAGGAGGAGCAGGGACCACTATCTAAAACGGAATAGATATTACTCGTATAAATATTTAATAATAAAAAGGGTATGGTACTCGAGAAGAAGGCAGGCAAAAAATATAATGAGGTATTCAATTAAAAAGTTATTTCGTTTCGTCATGAAGATGTTTTCAAAAAAGAAAATTGATCAGTGAAGAAGTTTCTAAAAATGAGCAACTTTTGGAAAAATAGCAGTTGTTGAGCAATTTACACTGTTAATGAGTAAGATATTTGCCGTGTCATTTTACTAATACACGAGCTGCTAATAGACGCACACCTCTTGAATCAAGGCGCCTCTTGAAATAGAATATATTATTACATATTATTAACAGCCTCAAGGTAACTCCACTTTCAGTTCCTGAAAATTTATTGACAACTGACCGTTTCCACCCAATTAAATTTACTGTCGTTTGCGCCCACCACTAGTACAGTAAATTCAATTAACGGTAAGTTGAATATATTAAATCATCCGACATTGGTTAGTAAAACATTACTTTGTTACGAATTAAGGCTCTATTTAAGCTTACTCTCGGTACAGGTACGATTGGTAGGATGGGCGCGACAATGCCCGGGCTAACTGCAGACGTAATCACTCCGCCGCTCTTCGGCGGGGCGATGATCTCTCCTCCGATGGCCGATCCGGTGATGATGGCACCATCGGGACCAGCGACTGTCGCCTTCACCGACGGCCCTTTCACCAGAGTACCTCCCTCGCTTGGTCCCACTATGGCCCCTGGTACAATGTGCACCAAGGAAGCTCGGCAGGACGATAGGACGCAAAGGGCGACAAATACCTGCAATTTGAGTCGTACAAGATGTATTAATGTAGGTAAAATAACATTACAATTTTATCATTTACGCTTGAAAAGGGTGTTTTAACATAAATTATGTACAGGGTGTTTCAAATGGATTCAGGACCTAACAAGGATGAAAATTAAGGTTCAAAATGTATGGAGAATGTTTGCAACAGGGGGCTTTCTTTATAGGCTGTTCCAAGTAAAATCAGGACCTAACTGAAGGATGAAAATTAAGAACCAAAATTTACAGAGGAAACAATCTACCTACTGGACAATGCTAGGTATGCTTTATGATTATTATTTTTCGGTACAAGGTGCAGTAAACAATAAATTATGTAATTATTTTTAACATCATACTATTATTTAACAACCCCCGGAAACTTTGGTGGTAAGTAGGAGTAATTTTTACCTGAAACCACTAAAGCTTTTAACCTAAATACCTGAAATAAGGTCTAAACATCGACCATTGAATACCTGCTGAGAAAATTTAAATTCTATCACAAAAAAATAAAAAAAATATCTCATACCCTTTATATTAAGCTCGAAGAATAATCTATCTTCCGTCTTTTATGCCTAACTTCCTAAAATTTACTAACTTCCATCCAATGTTAATGCTTAGCCCTTTACCCAAGAAACTCTATAATAACATATTGTTTAAATAATATATCTTACCAATAATTTCATATTGATGATATGTGAGAATGCGCTCAAAACACGTTACTATCAAAACGCAAGTATACTTAGATTACAAAACGAAATGACCGCGCGATCTGTATTTATACACCCATCGAACCTAATACGCCTTTGAATATTTTATGTATAAAATGCAACTTCTTTGTTTGCTTCAAAACAATATCGTCCTCGTAATCCCGTTTTTTATCCATTCTTCAGCAGATGAAAGGTCTGACAATGAAGCGAAATCCCCGATGCGTATTAATCGGATTAATAAAGGTTCCTTCTCCAAAATAAGGAATGATTTAAAGAATTTGACCTGCATTGAATATTAATTAGAGATTTATTGGTAGTACTTATTCGAAAAAAACCGATCACCTTGCTCGAGTTGATGTAATAATTCCGCAATCTTACGTTTCATATACATTTTAGCTGGGTTTTACTTATTGAGTAAAATAGGTTCTAATTTCCTCATTTACTTCCAATTTTTATGGTGCATAAACTATTTTGTAGGTGTAGCATAGGTATTAGGAACTAAACCAATCCACCAGGGTGTCTCGCATAAGAACCTAAAATATTAGGATAGCCTATATTGTTTAATCCAACTTTGACTTATTACATTCAACTTTTGAATTAATTATCAACGATTTAAATAACGTCGATATTGTACATGACTTAATTTTTTATCATCAAGACGATAAAGAGTTAAATAACAAAAATAATAAAAAAGTTTTTAAAATGAAATTACTTATGAAATGAACTAATATTTTTTAATCATCCACCAGGTAAACAAATTCTGTAACATTTTAAGAGAGCATCATCCCTAATGAATCCTTTAAAATAAATCAATTGATCTCTTCTAACTATCGATAAGAAACTTATTTTGGGCTCCCCTACACCCTACATCCTGAATTGTTTTTGAACTCTATAAAGTTTTTAGATAAATATCCGCACAATTTTTATATGCATGAATTTGCTCTGTATAAGCAAAGCTCAACAGAATGCTACAAAACCTGAATAAACTATTTTGAATTGAAAGTAATTTAATTACATTTGAATCCTATAAAAGGATATACCTAACTGTGTATTCATGACAACTGAGGACATTTTTAGTACTTACTTGATTGTATAATTTATGTTTTCTGTCGAGTTTATTTTCATTTTTTTTCTGATTCTTTGGTTAAATAATTACTTTACAGTGACTTTATACCAACTAGTTATAGTATTATAATTTTCAAATCGAATAATTCCGAAAATGGCGCAACCTATCGAATTTTATCAAGAGTACCTTTTTAGTGTAAAATTAAATGATCTTAAGGGTCACTTAAAATAAGGATTAGAAAATCGAACATAAAAAAATATGTTTAAAACTACTCGAAACGAACCCTGTAACGAGCAACTTTTAATCGAAAAAAATAGCATAAAAATATATTTTTTACTTAACAAACCCTACTTATTTTTTATTTTTCGTTCCTTGTATCAAAATGGGACCACCTTTTTTTGAAACTCTCTGCATATTGGAAGTTTTAGCGAGTTTTCTATTAAATATATCGTTTTTGAAATAGGCCCCAAATTATACCTATACTGTCGTAACTTCGGTTCTTTCTTTGTTATCTTATTATTTTATTGTTAAATTGTTATATTAGGTTTATAGGCCAGTCAAACTCAGTTTTCAAAACTTTCTTGTAAGGTCGAGAAGAGCATAAAAACCAACTATAAAATGTTGCAACCTATTAAAGGATTATAGGATATAAGGATTATATTGGCTGCAACAATTAACATTCATGCTATTTTTGTAGCGAGAATATTTGCGGATATGTCAATTACGTTGATTCTACTAATCTCACCTAACTATATTTCCGAAAAATCAGACGTTTAACTAAATCCAGTACAAGATTAGTTTATTATGCTTTAATTGCGGGAGTTTTTCTTATTTACGTATTACGCCCGTAACGCGTAAAGCTAGTCGCTAGTCGCGAAGACGATTAAAGATTATTTTTATTGTTAATTTTTGAAATAAACTTAAAAATAATAACAATTTTGCGTACAGAATAAAGAGACCTTTCAAACGATATATCACAAGCCTATACTTCTCATCTAAAAAATCGCGGTTGTGACTGTCCTTCACATTTCCTTGAAAATTGCTGCGATTTTGTTCGCCTTGTTAATGATTCTTGCAGCCAGTGTATCATCGTTCACGATAGACGAATTCGAAAGGAGGGCTTTTTTGATCTCGTCTGCTGTGGAACAGGTTTATGTTTGATAGTTTTGACCATCTATTTTAATTTAAAGAATGCTGGCTATAATACGGTCCCGGTAAGTTGGATTTCAGTTGCGTGCATTCTAACTTATACGGTCGTATTTTAAACTAGGTTTAGGTATGGTTCCTATTGTATTAACAGCGGAATTATTTCCAGCGAAAGTTAAAGCATACGGGATGACATTATACTTTATATACGGGATGACTAACGTTGCAAAAGTACAAGCATGCCTGTTAGTAAAACAAAAATGTTTAAAAAACCATCAGAAAATTAAAAACAAATAAGATTAATTTTATTATCAAACATTGATAGTATGTTAAAAATGCATATCGAATAATATAATTGTTTCATTGTGTCAAGCAATTATATAACTGCATGAAAATAAAAATATCAATTGTAATAACTACAAGTATGTATGTACCTGAATTATCCACATGTGGAAAATTATGCACTCCAGTAACGTAACAACGTAAAATATAGGGGAATGCCTAATCACCTTTTTTTTAATTACTTCTATTAATTAAGTTTAACTTGTTTATTACTTCTAATTAGTAGGTAGGAAAAATGTGCGTACATTAACAAAAAAAAATACTTATCTAGAAAACTCTAAAATAATTTACATAGTTTCATTTTATTAATTTACAACATAGTAAAAAACAATTATTAATATCTTGTTATCAATCTTTATCCTTCCGGGAAATATAAAATTCTCATTAAATAACATTTCATAAGTCCTTACTTGGAAATATAAGTGCTATTTACTACCCGGTCGAAACTACTTCAAAGCTCCATTGTATTGGAATTAGTTAAAAAAGTACATTATTGCTATAATCCCTATGCTTTTACTCCTCTTTTCTACTATAAAATGAAGAACACTATACTTAGACCTATACAAATGTGTTGATCCAATAGATACTTAAAGCAGGAATCAGTTCAACGAACCTTTAGTACAACGCGAATCCCCATCGAATTTTGTTAATAAATTCCAAGGTGAATACTTTACGTGCTATCAGAATTCTTGATTATTTTCAAGACGAATTTTAATTTTTTTTTTTTTAATTTTAATTCCTTTATTATTCATAGAACGTTGTGACGCCACTGTAAGCTAGTAGTTGTAGCTAGTAGTTAATTGCGAACACATTCAAAATGATTTTTTTCAGTTCGGCATATTCCGAAATGAACCAACGTTGGTGATCGAGTAATTGCGAAGTATTTGCAAAATGACTGGAGAAAATAATCAAGCCCGCAGGACGAATTTTTGGTTTATCATTTCTGTAATTGCCGGTATGTATTATGTTGGTATTATATAGAAAATTGAAATACAAAGTTATGATAAAAACACAGGCTTTCTTCAAATAATATGGTGCTATTTTATGCCTAATTTTTACAAAAATACGTATAATGGTGAAAAGTACCTATAACAAAAAGTGAAAAGTAAACGTATAAAATGTCCTAATGAAGAAGTGCTTACTAGAGTGCTGATAAAAGTATCTACAAAGTTTTTTGAAATGTTTCCACCTCCGACAATTCCCCCAAAACACATCAATTTTGTATTTTAGGGGGATATCTAACCGGCGTATTTTCAATCTTGCTATTTCACGTCCATAGGCAGGGTGGTTACTATTTTCAAATATCTTAAATGGGACTAAGGCTCGAGATATACACGGTATTTAAGAACAATCAATTCTATTTATACTGGTGCATCTAAAATAAAAATTTAACCATCCTTTCCAAACTATGAAGTTTTAAGCCACAGGAACCTTCTTGACCCCCAGTCCTATTTGTGGTTTTGAAAAGGGTAAGTACCCTGCCTGGGGGGTGAAAATATGCTGGTTAGATGTGCCCCTCAAAAACCAAATTGACATGTTTTGGCTTCATTGCAGGTGAAATTTGGAAACTTTTCTAAAAATCACCCAGTATGTTAAAATTGTTTTCAGAACTTTCATTGCTCTTAAGTCTTACTAATAATATTTTAACATGGACATAATAACCATAGAATTTAGTATTACATACAATTGTTACTTGTAAATTTTAACATCGTTTTTATAAACAAAAATTCGTAGTATTCATAGTATTAGAATTTGTAAGAGATACTTTTATAAATGTTTCAGGTACATTAGGAGCAGTTTCTGATGGAATTCAGCTGGGCATATCGTCTGTTATTTGTGAAATGTGCAGCAATCAAGTTATCAACAAAAATTCGAGTTTGTTTAATAACAGCGATGATCAAAATGGCGTTCCATATTTAGAGGAAGAATCCGATCGAATGCTTTTCAAAACTTTTTACATGTTAGGAGCTTTAGCCGGTTTTCTATTAAGTTCTCCGTTTTCAAAAGTAGGCCCGAAATTATTTTCTGCGGCAGCTTCGGTTCTTTCATTATTTTCTTGGATTATATTGGCTGCAACAATTAACATTCCTGCTATTTTTGTAGCAAGAATATTAGCGGGTATTTCAATTACGTTGACTTTATCAGTTTCACCAAACTACATTTCTGAAATATCAGGACGAGACTTCACTAAATCCAGTAGAGGTTTAGTTTATTATGCTTTAATTGCAGGAATTTTTCTTATCTACGTAATAGGCCCGCTAGTTAGCGTAAAGCTAGTCGCAACAATTTGTGCTGTAATAATGTTAGTACAAATGTTATGTACATTTATAATGGTTGAATCTCCCTATCATCTAATGACAAGGAATAAAATTTTAGAAGCAAAAGCGAGTCTAATGAAAATTTACGAATTTAAAATGGTTGAAAGCGAACGGAGGTTAATACAAGGGCAAGTTACTGCAAATAATAGGGACAGAAGTAATCAAGGATTGTTTAAAACCGATGAAAATCAAACGGCTAGTATTAAAATTATCGTCACAAGTTTCGCTCAACAATTCACTGGGATAACAGTAATTATAATGAGTTTACACGAAATATTAATTGAAGCTCATACTGCAAATGTGCACGCACTAATCACTGCGGTCGCTTTCGTCCTAGTTATTGGAATAATTGCACTTTTACACGAATTAATTGCTATTAATGTAAATGCAATGATATCTGCCATTCTAAGTACTTTAAGTTTGTTATCTTTAGCTATATATTTTTCTGTGAATTCGGATGCCCCTCATGTACATTGGATATCAATAGTTGCTATAATAATTTACGGAGCAGTAATTAGATTTGATAAAGGGTACTTTCCCAACGCAATTGCTGAAAAATTTCACCCGAACGCCCTAAAATCGCCGGCCCTTCGACTATCCACTTTTACCCACATATTGGCAGCTTGGATATCTATTGAATTATATCAAAGGATGAAGTACAGCGGAAGAATCGACATTCCGTTTTACGTGTTTTCTGTATTTAACTTGGCCAATACGATCATTTTAAAACGCTGGTTCAATCAAGAAAAACACGATGTTACTCGCAGAGGACCTTTAAATGATGGTATCGAGACAGAAGACACTGAATTGTAAGTATTCGAAAGCAATTAAATCAATAACGTAAAGCAATAAGTTATTGCTTCATTCATTTAAAAAAATATATTTTTTTTTTCATTGTTCCACTTTAAACTTTATTACAAACATGTTTGATTTTCAAATTAATGCAATCCAGAATATCTGGAAACCAAATAAAAACTGATAAAACTTATTTCGTTAATTTGTATATAAATTGTTAAAGTTGTAATTACTTGACATACAAATTATCAAAATTTGCGTTATGTACAATTCATTCCAGCATTTTATTTACGTGTATTCATTTTTAAAATTTTTTATGGTTCAATTAAATGAATAGCTGCACAATATGAAAAAAAAAATCAATCAGCATAAATTGTTACGCTTTGTATTAATTAATACAAAATATGTATTAATACTACATTGGTACTTACTAACTTTATTACAATTCTATTTATACTTTATAGGCATTTACACCTTCACTAGTTTTTCTTAAAAAATCTTTGACAATGACTAAAGTGATGTAAAATAATCAAGGAAAGTATGATACTGATTGATTTGATTGACAATAATAATATAATTGATCTATTAATAGAAAATAGGGAATGGGAACATCTGCAACTATTACGATTTTAAATTTATTATGTAACGTTTGAGCGTTGGAAATATGATAAATGGGAGTATATTAAAACTCAGTGTTAAATAATATTTGCTACTTATTAAGACTGAGCAATACTACTATATCCCTATTAATTTTTCTATTAAAATATTATTCGCTGTTAATCAAATATTAATTAAAAGAAAGTGTTATTTACAAAATAATTTCCTCACATTCTTCGTTAATCTTACCTAAACACCAATAGTTTTGACTAAGGTCTGGCAAGTTGTTCTGATAATACAGATGCCAAGCCTAAAAATAGCTTTATCTTAAAATATTGAAGAAATTAAGTATTAAAATTTGAAATGTCACAGAGAATTAACTAATTTAACTATGGATTATTCAAGGTAGGTTTCATTTAAAAAAATCTAATAATTATAATAAATAAAGTCTGTGTTCTTCTGTGAATGTCACTGGGTCAGTGCTTGCATTCGTTGTAGTAGTGCCTGACAATTTTGAATTGATAGATAAATATAGACTATTTAAGCCAATTTACTTAAATATTTATAGAAAGATTGGCACTCATTTAGATACACTTTTTGCGAGTGCATGTATGCGAGAGGTTGTCTTTCCTAATGATTTTCTAGCAAAAAAAGACGATTGTTTCAGTATTTAAATCAAGGATCGATGTAAAACTTCGTATATTTAATTAAATCGCTGCTGTTTCATTAATTTATTATTTACTTTTTAGAATCGAGGAGCCTGAGACAACTGCTGTTCCTGAAAATAGCAAAGAACATTCCAATTCGAGTATGACAGTTTCAAGCAGAAACATATTTCAAGGAACATTTCCACAGCTCATCGCCGTATTATCAGGTAAAATTTAAAAGATATTTGAATTAAATGTTAGTTTTATTCTTAGCTTATTATTCATCCCTAAGAATATTTGTCTATACAATTTATACAATTCGTTCCATTTTTTTCAATTCAGATGAACTAAAATAATAATATTTTAATTATTTGAGTGATCTAAATAATTAACACTTGTTGATTTATGCCTGCTTGTCTAGAGGTTTCTACTTAACAATTTTTGATGAGTGAAAGGGTTTAAGAATAATACGTTACCTGAACGTTCTTTCACTTATTTTTCCCTGCATTTCCTATTTATTATTTTCCCAAAATATACCTACTTCCTTATCCCTAGAAAATTTGCATTTATACTAACAAAATATTATTAAAATATGTTAAGCGATGTTATTAATTTTATAAAATCATGTGACGCAGGGTTTAGCAGTCCAAAGTTGATCATACATGAACCTGGTCATTTTCTGTAACTATAAACGAACTAATATTTAGATTAGAATAAATTTGTTTCGACTGATTGCCAGTTACACATCTTCAAGAACAAACAACAATTGGCTACTGTGTTATTACTATAGAAAACACCAAAGAAAAAACACAGAAAAGTGACTAACAAACCAAGACTCGGAACAATACTTGCTTTGCTTTTTGTCGTATCAGGGCCACAAGAAGCACTCCAAAAATAACACCGAAAAGTGACTAACAAACCAAGACTCGGAACAATATTTGCTTTGCTATTTGTCGCATCAGTGCCACAAGAATCACTCCAAAAATAATTCTAAATATACCTATTTTAGGTACATTGACAGCAATAAGTGATGGAATGCAATACGGCTGGACAGCGCCAGTTATACCGATACTAAGAGGTCCGAATTCACCAGTGGAAGTAACAAAACAACAGGCGGAATGGTTAGAACATCTACTAATGATCGGATCATTTTCTGGTCTTTCGCTTACGATGTACTTAGTCGATAAAATAGGCCGAAAGAAGTCTATCCTTTTAGCATCGTTTGTGACAGTTTGCATTTGGATACTTACAGCAGTAGCTCCTCGAGTTGAATATATTTATGTAGCGAGATTATTTGCCGGGGCAGCTGGTAACATGGCATTCGTCGCAACTCCAATGTACATAGCAGAAATAGCCGAACAGAAAATCAGAGGCTTCCTCAGCAGTTTGATCTATTTGATGATGCTAGTCGGAATATTTCTCATATACGCAGTAGCGCCGTATATTCCTTTCTACGCCCATTGCGTGATAGGAGCCCTTCTCGCCTTCATTCAGCTTTGCATTTTTCCGTTAATGCCGGAGAGTCCTTATTACCTGCTCTACAGAGATCAACCGGACGAGGCTAAAAGATCATTAAGAAGGCTTAGATGCCGAAAGACGAACATCGATAAAGAATTGGAAGATATAAAAGCAGCTGTGAATAGACAAAAGGAAGAACGCGGGAAATTGCAGGATCTGTTTTTAGTACCCAGTAACCGAAGAGCCATCATTATTATGGCAATATTAAATGGAGCACAGCACTTTAGCAGTATTAGCGTTTTGTTAATGAACACGCATGTTATATTAAACAATGCTGGTTCAGTTTATGTTCCTCCGAACATTACTGCGATTTTATTCGCATTATTAATGGTTATTGCTGCTAGTGTAGCATCGTTCACGATAGACAAATTCGGAAGGAGGACGCTTTTGATCTCATCTAGTCTAGCAACAGGTTTATGTTTGATGGTCTTAGCGATCTATTTTAATTTAAAAAATGCTGGCTATAACACGGTCCCGGTAAGCTGGATTCCAGTTGCGTGCATTTTAACTTATGCGGTCGTATTTAAACTAGGTTTAGGTATGGTTCCTATTGTATTAACAGCGGAATTATTTCCAGCGAAAGTGAAAGCATACGGGATGACTTTAGCAGATGGAACTTACGTTATCGCTTGCTTGTTATCATTACAGGTTTACCAAAGATTGTACGCATTTGGATTACAATATCCATTTTACGTATTCAGCGTTAGTTGTTACATTGCCGCAATATTCACTTATCTCTTTATTCCAGAAACTAAAGGCAAAACTTTAGAGCAAATACAAATGATTTTAAAAGGAAGATCTATTGAAGATGCCGGTAAAAATATGGTTGATGCTTGATAAATGATAAATCAGGAAATTTTTATTTTTTGTAACAGTATTTTAAATAAATTGTCTATTTCATGCATTATTAGGATGCACATGTGATATATCAACAAGTAGTATTGGTAGATTCTAGTTGAATTATTTTATTTTTATTGATTTTATTTGTTTGTTAATAATAATCATTAAACTTTATACAGTGTTATGCAGAAAGTTATGTACTTATTTATTCATACGTAATCTATTTTATAATTAAAAAAGAAAAAATAAGTAACTCCTTATTTCTATCCCTGTTAATGACATAACTCCTTTAGAAATTAGTAATATTTTCTAATAAAGATCGTCTCTACTCTATTCTACACTATTTTGCTCTAATCTACTCTATTTTACTCTATTCTACTCTGCTCGGCTCCAAATTACTAATGAAAAACAACGAATTGTATAATTAGAGTATTCGTAAAAGGAATTAAAATTTTGTTCCAGGTTCATTAGTAGCGTTGAGTGATGGAATGCAATATGGTTGGAGCTCGCCGATACTCCCTATTCTCTTAGGTCCGGACTCCCCATTGAATGTAACGGAATCGCAGGGAGAATGGCTCGAAACCTGCGTTATGGTGGGAGCATTTTGCGGTTTATGGTTGACGATGTTTTTGGTCGATGCTATCGGAAGGAAACGATCGATTTTGTTGGCGGCATTTGTAAGCGTTTGCATTTGGACTGTAATGGCCGTAGCTCCTCGAATTGAATACGTTATAATAGCCAGGACTATATCCGGAGCAGTGGGTAATACTGCGTTTGTCGCTACTCCGATGTATATTGCAGAAATTGCTGATCAGAATATTAGAGGGTTTCTCAGTAGCTTGATATATTTAATGATGCTTTGTGGTATTTTATTAATATACGCAGTGGTCCCGTTTGTTCCTTTGTATGTCCATTGCGTTATTGGTGTAGCTATTACGGTGATAGAACTAATCGTTTTTCCATTTATGCCAGAAAGTCCTTATTATCTAATTTATAAAAATAGGCCTGAAGAAGCTAAAAAGGCCCTCGTTAGACTTAGGGGTAAAACAAGAAATATTAATAAGGAACTGGAGGAAATTAAGACAGCTGTAGCTAGGCAGAAGGAAGAAAAAGGAAGAATTCAAGACTTAATATTAATTCCTAGTAACCGTAAAGCTTTAATAATTATGATCACCTTAAATACCGCCCAACATTTCAGCAGTATCAGCGTAATACTGATGAACTTGCATACAATTTTAGAAGCAGGTGGTTCACTTTACTTGAAACCATCTACTTCCGGCATTTTGTTCGCTCTAATTATGTTAATATCGGCCAGTATATCTTCGCTGTTAATGGATAAGTTCGGTAGAAGGGGGCTTTTAATTTGTTCTTGCATCGCTACAGGAATTTGTTTAATGACACTAGCCATATTTTTTACCTTTAAAAATTCTGGCTATGATACTGTCAACATCAGTTGGATTCCAATTCTATGTGTTATGTTATACGCGGTAGTTTTTAAATTCGGTTTGGGACTAGTTCCGATTGTTCTAACAGCAGAACTGTTTCCAGCGAAAATGAAAGCTTATGGTATGACTTTATCGGATGGAATATACGTGGTTGCTTCAATTCTATCTCTTCAAGTGTATCAAAGGCTCATTAACACTGCAGGAATAGAATATCCTTTTTACGTTTTCTCCGTTTGTTGCTATTTCACAGCTGTATTTACTTATTTCGTTATTCCTGAAACTAAAGGTAAAACGTTAGAAGAAATCCAGATGATATTAAAAGGAAATACTCACGAACAGCATACAAATGATATTTAATGAATTGAAATGAATTGTTCATTTAAATTTATCTAGGTACTATTAAAAGTTTTATATTTTTATACTGTGCATTAAATGTTAGAATGATTTCCTTGTTTTATTTAGTTTACGTTAAATTATCTGTAATCTGTATAATGTTTTTAGAGATCCAATGTTTCCGATAAGGGGGTAATGTTATTTTTGGCTTCGCTGTAGAGTTATTTTTAGCTTCGCTATACTCCTCCGAGGTAGTTTCTAAGAAATACCCTCACCCCGTATAATAAGCTACCTTCTGTAGATTGAATTTTGGACGAAGAGTCTGAGTGGGAGAAATCCGGTTTATAAAAATCGCCCGCGGCAGTAACTGAATTTATACGATACTGACGATACTTTACTTTCGCTAGTTTCGCTTGCTGGTTCGCAAGGTTCTTAGAACGGTCATTCCTCTCTCGGTCTGAAATTTATTTGTATGTATTATTTGCTAAACTGCATGCCTTTTGTGTATTAGTGTACGTTTTGGTTACTCAATTCAAACATATTTCAATTCACAATATCACAATGAGTGGTTTCAAGTTCGGTTTGCTTAATATTTGTAAACAAAGTGCATTATTGGTTGGTAATTCCAAGAATATGGTAAGTACATTGTTAAAGGTCAAGTGTTGATGAACTGAAAACAAACATTTTGAATTAATAATGAAGAAAACCTACATCAACTAATAGATTAAGTCACTATTTAAGCGTCAAACTAAAATTTACGTGAAAAATTTTCTATAAAATTCAAAAAATAATACCACAATCGGTGGTATTAATAATTTTTATTTAAACAAATTGAATGTATGTAATATCTTGCATTTATTCTAATCGAAATGTCAACGTCTGGAAAAGTTTATCAAAAGTTCAACTTACAAGCCACTTAATATTAATTTTTTTGTGATGTAGGTACTGTTATAAAACGAACAATGTTTAATACGAAAGTAGATTAAATTAGAGTAATGGTTATTTGCAATTTTTGTACAGTAAGAATATTCAAATCCTTGCCCCTTTATAACCTTTTACAAATCTGTCCTTCATGTCACAATACAAACAAACTTCCTTCGCTTTTAGATGAAATCATAAAAACAGAAAAAGTAGGTCAGTAAACTCGGCCTACGTGTCTTCAGGCAGACAAACCACTGTCTGGGCATAGAGTTCACCATTAATATTTATTAGTTTTATCGCTTTTTGTTGTTTATACACAGGGTGTACCATGATAATGGCACATCAAAAATAAACAAAAATGCCATAAAAATTTGGTGAAGTAAATTTCTCAATACACTGATAGTTAAATATTAGTTGTTACTGTTTACAGAATACGCCTAGCCAGTTTTATAATATTATTTACCATCCTTAGAGATATTTTAGTTAAACACCAACTTAACAGGTATTACAAGGCTTATTTGAAAACTTATGGCGCCAATAAATTGTTTTAGGCTTTACTTGCACCTGCAGCGATTACGAATTTCAGCAGAGACATTGCTACGAGAAATTACAGCCGCAAACAAACTCACGCCGAAAGGAAATACAGTAGCAGTTCGGAATCTGATAGCGATTTGCAATGGATTGGGCACAGGGTAAGTTATACAATTAATATGCTTATTGCCGATAAACAAAATCAACTATTGTGCGGGTAATTCTATGTAACATAAAGTTCAGAATTCGGTGTGTAATAATTCCGAGCATTGACTTATATTGAGAAATTTTTATGTAATAAATGTATGTAATTGTTAATTAATATTATTTTTATGTGTTTCAGGGAGAATCAGAGTTTTGGAGGAGGAAAATTCGAACGTTTCACTCGATCATAGACTTAAATAATGACGGTGTCATTTCCTTTGAGGATTTCAAGCTGATATCAGACCGTTTTATCAATTTGGGTCATTTGAAAGTCGAACAAATTCAAAAATTTCAATCTACTCTTAAGGTAAACAGAAGATTCGAGTATTTGTATAGTAAAAAATACAGTGAATTTGGATTTAACTTCGAGTTGAACGCATTAATACAAATAATCCCATCTAAAATGCGTTTAGAGTATAGGGTATCCAACGAAAAGTGGGTCATTTATTCAGCTTATAATTTTTAAACACCTAATCATAAAAACATGCTGCTTTCGCAGATATGTTTGCTATTTTATCCATTTTCCAATCACCCATTTAATTATGAATTAACAGTACAGGGAGTTTTATCAAAATCTCTTTTAAATTCACAGTAACCAAATTTTATTAAATGGGACACCCCGTATATGTAGAGGTATTCTGAAAGATACTCTTCTACTTTTCAAAAAATTATTATTTGTATCTGTTATTCTACAAAAGAAGGTGTCCCATTTGATAAAATTTAATTAATTTGAATTGATAAGAGGGGACTTTGATAAAATACCCTGTACAGGTGATAAAAAATTTCTGTGTCACTATAACAAAAGTGATAGCAAAATAAAACATATCTGCGAAAACCGAATGTTTTGTAATTAGGCGTTAAAAAAATTATAAGCTGATTAAATAGACTACTTTTCATCGGGACACTCTGTATATGTTCTGTTTTGTTTAGGAATTATGGGAAAAACAATTTGGTGAAATATCCCCTTACAACTTAGTTTCGGTGGAGAAATATTTGGAAAACATGCATCACGTTTTGAACGACAAGAGTTTAGTGAGAAAAGCTCATTCCTTTTTGCCTTATCTCTTCAAGGTAAATAATTAATCGCTTTATATCAAATTTAATTAATCCCGCCATCTCAAATCATTCAACTTAATTTTTAGGCTGTAGACAAAGATCGTTCTGGCGAAATAACCGTAGAGGAATTCAAATTATTTTTCAAAGTATTAGGCCTCAATAGCGACGATGCCATTTTGGCCTTCCGAGCAATCGATTCCAATGGAGACGGTAAAATTTCGCAAAAGGAATTCGTCAAACACGGCAGGGATTTCTTCTTGACCGAAGACGAGGAGAAAATAAGCAAATTTTTTTGGGGACCGTTGGTGGAGCATTAATTTCTTAACTACCTAGACCGGATGTGCGAGCAGAATTTGATTATAAAACTTACAAAGTTGCAGACTTTTTTTTAATATTAGCATTCAAAACAATGCGGTACATGGTAAGTCGGGGGCAATGAATAATGTTAATGAACTAATAACATAAGTACTTTAATACGTAAATGTTTCGTTATTTCTACTCGTTAATTTTGATTTTTTATAGACAATTAGGTAAGGAGAAAAAATTGTTTTCATGTAAATATGGGAACGTGTTCAAACGACAATAATGTATAATAGTTAATAAAAATAGACAGTAAGAACAGACTATTTCTTTTAATTGACCTTAAACGAATTTAGTAAGAACTGTTTTAGGGAGCATCACCTTTTTGGCTACAGAATAAGTCATTAGTGAAAGCTGAAAGAAAAGATCTCGGTGATTCTTTTGATAGGAAAAAATAATTTCAACACAAACACCAAATATCAGATAGAATTCACGAAATCTTTAATAATTGGTATAACTTGCTTCCTAGATAAACTCACGTTTTCCTGCCTATAACACTTAATATCCTCGTAATTACAAGGCACTTCTTTAAATTGAAAATCGTATCCCTTATATTTTTGACTATTAATTAACATTTCTAGTAATTTTTCCTTCACATCATTACTCTCATTTTTAAATAAAACAGCTAAATCTCTTTTTATATTGCCTTCGGCGGCATCTAATCCTACTAAAACGAGAACTGGAGCCTCGAACTCTTCAGCAAAGGATTTCAACTGCTGGTAAGATTTATCGAGCTTTAAAAAATCTTCTACCAGCATCGGCAAACCGGGTACTGCCACGTTTCCTACGATTTTCAGATCTTTTATAAGTATCTGTCTAGGCGTTAACTGCGATATGTCGTTGTGAGCTTTCCACAATATATCAAACAGCGTTTTCCGGTCATCGGAAAATTGAAATTTCTCTTCCAATTTACCAACTATGTAATGATCGAGTTCCTTTGCACGACCACTTTTAGGCGATAAGGCTTGTGTGTCGAATACAATAGCAGCTGAAAAAAGAAATATTGAAAATAAAGGACTAAAGGAATGTTGTATAAAGTACCTACCATAAATTAAAAAACCTAAATCTTTCGTCAAAGCATCTTCCTCCATTGATAATATTTTATCAGCTATTAATGTACTGCAAGAACCCACTTCTCGAATTGTTACTCTCACTTTGTCTTCTGGCCAATCGAAACCAATATCTCTAGGTCGATGATCGAAAATTTGCAGAACAGTATCTTTGAGGAATTTATCGTCTTCAGATAGCACGTGATGATCAACCAACGTTGTAGTAAGGTTTACGCTTGAAATTAGTTCTTTCATATTCAACTCATCCCTAAAGCAGATAAGTGAGATATATTAGGGGGTATTAATAAAAAGAAGTCTAACCGTTTGCTTTCAAAAAATGAAGCAACCACGCAATCGCTTCAAGGTATATGCATGAAAAGAAGTGAAGAAAGAGGTCTTGCTTCGAGGACCCTGTTAGAACGCTCTAGAATCATTTAGAACTTTTTAAAATCAGTTAGAACGCTCCAGAATCACCTAGAACTGTCTAGATCAATCTAGAACGCTCCAGAATCATTTAGAATGCTCCAGAGTCATCTAGAACTATTTAGAATCATTTAGAACTGTTTAGAATCCTTTAGAATCATTTAGAACTGTTTAGAACAATTTTGACTAGTTTCAACTAGTTTGACGAAATCGCTAATCTCTAAACCATTTTACTTTATTTATCCAAAGGGTTTCCATGCAAGGAAAAGGCGTAGATTGTGAACATAGATCAAAGAAAGACCTTTTCCTCATACCTTTTCAAAGTATAAATTCTTCATTCTTATAAATATGGACTATTGAATTAAAAAGGGCGACGTATTAACGTATTCATTAGAAGAGAATGCTGCTTCACTAACATACCGTTTAGGTAAGAAGGTAATACGTAAAGAAAAGTACTTACTTGTAGATCAAAAGATCTAAGGGTAGATTAATTTCTTTGTACAGGTAACAATTATCGGTTCTGCACAAAAAGTCTTCTTTAGTAACATTTTGAACTGGAATTACGAGGGAGCCTTCGGCTAAGGGACAGAAGCAATTCGTCGAAATCTTTTTAGAGATGAAATAGGCTAAAACTAGCGAAGAAACGCTGGAATCTATGTCGCAAGATTCGTTTCCCAGTACTATGTGTACTTTGGTAAAATTCTTAATATTTCGCTGAAATGTACGAAAACTTTATTAAATACATTTAAAATTTGTAATTAAGCTTGTGCTCTTACTAGAGATTGTTTAACGTAATTCAAATAAATTAGAATTTCCTCCATTTGAATTGAAATGAACAATTTCACCACTGTCACTGTCATTAGTGTCATTTATTTTTGACATTAAACAAAGCAACGTTGCCGGATTGAAATTTTAAATAAGTTTTTCTTTTTAAACAGAACTTCTAAAAATCGAACTGGTTTAATTTCATATAAACCCTATTTATCTCTTTATATAAATCTTTATTTAACAGTTAAAATCTTTGTCTAAAAGTTTATTTTACGACGAGTATCTAGTACATTTTTAGTATATATTATGTTGGCTAAACTGTTATAAGCGTTATGTCAACGTCAGTTATGTCAATTGCCAAAGTTACTGGATTTTTGTAAAAAATTATGTTTTTGTGGTTAAGTTTAAGTTAACGGCGTAACGAGTTTTATGTTTGTTTCTGTTAATTTATAAAAATATACAATGAACGAAGGTACTTTATTCTAAATTATGAACGTACACATTTAACTTGTACATTTTTGCAAACCTGCCTAGTGTTTAAAGTAAAATTCCATCCACAAGAGCCGCATTTATTTAATTCCATTTTTACGTTTATATCCTTAAAAGTAAATGTTTTATTATTTTTAGGAATAACGCTCGATAAAACCGAGGATCTTTGGAAGCCGTACAAAGATTTGAGGAATACAATATGCAGGTATTTCAATCAGGCTTCGGATGAATTGAATACGACCGAATTCGAAACTGCTTTGAGAAGGCACAAGCAAAACTTCATTTCGCTCCTTCAGAATCCGGTAAATAGTTAATTACCAATTCCTACGTCTTCTGTTAACACTGCAACACTTTTTTTTTATAGCCGAAAAATCCTAAAGCAAGAGAAGCACTGAAACAAGCCATGGTAGATGGAATAAGTGTAAGAGGCATAGGCCATCAAATAATCACCAAGGAGTTATATCAAGAATCGATCATTCTATCCGATATGTTTCACTTAAACGAACTAGTAGCTCTAGATCTACTATGCACAGCTCAAATACAAATGTCCTTTTACCCCTCGCTACCCAGAGGTTTAGTGGCTGTTTTGCTGTACTACGATGGCCGAAAAGCCTTAGTAAACTCTCTATTGTACCTTGTACAAGCCCGAAGCGGTGTACAATGGACCATCAACCTCAATCCCAACGTAATCGCATACATTACTGACTACACCAATCAATTGTTAGAGGCCGGTTTGTTCAATAAGATATTCGATTTACTGAGATCCTTAGATTTGAGCAAAGAACTGGAAATTTTACACGCTAACTTAGCTATAGGTGGACCAAAGCACAGGAGACAAGTCGTCGATCTTTTCGAAAGCATAAAACGCATGTTAGCGGAAATTGTGTTCCTGTGGGCCACACAAAGCGGTTTACCGAAAACTGTTACTATAAGTCTCGTAAACCATCTGAGAGATTGCAAAATTGAGGAAGAAGCTTCCGGCAAAGTGGACGATGTCAATATGTACTTGGAGATGGCGTTTCTCGCTGCTCTAGACATTAGCGTTTTGTATTCCAGAGAAGATGGAGAAGCTGCGGTACAATCGCTACCAATATTCTCGGATTCGAGCTTCATACCCTCTATAGTCGAGGAGTTTTCATTGTCAAAGTCCAAGTGGCTATGTGAAGGTAAGTTTTGTTATAACTTTGTGTATATTCCTAATTTCTTCACTTACAATTTCAGGTCTTCAAGCTCTATCTATGTTCGGAGTAGCGATTTGTTTGAGCACTCTTCGTGACATTCCGCAGAGTTTTCGCTACCAAGAAGCTATCAATAAAGAGGACGCTCTAGTAGACGCCGCCATCGAAATGAACGTTTTCACGTTCCTCCACAACGTGTTCTTGGAGAACAAAACCCTGTACAAAGAGGAGTTTCTGTACAAACGCATGCACAATTTGATAGCCGCTTTCATATTCTCGATGTATCCCAAAGTCAAAGATATGAAGATGAAAGCGGACGAAATCGGCAGGACCATGCAGGTGTACATCAGAGAGGGCCTGGAAGTCTCCGCTAATCTGCCCAGACATTTCGAGTATCTGCTGCTTACTGTGGGGAAAATTTACGCCAATGACACGTTGAAAGCGGATTATATGCTGAATTATTGGAGTCCTATCGAAATCAATGCGAATCAACAGAGTTCCGTGCGAGCGGCGCCTAGATGCGTGTCTCTCTTCAAATTTATTAGGTTGGAAAAATTGGAAATTTGTTTTTAAATGAAGTATTCAATTAGCTGATTGGGTATTATTATTTTTTAGAATGGCCGGCGAGGTGATTCCTTCTACTCTGTTTGTACCGTACGTCACTATGCTCAGCGGTTTGTCCTCTTCACAACAGACGGCCAGGCACTGTTTCAACATGCTAAAACAGGTCGGATCGCACGTTTCGGCCAATTTATCCTGGGATCACTTTTTCATGTCCTTCTCGCAGTACTATAACAGTCTGAGACAAGAAGTACCAGTACAAGCTGATACAGTGTACATGAGCAGACCAACCTATCACAAAGTACGCTTTCAAATAGTAAAGTAGACTCGAAACCGTAAAATTTCCCGTTTTTGTAGGCCGTCACTCAACAAGAACTCGAAGGCCTTCACGCGGTTTTGCTGTTAATTCGCACCATAGCCGAGCACGACGAGTTTTCTCGATTGGCCTTCTGCGAACATCCCGGCTGGTCCCCGCTGACCAATTTGTTAGGCCTCATTTGCTGCTCCGTTCCGATACCGCTTAAGGCCGATTTGCTGCTCACTCTGGCGGCCTTGTGCAAAAGCTCCGAAAATGCCTCACAGATGTGGGAGAATTTAGAGGCTTCGCAGATACTGGTTACCGTACCGTCTACATCGAGTTACGCGCCTAGAGGTAAAGTATTATCTAGCAAATAATGCTGGCAATAAGCTTGAGTAAGCTATAAGTACCTACTAATAGAGTTTGGATTTTGCAGGCATTCAAACAGAACTAGAAGAGATCGAATCGCGACTCGAAGAATACCCTCTAACGAAAGCCATCCTAAAACTACTAGACGAATTGACCAACTTTGGTATACCTCGAACGCTGGGTGCCGGTCCTCGAGAACCCGGTTTCGAGCCCTATTTGTCGTTCATTATCAACTCGGTGTTCCTCAAGCATCACTCGCGATCGTATCGCAACGTCTCCGATAAATGGGAAATAGCCCTTTTGTGCACCAAGCTTTTCGAAAAGTTTCTGAACCAATACGATCCGTCGCCGGGAGAGTTTAACAACAACAAAAACGAACCCGGTTACCATTTGATGTTGCAACTGAACAGCAAATCCGAATTATTCCGGGCCATCACCAATTTGATATACGAGGGTAACAGAGTGTTCGAAACGTACGTTACGTACTCCGGAGAGAATATTATTCGCGCGAGCGTTCTATCAGCGTTAAAAATCGTAAGAAGAGTGCTGGTATTGCAACCGAAGTTCTTCAGCTTGGTCGTTTCTTCATCTTCTACGATGCTAACCAGTATGAGCAAGCTGTTGTTTTCGATCAACGCTGTTACTAATAAACCGGATCATTGCGTCAATATCATGAAGTACGTTATTTACCAGCAATCGATGCCCGAACACAGTTATGTGGCTGTTAAGATTATGAATCACATAACCGGTTCTTGTGTGATGCATAAACATTTCATGAACATTCTGTTGTCTACTGATGATTGTACGGAAATCATGAACGGTTTCGTTAAGTGCTTGGACGCGTCGAGTTCTAGCGACGACGAGTGCGCAGATCTAGTAGAAAAGACGAAAAAAGAAATATTGAAATTATTGAAGCAATGTTTAACGTACAATCCGCCGAATTTGTCCTTATTCCTACTCGGTTTCGATCTGAAAAGGGACGTTTCAAAAACCGAGTTTCAATATCCGGGAGTGCTCGGTTTCCCGCGCACGTGTTTCCACTCCGTTTTATGGATGATGGATAATAATACCTTTGAAACTCCATCAAATTCGCTATTAGAATCTGCCTATCATTTACTGTACCTCTTAGCTTCGGACTCGAAGACCTCGGGTCCTATTTTGAGGTTCATCCGGCAGGATAAAACCTTTTACAGAGACCGATTGACTGAAACTCGCAATAAACTCGATCGAGGTGGTTCGGCTGAATTCGGTCAACTCACGTGGCTTTTAAAAGTACTCGCGATTGAACTGAAAGTACTAAGCCAATTGAAACAAGTGAGCTATTTGAAACAGCTCACTAATTTCCTAGTGAATTTGCCGCCCGACGAAAGCAGCGTGAACAGAGACATGTTCGCCATGGTGCAGGTTTTGGATCGGAAATTTACGGATAATTTGAAAATGGATAATTTCTTGACGGATCTGATCAAACACTTCGAATTGAACGCGCCTGCTGTAGAGATGCCCCAATGGGAGTACTTTAACAATAACGTGCTCAATGATATATTGAAGAGCTGTAGACAGGACGACGGGTTGATCGATCTGAAGAAGCTGCATCAGATTTTGTACGACGAGTTGAAGACGTTGCAAGGGACGTCCGTGATGGGCCAAATTCAGGCTATAACCCAAGAAATACAAAAGGTACTGTAACGTTACCCTGAAAATTGGCAATTAATTGTTCTTTTCTTTGTAGGTGTTGCGATACGCTTTGAAGTTAAACGAAAGAAACGAAACTTGCGCTATAATTACCCGTTTTACGGACAGCTGGAGGCAAATTACCGAAGTTCTACTGATCTCTACACCGCCTGAGATACTCTCCACGACCGAACAACAGATCGTCAGCATCGCTCTACTTAGAAGTTTGCTCAAAAACGTGACGAAATCCGAACTACTGCCGGAAGTGTGCCGATTGTTGTCGGGTTGCGTGGTCATACTAACGGACAATTTGAACAAATGCTATTCGAGGGAGAAGAAGATCGAACGCTTCTCGAAAGACAAAGACAAGGAAATGTTCGTCGATGTTTTGAAGTTGTACTACACGACTCTAAAGGAGATTTTAGAGAATTTGATCAGCTGGATCGTTACATCGGACGTAGTTAACTGCAAATTACGAGTAAACTTATACACGGCTTTAGTATCATTCCTACAACTCACCTGCGAGGATAAGAATTTGTTCGTCAATTCCATAGTTCATGTCATGCCTACCGAAGTACTGAACACCTTTGGAGATAAATTAATCGAGATAATTTGCCAGGATTGCATAGGCGGTCCGGAAATATGCAAAATACTGGCAATGTCGTGTTTCACTCATCTAACAGTACTCACCGGCCATGTACAATGCACGCTGTTGTTATCAGGTAGAGGATATTTGAAGCACATTATCCAAAGCATAGCTGACAGCGAAGACGATTTGAAAAATATCTTAGATCCTCGAGGAGTCGATATAAAACCTTTGTACTTGTACACAGCCAAGATGTTGCTGTTAACCAGATTAGCCGGTAATAAAATGGGAAGCGAGTTGTTGTTGGAACAGAAGTTGCTTACAGTGTTTAGTAACATGACTGTGTTTACCTATCATCCGGAGATATCCAAAATTTGGGACTCGGATGGCATACTGGAGGAGTTCTTACCGCCCGCCGAGAAGATTTATTTGGAAATTTGGTTACCTACGCTGCACATTTGCAACGCTGTACTCACTACTTTGGGTACTGAAAATCAATCGGCGGTGGCTCAAATCATGTATTTTCTTTTGAGCCACGTCGAAGTCGTCGAGTTGATTTTGAGGTCAGGTTGCGTCGAAATAGCTCCAATGTCTCTTAAAGAATTAGCCTTGCTGACATCGATTTTAGCCCGAACGACCAACACGCATCTACTAGATAACAGATCGCAGTTGCACAGGATCCACAAATTAATGTTGAGCCTCCTGCCAAAGTTCATACTGACCGAAGGAACCGTACGTAACTTAACCGGTAGTTTGTCCAACTTGAAATACCAAACATCCGATCGATTGTTGTACGTCATGCAAATCATCTCGAATTTATTGAGCTATTCGAAGAACGTTTGCTCCAACTCCAATCCCCTAACGGACGATGCCTGGGTCGTATTTTATCCGACTCTAAACGATCCTCTATTGAGCAACGTCGGTTACAGAAACTTGTCCAACACCAACGAGCTGGAACCTTCGTTGGGCGTCGTCGTGCAACAGTTAATTAGCACGGTGAATTTCCATCGAGAGGAAAAAGTCGTCTGCAATTTATTGAAGCGGAAGCTCGACGAAGTGCCCGACATGAATTCGGCGGATTTGATGCAATTCGTCGACGATGTCGAGGAGATCGCCGATCTCAACGCGAAAAAAGAGAAGGCTTTCGTGGCTATATCGGAGAGTTTGGATAAGAAAACGAAGGTGATCGATTACTGTTGCTTCGTGATCGAATGCTCGCTCTATCTGATTTGGTCGCATTTGGATTTCTACATGTTGAAGGCCATACCGAAGGTGAAGAGCTTCGAATATTCGGCGATGCATCCCGGCTTGAAGTCGGACGGTGAGTAATTTTTTTATTGTAATTTAACAATTTATTACATAGTATTATTGAGGTAAAGTTACATGTGAGAGCAAATTTGATTGCAATGAACAATTGTATGAGTTGAACAAAGAAAGTTTATTAAAATAACAATCTGGACAGATGGAGGACATGCTAGGGCCTCTGTAGAACTACCAAGGAGTAGGTTAAAAAATCTAGTAGTACTCTATTTGAATTTGAACTTATCTGTATATTTACATTTACTGTAGCCTAACAAATGAACTGATCAAACTAAATAACGTCAAAGTCTGTTTCCAAAAATGTCACGTAACAAATTCAGTATGCAATTAAAAACATAAACGAAAAAAAATACATAATTAATAACCTAAGCTTAATAATCCATTAAACCGTAACAATAAAAGATATCGCAACTATGGGGTCCTCTATAACGGATTACGCAATAGAAAATATAAACAGCAAATTGCAAAAATTGGATCTGAAATACCCCGTCAACTTCAACGAGTACTCCGTATTGAACAAGAATAGTTTGGCATTCAAAAAAGACGACTTGAAGAAAAAAGATGCCAGAAGCTTCGACAACAAACCTTCCAATCACAATTTGAGCGCTCCCGATGGTAAGAAAAACGTAAAAAGCGAAGACCAGCAAGAAGTGGTCATCACGAATAACAAAGACATCGACGTTTTGAAAAAAATCCAACAGATCAAAGAGTTGCTCGACATGAGCAAACAGGAACCCCAATCGCCTCAAGACCTCGAGACGTTCAAGAAGAACGAACTGGCCAAGAAGAAGTACCTCAACACTCTCACCACCATGCAACAACGACTCAAAGACATCGAATACAAGTATTTCACCCTACCCAATCTGATCAACAGGACGATGAAGAATTTCAAGCCTATGAAAGAGGTGCCTTTGGTGGCCAAAAGCAAGCCCAGCAAGAGGAACGTGGACGAAGCCCAGGAGGAAGCGGCAAACAAACCGAAGCGAAGGCTGAGGGAGAAGGAAAAGGAAAACGAGAAAGATGTTAGGTATTCCGAAGCGTTTTTTCCAAAACGGGAGGCCCCGACACCGCCGCCTCTCTACATCAAACCGATGATTTCCTCCAAGCCCGCTCCCTCTCCTAAATCCATCCTCAAAGATAACATAGCACAACAGAAACCTGTTGTTGTTGTGAAAAAGAAGCCCGAGCCACCGCCGGCACCGCCGAAGAAGACCGGCCCGAAGAAACCCCACAACATCGAGATGCTCTTTAGCGACAACAACGACATCAGCTTCAAGCAAATGCAGCGGGAAGCCATGAGCCTCAGCGAAAAGAACCAATTGTTCATAGAGCGCTACAAAAGGTCCGCGCTGGAATTGGAGAACTCGAACCGCAAGAAGATCACCTTTAACATCACGCCAGCGGCGGAGGTGAGAAGACCGTATTCGACCAGGAACGAAATGGCGGTGGGATTGCTCAGGCAGAAGGAGCAGCCGCCGAAGGGGCCGAGCCAGAGGTTGTACGAGGCCCAGCAGAAGTCGATTAGGCTGATAACGAACGGGCGTTTTTGAATGATTTTTGTCGCCATTGGATATTTGCATCGCTTATATTTTCTATATTAGAGTTATTAATTATTGAAATAAAATGAAATGTTTTTTTTTGCTTCCTCCGAAGGAATTTTTGGGAATTTGCTTGTGATCTATCTAAAGTGGAATCCGAAAACGTGCTAAATTTGTTTTTTTTATTACGCTAATTTAAAGATTGCATAACTTGGAAGTAATGAAGTAAATAATTTTAATATTAAACTTACTCAGGAAAGTTAATGTTAATTCTGTCATTCGTTATTTTTGTGACTTTTCCCAACGATTTTTGCATTTTTCTTGTTTTTTATTCAAGTTTACTAGTGGGTTTTGTGTTCTTTAATCGACAGTTTCTCCCGCGTTTTCTGTGTGTTTCTTGAGTTTTTGGTGTAAATTTAACCTTAAATTAAACATATCTTTTATAAAGGGTTTCCATTAACTATTGTTTCAGGTACTCTAGCGTCTGCATCTGAAGCTACATGGAAGGTGTCCACCGATACGATCAGTAACTTAAAGCAGGGATTGGTGTCTTTATTTAACGACAGCTTCACCAAACAGCTATTAGAAACGACTCACGTACGTTTAGTATAAAAATCACTAATTCCCAATGTAAACTAATGTTATATTTTTTTCTAGGACCGTTCGACTTCCGATAAAGGATTCATCGAAGCATTGTTGAGGAAGATTAAGAGGCTCGTTCAATTCGTGCCCGTTAAGTAATAATTCATTTATGCTATTTTTTCGTTTTTATAATTATATTTGTAATTTAACTCTGTGTTTTATTATAACCTTCAAGCATCTCTAGAGAGGACTAGTATCGATTTTAATAGTTAGGTGTACTAAATAAGAAAATTGGTTTGGTTTGAAGGACAGTTATTTATTTGATATTATGTATACATTAGGTTTATATTCTGATATTTATCTCAGAAATATACATTGGCGCATAATCATATTTGTACTGTACAAAGTTCTGTACATACACTCATCGCATCTTTATACTAACTTTCAGACCAGAGGTAGTTGCTTAATTCCTTAATAAGAACTATAGCTTTGCTCACAGAAACGATCAAAGGATCACAATCTCCGAGAACAAAGCTTACATTTTCCTGTTAATTTAAACGCTAACTCAGGTGCCAGTTAATTGTTCATGATTACAGGTATCTGTTAAATTTTGATCATTGATGATGGTTGATTAATGAAGGATTAGCGAGACATTATTTCCGGGCATTAGTCTACCCTATGGTGCATTTCAGTTGGCAATATGGTCATTTCTATGAGTTGAACAACGAAAGATTATTAAAATAACTGTTGTCAGAGTGAAAAGTTGCTTTTTACTCTTTTTCCTTTACAAGTGTATATTGCAAACTAAAATGAATCAATCTGTATAACTACCTATTCGTATAACAACCTACATTTTAATGTAAATCAGATCTAATGTTAAATGGTACACTTAATATTTAAAGGAATCGCTTTTGCTCAATAACGACTTTATTCTAAAGCTATCATTCAGATAAAACACTCCAAAATCTTCCTTAATCCTAGCGATTCTACAACTCTCTAATAGCACGCTGGTTTTCCTGACGGGTTCTTTTCTTTTATCTTTCGCCTCTGTACTAATACTGATACCTGCGCTTTCCTCTTTCATTGTATACTTCTGCTCGACATCTTTATCGTTCGTAGGGAGTGTATTGCGATTAGATTGCGGCAACGTTTCCGACCATCTCTTAGCTGCGGATCGTCTTCTTTTGCTCGTCTGGATGCTCTGGATTAATTCCAAAATTTCTAGTCGTTCTTCAGGCGGCAAATCGGACGCGACCTCTTGGAATACCTACGGAAAATTCATCATCATAAAATTATTCCCGCCACTAAATGCATTTACCCTTAGTTTTTGCATCCAAGTTAAAGCCTTAAAAATATCCCCACAACCTCTATGCTCTCCCATCCGGTGTTTCTTGTTGATGAGATAAGTTAGAGGACTTGCTTGTTTCAGTTGGTCGTGTTGTGGAGTTGCTTCTTCGCCAGCTTTTTGCGACTCTTAAAATCGTAATTATTATCCCCGTTATAATTGGAAATATTTAAAAAACACAAGGACGTATGCAAAAGGAATCGCAAGGGCCTGTTGCTACTTACTTTCGTTTAGGATTGTGTTGAAGTAACTTCTGCTTGGCAAAGTCTTCTGTCTTCGCAACTCTCGCTTTTCTGTTTTGGTATCCAACGTTTTGCTGCCGCATTGCAGGCTAATTTTTCTCTGGTAGGAGGGTAGTGATAAAATATGACGGTAAATTTGTCCTCTGTCCGATACGAAAATGATGCGCAAAGTGTTCTGTTCAATCATGCTCAGCATACTCCTGGCCCATTCCCAATTCTTGCTTACGGAGTCAATAAGACCTTGCGCAGGCGTTATTTTAGCCGAATTAACCAATTGCGCGAATATACCTAAAGCGTTTAGTTCCTCGTCATTTAATCTTTCTTTGAGGCTCTCCAAGTGCCACGACATAGCGTGTGAGGACGAGAATATATTGTTCAAATAGGGCCTCAAAATAGGACCTAAATATCTCTTGCTTTGATCCATTCCCCGGTATAGCCATTTTAATATAATTTTCACCAAGCACAGATCGTCTTCCACAGTCGACAAACCCTGTAGGTCTTTGTCTCTTCTCATGACGTCCACCAATTTCGAAGTTTGGTTGTTGAAGTTACTTTTGATTTTTAAAGAGTTTTTTATTATAGCCGGATTGGTCGCAGTCGTTAAATATCGATCCCTGGCTTGGTCCATTATCGTCACCAGAATGAAGATGATGTCTTCTAGCGGGCGATCTTGCTGGTACTTCTGCGAATTTACTAAATCTTCCATGGTGTGATCGAACTGAAACATCATAGCTTCATTAAAATTGAGTTGAACAGTATTTAATGAAAGTAACGAAATATGAACTAATGTTTTACCTGTATTATTTTTTGCCTGACCATCAGCATTTTATTTAGCAACATCCCTATATATTCTAACTGCCTTGCCGTGTACTGCGAATGAGCGATTTCTCGTCTATTTTTAGAGCCAGCGAAGCAAAATCTTCTTCCTCTCGTCCCGGAAGGAGGTAGTAATCCTTCTATAAGGTCTCTCCATTTAAACAGCAATACCATTTCGCTCTCCTGCGCTTGCACGATGGAATTAAATTCCTCATTGCCTGAAAATCGATAATCTCTTAAAGTAAAATTAGGTATTTCTATGTATAAAAGAATGTTAGAATGGTGTTTTTTGCAGTATTAAAAAGTCTTTAGTTTAGTTTAACCGTAGGACGTCCTGTATGTTATTAGCTTTGACAGTGTGCGTCAGAAGTTAAGAATAAAAATATAAATTAATATGGCCAAAGATGTAAATGAAAACTTGTTCTCGGAGAGACGAAAAGAAAACAATGCCGAACAACTGGTGAATTTATCTTTGATCAAGGAAAATTGGGCCAGGTTCTTTTTGGTTCCGGGTGCTCCGCATTTCCATTGGCCTAAGGAAATTACAGTTTTCACGCCGCTGAATGAAACACAGGTTACCTGTCCCGTTTCTTGTTCTACAAAACTTTTTATTCAATCATTTGTAGATGATTTTACCGGATTTTGCGAACTCCTGGACGATAAAAACCTACTTGAAGATGTGCAATCTGAATTTCGAGGTAACAGAGTGCAAAAACGCTGAATTTATGTCGCCCTCGTTGACAGTACCTTTCATCAAAGTAGATAACAGCGTAATCGGAGAATTCGAAGAAATAATCAATCACCTCAATGCAAGAAATATAAAATTAAGCGATACTTTGGACAAGGAGCAGATTGTTAATTTGAAGGCTTTTATGTCGCTCGTGCCGAACGTGATGCTGTTAAGTGAACTGTACATGTCTTGGTATCTCATAGAAAATTTTCAAAAATATACGAGGCAAGACCAAAGTTTTTACCCTCCTACCTTCTAGTAATGAAGTCTGATGGATGAAGCCATTAATGCTTAAAAAATTGTCCTTTTTAGGCCGAAATATAGCGCGAGCTTCCCGTGGCCTTTAAATAGGCTCCAACTAAAATCGAAACGCCAGCAAATTTTGAAGAAACTCAACGTCAACTATTGGTCGCGAAAATCGTTAAAAAACGTCCTTGCAGAATTCGAAAGTTGTTGCGAGGCAATCAGTTGTCGTTTGGAAGGGAAGACGCGATTTTTCCAAGGGCAAAACACGGAATTGGACGCCTGCATTTTTGGACATCTGTACGCTATTTTAACGACAAATTTACCCAAAAACCATTTACAAAATATCGTCAAAAAATTCCCCTGTTTGTTGGATTATGTAGAGAACATGAAGGAAACGTTTATTTGAATTTAACTGCATTTTCATTTCTAATTAAAAGGCAACGATTGCACTCAGTTTACCTTTTGTGGACATCAACGATTCGTCAAAGAACCTCGCTACTGCTGTTTTAACGTAATTCGCTTCCTCTATGTAATCATCATCGGTTAAATGTCCGGGATTTACCATTAAATTTGATTTTTTGAAGAAGTAATTAGGTTGCTTTTCGGCCGAAAGCTTGCCCACTAGGTTGTCCAATAGCTTTAATACGTATGTGGAGAGATAAATCGGAGCCCAGTTTATCATATCGTTAACCGGACTAGTTGAGTTTTCTTCTAATTCCTCGAATAGCACAGTTTGCAGAATGTATTTGGTGAGAATTTTGTAGGATAGCTGGAAAATTTGGCCATTTCATTAAAAATTTAAAGGCGATATTTCCATTAACAAATGGTTTGAAATTCGTTTTGTATCCCTATTGATATTTAAAAAAATATTTTAATAAACAAGGTGGTTCACCTGGTGTTTTCCTAAACTTTTTTTTGATTCATCTATATCTTCCAAAACAAGATGTAGCATCTCCAAGATTGTTTTAACTGTACTGTTATTTCCGTAATGAGATAAAATAACATATTCGGCTGCTGGAAGTCGTATTTGCCAAGCCGAAGAATGGACGCCATAGCCTACCAAGTACATTCCCTAAAACAAACAATAAGACGATATTTAAACGCGTGGAAAATCCATCAGGAATTTAATATAATCTAAAAAATTATGTCATAAGCACGCGAAGATTTTATAAATTTAAAAACTCTTTCTATTACTTTTATTGAAGAGTTTAATAAGAGTAAGAGAAAGAAAAAACTAGAAAAAAATATTACTGTAAGAGCAGCTTGATGGTATAGCAAGCAGTCCGAATGTCCCAGCGATAGCCTGGATGGAAAATCAGTGGAAACAGGCCAGCAATCAATTCCGACTGCAACCAGAATTGTCACGTCTACAGTAATATTGGACAATGAAGGCGACAGAAATTCCACTTTTATTCTTATTCCGTTCGGTTCGTCGACAATAGCTAATCTAAAGTCTCTCGGATCGGGAAATCTCGGAACGCTACCACCTGAAAATTATTAGCAATAAATTACATATTTGTCATATAGTGTTATATAAATTGTAAACGTGAATTAATTATTATGCATGTAGAAACCGAGGCTAGAAAAATCGGTAAAGTAAAACCAGTGACACCTTCTGTGTATGTACATACCAGGACCGTAATAAACTTGTTGATCCGGTGGAATTTTTAGTATATTATGCAGGGTAAAGGGATCAACCACTTTTCCAGGAATACCGCAATGAATTGACTCATCTATGTATAGAGGTGAACTCGGCACTTCTTTTGACGCAGCCAAGGCAAGCAGTTCAACCAATTTTGCTTGAATTTTATCCCTGAAAAAGTAGATATAATGATTGAAAATGCAGTGTTATAACTGATTATTTGATTGATTTTACCTTCTAAGGAATCCCTGTGAATTAGTAAAATCGCCCCAAATTTTATACGTAGATGTGTGAAGTTTGATTCTGGCATATCCAGCTGGATACTCGGATTCGGATTCAAAAACAGAATATTTTGGTTTGGTGTCCGATTCGTAAAAACTAGGCAGTGACAAACAATCTAATCTGACTATGTAATCCAATTTGTGTGACAAATGATTCTGTAAAAATATGTACTGGAACTTAATTATTGCGCTGTGTTTTTGTGGTAAGCGAATGTTAAAGAGAAGGTTCCCATTAGGGCTTCTTAAAGCCTTTATATCCGAGATTAAGATTCTTTTGATTCCTGAGAAACCTGAACGACTTTGCTTAATTTTCCAGTAATAATGTGAGAAGAGATATTTGCAATGCCGAGAATATTCGAGAAAATAATTTTGTTTATATTATTTCAAAGCATTATTTTAAAATAAATCATATGTTTAAGTCACATTTATTTTTATTAAACGTTAAATTCACGGCAAATCCATAAAATGTGTGTATTTGTTCTGCGGTGACTGCTTGGTTTAATTCGACAATTTAATTTATTGTAATGCTTTTGTAAAATTGTTGTACTCACGTTTATTTTTTGTCGATTGTTACAAATTAGATATTTAGTAGAGAACCTTGGATCTATTATGCCTGCCCCGCATATCAATCTTTGAACCAATCTCTCGCTCACTGATTTGGCGAATGATAAGGATTTTTCTATATAAAAAATTAAATTTAACTAAAAGTTACTCGTAATTTTTGAATTGTTCTTCGAAGTTTACTTCTATAAATAGAGTAAATAATTTTAAATAAAAGTAAGAAGCTTTTCCAGTGCCTCCATTTAATCACAGTTTTGTAAAAAACCATCATTTTTGTACTGATTATATTCTTATATTTTTTAATTAATATCTTACCAGATTCTAAAGAGACGTTTCTCTGCAATCTTTTATGAATAATATAATTCAAATTCTGCAACTGCTCGATAGAGAACTTCAACTTTGTGTTTGACAATACCAATTCATCCAATTTTCCTAATTTAAAGCTCTTTTTCCTCGTCTCCTGCTTTCTTTTGTGAAACATTTTATAATAGCCGTCCTATAATGTTGAATACAGTTTATAAATCGTAATTTTTGGTCTTTGAGATTCGGTATATTCAAAACATTTTTTTCTAATTTGCTGTAAGATAGATGTTTTTAAAGTATAATCGTTTAATACTTTCTACATTTTCAACCTTCTTACCTATTTATTAACCTGGGAGTTTCCTCTCAGACGACACACCACCAGTATTTAAAGCACGCACAACTTTGATTGAATTGTATACGCATCACGAGACTTACAAAATAATTATTACGATCAATTTAAGAAAACCAAACAGGAGAAACAAATTTATTTTGGTAAAACGACAACGCGTCGGATCGCACTCAAGCACATTCTGATTATTACTTAATTAAAAAATGATAGTGCGGTAGGGATTCGATCAAAAACGGAACGATTTTTGTTCACGCGAAACCAATTTGATTCCAATTGTCGAGTGTATTTATTACAGCCGTCGGTTTTTGATGTGTTCTGCGTTTCCGTGCTACCGTGTAATAACTATTAACAGACTAGTAGCATGTCTTTGTACAGGGTGTTATCTCGATGGTGGTGTCAATCATAGGTTTTTTAGGAAATACATTAAAGGATTATATTTTTGGCATTTAGAAAAAAATGTTTTACATAAACAATAAAAAACATGTAACTTTTGGATTATGATCGATTAGCAAATAAGCATGACGAGTCTTTATTAGGCTGCAGTTAAACGGAGGTTCATACACAATCCTGGATCTATTCTAGCACTCTAGTCATCTTAATGTTATTGTGATACAAATAATTCAAATTGAAAAATTAAATGGATTTGTTTATTTCGTTTAATAGAGGACACCTTGTAGAAATTGTTTCAAGTAACAGTTATCAAAGTATCGTGTAAATATTCCAAATAACCATTGCACCCTAAAATTGTGAAAGCTGAATACAACTTAAAATCGATTACACACGTAAATTGTATGTAAAAATCGGACGATCAATCAGTAAACAAATTCACACAAGTGCATTACGTTTTCATCGACTATTTTATTCATTATATACTTTTTATTTTTTGTCTGCCACACCCTGTAGGCGATTAATTGTGAAAAATATTCCCCTCTATTATTTCCGATTTGCGACTGGACTATTACGCACTGTTGAAGTACATACCGGAAGTATCCTTTTGTTTGGGTCATAATATAGCTATCGGATGTAGGAAATAAATTACGTGTTTTCGGTATTGATGGATTATAGTCGGAGAGGTACGAGATTTATGTCGACACGCACCTTGTAAAAGGTAGTATTACAGAAGAAAAGAAGTATATGGTGGGGTACATTCTTCTTGTATGTTTGACAATAATAAAGAATTAGTGATTAAAATGACAATGGTAGATTAAGTTGATTTATGAATGATCGAATTAAAAGTAATTGAGTGGCTCGTCAATACGTATTTTATCAAAATATGCACGAATAATAATATTTATTAATTTCAATAAATTTCTTGAGTATAACAATGAACAAACGTTGTTACGACGAATCAACATAATAAGGAAAGTAATTATATTTTAAAAATCGCTTTTGATATAGCACCATTCTTCAGCAGTTCAATTGCATCTTGGTATTGTCTTAAGGAAAACGTCTTTATTCCTAAATTCTCGAAATTTAAATATCTACAAATAAAATATATTAATAACAAGTCCACTTGAGTAGGTACTTACATGAAATCTCACCTATCTCCCATGGCTTCTATTAATCCCAAGGATTTAGGAAAGCAATAAGGATTTATCATTACCCCTAAAATCTTTAACTCGTTCATGAAAATATCGAACGGTTTAATCCTGCAAAAATTAACATTCCATTAAAATAAGCGTTGAAAATGTAATCAATCTATTTACTTGATTTCTGCATGGGGGGGTGCAACCCCAAAAACGCATAATTTTCCACCTCTTTTCAACAAGGTAACAGCATGTTCAATAGCAGGTGGAAAGCCACTGCAATCAATTATTAAATCAAATTTATAATTTGGATCTGCATTTTGGTTTCTCTTTAAATCATCTGGTGTTATCAGTTTGAATCCTGTATCTTAATAAGAAGAAATAAGAAAAAAAGAAGAGTTAAGAATACCTAGATAAAATTTAGAAATTTTCATTAAATAGATACTTACTCAACTTTCTTAAGGTCTCTAATCTCTTCAAATTCGGTTCGGATACTGTGACATCTCGATGACCTTGTAGATGCAAGTTGCACACCCAAAGGTTACCTATAATTCCAGCTCCGGTGATGAGGATTTTTTGTCCAACTGTAACAGGACTAATTATATCGAATCCGTGTGCCAAACAAGATAGGGGCTCAGTCAAAGCAGCTGAAAAAATTTACATCAATCAAATTAATATGTAAATTTTAATTAAAAGCTATAGTGTGTATTGATACATTTTAAACTTTACACTAAAAATGTTGACACAATTTTACCTTTTTCTAAAGAAACATCGTCAGGGACTTTGTGCACTTGTGCTAAAGGTGCAAGACAGTACTCAGCCCATCCGCCATTTTTGTAGCGCCCAATAGTATTCAAAACTGCTCCATCAGGACAAAAATGGGGCTGACCTGAATGACAGAAATCGCAGCTGTTGCAACCGCTGGAATTTTAATTACTTATTAAAAAGATATTATTAAAATTTTAGCAAACTTTACTCGTTAGGATCAACAGACACCTTATCGCCTTTTTTAAAAATTCTAACGTCTGCTCCAACTTCGACCACAGTACCGGAAAATTCATGTCCCAACGTGAACGAGTCTTCTTGATTGCAAGGAAATTCTCCCTGCAAATACATTAGAAGCCATTACAATAATTAATTTGTGGCCCAGCAGCTTATAATAAAAATAAAATGAATTGTTAATTATATGTATAACCTATCACATCAATAATAAATTGTTTTTAGTTCATTTTTACCTGTATAATATGTAGATCTGTACCACAGATGCCAGAGAAAGCAACCTTAATAAGGACCTGATCTGGCTTGGTAATAGCAGGAACTGGTAGCCGGACTAATTCCAATTTTTTGGTTTTAGCTGTAAAATTTATCGCATCCATCTTGTTGCTAACGTTAGATTAGAATAATTGAGAAGCTATCAAAATGAAGGAGAGCTCGATTTATTTCTACCGAATTGGTATTTTATTTTATATTCAACAAACGATATGTTATGAAGTACATATTTACAAATAAACTGGAAAAATCTAAAAATATTGTTATAAATATAGTAGTTAAAGTTTAGTGATTATGCAAATTAAGATATTGTTATCTTTGTTGATATAACTTTATTATTACAATGCGGGCTTGAAAATTTAAAAATTCAGTTTATCATATTGCAGCATATTGCAACTCAAAATCAAATTTATTATGCCACAAACTACATTTATTTTTAAAGGAAAAACTCTTGCATATGTTATATTTATTTATTCCAATAAATCTTTACCCAATTATACATCATTTTCTCCATTTATTGGACGTTAGAGAATTTTTTCATTTCATACGGTTCACACTGTATGTATAGAAATACCTATTATAGACATCAAACAAATTTTATCCAAATTAATACGGAAAATAATTATAGTTTGAAAATCGCTTTAGCTATAGTACCGCTTTTTAACATTTCGATTGCATCTTGGTATTGTCTCAACGAAAACGTTTTTATCCCTAAATTCTCGAAGTTTAAGTATCTACAAAAAATATATATTTAAAACAAGTCCACTTGAGTACTTATATGAAATATTATACCTATCGCCCATCGCTTCGATTAATCCCAAGGATTTAGGAAAGCAAAAAGGGTTTATTAGTACCCCAAAAATCTTCAACTCATTCATGTAAACATCGAATGGTTTAATCCTGCAAAAAAGGTATAATTTCATTAAAATAAGCTTTGTAACTGTAATAAATCAATTTACTTGATTTCTGCATGAGGGGGTGCAACACCAAAAATGCATAATTTTCCACCTCTTCTCAACAAGGTAACGGCATGTTCAATAGCGGGCGGGAAGCCACTGCAGTCAATTACTACATCAAATTTATAATTTGGATCAGCCTTTTGGTTTTTCTTTAATTCATCTGGTGTTAACAGTTTGAATCCTGTATCTGAAAAAGCAGATAAATATTCGTTAGTATATTGCCAATTATGTATTTCAATTAATGTTCATAAATGCATTATGACTCCCCTTTACTTAACGACAAAACTGAAAAGGTACAAATTAAGAGTGTTTAGATTTTATTATTTTTAAATGCTTACTCAATTTTCCTAACATCTCCAATCTCTTTAAATTCGGTTCGGATACGGTGACATCTCGATGACCTTGTAGATGCAAGTTACACACCCAGAGGTTACCTATAATTCCAGCTCCGGTGATGAGGATTTTTTGTCCAACAGTAACGGGGCTGATTATATCGAATCCGTGCGCCAAACAAGATAAGGGCTCAGTCAATGCAGCTACAAAAAATACACTAATTTTTTTACTAAAATATTGTGAGAAAATTTTACCTTGTTCTAAAGAAACATTGTTAGGGATTCTGTGAACTTGTGTTAATGAAACCAGACAGTACTCAGCCCATCCGCCATTCCTGTAGATCCCTACTGTGTTCAAAATGCCACCAACAGGACAAAAATGAGGTTGGCCGGAATGACAGAAATCGCAGCTGTTGCAACCGCTGAAAAATTAATCAAATTATTATTAAGTAGATATTAAAAAAATTTCAAGAAACGTTACTTATTAGGATCAACAGAAACATTATCGCCCTTTTTAAAAATTTTAACGTCTGCACCGACATCGACAACAGTACCAGAAAATTCATGTCCTAATGTGAACGAGTTTTTTTCATTACAAGGAAATTCTCCCTATAAATAAATTATTGTATATTAAAAATTATTTTTTGCCTACTGATATTCTAATGTAATTTGCAGTAATTGTTTACCTGAATAATGTGAAGATCGGTACCACATATGCCAGAATAAGCCACCTTAATAAGGACCTGATCGGGTTGGGTAATTACAGGTACAGGTACACGTACTAATTCCAATTTTTTGGTTTTGGCTGTAAAATTAATTGCCTCCATCTTGTTGCTTGCTACCGTTTTAATGTTTAAAATAATTAAAAAGTTATCAAAAGGAAAAGAAGCAGAAGTACTTGTTCTACTGACGAAATAATATGTATTTCACGTTTACAGTACAAGCAATACGTTTTAAGTACATATTTACAAATAAATATTCTAAATATAGCAGCTATGTTTAATAATTATGTAAATTAAGATATTGTTATCATTGTAGATGAAAATAGGCGTAAAATGCCCGATTCGCCGCGACGTTTTCAGGGCGTATTTTGAAATTTGAAAGGGGGGTCGCACTCTACATATGATCTACCCATTTAGTTGTAATGCGCGACGAAGCCCTTTTTTTGAAAAATGCTTTTGTTTTCGCTTAATTAATGAAAATGTTGAAATCGTATAATCCATTTTCAGGCTACATTTTTAACTTTTTGTATGCAATTTTTGTACCAATGGAAAGAGCTGACTCTTTTCGAACGCGCGACGAAGCCCTTTTTTTGATTTTCCTTGTCATTTGTTAATAATTAGGTTGAATGTGTTTAAAAATTCAACGTTTCAGAACACTAAATTATTAGTTTTAGGCAACTAGTTATACAGTCCGAGAATGATTTATGAGGGGTTGGTTTCGTCTTCAATTTTACGACCCAAATCCGATAATCCGATTACCTACAGTTAAGATGTTAAATTTTAAAATTGCAAATATTTAATTTAGTGTTGCTACATACTTGATTTTTTATTCTACTTTTATTTTACCTCAAGAATTTTTTAAAATATTGTCCGGTTACTAAATTTGATTTGACTAAATTTGATTAAGTACAGGAAGTACTTAGTTATTTTTAAAAAAATATTTATGTCAAGCTCTTTTTGACTGTTGGTACTATTAAATGATTTTGTAACACCACATATGTTATATTAACAAGTAATTGTACTCTTTACTCCAAACCCCTTTCATTGAATATGTCGACATTAGATACATCGCAACTAAATAAACCATTTTTAACCAAGTTATCAATACAATATCACAATTTTAATACAAAGAACACACGTGGAAATTTAAAAATAACACACAAATTGAATATTCGGATATAGACAACACGAAGACAATGAAGTCACAATTTATCAATAGTCAAAATTCGGAACTGAGTGAATCTATATCGATCAAAACGGTAGGGGTAAAAAGAAAAACGTTGTTTTTATTGGTTCCCTTCGATTGTTGATCGATATGCGAGATGGATTGAAATGGATAATTTCAATATTCCCTTTGGAAATTTGGTAATGATAAATTAATAGTTTCGTAATTTAAATTAGATTTTCTCTAGAAATGTCCTTTGTCAGATATTTCAAGCACATGGATAAAAGTAGTTTAATTCTTCCTAACCACAATGCAATAAAAATCCACGAGACTATTAGACCGGTGATTATTTCGGAGAGGTCGAGTTGTCACCCGAATTTTAACCGGTCAGTTCTTATGGGTCGAGTTGTCACCCGTTACCTGAGGTAGGTACGGCAGGGTGCAATTAGGTTTTCGATTAATCCTACTTCGTTCAAAAATCCTAAATATTTTTTGAACGTAACAAACTTTTGTTTTTTTTATTATTTAGGTAGATACATTAAATATTTTTTTGAACTTTACATATAATTTATAAGATCAATATGATTCTGAAAATATTAAAATTTAAATAAACTCAAATTTCCTTTTACTTACATGTATGTACAATTTATTTAGTGAACAAACGCAAACCCAAATTTGAAAATTTAAACGAACATTTAAAAATTTATGTACATTAGGGTGGCCCGTATAAAACGATTGATTACTTGTCGCATGAAATGATTATTCACATGCATTTGTGGTTCGTATTAAGGACGAAGAATGTTCGACCCATACTTGAGAAGGAAATTTTGAATTGCTGTCAATGTACGTTTCCACTAAATAATCACAAAATTTTGTAACCTTATTGCAATTTGGTTTTATCTCTAAAAGTTGCAATGCAAAACATCCACCAACTATTTCTAACCCAAAATCAAAAAACCCACGATTATTAAGCAATTAGATCCTTATAATCTGCATCGAACGGATAACAATAGACGGGTGACAACTCGGACATGACCTTTTTTCGCACAGATAAAATTTTGAAATTTGGGTGACAACTCGGACCTGTCCGATTATTTATATGCAGAACAATCGAACCTAATAATGTACTAATGATTGTAGTAGGTAGACAATAATTTTTAAAGTTTTACCAAACCGTTTTTCAATGTTTTTACTTCTCTAATACTAATATCGTAAGAAATAGCGTTTTTAACTTGTCACAGTACGAGTTAATTCGAAAACAACTGAACAACTTATGCAATTCTGTGCATGAAAATTTGCAAACAGTTGTCCAGAATTCCGATAAACTGGAGTAAAATATTAGACACTAACTTTTTTATTTAAAATGAAATATCATATATATTTTTACATTTTTAGTGTCTCCATTATGAGCTGATTTCAATGATGTGTTACACTTGCTATTTATCGTCGATATTAAAGGATCTACAGCCATTTGAAATTATGTTTTTTGACTTTAGGCTGCCCCGCGAGTGGCCGTAGCTCCTTTATTATAGATAATAAGTATTAAGTATGACCTATCGTTGGAATCGGCTCGTCTTTATGATTTTAAAAATGTAAACCATATACGAATTATTTCATTTAAAATAATTTGTCGTCATCGGCATTTCTAAATATTCGAAAATATATTTTCCTACAATATCGAAATTCGGATATTCTAAAATTCAAATTCTAATAAAAGAACCAACCCAACCGCTTATCTCAGTTTTACGACATACCCCGCTGTGAGCTTACTACCTGAAAATTTGCCGAAATAAAGTGACAGGTCTTGCTGTACAAGTTGCCTATTCCCGAAAAAATATTTTGCGAGTACTGAACTCTAGCCTTAAAATTACTTAAAATGCAATCAGTTTTTAAAATTTTTAAGAATTATATATTTATTTAGTGACTTCGAAGAGAAAATATTTGGTGAAAACATTTTAATACTATTGTCCTCCATACGTTACAGGCATTCCGATGATAGGGAAAGTACAATTAAGAGAGTGTATAAATTAACTCTCGGGTACTATAATAGGAAATATCGAGAAGAAAATATAATAAAATTAATTTAGACGATTCCAACAATAGGTATAAAGTCTTCTGTACCACGCTTCGAATTGAAATTCCTCAACTCTACCACCTCATCGTGATTTACTACGCCACTGTTATTCAACAAACAAACATCAGAAATAACAATACTCTTAGTTACTGCCTTGCACATATTGTATACCGTCAAAGCCGACACACTGACAGCAGTCAACGCTTCCAATTCTGCTCCTGTTGTATCCTTGCTTTCGACACTCGCCAGTATTTCGACGATCCCTCGTTGTTCGTCCAAACGCGTAGTGACTTTAACGGCTGACAGAAGGTCGTTGCGAGCAGAACAATTAGGAAATATTTCAAAAGTTTTTCTGGCAGCCGCCATTCCTGCTGTTTGCGCTGCTGTTAGAACATCATCTTTTTTTATGGCTTCTGCTAGCATGAGCTCGGACAGGTGACCGCCGATTTTGACAGACGCCGTCGCGACGGAGTTTCGAAGAGTCAAGGGTTTGTTAGCATCGTGGCTCACCACAAGGGGTGCATTTCCTTGTTTCAGCTGGGTAAGTTTTCGCGAGGAATAGCAAAATGTAAACGGTTTCCGGAGTGTCTGAAGGAACTTATTGGTTAATGTTGTATTATATAGAACCATTTGGATTCCTGAAAGAAATATTGTTAACAATATTAGTTGTAAGAGACATATGTAGGTATATTATACTGTCTTATAATATTACTGTAGCTTTTTTTGTAAAAAACATACCTTTAAAGTTCTGTGTGTTAAATTTTATCGTCAAGTAGAACTTTGAAACTATTATATGGTGAACTACAAGTTAAAATAAAAAGACGATAAACTGGGAAGGGACCATTTAAATACTTAAATACAAATACATAAGTCGAATACAAATTAGTTTTGTAATAGCCGATAGAATATTTAATTATTATTACACCGATTTGTTGATACTATTTGTTATCGCGAATAAGACTATAATTAGTATTTATTATTTATATATTCGGACATGATAATCAGTTTTGTTTGTGCAAAATGTAAATTAAAATTTTTCCAATAATAAAGTGAAGGAGTTCTGTAAAATATTCCCAATTTGATCATATACTGTATCATCACGTTTAATACCCGATACTGCTAGTATGAGTTTTAGAAAAAGGACACACTGGATATTTTCTAATTCAATGATTTCATTCGAGAAATAAACTAAAACATCAAAATAAGAGAAATATTTTATTTAGGCGCCGGCCCTAACTATATTAGGTTCAATTCATTTTGCTAATTTCATCAATAAGCTTAGAGAATTTTGAAAATGTTTTTTTTCTTAGAAGTGGAATTAACCGCTGATAATATAGGTAATTGGAAAAGGTAGGGTATTATACGAAATTATTCTCAGTAACTACCTGATTTGGTGTTTACAGAATAACCACAATGACCGATTGGAAAGCGGTACCAGTTTTAATTTTAATGCAGACAAGTTACCAGTTTCGAAAGGATTCAGTAATCGAGAGTTTGTTTTCTGTGTTAAAAATGCGTGTTTCGAGTGGAAAATTAGTGTTTTATTTTAAAGTTATGTTGGTAAGTAAATTTTTGATTGTAATTTTTACATACTTACTGAATAGAACAGGTATTAGAAGTGTTTTAGTTCTATTTTGTATGAATTTCTTTTATATATAGTTGGCCAATATCGGTATTTTTAAAAAATGTGAAAAATACTAAAAAAAATCCAAAATAGATTCATTTCCATGATATCAAAGGCTTTCGCCACAACTAGCATAGTTAATAATATTAATAGCGTTTTGATTTATTTACAGTTTGCTTTCACTTCTGGAAAACCCGTAGATGTTGCTACTGGAGCTAAATTAAACGCCACGATACAAAGTAAGTTAACAAATCTTTTTCATACTCGTGTAATCTCTCAATACTTCGGGTTTCTTACAAGAGGTCATAGAATAAATGTAGCAAGGGAATTTAAGTCTAAGTAAACTATACGAAAACTATGAGAAATGTAGTAGGTAAATAGGAAATAGCTTAACGGTTATGTTTTAGTTAAAATCTTGAAATATGAACATTTCTCTCGTTAAAAAAGAACTATGAGGATATATGAGAAAAACGAGATTGAAAATAAACTGCTCCACAAAAGTTAAGGAAGTTCGCAAATTTTGCGATTATTTTAAAAGTTACAGACTTTTTGATTACCAAATTTTCAAATATGAGAAACTAAATGTTTTTTCTCACATCTGAGTGGATATATTGCCCCTGCCTCTACAACTCATACTAAAATTGGCGATCAAAAAACCTGCAACTTTTAAATTAATCTCAATATTTGTGAACTTCCTTTACTTTTGTGGAGCAGTATATTTGAACAGGTTTGTCAGGCCAATAATATGTAAAATCTAAACTGACCTTTTACTAACGGATTAAATCAGAAGGACAAAATCCTAATTTTAATTTATCCACAAGCAATAATATAGCATCTCACAATTTAAAATTTTTGGCAATATAAAAAATAAGTTAATTTTGACATACATTGTTATTGAATAATAGAATTAATAGAAATATTAAAAATGTTATTTGGGTTACTGACAGATATTTTAACAAATAAATTTAGTCTACAGTGTGGTTATAAAACTAAAACATTAGCATTACTAACAAGAACAAACATCGAAATAACTTAAGAACTAAAATATTTTAAATTTCTCACAAAACTTCTTAGAAAGTGTTTTTTTAATAGCAGTTATGTATAAATCAGCACTTTTTAACGAAATAATTTTTTATAAGTTAACTAATTCACCTTGCTTGGATACTCTCAAGCAACCCTCCAAACCCTCAATTTTTCTTCTTCTTTAAAACGCCCGCTGTTCCAGAAACGCCAACAAACTCGGATATAACCTTCCCTGAAGAAGACGTCTTTTTACCATCGCCGCCGTCCTGCCAATCGGGCGACGCTTTCTGCGAGCACTTCCCTCACTATCCCCACGGATACGTGGAGCGCGCTCTACGCCGGCATCGACTCGACCCCGGCCTCTTCGGGGTAGACGCCGTTCCAGAGTACACCGGTCGAGATTCCTCAGACACTTTCATGTGCAAATCCAGAGTAGCGACGGTGTTCCCGAAGGTGGGCAGGAATATCAAGAACGATTGGCGCATTATCGTAAATCAAGGGAACAGTGGTGAATACGTGCAAGGCGTAGTCGTGGAGACATGTGTAGGGTGAGTATTAAAAAAAAACGAGATAAGAACCTTTATAATGTATTAATATGGTATGTACAGGCAAGGAAGCAAATGCGATGTTATAAACGACTTGGTGGATGATATGGTGACATCCTGCAAACAAAAATACATCTACAGGAGGTTGTTGTCACTCAATGATAAAGGTCAGATCGTGCAGGATTCGTTTAAGCTTCCGTCAGCTTGCTGTTGCACTTATAGAACAAATTACCACTTTTTCGACATGTATAGAAAAAGAAAATAAAAACGTTTCTCTACAATTTCTAAACAGTTACCTCAATTGTATGCTCGCGACTTACGGAGTTCGTCTAATGTAAAATAGTGGTGAGTTACAAATTTGTTGGTATTTTATTAATTTAATAGTGCTAATTATTTTGTTATTTAGGGAAAGACAGCGAATGTGGTTCTGGTGATCAAATGAACGAGCACTTTACAGGCCCTTTCCGCAGCTCAGGGTGGAGGGAATTCAATCTACTGCTTAAGAACCACTCACGGTATTTCTGAAGGTGGTGAAATAAACCTGGGTGCATGCGACGTCGAGCGGTGTATGGGTGAGTTGTCTATTTTAGCTATAGTTGATGTGGATTTAATCACTAATGTTTATTTTTTTATTTTTTTCGCAGATATTTTCCATAGACATCAGGCCATCGCATTTCTTTCTGCATGGAACTTCACCAATGTCAACTAACTATACACAGAATTAGGTGAACGCGACATATTTTTGCAATTAGGAATTTTCAGTCGTTCTTCCAGTGATGGTTATAAGTTTATGTATGTACGACAAGAAGTTGAGATTATTAGGTAATGTTAAAATTACCTATAATAATGAAATACCATATAATAATGGTAAACCTCAATTAATGATTTGTTGTTAGTCGTATTTCCGAATATTTTGTTAAATAACATTTTTATTTTCTTTTTTTTTATTTTAATAAAAATCATGAACCAGTGGATTTTAACTTACCGTAGTAAATTATTCAAGTATATTAACTCTTCCGTATAGATTCAAAAATCCTCGTTGAAGTATTATACTTTTTAATAGAAAAATCTTCACGATTAAAACAAGTGATAAACAGGAAATTCCAAGTTTAATAAGGTTATCACATAAATTATTTTTAAATAAATATAAGTTTGTTTTACAATTCGAATATAGTAAATGTGCACCAACTCTATAGTGAACAAATATTAAATGGCTCGTTCTACATCTGAAAAAAGTATTGATAATAATATCTATACAAATTCGACTAGTGAAACACAATGCTCGCATGATGAAGATAAAACTAATGCAAATGCATCTAATGAATTGTGTTTAATTGAGTTAAATAAAGGTTCTATAGAACGATTGAATACAATCCCTACAGACGAAACGGAAAGAAATAACAAAAATGAAACCAGAAAAAGTACATTCTCGTCGACACTGAGGAGCTATTTGACATTGATAGCTCACTTTTCTATAATACTTTATACAGGTCTAATTTTATGTATGGCTTTTGCACGGCCTGTCGAGTTTTTTACGTGGCACCCAATATTGCTTTCCTTCGGGGTAAGTACCTAACTTTTTTTAAACAATATTACATTGTCAATTAAATTTTGTTGGTACCAAGCCTGATTGCTTATTTTCCTGTACACAATTATTACAGTTTTATTCGGTTTACTTTGGTTAATAATATGAACTATCATTTTTTTAATTTTTAGTGGATCTTCCTACTGAACGAAGGAGTTCTATTATTTTCCGAAGACAATTTTATAGGAAGAAAATTGCGATTGAGTCACACTATGAAACGTCGATATCATTGGTTAACTATAGCCCTAGGGGTCACTTTAGTTATCATCGGCTTTACAATAGTAATTATTAATAAAAACATAAAAAATAAGGTGCATTTTAAAACGTGGCACGGACTTTTCGGTTTAATTGCCACAATTTTCTGCATACTGACAGCTTTGAATGGTACATCGGCTTTATACGATGTTAAGCTCAAGAACTACATAAAACCGGCACTGAATAAACTCCTGCATGTAATTAGCGGCAGTATTTCACTAATTTTTGGTGGTTTAACTCTAGTATTAGGTGTTTACAGTAATTGGTTTATTAAAGCTAGCGGTAACAATACATTTTTGTTTTCAATCGGTTTTGTTACGTCTGCATACGTTACTCTTTGGACTTTGCAGAGGCCTATGCGGAAAATATTGAGTAATTATAGATCGGCAGGAATAATTGAAACCTGAAGATGTCGATTTGTGTTAAAAAATAAAAGTTTATTCTGCAATTAATAAATTTATGGTTACTTAAGAATATTTTTTGATTTTTTATTATGTAATTAAATTTTGTTATTTATGTGTATTGTTAATAGTAAATACTTGAAAGTATGGTGTTATTTTTTAATTTAATGTTCAATTTTCATAGTAAATTCATCCTGTATACAAAGAATTCTGAATAACGATGACATTGCCTATACAATCCCATATTTAACCGATTGAAAGAAGTTATCTTGTTTTTAACAGGTGTTGCTTTGTACACGTACTTATTTAAATAATAAAAAATAATTTTGAAACTAGAAATTATTTCATATTAGTAAAGTGTTATCATAACTTTTTAACATACGCCTTCACAAAAAACATCTAATATTTAAAAAAAAAAACGTTCGTAGAATCATACATATTTTATTTCAGTCCTTTCATGAAACAAATTTATTCTGCTCTAGCTATTACACGGTAACATTCTAATAATGGAATACGAATCAGAATTCTTATTATTACCAAAATACTTGCTAATTTTAATTGGTTCTTGGCCTAAAGTAAATTCGTATAAAGTGCTATATTTGATCTACAGAATATTGTTTCAATCATATTTCTTATTTTTTTATATCACATTCACAATTGGTGTAGCGGAGATTGCACCGAAGTTACAAAATCTAGAACTGGCCAATGCCTTAACATTTGTGTTTGTCTATGGACTAGCTCTGTGGAAAGTCTGGCTAGTAAGAAAACCGTCAGTGAGGAATTTAATTAAGGATGTAGCAAGTTTTGAGAAAACCTTAGAAGGTAATTCATGCGCCATTGCATAAAACTAATTGCACGCAAATAACTAAATTATCAAGCATAAACTTTTGAAACTACAACTATTTAAAATGTTTTTTAGATTGCGACCCAACCATTAAGGATAAATACAGAAAACACGCTATATCAAACATGAAGTTAATTATCTATCTGCCTGCAGCCACATTTCCTTGTTTCTTGTTATTCGTAGGTGGCTCTTTGAATGATTTCTACACATGGAAAAAATTGGAAAACGAAGGAATTAATGTCACAAAGCATTTGATTTTTCCCGAATGGTTGCCGAAACGAGAAGAATACTTCGGGATCTATTATTATCACCAGGTTAATATTCTAGATTAACTAAATGAGTTTAATCAAATGCGTTTATATCAAGTAAATTGATTTAACATTCTTAAAGTAGTCGTAAATGTCCTTTGTAATAAGATGCGGTGATGCAACTAAAGCTAGCATATTATTTTATTTTAGGTGGTGATAGGTTTGGTTGGTGGCTTGAATTTTTCACTAGTCGATTCGCTGATAACGTCTTTAATTAGTTACTCTGTAATTAGGATTGTAGTGTTGGGAATGACTATTGAAACATTGTTTTCAAATAAAAACCAAAATATTCATGAGACAAAAAAAATTTTAGGTGAAATAGTGCATAAACATCAGGAGATAATTAGGTAATAACTTACATTTCTCGATTTTTTATATGTAATCAATCGTTCTCCTTATTATCTGCAGCCACATTGATAAACTGAATAAAACATTCAAATGGTTTTTTCTATCCGATTTCGCTGTAAAGTCCTACCAACTTTCATTAGTCCTACTTTCATATTTTGATGTAAGTAAAAATATTCTGGTATTTAGTTATGTATGTATCACAAAAAAGTGTATTTTTTAGAAAAATACATACACATTACCAATGTTATGGATTATTTTTAAATTTGGGCAATTGATAATTATATTTATGCAGTGTGCAGTGATTTATTATCAAGCTAACAAAGTTACAATTCAAGTAGGTTTCATAAAAACAATAGATAGATACATAAATGCACCTAATTCTTTATAATTTTTTCACAGTTTTTACTCTACATGTATCCACAAACCATTTATCATTTTTATTAACTCGCACTTGTACGATTTTTTACGTAGTACGAATGATTATATGAATTTCAATGGAAAATTGAATATCTCGAGAGCTGCTTCAATGAGTATTTTGTAAAATTGCAGAGCGAAGAATTGGGAACTTATATCTATAAAAGTGATTGGGTCGATCAACCAATCGAAATTACGAGACCAATAATCATAATGATTACAAGAACGAGGAAGGTGTTAAAATTGGAATCTTTTGGAATTGTCGTGTTGAGCAACAATCTAATATTAAAGGTAGGTACCTAAGTCAAAATATTTTGGCAATAGAAGAGCTGCAAAGTAACTATAGTTACTATTTTATTTTTCCCGTTTTTGGTTTTAGATTCTCCAAGCAGGGTACACTTACATAGTGTTTAGTTTAGGCAAGCTTTAAAATGACTATTTTAGCCTATTTAAAAATGGTGCAGATTTAACTTTTAGGAATTTTCATAGTTAATAATTATTTATTACTTATTTATGTAGTTGCATATTTATATAGCCCACGTAAGCATTTAATACACATTGATCACAAGCTTTGTTGTATTAGTAAGGGGTACAATAATAAAGAGCACAAATGATTTTTCATATTTTATTTCACATTCAGGTATTTAATCTACAAAAATAATATTTCAAAAATTACACAGACATCCAGATTTTTTGCACAAAAATAAATAAAAGAACAGATTATTAAATGTTTCTGCTTATCCATTCTTTTACTTAATTTTTCAGTTATTTGAAATTTTTCGGTTATATTTCTGTAATTTATTTCAACTGAGATATATGCAGATATTCCTCTGAACAATTTCTCACTTAGTAAAACTTTAGAAACAGCAGCTCTAGTTATTAATGCAATTTTCTCCATAATTTTTGCAATGGTTTCTTTCTATAATTCTCGTTAAATCGAGTACAAAGGACTTATCTAATTCTGCGGACATTATACTCCTAACTTCCACCATACAATTTTGAAATGAGTTGTTATTTCGGCTATGACAAAGGCATCCATCTAATGTTTTCTCGTCGGGTTGCAACGAAGAATTTTTGGTAAATCGCGAGTAGAAATTCAATCTATGAAAAATGAGTATTTCAGGTGCTTCCTTACATGCAAGTGTGGATGTAAATAGAGTTAACTTTTTATGTGAGTCTTACCTAGTTTCCCATACAGCAGAACCCTGAGAGTTTATCTCACACTGTGATTTGGGACATCTTACAGGTATAACTGGCTTGTATTTTGACAGGCCCGAGTACCATTCTAATTTTACTAAATACTCATTTAAAATAACATTATCTGCTTCATCCGCTAAGCTGAGATGATTATCAACGCACTGCCCGTATACCGAATAAATCTACAACAAATACAAAAAAGTTAGACTAAAATTTTACTCGTAAACAAAACCAAATTTTGTATAAAAGAGACGAATAATCTCTGCAATTACAGATACAGATCTCTACAATATACAGATTGCTCCATTTTTCACATAGGCTATGGGTGCGATAAAGACAATTAATTAGACACTTATAAATGAAAAAGAAAGAGTGACATTTATGTCATTGCAACTTTTCACTCTGACAACTGTTATTTTAATAATCTTTCTTTGTTCAACTCATAGAAATGCCCATGTTGCAATCGCGAAAGAAGCACAGTGTATAGAGATGCTATGAATTGATGGGTAAACGGAATGCTAAAAGATATCGTTTTGAAAAGAAATTTGCAGGACTTTGAAATTTGTACAAATTAAAAAGATTTTCATTGTTTATGAGTTTACGGTTCTAATTATATTCATTGTCTGCAACCGCAAAGATTATTCGCTGTTCAGATTGTTTCTTATCAAGCAACAGGAAATATGCCAATGATGTCATTACAACATGATACATAGGCTAATGTTTTCTATTATTTAATTAAATATTTACTACCTTTAATTTGATCAGCAATTTATTACAGCAATTATTACGATCGTACTATTATACATCGATTTAAAATCTTAACGTTGCAACGAAAAATAAACAAACATTATTCTATTCGGCCTCGAAAGCGATAACTGCATAGAATAACATTTCTAAATGAAAACATAATCTAATATTTTTAATTGAATGTTATGAATTTATAAATATACAACGTAAATTTTCCATTGTAATTACATTTACTGAATTCTAAATGTTAAGTACTCGTAAAAATCGTTAGGAGTCCTAGTTTTCAAGAAAATTAAACAAAAACTAAATACTTTTTTGTATAAAAATACACGTAATAACTCACCTGATACAATATTAATCCAATGAAACCTAATCTAATTGATATTAGATCCAATAAAAGCATTATTTATAAAGAAAAAGTCCTTTTTTACCAGAATTATGTATACATCACATGCTATTCTAAAATTTCTATCTACTGACAATCAAGGTTTTAGTCAGCGAACGCTATTATCTGCTTTATAGTAATTTGAGTATAAAGTTTGTAGACCAGTAAAGACAGTGTGTTGCTTTAAACATAAATGACTAATCATAAACGAAGTGCAATTAAATATTTATTCTAAATTAAAAGCAATGCAGAGCCGGTTTCGCTTGAAAGTTGGTTCACTGAAGGTAAACTTTTGTGAAAATAATTCAATTTTTGCCCTTTGGCAAATTTGTTATTAAAAAATTAGGAAAACACTGAGAATGTACATAAATCAAACAGATTAAATATTAAATTTTATTGATTGTAGATATCCAATATTTTTGACATAATACAAATTCTTTAAATCTGGAATTTATCGTTTATGAATGGATTTTCTGGATGATTCGCAATTCTGAAATAAAAACATATTTAATACATACTTGACTACTTTTGAAAATGGATAAACATATTATCAGAACTGAACAATAAACTACCTACTTAGAATGAAAATGCATTCGAAAAATCCGACCATTATCACCCTTATTAAGTCCCTCTAACATTTGGATATCACCATAATCTAATGTGAAATCGAAAATTTCAAAATTTTCCTTTATTCTTCCGGTATTTACACTTTTTGGAATAACAACAATATCGTTCTGAATCAAAAAACGCAAGGCTATTTGCGCCGTTGTTTTATTGTGCTTTTTGGCGATTTTACACACGACTGGATCTTTGAGAATATTCGGCAATATCACATTTCTATAACCAATCAAAATTATATACAAAGTGAAAATTGAATGAAATGTTTCATACATAGATACTATAGTTACGTATTTCATAATTAAAAATAAAAGCAAGTCAACCAAATAAGATTGCCTCCTGTAGCGAAAATAGCTGAACTAATCGATTCTACATCAGCGTACAAAGAAGTCTACGTGCATATTAAATTTAATTAATAAAGTGCTTGCAGTATTTGCATTTGATTAATTATTAACAAGCATGCGGATATTTACTTGTTCATCCTTTTGAAAAATTCTTCCGATCCTGGGGTGCCCAGCGATGAATAAGCAACGACAATAATGCCATTTTTGCGACAATAGTCGACTAATTCCTTTTGTTGGTAGTACAAGTGAAGCTCAATTTGTACATTAGCTGGTTTAATTCTGGCATTATTCATAATTCTTTCGATTTGATTAATATTCCAATTTGAGAGACCAATAGATCTTGCTCGGTTGTTGTAGACCTGATCCTCCATTTTCTAAAATTAGATTATTTTAGTGTACATGGTGAATTTTACTTCATAAAATTTTTACTTTCCAAATTCCTAGGTGATCAGTTGGCTGGGGTAACAAATTTTTCAAATCGCCCTTCATGAATATAGGAAAATGAATCAAATACAAATCGACGTAATCGAGTTGGAGTTTCTCTAAAGAACTTTTCAATGCACCTTCTACGAGATCAGGATGCATCTTGGTAAAATCTAGTTTAGTTGTAATGAAAATGTCCTCTCTTCGTAACTTTTCAGATAGAAACCATTTTTTTAAAACACGACCAATAATTTGCTCGTTATCATAACGTGAGGCAGTATCGATGTGACGATAGCCAATATTAATGGCTGTATCAAGGGCTGCTTCAAGTTCATTTTCATCGGTTGCCTATAAAGGCAAATGTTGCAAATGAAAAATATTTTTAATAGCAGTTAATGCACAAAATAATTTAGGTAGATATTTGAAATTATTTATATCATGCGACTATTAGGTAATACCAAAATCGATAAACTATAACAACACTACTAATCTATTACGCTTGGGAATCATAAAATAATGCTCGTCAATTAAAAATAATTGTTCACTGAAATAATTCAATTAAAATTCATGGTAACTCACTGTAGATATTATTAATTGTAACAATATACGTGTTATAGTTGCGTACATGTTGTAAATTAATTTTCTTATATAAAATTCACAGAATTACAGGATTGTCTCAAATATCGAAAGAAAAACTTACTTGCCAAGTGCCTAAACCAATTACAGGAATTTTTACTCCTCCCTGCATTGTTAGAGTAGTTTTTTTCATTACTTCCATTTTCAACGAGATTTTCGATTCACTGAAGAATTTAAGATACTGTTCATAATACTTTAGAAATACTTCCTATTTTATAGTGGTGAAAGCGTAATTAATAATAGAAGGAGTTAAGTTTGAAACCATTGATTTTACTTAGTTATGTACAAAATATCTCTTTAATTATACAGCAAGCCTTTAATAATAGAAATCGTATATCATCCATTATTATGTATTTTGAAATGTACAAGGTGTTTTCGTACATTTTGATACCTGGAAATTGATCTATAATACTTTTTTTCGTGATAAAATAAGTAAAATAACTAATTAAATGCATAAACAATTTTAATAATCAATAAAAAAATACAATTACAAATAATTAATTTATGAACTCTTGATTTTTTTGTCCTTTCGAATAGAGCAACATATCCTTTTAAAAAGTTTAAAAATAATGAAGAGAGTTATCGAAATAATTGTACTCCAAAACACTATCACATCCACGCAGTAATAAGTATACCAAGGTAATTCTCTGCCAAATACTCTTAAATGAGGTGCGCCCTTATGTCTAATAACATATTCAATCCAATACATCGCAAGGTCCAACGGTTTCACAGGCCTATCATGGTACAGTTTCGATCTGTATTTCACGTTTTCATTGTACCTGAAATTGTGAAATAAGTTTTATTCTCACCTTTAGATTGCATCTAAATTGAATCGTACGAATGTAAATAAGTACCTACGTACTTTGAATTTGTAAGCAGCTCATTTAAAGCAGATCTGAATGACTCTTCAGTTAGATCGGCAAAGAAAAGCCGTTTACCAACGCCTAGTAATTCCGCTCTAATTGCATTTAATTTCTGATCCCCTATAACGGGTAGAGCTAACATCGGAACACCTAAATGAATAGCTTCAGTTAGACTTAATAAACCCCCGTGTGTTATAAACAATTTAACATTCGGATGAGCTGAAATACGAAAAAGGATATGTACGAGCTGGTGTTTCTTGTAAATTAATAAAAAAATTCAAGTAAAGTTGCTGTATACCCAAAAGTATACTTTATTACAGAGTAATGTTACCTAAAATCTGTTGTTGTGGAAACCATTTCCTTACTATTATATTCGAAGGAGCACCATCGGGGAATTTGTCATCGTCCCATTTCCACAAGATCGTCTGTTTTAATGAACCGAGTACTTTTATCATGGCTTTTTTCATCTCTAATGGCATATGAGATGGCTTCACGTGCGAACCAAGACTAAAGTATATCACTCCATCCTTGGCACTATCCATTATTTTCTGCAGTTCATTGGGCAATTTTTCGGCTGCAAAATACTATGTAACTAGTTGTAATATAAATAATGTTAATAATATGTATCCATAGTCCATAAGTAGTGTAAAATATTAGGTTAAGATAATATGTTAATATAATATGTTAATATCTTAATGGCTATGAGATTGGACCTCTTGTATACTAACTAGATGGATTGACATGAAATCCTCCGATGTCAATTATATTTGGCACCCTAGTTGTTGCATAATTAGTACTTTCATGCGAATTGGAGAGAATTAAAGCTGCGTTTCTTTGCATTTCATCTACGCTTGGACAATTCGGAAAGTGTTTTCGAACCAGTTCACTTTGGCTAGGATACGTGTACAGTTTATGCCCTAAACTTGATATTATACTATATAAGTAATTTTGAGATCGTTGCCAAAAGTCCATACGATCGGAGAATCCGAAAAATATGCTGGGTACGTAGGAAGGTGGAGTTGGGTTACCTATAATATTACATTTATCAGTAAACGTGGAGGTTTAAAGAGGAGTAATTTGTACCAACGGGATCGTTGATCCATTGTGCAGATCCCACGGGATTGAGCGCTATGAGGGGTGCATTATAATGGCAAGCAAACGCTGCTAGACCGTCAGTGTATAAAGACTCCATAATAACAGCATCAAATTTTTCATTCGATCGAAGTAAATTTTTAACGTTCTCGTTTTCAAATGCTTGCTTCATACAAACTCCTCCAAACACATTCATTAGCGGTAAATTCATCAATGGAGAGGATTTTTCTATTTCGAAGTAATTGCGTTCCTTTTCGCCAACTTTAAAGACTATAAAATAAAATTTTTCATCAGTCATCATCAGTCATCATCAGTTATCATGAAGAATAAGAATTAAATAGGCAAAATAACATTTTAATACATACATTCTTCCATACAATTCCCGATAGCAACATATTTAAATGATCCATTTCCTTTCGGCGGATTGTTATTAAACGGTGTAATAAATGTCACATCGTGACCTGCGTTAACCAATCCAGCGGCTAATCCACGGCAAAGTATGTAGTGACTTTGCGATGGAAGAGGTGACACAATTAAAATTTTATAACCACACACAAACCCAATCAAAGTGCTGGTAAATAGGCATATACATTGGAATCGCATTGTATTGATATACACAATGAAGAGTACACTAGCACGAACATGTGGGCTTGACAATCATTGTAAACAATTCCGTGATCTTGAGCCCCACTCTTGGCTAATTAAAATTAACATTGGAATATTTTGATATATCAGGGTCGTACTGAATGATCCGATAATTACATAATAAAATGATGATGGATGAATTAGATTGGGTGTAATTAAGGCACACATTATGTCTTATTAAGCTGCAATGATAATGTAGCTTTAGAATTAGACAGTCCTAGAATCCTCATGTAAAATTAAACACATTAATTTACAGGTACTTAAATTAAGCACCCTGAAAATTTTAGCCTGAATACAAATCTGGTTTTATTCAGTAGATAATTTAAATTGTAATGACAGCCATTAGCACTTACACGTTATAGCCGTGTTAAAAGAATGCGCATATTATTGTTTGTATGTATACGACAAATACTTTACTAATTTTGGCCTTCAATTTGTTTTTTACTGATGATTACAGAACTAAAAATATTAAACGATGAAATTTATAGGATAGGTAACACAATAAATAATGTTTTTGGTTTTCGTATGCGAGTAATTGCCCACAAACGATCGATTACTATTAAAGATACTAAATTTCTTACATGAATCAAATTTACTCTAATATTCGTGCATGAGAATAAAGTCATTTATTTATTGTCTTTGTATATCTAATGTTTTGATGGAAACTAAACAAATTGTAATTGAACCAAATTTATGTATTAAATCTGTTTAATTTTTAAATCCAAGTAATTCAATTTTTCAATTTGTCGGCCTCTTCAGTCAAACAAAGTCATTTACGTAACGCCTATTGCGACGAATCTTGCGGAAATAACTTGTTAAAATAAATATGCACGTCAGAGATCTAAATAAGAAAAATCATTTTTAAAGTGGCGATATCTTAAACGCGAGCAAATTATAAGAAATATCGAAATTGAGAGACCATGAAGTTGTTAATATTGTGCTGTGTACTATTAATTCTTGGCAATTTTGACGTGGTTGAATTAAAAAGAGGCGGAGGTTCAAGAGGAGGATCTCGAACGAAATCATCAAGTAGGTGCAATTTGAAATTATGTGGCCGTGAAAGGGTTACAAAACCATTTCTAGTATATCAATTTGAATAACAATAGATGCGATTCTCATTTTTATGCAGGTCATTCCAGTTGGTGGTCGACCGCTAACAACAAAAAATCATCGAATACTCATTCGAAGCCGGTAAATCAAAGTCCTCCTGCTCCTGCACCTGCTCCAAAGCCTTCGGCGCCCAAACCGGAGACGAAAACCAATGTACACACGCAACATTCTGCTAACACGCAACATACAAACCAGCAGCCGATAGGATGGAACGTCCCAGGAAGCAATCAGCATGGCTACAAAAGCAACCAAGGTAAAAATAAAACATAAAGTGATAGAAGACAAATCTTTGGTAAACCAGATCTCTGTGAGAGTATTTCATTTAAAAATTCTTTGATTCAGCTTTAAGATTTCAAAACAATTTTGCTTCGTAGATCTGGTAAACTAACGGTTTTTCGACCACTCCCTCTATTTATCGATTACCCATTACCTACCTTCCAGGTAGGTTCTCAACAAAAACCTCTAGAGGTAGAACAGTTGTTTATAGTGTATTAAATAAAATGAGGGTAGGTCGAAATCCAAAAAGAAATCATCCAAAAAATGGACCTAAGGTCAGTCCAGGTAAGATCAACATTTCTGAAACTTTACTAAATTTATTCGAGAAGAATAAGGGTTTATTAAATGTGGTTCAGTAGAACATAAATCATTATTTATTACCTATTACGTGGTTTCTACTGAGAAGGTAATAATTTCAGGTATTCACCAGCAATCGCATAGTTACCCAACAAACAGCCAGCCTGGAGCATGGGGTAACAACCAGCATGGTGGTGCTTGGGGCAGCCACCAACAAGGTGGTTCTTGGGGCAGCCACCAACAAGGTGGTGCTTGGGGCAGTAATCATCAAGGTGGGGCTTGGGGTAATCAGCAAGGTTCTTGGGGTGGCGGCTATGGCCATCAAGGTGGATATAACCAACATTCCGGTTATTCAGGTTTCGGAGGAGGTGGTTACGGTGGTTACGGTGGACATAATTCGTGGGGAGGTGGAATGCAAAGTAGTCCATTTGGTTTTGGAGGAGGAGGAGGGTATTCTCCTTATGGTAAGACAGTCATCGATTTTGTACAGGATTTTTTGTAATGTAGTGTAATTTTAAGGCATGCAGCAGAAAAGAGGTTTTTTCAGCGGAGGTAGTACATTCGGGAACATCTTAACTGGAATGGCTATTTATCACGTGACCTCCAGTTTGATGAAAGGTGTCTTCGGAAGTGGACATTCTAGGCAACCCTACGTTGTGCATAACTACTACAATCAACCACCTGAAGCAAGGGAAGAAATAAAATTACAATCCAACATGTTGAAAATGTGCGAGGGAAACCTCACAAACGCTTGTACAGGTAAAGAAATGCGATTACTAATCACTAAAACTACTTTTGATACAATTACTATTTAAGGAGCTACATCCATTTGTACTACAAACAACACTGTATTATGCGTCGTAACAATGGCACAAACAGTACCCTGTGAACAAGAAAAAGCGATGTGCGTTAATACTACAATCCCTTGCATCGATAAATCCGATCCCTTATGTCAAAATACAACTAAAGAGCAAACTGAGACCACTTTCAATGTACCGTGTTATACAAACTTATCGATAGATGTTAATTTATTGAATGAGCAGGGAGGATCGAACAATGGCGAAGAATATCAATACTGCGTTACAACAATGGCTGTAGCAGGAACAGAATATCCGATATGTTCCGAAGAAAGTGTAATAAAGAAACATGATTTTAGAAGCGTTTTAGCAGGTTGGTAGCTAATAAAAAAATAAAACAAGCAATGAACTAAACTAATTTTCTGCATTTTTAGGTAATCTAACTTATAATCTTACTATTTCACCAATGATGAGAACGTATCAAGTTTATAATCAAGAAAACCCAATGCCTTCTTCCACCGGTCAACTGGTGTTACCACTAGAATTATTGATTCCTTGCATTGATAATGCAACGACACTTTGTCCTCCGGACGTCGTCACAATTTGTACGGGATACGGTGAAATAATGTGCATTCAACCAGTCGCTAAAGTATCTTATTCTGATGATTACAACACTACTATTTATAAAAGCACAATACCATGTAATGAGGCAATCGAAGATGACTTTTTGTGCCAAAACAAAACCGAGGAAGATTTGATCGTTAAAGATGACAAAAAGTTTGTTAAAATAGATATTCCTTGTTTCGCTAACATCACCGTTAACACAAATCTACCGGATTTCGATATAAATATATTCAATGGTACTCTTCCACAAATGGCTCCCAGCAGTTTCACGTACCATTACCATTTCTGTCTCATGGAGATGAGTTTACCAGGACCGGAAACTAGCATGTGCTTGATATCAGACGGTAAAGATGGTAAATCTTAATAAACATTTAATGCACCTATAGGAAAAGTTTCTTAACGTTGGACCAACTTACAAAACATAAAATATTTTTTTAAATCGCATTATAATAATATAATATATAAAGAAGTAGGTATTATTGAGTATTCTCTTTACCACGCGCTTCGTTTTCTTGTATTCTATCATATTCTGTTACATGAAAGGTTTTTTTGAAAACGAATATTGTTTCGATATACTGAATTTTCCTATAATTTAGGTATATTTTGCTTATGTTTCTTTAAGTTTTGTGTATACTCAACGTTTTGGAACTCTCCGGTATATGTATATTTAGCATATTATTGTTATTATAACTATTATATTGTCAATTAAATTAGAATAGCATGAAAGAATTGTAACCAATAAATTTATAACCAAGAGCAATCGTATGTAATCAAAAAACGTATATTAATAATCTACTAGGTGGTGATGATACAAAATGATCTAGTGAAATTTTTCTTCTGGAACTCAAGTGAGTACTTACATGTTTTTTAAAATGTAATATCCATTTCAAAATTTCATGGATATATGGTATGTATAAAACACATATGTATAAATACGAGATGAAATCTTCTTCCCCGCTATATTTTGTGGTTTCCAATTTTTGTACCTCTGGAGTATGGGTAGACAAAGGAAATATTAAAGTGAAAATAACTTTAAACGTTATTTATTGAACATTTATGTAAACTCTACATATTTCGATTAAGAAAAAAATATCTGGTCTTTTTATTATCCGCTCACAATTTAAATTGAAATTTATTCATTATTTAAAGGTTGATTCGAACACAGCCGTTCCATCATGTCACAGTTGTGTAGTTAAATCGAACTATCCAGCTTAAAAAAAAATCCTTCGTTAAAATTAAGCGACGGTATTTATTTCTGTCAGGCGCCCAACAGTTTTCAACGGATGCTGATGAGTTCGAATCGGCCTTCAAAGAGGAATATAAAGCGTAACATCGCTTCAAAATCTGTACAGAATCTGCAACAGTTAATGAAATTTGTGGCGCAATTTTCCACAATAATTTTAACAGCTCAAACGTTTACTCAAGTAGACTTAATGTGAGACCATAAAATTAGGTTCAAAATGTATGATATTTTGGTAAATTCATTCAAAATTCTCATAAACTGTGATATTTGTACACTATAAAGTGCATTTATTACGTAATTACGGGATACCTTCTAAAAACATGAGTTCATGAGTTTTGGATATTATTTTGTATTTACTACTGTAAGTCACATCAATATTAATTACCTGAAATACTAGATACATATTTAAATCACGATGATTAAAAGCTAAACATTATTCGGTTTCGACCAGAAATATTACAAGTATCAATGGTTTCAGTTCTATTCTATCTCACAAATCGATAGCGCGAAATGTAGAGAGGTTAATAATAATTAATACAAAATTACAATTAACAAATGTTTTGAAATCACGGTTTGTACACGCGCAGAAAGAGCAAAACCTGATCAAGAATCGTATCCAAATACATGTGCATGTAATTGTCGATCATTTGCCCTTATCCAATTTGATTTCTTATTTTAAATTAGCCTTAGTAGGTGTTAGGTGTTTCCTTCAGTTTAAAATCTAAAAAAATATTTACATATAACTTCGTAATCTGAAAAATAACCAGCATTTCCTTGTTACATTGTTAAAGCAATATTTCCGTGGAATACTTACTTTTTCCTCATTGACTCCACCAAATGTTAATCATCATAAATGTTAAACATTTACAGTTCACTTATAGTTATCTCATCATGTGTTACGTTCACCAGAAGTGGTTGCCTACAATCTTGAGATTGTAAATTTCCGTCTTCCGGAATTTCCACAGTGAGCCTATTGAGACCCTAAAATAACGGAATTTAGTTCTGTCTGTCGCTTTGTTCCTTATGTACCCTATAACTAACCAACAAAGAATCCTCAAATCATCAAGTAGACGGCAAATCTTGTTGGGAACCGTTAGTGTCGATGAATGTTTCTTCGGAATAGCGACTTCTGGTAAAGCGATTGGACGCCGGAGTTCCTGTTAAAGTTGTCACTGTATCACCGGAAAGGCGAGTATTTCTCTCGTTTAGAGGGATAAATCTTTCTCGTTCCAATGGCTTTCTGAAATTCGACAAATCTTGTTAGATTAAACAATTGAGTAGGTATTATAAAAGTGCACAATTCTCTACTAATGATGTATCTACTGCAGTTCATTAGTTTCTCCACTATTTTCAAAGTTTTAATTTTTAATTAGGTTGAGTAAAAAAAGAACGAAGACTTTTGTCCACATTGTATAATCCATGAAGTGGAATAATTTTACTTATACACTATAAAAGGACTTGGATAGAAAAGTCAGGTAACATTGTTACTCACTCCAACTCCCTAAATTGGCTTATTACCGTGACTTTTACTATTGCAACAATTTTTGAATTTAATTTCCAGCCAAGGATTTATTATTTATTTTCGAAACTTTTAACATCCATCACAAACTTCCCTGCGAATGTTTTTTCAACGCTTTCTCCCTTGTGTTCGCACAACAGAAAACTTTGTAAACTTTCGTGTTCGAACGTAATCCGTTAAACTGGTTAATCCACGTAAAACAATTATATTTCAAACATTGCCTATACTTTTGTATGCTCGTCGGATACCTCTCGAAATTACCAAACTAATTCAATTTAAACCTTCATCGCAATGGGTTTTAACGCAAAACTATTAAGTCTTGCGTACGAATGTACATAAATGGTGGAAAACGAATGAAAATTACTTCAATATTAGCCAACATGTTCCGACTTTCGCCCAAAAATCGCAGCGATTCTAGAGTTACGAAACTGCGAATAAAAGGAAGATAAAAGCCTGAAATAAATGCATCGAAACCCGTACTGAATTTTAATTTTTACTTGCTCGCATTTCCAGCGAAGATTTTAAATTCAATTCCATTTACGTTGGTTTCGAAACGACAAATAAAGTGAAATATTTAGGTAGTTGTAGTCGAGAAAAAAGTAACGAAAATATATATCCTCAAGAATGTTCCGTTGAATTGGAAATGTTTCTGTCACTCAACCGTAACATCTTGCGCGTTTGGAGAAGTGAAGAGACTAAAATTGTACAATTTAATTTATTTCAGGGTATTTTGTTATTTTCTGAAATTCATAGGAAATATTTTCTTAATTTCGTAATGTCATAGAATGTCATGAATGTGATCACTCAGTTTTTGTGATCCATGAGGTTACGAATATGTTCTATTTTTTTATATTAAAAATTAGGAAGAAAAGGGAAGAAAAAATATGTGATATAAATAACCTACCTGCCCAATCGCCAAACTAATAGCAAGGCAGGTGTCACGCAGGTCGGCAGAAAAGCAAACCACACTAAAAGTATGTAAAGGACATCCAAATATCTAAGATTTTCCTTTGTCTCCGTTATTGATATCCTTACTACCTTCATTACCATCAAAGGGGTAAGGCAAATACCATAAATCACTACTATCGCAGTGAGGAATTTCTGCGTTCGTCGCTCTTTAATGACGTTTAAACGTGGCTCACGGAATTCGTAATATGTCCTGCCCCTGTCGCTGCCCTGCAGGCTCCTGTGGCTATATTGGCTCGATCTATCGTGATCTGACCTGCTACTCCTGTAAATTGTAATAATCATTCGGTAGGCAGGAATTGCCTGTGGCTTGATCTTTTGTAAAGCTCAAAATAAAATCTAACCGTACTCTGTATAGAGCATAAGAGACTCCCTCTTATAACTTGCTAAAGCCTCCTTTGTAAGATTTTTTATAAGTATTTTAAAATTTACTAAAGTACTAACATTATTAGCTTTCGTTTAAAAAAAATGTCAAATAATAAATCTTTATACATTTTTTTTCATTTCTTACTCGCTTAGACCTGCCGTTAGTGTATCTGCTTTTGCCTTGGTGCTTCTCGTACTTGCTTCGTATTTAATGGCAGGAACTGGATTTTGCTTGGCCAGTTCTGTCGATATGCGGTAGTAAAAGCAAAATATGATAGTGAACGGAGCAATGAACCTAAAACAGTTTTATAACGATAAAAGGCGATGTTAATGCAATGAATAGTTTAATTTTTTTTGCATTTTCGCAGCCATTCATGATGTAACATCTTTTTAATCGCTACATGCACTTAGTAAATGTAGCAAGAAAATATTTTGAGTCCTCTGCACATCATACTTTCATAATTGAGGCTATATTTTTCAAACGACTTTGGTATTGAAATTATTTTTATTGAATTCTTACTTTAATACGTATCGTTTAATGTTGATTGTGGTGCTCAAGAAAAAATGGGTCTTGTGTTCTTCCTGACAGTCGTTGGTTCAACAACGTGCCGATTTTGAGTTTTTTGCGCAAGCGATGCCATCGATTTATTGCCTATTTGTAAACTGCAGGACGTGGGTATTAAATCGGGGCGCCGATTGAGATTTAATTAATTCCTAATTAGCTTTCCCAGGCGTTTTTGATTAAGTGTGGCAGACAAACAGTTCAACAATATCAATTGTTACTTCTCCTATTTAATATAACAACGTATTAATCAACATTATATTATAGTTTAACGACTTAATAGCTTCAGTTATTTACCGATTGATCATTTGCTTGTTTAACAATTACCTAGTCTATTACAGATTTGTAACAAAGACACTAAATTAAATCTTAGTAAAAAAGTGTACCTGGAAAAAACTGCTACGTATTCATAATTTTATTGTGCAACTTCATCAGAATTTCATCTGAAGTAGACACTCTTGGACAAACTATATCCGAAAAATACATTATACTTGCTAAGTAACTCATTTCATATTCATAAAATTTACATACTATCTCTTATAAACACAAGTAGATTTGTGAAACTCCCTTATAGATTTGATAGTTCTGTGCAATTTCTGTTCAAAAATGCCATAAAATTGAAATAATACGTATATCACCTGCATTTAATACTCCAATATTTAATTTGTATCTATAATTTCTACTGAAAAAAAAACAGGATATTTATATTGCTGATACTTTTAGAAGCCGTGTATAAGTAATAATGCATAAGCGCTTTCATTTTGTATAGAAAAATGCAGGATAATAACAAAAAAAGTTTTAAATTTTGTTTCCTATATACCTGTTTTCCGATAACAGAGGAGCTCAGTCGGCAACTTTTCCAATACCACTAGTCACATATTAAAAACTGTATCGACAGCTTCACCATAAATTTGTATCAGACTCAGTCGAATGCGCTACATAAATCACAGCAGCCCGGAATAGAAATTTCTACCCTGGCGTATTCGATAAGGTAATTTAATGGGTTTTCGCTTTTCAATGACTTAATTCTTTTCAGTTATTTCAGTATTTTAAAGACCACAATGAGCGGAAGTTAATACCAAAAGTATTACATTAAGTACCTACATAAAGAGGACGTTTAGTTAAGTGGGAAACACAAGGTATGTCAATAAGTTTTAGGTGATTGTTTCATCGTCTGCTGACAGATGTAGGTCTTTTAATCCGATTGCCGGAATTGACAATCGCTAACAGTAGGGCTCATTGTAAATCGAGAACACAATAGAGGGGTGGTTAATTCCGGATACAATTAATGTGACTTCGTTATTAATTACTTGCGTAAACATGAAATACTACTAAGCAACCAAAGATTTAAACCTCGCCCAATGTGAAGGTTTATAAATTATGGGGAATTAAGGTTCTTGTAAATTCACATCGAATATCCCATTCGTCACAGGACCACAAATCCTTTTAATAAACAATATTTTACTATTGATTAATTACAATAACCAATAGAGTTTCCATTATGGTTATGGTATTTTGCACTAACATTCATAAACAATATTTAAAATTTCTACTTTGTAGGAATCGATATCCTATTTCCTTTGAACAATAAAAATCGAGCTCCTCAGTGTGTGCTCGTGCAAATAAAAAATCATGTAGACTTACATAGTCACAAAAATGCCTCGTACGTATTCGCTGATGTCGTAGAGTAAATTGACAGTGCAAAATCCTACGCATTGAACAGCTGGAAGCTTTTGATAAACTTGCTGCAACAAATAAGGTATTTAGCATCGTTATTTACAGTAAAAAAATATATCTTATTCGTATAATTTTCTGTAATGTATCTGTTCGGTGACACATGGACCTGTTCAAACAAACTTTTCCTTTTGGTAATCTTTTTGAGAAATATTTCAAGTTATTTGGCTTAATATTTCTGTAATTTCAGTAATTTGAACGTTATCAAACTAACATCTATAGAGATACTTAGAAATAAAGTTTCTAAGTACCTACCTACATACAGAACTACTTACTTTCAAATAACTGATTAATTCTTGTTGCACGTCCGAAATATTTGCAAATTATATAGAACCTCGACTGATTAATTTGTACTTAAACTGAATGCTTCATATTTTCAAGACAAATTGAATTTATTCTATACATATTTGGCAGCCTTGTCAGTCAGTATGTTATTTTTTCTTTGACTATAGTGCACTTAAGGATATTACTTTCTGGTAAATTAAATTACATATTCTTTCTGAAAGAATTGTAACTTCAAAAGATGGAGAGATGCCATACACGTTTAGTATTTTCTATAGCACAACGCACTTGCTTTGATCCCAAACTAATTTTCTTCATTAAATGCCAACAGATAAATTACTTAGTAAATGAAAAATACATATCATTCCAAATTGTTTTTGGGGCAACTTTTGGGCATAAAATGCGGTAGATTTTTACATTTTTAAAATGGGGTAATTAATTACCGGTGAAAGTAATTTCGCTAAAATCTCGGAAGAATATTCCAGTACTTTCGTTATGTAGGTACATTGTAGACGGATATACTATTTCTTTTTTCTTTAGGAAAAATGTCATTAGTTAATGCAGATAAGTAAAGTTTCTAGGAGTTATTTGCATCTACAAGCAGTAACTTTGCATTATTTTTTGTAGCATGAGATAACCTGGTTATCGTCAAAGATGGACTAATTATTTTCATTTGTAAACTTATTAAATTAGTAGTTTCTGTAACCAATGTCAAAAAGGGATACTGAAGAAACTTTGCCTATTATACAAATTAATGATGCCAAGCTTGAACCCAACAATGTGGAATACATTAATAAATTATTATGCTACATTATTATACAATTAATCCACGTAGATTATTCAGTGATTATCTAAAATAGCTATTAATGACTGGCATATTTGCAATGACCTTTTTAGACCATAGGGACGCAGTCAAATACAGCCGCTAAGTCAATTCACAGGAAATTTTTTAATTCCAAAATACCTATTATCGGTTTTTAATTACTACGTGAAAGTATCTAAAGATAATTTTATCATAGAAATGTAAAAGTAAAGAGTGCAACCAAGTAAGATTTTGATAATACATTATTGCTTCAGGAATCCATATGCATGAAATAATAATAAATATCAGGACGGTAGATCTAGAAACCAATTTTATTGGTATTAGATATTGCGGTATATTTGTTGTTCTGTGTATATTTATATGCAACCCTGCTTATTTCCCTAGGTGCTTTAACCGATGCAGAAGGCTTATACTCATAAAATCACAGGAGGCAGATAATTTATGTCACACATCGTCCCTAAAATGTATATCTGAACTTACTATACTCTAGAATTGTAACTACATCATCTGAAAATATTATAAAAAGAACTCTGAAAGAACCTGCAAATCTATTAAAATAAATATAAAGTAGGTACATAATAAACTCTTCGACGTAATGAATTCTTATTTTTTGAAGTAGGTATCTTAAAAAAGATTTATCAAAGGGGCATAAAATTATTCTAAGCGGTTTATAGGAGAAAAGAACCTCTCAGGGACGACCCGGGTTTCTCAGAGAAAGGAAATCTGAGAGAAAAAAGGATTTATTACAGGCCCATATTACAAGTGCCATCTATAACATAGTCCTACTAAATTTTCATGAAACTAACTTACATAGTTTTCCACGGCGTCGAGTTGTCGCCTGAATTTATCAGCTAAACTCTATGGGTTGAATTATATCTCGGGAGAGATCGAGTTTTCTGCCGTATTAGAGGTAAGTTGTTGTTGTTGTTTTTATGCGGGCGGTCTTTCCAGCCCCGTGACCACCTAGATCTAATGATCCTCTGTAGTTTCCCGCTGTTTCCCAAGGTCATTGATTCTGCCAGAGGTCGCAAGTATTTGCAAACCTCAGCAGTTCGGATGCCCTTGTGTTTTTGGAGATCGCTAGGATCTAATGAGGTCCTTCCCCAGGTATTATACCTGCGCAAGGATAATGCTGGACAGTGACACAGTATGTGTATGCTGTCCTCATCAGCCTCCCCACATAGACGGCATGTTTTCTGCTCTACTATTTTAAGGCGGTATAGGTGCGCTCTGAGTGCTACGTGTCCTGTGAGTAGTCCAAGCGTTTTGCTCAGCCTGTCACGGTCCATAGCCCAGAGCTCGGTTGCCCTTTCTTTTGAGGGTGTTTCCATGAACTGTTTGGATACCCTACAGCCTGTCGAGTTCCTCCATCGAACGAGATGTTCCCTTTCTAGGAGTTTGTTTAGGTATTGTTTACCTTCTGCAAAGGGCATTCCAACTATCTGCCTACCAGGTTGCTCCATGGCCCCCTCTCTGGCTAGATTATCGGCTACCTCATTGCCTTCTATTCCCTGATGTCCAGGGATCCAAATTAGAGTCACTACATTCTCAGCCCCTAACCTGGCGAGGTTCTGCATGCAGTCCCGCACCACGGCGGAGACCGTGGTGTTTTTCGCCAGTGCCTCTAGGGCAGCGCGGCTATCCGAATAAATATTTATTCGGGAATGTGTGGCTCCATTATTTATGAGATGCTCTGCACATCTCAGTATAGCAAATACTTCGGCTTGGAAGACCGAAGCATGTTCACCCAGGGATATGCTCTCCCTGTAGTTGGTATTTTGCCCCCGTAGATGCCCGATCCATGGCGGTCCCCACACCCCGAGCCATCGGAGTACCAGTTCTTTCGCCCTGATGTTCCATCAACGGTTTTTGTTCCTTCCAGTCTTCTCTGGTTGGTATTTTTACCTATAGGTGTGTTCAATCATAACCTGTTTAGAGGTTCTGTCTTGTCTTAATGTAAAAGGTGTGTTTCGAAGGACAATGTATCCTGGTATGTCCAGTTCCATTTTCCTTCCACTCCCTTGACATTTCATTCTGTATGCTGTCTGCCGGGCGACATTTGTCACTTTTAGGTCCAGGGGTGGAATATTGAGCGCTATTTCTAGCGCGTCAATTGGTGTGGTTTCTCATGGCCCCTGTCGCAGCCCGCAGGTAGTTACCTTGCAGGCTTCTTAAACAGGTTCCGATTCCCCACCAATTCTACCCTGGGCCACCAGACTACTGCAGCATACAGGAATCTTGGTATTAATACCGTTTGGTATAGCCAAAGAGTTACCCTAGGTTTTAATCCCAGGTTTTTCCTATGGCTCTTCTACAAGCCCACATTGTGCTGTAGATTTTTTCCTCTTTGTTTCGAGGTGGGTGTTCCCAATTCAGTTTTGTATCTAGGTGGACTCCCAGATATTTGACTGTATTGGAATAAGGGATCCTCCACCCCCCAAAGCTGTAACGGCTTTGTTGGTTGGAGTTTGTATTTCCGGGTGAAGATTACTGCTGCTGTCTTTTCTGGGTTTACCATCAAGCCAACAGCAGCGCACCAGTCCTCTACGATTTTCAGGGCATTCATAATGATGTCCCTGAGTGTTGGTAGGAAGTTTCCTCTGGCTATTATGGCTATGTCATCTGCATAGCCGAATACCGAGAGTCCTGCTTCTGTGAGTTTTGCCAGTAGTTCATCCACCACTAAGCACCACAACAGAGGTGAGAGTACTCCCCCCTGCGGGCACCCGCCGGTTGGACGTCCTGTTACCTGGTCGGTTCCCATGCTTGTTGACAGTTTTCCTGCCTCTAAGCATGGCCTGCGTCCAGTCAGTGAGGGTTTCGGGTATCCCTCTGCTGACCATTGCTTTTTTTATGGCTACATTAGAGGTGCTATCAAAAGCCCCTGCAATGTCCATAAAGACTCCTATAGCATAGCCTTTAGACTCTAGTTGCGCCCTCTACCTTTCCCACCAAGTGGTGTAAGGCGGTCTCCGTGGACCTCCCTGCTCTGTACGCGTACTGAGAGGGGGCCAGGGGGCGTGTCACTAGAGTCCTATGCTTGATGTAAGTATCCACCAGTCTTTCCAGCGTCTTCAGAATGAAGGTGGAGAGACTGATGGGGCGGAAATCTTTGGCCAGTAGATGACCGTTTCTTCCAGGTTTTGGTATGAAAGTAATTCTACTTTCGCTCCATACTCTGGGGACGTGTCTGTGGGCTATACTAGCCCTTAGAATTCTTGTTAATGGCCCTAGAAGGTCTCTTAGCCCTTCCTGTAGCAGGATGGGATAGATTCCATCCGGTCCAGGAGCCTTGTATTTGTCGAATGTCCTTACGGGCCCACTCGACTCCTTTAGGCTTTACAACCTCTGCCGCCAGAGTCCAATTCCTAGGCTTACGTTCAGCCCCGTATTGTGTCTCCTCGGTTGGTAGGTTGTTGGTGTCTTCTCTGAATCCTGGGAAATGTGTTTCCATCAGTAGATTCAGTGAGTCCTTCATTGTTTCTGTATATTCTCCATCCGGTCTTTTCAAGCATCCCAGGTTTGGAAGTGGTTGTTCCTGCCGAGTGCTTTGGCCAGTCTCGATACCTCTGATGAGTTCTCTACACTGGCACAGTATTCCCTCCAGCTTTTCTTTTTAGCGGCGTTTATAGCCTTGCTATATTCCTTTTGGAGGTGTCTGAACTGCTTCCAGTCCTCCTCTTTTTTGAATTCTTCGCCTTGTTGAAGGCCCTTCTCACCTCTCTTCGGAGTTTCGCCAGGTGGTTGTCCCACCGAGCGTACGCCCCTTGATTGGTTTTTGGGCCTAGAGGACAGTTGAATTCATAAGACTCCCTTGATGGCATCGCTTAGGAACCGCGACGCTTCCTCAAGTTGGTCCCTTGTATTTAGTCTGCGAGGGAATTTTGAGAGTCTCATTTGAGTTTCCTCTCTGTATCCCTCCCAGTTGGTTCTTCTGGGATTTCGCGCCCATTCGGTTTCTGTTTTCTTACAGACGTTCATTCGGATGAGCCTGTGATCAGAGCCTGTAGGTTCGTTATCCACCCTCCAGTCCTGCACCAGCTCCCTTAGTTTACCCGGTTACCACGGTGATGTCTATAACCTCCTGTCTTCTGCAGTCCATGAAGGTTGGTTCGTTGCCTCTGTTGAGTGTTGTTAGGTCTGTACGCATTAAGAAGTCATGGAGCTTTTCCCCTCTAGGATTGATGTCCGAACTCCCCCACGCAACATGGTGCGAGTTGGCATCAGCCCCGATGAGGAGTTCTAGTCCCCTGCTTCTTGCGTACTCAACCAGACTCTTAACCTCTTTTGGTGGCGCTTCCTCTAGGTCGTAGGGCATGTAAGATGACCCTACTAATACCTCGAGATGCTCGCCATCCTCAGTTGTAATTTTCAGGTGCACGACAGTTAGGTCCCCACAACTGACCTGGGGAACAAAGAGTGCCTTTTGCTCCCTTGACTATCACGCATGTCCTGATTTTTTCCTGAGTGGTCGCATGGAACAGGTCCCAGCTACCGTTCAGTCCTTTGATAGCATTACCCACGATCCAAGGTTCCTGGATATGTGCTATAACTGTTTGCATCTTGGCTAGTCCCTTGGCAATAATTGCCGAGGCACTTTTGCTGTGATGCAAGTTTATTTGTGCTATCTGCAGATTTCGGTTAGCCATTGCTGAGCCAACTTAATCTGCCTTAGCAGTTTTTTTTCTCCTCCCCCTCGGTCCCCTTTTGGGGCTTTTCGATCAGCCGAATGGCTGCTCGTTGAAGCCCGCAGTGAGGCCCGAAAGTGGAGGTCCTCCAGGCCCTTGAGGTCCGAGTCGCGGATCATGGCAGCAAGTGGGCGCTTGTAGCGTCCCCTACTCTCGCTACCCTTCACCACGATCCAGTCCCTCGTGTGCAGTTCCGCATTTTGCCTGCCAAGGAGCGAAAACTAAATTTTCATGAAACTAACTTACATAGTTTTCCACGGCGTCGAGTTGTCGCCTGAATTTATCAGCTAAACTCTATGGGTTGAATTATATCTCGGGAGAGATCGAGTTTTCTGCCGTATTAGAGGTAAGTTCGGGGAATCCTCGTTCATTCAAATAACCCTACCGATTCTACATAAATATCAAACTTTTGAATAATTGTTATTTGTTCTGGTTCATTAATACCTCTAGACTTTGAATACATACACATTGCTCCATTTCCGATTGCAACATGGTCATTTCTATGAGTGGAACAAAGAAAGATTATTAAAATGACAGTTGTCAGAGTGAAAAGTTGCAATGACACAAATGTCTGAGCTATATAACCTATGTTGTGATCAAAAATGGAGCAACCTGTATAGGTCGTACGTACATACATTGTTTTTATATACTGGGTGTAATTGTGTAGCGGACTTTCGTGAAGTGTCTAACAGTAGATGTGATTTCTCATCAAGTAAATTTACATATTAGATATAAATTCCTAATTTAAATTCACAAAATTCCAACGAATAATCCTGATTTAGCCTTTAGCGGTGCCTAATTACAAAACATCTAACATATTCCTTTGTTACGAGGCAACATTCCCTTGTAAAAGATGAACATTGTCTTATAATTATAGCCTTTTGTAATCAACTTAAGAACATATGACCTATTTTTCGTGCCACGGGGCTTGTTAACTTCAAGGGTTGTAAGCGAGGAGGTTGAGAGAGACATGCTTCAGAATAAAATGATATAAAGACAAGTAAAACTTCTGCAATCCTTGTTAGTTACACTATACTAATTTTGATCATTTTAAATGAAAAGTGTGAAAGTAATGGGATTTTTGCATTATTGATGAACTTTTTTCCAAATTAATAAATCAAAATAACGGGACAATCATAACATAATATGTATACTATCGATTGCGTCTGTTAAATTATTTGAATCACGTGAATTATTTTCAAAGTAATTATTTAAATATGAATCAACATTTGAACCTTTATAATGCAATTAAATTATATGTATTGTAATATAATATATAATAAAATTTATGAGACAGGTATTGCTAACTTGATTAAATACAGAGTAAATTGATGAATAAAATTCATCATGCAACTGTATAGTAATTTGCTCATCCATTCAGATACCAATCTAATTCGTCCTAAATAATCTAGGTATCGCATGGGAATCAATTTCCATTAAAACATACCACCAGAGATTTCCCTGTAAATTCCAGAACGTTTTAATACATTTTTAGCTTCAAAAATGTTAAATCCTGTTGAAATATTGTTGTCAGTATTTCATATTAAAAGGATATTTTTTTGAATTAATACATACAATACTAGCAAAATTTAGAAATTCAAAATTAAAATTGAATTATATTCTAAATAAAATAAACTAAAATAAACTAGATAAAATACAGAATTCCCCTAACATTTATGTATGTATATCCAAAGAATGAAATGGAACCAATAAAAATGTCTCAAAAATGAACCAAAAATAAGTAAATTTTTATCTTTATTCCTACATTTCAAGAATATTCTTGTAAACTTCTAACTTATTCAAAGAGAAATTTGAAGATATGTAGACGACTCACCCCTAAATCGATGTACATGATGTATTTGGAATATGGTAATACAAGACACATCGATGTGAGCCAAAGGGCGAAGTTGCAAACGAATGCAGGAAGTCGTTGTCGATAGGGCTTCTTTATAAAACGGAATCTATCCCAGGCCATTATCACGAACGTCAATGTTGACACGTGCTGCGGTATATCCTGAAAAGAAAATGTAAATAATAAGAATCCTCGTCCAAGGAAGTGAAAGTATCCGGCGTTGTCATCTGCATATTTGATATAAATATACACAAGGCATTTAGAATTTAAAACTGCGACAAACTGCTAAATTTCCTTTACATCCATTTATTAGCATTACAACCAGCAAAGGATGTATCGCAGAAACTAATATTTAAAAAACCTATTAGAACAAGTTGAAGCGTTCTAAACAAGCAAAGTCTGTGCACCCGAATGGAAAATGAAATGGAAATAACTTTGATTTCAACCGTTCATGCAAAGTTTTGATGAGAGGTGGAGAAAAAGTCGGATATAAAAATCAGACCCAAAGTTGTCGTCGACTACAAACATAAGATGGGAGGAGTAGGCCGTTCCGATCCACATTTAGCAGATTACAATATACCTACCCCGAAAGAGAGGAAAAAACACCATATTTTTTCCATTTGTTGGATTTTAGCTTCGTGGATTTTTTTTCTAATTCTTTGCAAGTCTGGAGATTTGAATTCGGCGAATAACTGAGAATCATCTTCAATCTGAATTCGTACTGCGAGAATTACTGTACGATACATTCCGAAGGTTTGCATGAAAATATTCCACACGAGCTCTGTTACATATTCGCAATAAATCTACTTTGGCTCTAATGTAAGTCATTTTTCCCCAGAAAAGAGATTTCCAGCAGGAAAGAATTAAGCCTTCATAGTTCATAAATACATTCAAAAATTCGATCCCGAATTCACCGTTGAACGTTCTTTTCTTACTACATAGGTATTATTCCCAGTATCCAATTTCTGAGCTTATAAAGTTTACTAAATTGACATACATAAAATTGGGTACACTTTGTTAAAAAAAGGATTTTTTCCATATTGTCAATTTAAGAATAAGCCCTTTTTAAAGAGATATAAAGGACGGAAGTATAATAAGAATATGCGAGGGGAATATTTTTTCTGAATATCGCTTAGCAACCAAATATTATTGATGTATTTACGAAAAATTTAAAATTGGGCAACGTTGCTTTAAACTGTCAAAACTTGTTAGTTTTTTCCCTAGTCTTTCGTAAAATGTAGAATTTACAGGGAATGTTGTATTACAAAAGAAATGTACCAAAAATTGCAGAGTAGAACAGTAAAAAGTACAAAAATAAGAGAGTAATATAAAAAACATCGATTGTAATAATAGTAACCAATTAGTAAAGGTTTAATATATCTTAACAAAGCTACTTCGCTAATTATGTTTGCAGGATTTGGAATACAAACGCAATTCTCAAACTTTATAACTTTCAACATTACTGTAGCAATATTGTTTGGAACGAACGAGGCTTGACGTCGCTTGATATTGCCAACCTGTAGCGATAATATTACATTACTTCCTTAATAAAAAATACAATTATATTAGGGAAATTCGTAATCATATGATTATTTGAAAATACATAATAATGTACACAGGCGCATTTAAGATTATTTTACGCTTGAAATATAATTCGGAAAAATCGTTCATAAATTTTTAAGGTTATCAATAATAATTACATATTTACGACACTGTGACCCTGTTTTTTATTGAAGAATCAATATTGTGGAATAATATCTGTGCTTGTAGAGTTTCCCATTATATTTCATCGATTTCGTTGATTTTCCAATTCCCTGGACTACAGTAAAACGTACTTAGCTTCATTGTAGCATCTAAACTCTTAATGGACCATATAATACGAATAATTAACAATTACTGCATACAGATACAAGGACTTTATTGCTACAGATACGAAATTCCTCGGGATATTAGGGAATTGAGAGTTTCCAAAGCTTTTATCATTACTCCTTGCTTGTTTATTAATAGCTATCATTACACGTTCGTTGCGTAATACATTATTGCATTAAGTACTTTTACTCTTCGTTTTGATAAGAGTTTCATATCTCAAAAGGTCCTGGAAATTCGGCGAAATTTTAATAAAATCGGCTCGAATGTAATAAACGACGCGCAAACCGAAAAAAATTTAAACGAATTCAATTCACATTTCTATAATTAAATTTTTGCTGCTCTTTGAAGTTCGGCAATAAAGGCATCAGAAAGAGATGTCATTCGGTTCAAGTCATGAATCAAGACATCTAATTACTTGAGGTGAGTAAAGAAGGAATACGTCTGTCAAATTTTAAACTAAAAATTAAAGAAGTTTTAGAGGTGCAGATTAAATTATCAGCCCATAAGGAATCTTTTAAGGCTTCGAAAGCTGAGATGAATTTAGTGGTTTATTCAACGACTCTTACAAATACGACTAAAAGATTAATCTGCATAATAATTGTATCAGAAGTAGTTTTAAAATTATCTATTTGATTATCCCTATTAATAAATCAAAACGTGCACAATTTATTTCTGCTTAAAATTTGAGTATACACTACAGCTATCTGCAGATCACACTGGTTGATTTACATAGATTATTTATTATTCACTGCCTACATTTGACACCAAAAGTTGAAAAGCATTTCACGAACCCATGAACTCGTGTTTTACTTGAATACGACTGTCCATGATAAATTTATGCAATTTTCTCAACAATTTTTTCTCCTCATTTTTTGCCTAAAGCTCAAATAAGTCAAGAAATGGTTAAATTGAAAACATACTAACAATCAGCGTTTGTTGTTTACGTTCCAGTAACGTCCAAATTAATAGAAGTAGGTCGCTAATTAAAGCAGGGAAAAACGGGTTGGGTTTATTACAGGTTTCGTAATTTATTTCATTGAGCACACTTTGCATAGTGAAAGGACTTATTTTCCAGGAAAGGGAGGCAATTTCATTTAATTTATTATTTGCTGCAAGTTCTCCTACAAATATTTATTTGTAGAAAATTTAGAGGGTTGCTAGTAGCGCTATCGACTGAATAATTAAATAGCATTTGCTTTCGTACACAAGAGAATGTTTGACTTTGTGAGCAATCTAGAAATAATAAAGAAAATTATATCGTTGCTTTAAAAAATACCGTAAATATAAAAGCTTAGGTGTACACTCAACGCTTTTTCTGTTGATACCACTCCATTTCCCCATTGGGAAATCAGTACATGGTTATATGAACGTATAAAAACTTTCCTTTAAAATTAACGTATCCTCTTTTCTAAAATAAATTCTCCCTTTAATGTTTATTTTGTATACGGCGTACAGTTGTTGTTTTTCGAAGAAATATGTATCCATTTATTTATGAACATGTGTTGAATCCAATATGCCCTTTGAGAATTAATGAAAACGCTCAAAAGACTCGAAAAATTCGGTCTCCGGCATTCTCGTATAAAAAATGAGTTTTCTTTCGCCTTCGATATACTGCTTGAATATTTAAAAGGAGGTTGCAAACCTGAGGCGTTTCATTTCCTCGGTCAATATTAACAGTAACGCTGATAAACCAGATAAATGTTTGCATTTTTCTTTTATTTCGTTGTTTTTTTTGTATGATTTTGTATGACGCAATCAACAGCAAACTTGTGTTCGATGCAAAATCACGGAATTTAATTTTTCATGGATTAATTGGATCACTTGACAATTGTAGGTCAGTTCAACATATACACGGAAAACCATCGACCAATTCGCTTGAGAGTTCAGGTTTGTTTGTTTTCACAACAACTGAAAAAGGGGATTTTTTGATGTGGTTGTAGCAAGATTGGTTATAGATTTTTCGAAATATCAATGGCTTAAATATTTGCAGATTTATTCCAAATTATTTAGTTGCTATGGATTTTTATCTCTACTACTTCAGAGCGCCTTGAGATACATAATTTCAGTAATAATTCAGATAATTAAATTAGGTCGTTTCGCTGTTGCGAAAACATCACATTTGTCAATGCTATTCGTCATGCAATCGATACGAAATAGTTAGGAAAGTTCCACGCAGTATTATATTACTGGATAAACTGTTCCAGCTGTTATCAGACAATAACTGGTATATGATATTTTACAAGTTATTCTAAAAAATTAAGTATACTTCCTTCAGGTATTCCCGAGATGGTTAAATTTCCAATTCCGAATTCGTATACAAAGAACCAAAATTTAATCAATATTATAAACCTCATTTTTTATTAGCGAGCGCACCATCGGCTTCGCGTAGGAAAAATAAAAAAGGGAAATATCGATTTGAAGTCCAATTTCGCATTCCAGTAACGCATCATAGAATTATAAACCAACTTGATAAACATGAAGTAACACAGAATATACCTGAAAAGAGCGACCAAATTACCAAAGAGTATCTGGTGTCAATTGTATTCGCAAAACAGATTTTGTGGAAATTTGATATCAAAGGAAATAAGGCCATTAATTGGTCCTTGACAACACTAGTTGCTGGAATTTACCGAATGTGTAGGTCAAAAACCATATTTCATGGTGATTTTATTAAGTAAAATTGCTCCAATTTTCAAGTCTGGAAACCGATACGAAAAACCAGAATTGTTAGTTCCTCTGGGGTAATAATTCAGCCATACATCAGTGCTTTTCTCCCAGGGTAATAATTCTAAACATACATAAGTGCTAAGCTAATAAAAATAAATGGGACTATATTGCAGCTTTTGGGTTATTTTTTACTGGCTTTATACATATAATGTAGTAAAGTACTGATCCACAATGAAAGCTCTGAAATTCGGTGTAGGGTAGCTAATGCGTGAACAGATACCCGTTGAATCCATCACTTATTTCTCTCTCGTCCGAGAGTTGACAGCAATAATTGCAAATTCACTCTACCTCTCTCTCGTACCTGAGGTTTTCGTTATGGTTCGCTTCTTGCTTCCCTACATTGCACAAGTCCCATCTGGTAATGAGAAAAAGCAATTTTAGTCCTAACTGGATATTGTGTGCTACAAATTATTTTACGTCCCATTAGCCTCATTAGCTCAAATAAGATAGAATGTACGACGAAGATAATGGAAGGTAATAATTAAAAACTACTATACAGTTTTTAGAGAAATAAATTGAAAATAATTATTATATCTTACGAAGATTACTTCAAAAGCTTAATATTGATTCTACCTAAACAAAATTATAATTCTGTTAAAAAATGACTGAAATATTTCTTGCTTTATTCTCGTATGTATCGATTATTTAAGCTGCAAATTCTGAAATAGGAATTAAGGAAAGTCCCTTAATTTCATCGCATTAAGCCAGTTAGTTAAAATTATGTCACGCTTTTAATATCGTCTGCTCTTCTGCGAAACTATACTGCTTCGGTGCGAAATTCATCAGGGACGTTTTCTAAAGTTTTAATAAAGGCACTAGCTGCATTTGAACTGCACTGAAAACGTTATGAGTAGTTTGATAAAATTCCCAGTTACAACTTTATCATGTTTGTGGTACGGTTAATGCCAGCTTGTAATTAACTTGTTCACCGAAAGTCATTGCAGAAAATTAAATCCTTGAGAAACAAACTGTACGTTATTCTTACCTGCCATTACGTTTATGGATCCACAAACAAAAGCAGGACGACAAACACAACAACAAATATTTTTGTTTATTTTTTATCAAAACGTCAAGGTGAAGGCACAGAAAAAATTCAATGAAAAGGGACTGCTTGGATTGATTCGAAATGTGTTATTTGTTGTGTGAGAGGAATTCCTTTCTTCGAAAATTTAAATTGATAGTCGCTTTCCCCTCGTGTTTTCGACGGTCTTATTTTGCTGGTTTTGACATTGTACGAATTTTTAAGTTATGTGTTTTTGTAGGTATTTCTATATTAAAACAGTTTTTTTAACATGCAGACCAAACCAAGTGCGGTCCTCACTGACGACATTTTTGACATGTTTGTGGCTATTCCCTGTCCCAAAATTGTATAATAAAGTTTCGTTAAAATCCAGTTTTAAATCCAAAAAAGAGAGGATAACAGTAGCTTTTCAATTTTTCTTTAGTGACATGAAGAACGATGTAATACCCTCGACGCCACAGTTAATTTATACAAAAACCATTTCAAGAAACGAACGCGATTAAAACGCAATCGTCAGCCGTAGGAAATTGAGCTCGGCGTTGATTCAAGATTAGGAAATTGAAAATTTTATATTAATGTAGTAAGACGATAGAAGGTGGTGGTAAAAATGGAAATGAAGGAAGGTATTTAAATAATACATTGAGAGAACTGTTTAGGGAAATCTACGACAAATTGCAGAATTGTGCTTCGCTATTATTATTCATCACAAATTCATATTATACTTTGTATTTTTTGATTTTATGGGTGGTTAGAGAGTCTACTTGTTACAAACTTCATATTACTTTTTAATTATGGTTACTGTTAAAAGTGCTAAACTAACCAATCAATAGTAAGGTAACAAACTTTTTAATTATTTGCTTGTGAGAACCAATCTAATATAAAGGAATATTACGACTACAATTAAAAAAGTTTTGTTTGTGCAAGTATTAAAAAATTTTATCCATAGTTTCACCTACTAAACTTTAATTATCCACTACCAGTGTTTTTATTGGTGCGGTAAAGGTTAGCTTTAGAACTTCACAAGGCTATTATTTTCTCCTTAGAAAACTTCCGAGAAATTCAATACGTGTTGAATATACTATGGTATCTAATAGGGATTATTTCGTTCCGCCCTTGGTTGAGAAATTTTACTCTAATAGGAAATCAAAGGTTGCTATTTTTCCGATAAACTTCATATTTTTAATATGTACGTTAAATAGTTTGAAAATTCAATTAAAAACCTGTCAATGTTGAAATACCTAAGAAGAGCCTGAATAAATATATCACAGGTACCCTACTTCATTAAAACATAATACTTACTTGAATCATCGGCAAGAAAGTACACAATAGCTCGCCGAGGACCCAATTCCTAATCATTAGCACGTACAAGGATAACGGCACGACCACACAACACTTTACAATATCGCTTATTGCATTATTTAATAGAAAACTATATAAAGGGTCGTTGTAAAGTTTCTTCTTTATTATAATATAAAAAATAAACGAATTACAAAGAAAGCCGTAACAAACCAAAATACCGTAAAAAAAGTACACTAAGCCGTAGTAATTAAAAAAAACTTCCTTCAAACGCGGTTTGCACAGATCTACTTCACTAGCGTTGACACCTGCAACGAGAGGGGCCAGGGCTCTCCAGACCTCCTCGGGCATATGGTCCAGTGGATCCGTAGAATTGATTTCCTTTTCCATGGCTTCCTGGATAGAGAAATCGTACGATCGCGCTCAGAGCTTCGACGGCGAGATTTATTCTTCGCTTGCTCGACGGTGAACTCTGTTGCGATACTAGGAAGTTTCGGCGAGAAGGATTCGTATTATACCTACCTATTCACTGCGCGGAGTAATTTGCGCGCGTCAATTTTCAAATCAAGGATATCGAAGGCAATTTTTATGCAAATCAAAAGTGACATGTAAAGTGTCCGTGTGCTTATAGCAGTTATAAAGGGTAGAGTAATTTACATTGGGCCAGTTTCGTTATAATGGCACATAACACCGAATCGTTTGCAGCTATAAAAATGAAATACGATTCACAATAAAGCTTAATTCAATTGCTAATTAAAAAAGTAGCATTCTCGCAACTAGTAAGAATAGTAATTTGTTTAATGTTCCAATTACCTAAATCGGTATTTTAAATTTGACCACAAGATGATATCGAATCAAATAAACACACAATATAAAAAATGCACACAATTTAGGGCTATTAAATATCGTTTATTTTTTAATTTAATCTGAATCCCACAGGAACACTATTATAATTTAGAAAGTGTTTGGATATCTTATAACATAAACAGATCTATCTTCTATGCTCGAGTTCAGTGCTTAGCTTAATATAAGGTAAAAGATTTATTCGTCGCTGAAAAGATACCAAAGTGATCCATAGATTTTTATTATTTTCATTTTCTATCGCAGAATATGAATCCGTTGTAATCAATTACTCTTACAATTAACTTTTATTTTTATTTTAAAGCATATACTGCATGCTGCTTCAAACATATTCAAACATACGTTATTAAAAGGCTTCTCCGAACAATTTTGTAATGTAATATCTCGATTCACGCAGAGTCTGTCTGAAGCCATTCCTAAGTCTGTACTGTACTCGTTTGTAAAATCTACTAATATTACTTACTATCAACAATAAAATTAATACGAGCAAATATTTTAGAATCTGTAAGTGAAATTAGTACCAATTCAACCCGAAAGTATTTTTTTGTATCAAAGTCAAAGTTGTAATTTCTATTAAAAGTTGTTACAGAATGAGGGATTGTTAGTGTGGCTACAGTGGCACCTTTTTAGATGTTACCAGTATAAAAAATATCTACCCTATGTGAGAAATATTGAAAAATTTAGATTTATTTAGAAAAATTAGAAAAGTTTAGATTTTACAGATTGTTTCATCAGTTCTTACAAAAACAACCTTTATAATTTTATATTTATTGTACAGGGGACTGAATATACATATTTGCAACACCTTATTATTAAAAACATTAACTAATAATTATAATAATATTTTAAAAACTTGTTATATAACAACAAATTTTTATTCGATCTCAGAACAATTGCTTATATTTAAAGATTCTTCTGTTTTCGTAATTAATTTATGCATAGTTTTTTTCACTCTAAGAGCAGTTAATCGCACTGTTGGGTTGTCATGCCACATTTCCTGTAACAAAAATAAATAAATTTAAATTGAAAATTTAGGTACCGTTATATTTGTAATATTACTTGAATAATTTTTGTCATCATTTTCATCTTTTCGTTCTTCTGCCAAATTTCCGGTATTTCAGGTCGAATTTTCATAGTACAAACGATATGCTGCATTTCTTCGTAACTCGGATCGGAACTCACCAAATCGTTGAACGGAATTTCATACGGTAAAGATTTTTCGCCCATAAAATTACATCTAAAATTCAAAATTTCGATTACAAAAATATTATTTTTGACATATTGACATATGACTTTTACCTCCTTGACATTTCCCACAGAACTAGACCCAAAGCGTATATGTCGGCCATTTTGTACGCATCTATATCATTTAAATTAGCCATTTTCGAAAGAATTTCGGGTGCCATATACCTAAAACCCATCGATTTTAATTAAATCAATAATTGACAACACGGATAGGTGTAGTTATTTACCTTTTTGTACCGATTCTATCTGTTAATGGCACATCAAACTTATTAGTAGTGCTGTCAAATTTGACAGCCAATCCGAAATCTGCTATGCAGCATTCCATGTCTTGCTTCACTAAGATATTTTTACTCGTCAAATCTCGGTGGGCTATGCATGCTTTACCAGGTACCTAAAAATTATAATATACATGGTGTGCAAAAATATTTCTACCTGTACGAATAATACTATTATGAAATTATTAAAACTCGCAGTACAAATTAATAACACTAGTTTACAAAGGTTTTGTGCAATGAACTTAATGCGATAATGGAAGCGATGTTTTTGGTTAACGAACAAAAATTTTTAGTAATGAAAAATAGAGTACCGAAAAATACTAATAAACTGAAATATACTAATAAAATCATTTGTTTTACTGAAATTTAATATCTATTAGAATACATAAAAAGAAACTATCTACAAATTATAGAAATGCTGAGATGCTGAGATTTAAATTTTTGTTTTTTTGTATTATGTTGGGAAGGTTTTTCTTATTAATCTACAACAATAGTCTCCTAGCACACCATTTAGAACTATCTAGAAACATTTAGAACGGTCCAGAATAATTTAGAACTGTCTAGAACCATTTAGAACGCTCCACAATCCTTTAAAACTGTCTATAACCATTAAGAACGCTTCACAATAATTTATAACTATCTAGAACCATTTGAACCATTTAGAATGTTCTAGAATCATTTAGTCTGTGTAGAACCATTTAAAAAGTCCCAAAATCCTTTAGAACTGTCTATAACCATTAAGAACGCTCCACAATTAGAACTATCTGGAACCATGTATAATTTCCAGTATATTTTCGAACGGATACGTTGGACAAATTAAAGAAACTAGGCGTACTGATTTTTTACGGAATATTTGGAAATAGCACGCCAAAATGTATTAAAAAAGTTGATTTAATGTCATGCACTAAAGAACGCGTAAAATTTGTAAACTAGTGTAATTATTGAATTAATGTTAGTAATGTTTTTGTAATAATTACCCCGAATATTTCAGTGTGCAAATGATTAACACCTTTGGCTATTCCCAAGCTCATAAACAGCAGTCTATCCAGACCGACTGTGTTTTTTTGGAGATAATCAAATAAAGAGCCGTTGCTGTGATAATCTGTCACGAGGAGTAGCTGAGTCCAACTTCCGCTACCTAAAATATCAAGAGTAATTTTCTCGCCAAAACATTGATTATTTATTTACTATAACTCACCTTTAATATCGGCCGCTACGAATCCCAAAATGTTTTCGTGTCGCATTAAAACGGTTTTGTACACCTCCGTTTCTCTCATCCAAGACTTTTCTTGGGTCGAATGAAATATTTTAACTGCCACTTTCTCGCCGCGCCATTTCCCCAACCGCACTTCACCGTAACGGCCTTTACCTATCACTTTCTCCTGAAGGAAAGAGTTGAAATATAAACAGGGCGGTTCGTTTGTGGAAAAATGATCAAACCTTACCATGTCGATTTGTTTGGAAATCGTTCTTTGCACCATCGTCAAATAATTCGAGCCCGATTCCCCGGAGGAACCTCCGTGGCTTTGCGATTTTTTCGAATTACATTCTTCTATCTTGTTAATAACATCAACCAGGTTCCGTTTCCTGAATTTCAAGTACAGCGCGAACAGGAATAGGAGGAACGTGAGTATCGTTAAAACACAACAACTCGTTATTATTATTATCGGTAATTTGTTCTCGCTAGTAATTGTCGGCTCAAATTGATACGGATTTCTATTGCAGAAGTCACCGTCGTCGCAGCACTGGATGTTTTTCTTGTTCAAATGCGGCACTAGAGCCCCTTTGCACTAATTTAGATAAAAAGAGAATAGTAAAACGAGTTGCGAAATGTTTAAAAAATATTTGTTATACCTGCAATTGAGCCATTTGTTCGTCATCGATACACCCGTACGTTTTGGTAACGATTTCCTCGCCCGTTTCTTCAATTTCGTATGAAATAGCGGCGAAACATTTCCCACCTGGCGACGAAATTCGACATAAACCTTTGTCGTCTTCGAAAGGACACTTTCCTTCGCAATAACACAGCACAAATCGGGCTGGAATCACATCAATTCATCATAAACTTATTAAATTCAATAATGCTTTTGGACCAAAAAGATTTTATTGAGCGAATCAGCGAAACTTTTTCTCCGTAATTAATAAAAGATTAAAAAACTTACTTTCTGTTTGGCTCTCATCGGCTTCGTCTTCATAATCATCGTAATAAGAGTACAGCGCGTTCATTTTTTTCGGTATTCACTCGCAAAATTGCGACACTCGACTATCGAGGAATTGAAAATTGAAAATTACCCACCACTCGAAAATTTGGAGATTAAACCTTTCTGCATATTAAAAGGAAATTGCCGGGATTATAAGGGTTAACATAATAAGAGGTAAAACCAGACTGGCGCTGATGACGTCTCATTACAGGTAAAATAGAAACGATTTATTTATACAGAGTGTACGTACAACAAACTTTCAAGTATTATTTATATTTTTGTAAAATTTTTAAAACTACTTAGTAACGGTAAATGGTCTAGATACTCCAACATAAGGAAAAACGCCTCCTAAAATAAACTTGTAATTGCCGTAGTGACGGATTCTGTACGTTCCAGAATTGAATTTGCCTTTTCGAATTTCCCATTTGATTGTAGCGTGACTTGTAGCCTTGAAAGTGGATGCCCTTTGCCAGATGAACCTTTAATCATAAAATCGTAAGGTAGGCATTTAATTATACAGTGTGACAATTTAAAATTTGCACAATGGGCTATATCTCACAAACGAAAGACTATATCAAAAAATATCTAAAACCGTTTCTATGATATGAAGGGGAACTAAACTGACATAAAAGAAAACTGACCCCCCTCGTTAACCTCCCCAACTACCCCAACAAAAAAATAAATAAACAACAAACCCCCACTTGTGAGACATCATTAAAAAGCTTAAAAAATGATATCGAATAGTATAAATAATAATCAGAAATTACCAAATTAATATCTAACAATTTTAAAAACAAACAAAACCTACTTGTGATGCAATGTTAAAAAGCTCTAAAAGCTAATAAAAGACCTTATTTTCAATAATAAGTGCCCGTAGGTAGTGTTTTGTTAAATAAATATCATTTTTTGTTTATGAGATATAGCCAATTGTAAGTTTTTAAATTATCACAGTGTTTAGAGTTAGATCGTATGATGAGATACTTAAATTAACGAAGGTTTATATCCAAAAATTAATAAAAGAAAATAGACAAAATTCAAATTACGCACAGCAAAAACCAAAACATTTCAAAGAAATTTACTAACTTCTAGGAAATCATTCGTAAACATTTCTTATCGAAGCGAATAATTACTATCCCTTTATTGAAAAGTCACGTATTGAGTAATTGCTTTTTGATAGCATAGCTATTACTTATATAATATCCTATTGTAGGTTTCTTCCGGAAGCTGTATGATAAACGCTTTTTGAGATACAACTCGTTACCTCGCATTTTCGGCCACCCTGTATATCATTTATAACTAGCACTTACTTCGTTTCCCAATTAGCGTCAGTGGCAACAGTCTTCCAATCGCTACCATCCTTCATTTCTATAGCTAGAAAAGTTTTCTCTTGCAGATTGTTGTTTCTCGGATGCCCGGCTATCTACAAAATAATTAATGAATTTGCATTATATCCAGTACAAACCTAAATTTTTTTATTCAAAGTGCTATCTCTCCTTTATTCATTATTGGCAGGAGGCATATTATTATCGTAGCATATGAGCAATTTCACTAACGTTTATTACAGCTTGATGGCATACTTACAAACGTAGCTGATGCAGTTTCACCTATTTTATACGTTTGACTAGGCTGGACAATACAATCCCCAAAACTGGCCATCCAGCTTCCAGTGCTATCGAAATAAACCGGTGTGACCAAAGATAGCATTTGCGAGGGGAAAATGAAAGGAGTTGGATCGTCAGTCTTATTTATATTTTGCCCCTACGAGAACGTAACAGATATTATTAATTATTAATCAAAGAATACGCATTAAAATGTAATTACCTTCATTAAAGCTTCCGCCAGTTCCTGGTATAGTTTCAAATAAATGGTCAATGTGTGGGGGCCGTAAATTGTGGAACCTCCTTCATATCGTTGAAGCTTGAAAAGAAAAACGCATTTAAACGGTAAATTTTTTAATTGTTATTAATAATTAATTAATTACCTGATATTCTTCTGGTGTGGCTATGTAATTTGTATAAACATTGCTGAGTCCTGTTATGACAACTCTCGTGTCTGTAGGCCCGCCATTTTTCATTATAGTATCTTTAACGCTGTTTCTTAATCTTCTTCCGGACATTGTGGTAAATTCTCCGGGCACCGCCGTCAAGAACACGTTTCCTATTTTCAGTATTTGAGTGACGACAACTCGCGGTTGCCATTCGTACGGCAGCTTAATCTGAAAAATCGAAACGAATACGTGTGAAAATTTTCTAATGCGTATAAGAGGAGTACTAACCCGTCCCGACATGATGAGTATGGGCTTGGGGGCATGGCAGGCCACATCGTCAGGAGTGGGCGGGAAAATGAAGTCTCTCACGAAATTCCAAAAGATATTGCTACTGTTCCTCTTGCCTTGGGCGAAGTCGAATTCGCCCGGTCCGTCAGTAGTTCCGGCGGCGAATCCGTATCCCACAGCCGGTAAACATCCTCTCACTTCCTGCTGTGTTCCATTTACCTCTATAGTGGCTTTCTGCGACGGCATATCCACGTATCTGTGCACGAAACCCACATCGCCTTTAACTTCAGTAGCACTTTTTTCAGCTAGTAATTCCTGGAATCCAGGAACGATCAAAATAGAGTTCTTAAGTTAGTAGATACATGTCGGTTGAGATTCGTTTGTTTGGATTACCTGAGCTTTGTTGAATATATTGGTGGCGATGATCTCGGTACTTTCAAACATGTCATTGCCGGGTCCTGAGGCGATGCAATATTTGTTCTCCCCGTGACAGGTACTGTGTACGTAATCGCATTTTTCGCCGGTATCCACGCATATGGGGCCCTTGGTGTTGGGAGATACGTCGCCCAAGTTTGTGGACGCGAAAGCCCCGACGAAATCGCCCTATTTTTACATCATCTTTTAATATTGGTATTTTAAATAAATGGACTATTTAGATACTTGAAGCTGTTTGTTATAAGAAAACTATACCTGTCCTGGTAGATCATTAGTATTCATACTAGACTCGAGCAATATCGAGGCGTAGCCGACGTTGTCTGACGATAGTAGACAATTGGTGTTATTCATGGAAGTCGGGTGGACGGCGAACCAATTCAAAGCACCGATTACTTTATTGTCGGAGTTACGAACAATTTTCAATTGTACCATTTCCGTATCGGTGTTGTGCTTGTACCTAATCGAAAAATATTATTGGGTTTCATTTATTTTCCGCTTATGCCGATCAATGGCGTACGCCGATGGTATCTCACACTTACTGTTTTATTTCATCTGCGGGATTTAGTTCGTAGGATGCAGGACTTCGATTAATGTTGGAATTCAATAGTTCGCCTGACGTTACGAAAACTTTGCTATCCGCAATGTTATCGTGCGCTCTCCCGATAGCCTAAAAAGGAAGCGCCATTAAGATAATTTGATGGATAGATGGGAAGATTGATAGGTTCGGTACTTACTCGTACAATACCCGCTACTAAGGCATCGAAGGTTTCTCTAACGAAGCCGAAATTGGGTATGTCCAACATAACGTCCATGAGAAAACCGCCGGGTGAACTATGAGTGTGAGTACCACTCAGTACCAAATTATCGGCGGTGTAAGTGTTACCGTATTTGCTTTTTAGTTTTTTTAATACCTACATTAAGTAAGGTATTATTACAATTATTATTAGAAATAAAAAATTCTTATAAATACTTACAGCTTGTCTTAGAGGATTATTCATCATGCAGGAATCAATAGAAACGAATGCAACTCTTTTAGTACCGTCATCGAATATGAAAGCTCTTGCGAATTGCCTCAAATGAATGCCGCAACCTTTTTGACTGGCTTTGGCGTAACCCATCTTGAAAACAAACATATTTTTAACAACCATACTAAACATAGCATTGCCCTTATACTTACAAACGTGATTTCCGCCGAAGGTCCTGTACAATCGGCCCTTCCAACTCCCACTTTATAAGCCATAACACTTGCTCCATGTTTGTAAAAAACGCAAAACAGCAAAATAAATATCGACAGTGAGCGCATATCTTTGGTGTAGGTTGAATTGGTTGTAATTCTACAAAATTAATTCAAGCAATTAGGCTATTTGACTCTCCTAATAAATGACAATTGCTTCCAGCCAAACGAAACGTGCGCGTTCTCAGGGCAAACTGCATACGTGCATTTCTCAAAATCTATTTATGCACCCTCGTTAGAATGTCACGGTCTATCAATATTCAAACGAACTGAAAGATTAACGACACTCTGTATGACCGAATTTAACCGACCTACGCAGGGTGAGTTTAGGAGAACCCTATAAATACTTCCGCATATAAAGGCGCTTAAGGATAACATAAAAAAACCGATAGAAGTTACTTCGTTCTGCTATTTGATGAACTACAGAGATATTTTTATTTTACCTATATCTTCATAAATGCCACCTATCGTGTAGTAAATTCACTTTCTTTTTTTTTTCAACAAAAGAATACTTTTTATAACAAAAAAAAAATTGGTCAAATCAGTTTTAATTTTGGTTGCATATTAATAATTAAATAAACCTTTGTTTTGTAAACAAATGATTATTATAATATTCTAAGTTCATTTCTAATAGGAATTCTCAGCTCAAACTTGAAACAAATTTTAGTTGGCTTTATTGATACGAATGATAATAATTAGCTTCTAACGTGTTATATGCCTTAATGGTTTTGACAAATACAATAGCTTATTGATTGAATTACCCTTCCAAGTAAGTGTAAATGTAGTTTTCCGCTAGAAGCTAGACCATTAAGGCCTTCTAAGTAAAACATGATACTACACAACTACTCTAGCCTTAATCCCTGTTTACACGGGTTTACAAGTATACGAGCTTGTAGTACGGTCAAGTTAAACTAAAATTCATAAATTCCATTGAAATCTCATCTCTCGAAAATCTCTCAAAGCTTACAACGAGTCGTATTTCAATTCCGGTACCAAAATAATAGGATGAATAGGATGTTCCTAAGTAAACACGATGTGCTGTAAACACCAATTTTTTTCTTTTCTTTGTTTTTTCGTTATTTATTTGCCAAGATAAATAAGAGGAAAATCTTCCTCTAATTCTTACAACAGTGAAGTAGAAATATGTAGTATGATGCATTGAGTTCATAAGCTTCGAATCAAGTGGCAGTTACAAAGCATCTAATATGTAGCTATTAGGCACGTGTAAACTGGACATTAGTAGCATGGAGTAAATTTAATAGATAGGCAAGGAGCAATAAAATGTAGGAGACGAAAGGTCCAATACACAAGCGATGGAGAATTTCAGTGACCGATTTCAGTGGTTTCGAAAGCTTTTACGACTCTACTCTACTGTGCATTCAATCGCAGCTGGACTAGAATTACTAATGTTGTCCGCAGAATTCCAAATCTTTTTTCGTTCGGTTTTTGGTTTTGGGAATTCACTCACAACTCAAGCAGAGTTTATTGCCTATTTTTATTAAATATTGTAATTAATAATATTACGTAATAATTGAAAATTACGCTTTCGAATGCCATTTTTAAACGTCCAAATTTACTTTTATCGTTTATACACAATGATACACAAATACAGGCGAATAATATTAGAGTACTAAAATTATTTTGTACTTACTAGTAATAATACAGATGTAGGTATATTTAGAATCGATATCAATTTCAAATGATGATCTAAGAAAAGAACACGTTGTAGAAATGAAATCGTTAAATTTTAGAAACAAATAATTATGTATTTATTAAATTTTATAATTCAGTTTGAAGTGTATATCAAATTCGACACTTGCCTTATCGAATAAGATAATTCGCTACGAAACGATTTTAATCAAACATATATTTTGATGGATTCTTCTAACACATACTTCATTGGTAAAAATAAAATACAGAGTGATTTGCTTGACGGCTTTAGTTAAAAATAATTTGATGTAACAATTAATTTAAATTAATAACACATCACCTCACATCACCGTGTAGTAAAAGTATGGAAGGTTTGATAGAATTAACACTATTTTCACTAAAATTCCACACTGATAAAATTTTGAGGAAAATTTTGCAACTTGTAAATGTATAGCTACAGTCCACGAATTTGAAAGTAAATAATACTCGTTATTTTATGTAATGGTGAAAGTGCACCTTCTTATTCGAGTATGAACAAAAACATACGATGTTCATTATTTTTAGTTTGTATAATTGCTATTTATTTATACACTATAACTGATTACCACTTTATTTCTAATAGAAGTTCGCAATAATAAATAATTAATCGCAACGGACAATAAACAAAGAGATTCGGATGAATTTAGAACAAATAAGAGAATTAAGATAAGAAAACGAATTGAAGTAAACACTATTTTCTTTATCTTTAAAACTTGAACCCATCAGGATTTTTAAAGAATAATCTACTTAACGAAATTATTCGCTTATACATATGTATAATTATTGGTTATATTACTTCCTATTATACCACAAGTTACCTATAATACCGTTATTTTAAATGAGACACCTTGTTAAATTTTTACTTTATTGAAACTATTGATAAGCTTGAGATATTGAGCTAATCTGATTGGCAATGTGTCATCGTAAAACAGGCTAATTAACTTTCTAACTGTCTAATTTTTAGTTTAATTTTTTTAATGAGTTTATTTTCATACCTACTCAATATTAACAAACAAAGTTATACGTATACTCGTAGTTATTACAAAATTAATTTTTGGCATACGGAGGTTGTTTGTTGGTATCCAAGAAGTAAGTGCCATTTGCTCTAAAAAAAATAATTAAAAAATATATAAATCGAAAACACAACGAAAAAATACTAACGTTTTGTCAATGTTGTATTCACCCATGTAAGATACTTTCCCTTCATCACATTTTCCATTTTCGTAGTCTTTGTAGCTATCGCATTGCTTCGCTTTGAATTGTCCAGTTAGCAACGATTCGACATAATAATCTACCGATTTTACGTGAGAGCATTGTCCCTCCCAACACATAGGTTGACTTCTACCTCCGTTAGGATAGTAATCTGCGTGGCCAATTTGTTTGAAATAACCGAAGAGTCCTCCGCAGGTGTGTATGGCTTGAACGAATCGAGCGCTATGCTTTGTCAATCGATTTTCAGTATTTTCACTCGTGTAGAGAGGTCCAGCAGGATCGAGCCCTAAAATGAAAAATGTTTTGTGAAGTTCACCTTAAACTCGGGTCAATTTCAGTTAGCAAACTTTTAACAAACAAAGTGGCAATTTAACATTAAGCTCACCTACGATATGATCTAATTTGCCTTCCAGCACATGTCCAGCTACTCCTGCTACATGGGCACCTAGAGAATGCCCGGCCATACTAATTTTATCCCACGATATATCATTTGCTCGGATAAAATTTATTACATCGTTACCCAGAACTTTGCCGGTCGCTTCAACCTTCTCAAAAACCAGAGGGTATAAAATATTATCAGCAATTTTATCCCAATTTACAATGAATATATTGATGTCATGTTTTTCAAGGAGAGCACTTTTTACGGAGTTGCAAGAATGGGAGTCGAATTTGTCCAGCCAGCCATGAATATAAAAAATTGTGTCCTTTTTATTAGAAAATGATGTTCTGGATATACTTTGTGTATCGGTTATATTCGTTACAATTCCGTTAGGATCGCTTTTACTGAAAAATACGTAGTGAACATCGACCTCTGAGGTAGCTGGAAATTAAATTTTTGGATTAATTACAAGGGATTTCGTCTCGAATTAATGTGGTTAATCTAATGTGGGGTTTAAATATTTTTCATACCTGAGGATGCCGAAATTAGTATAAAATAAAGTAAACCAATTAATATCATTTTACACTTTGAATAAATTGAATAAATGATTACTTTTTATAAAAATATGTATCCTTATCTCAAATTTATATACATTTCTCATCAATAATAAATAATTAGTAGGTATAATCTAATCAGACAAAAACCTATTATAAGTGGATGATTCCTTTAATTTTAAAATGTTTTACAAATATAAATGATATATTGATAATGAAAAGTTTACCCGATACCATTTCGTAAAGCGATTAATTCGGTGAGGAATCGATCAAAATACAGCTTGGATATTGTACTTATAAGGGAAAGACATGACAAAATGTATCCAGACAAAATCTATGAATATTTAAACAAGCAGAAGAACCTGCTCCCAATTTTCTATAAAAAATACTAAGAATAACAAATATGAAAAAAAACATTGATTAGGTTTATGATGTACAGTGTGTAGAAAAAAGGTGGGTCATAAATTATACCAAATATTCTAGGGTCAAAATTAAGTCCATTGAACCATATTTACAAACATACACCTTGCTCCATTTCCGATTGCAACATGGTCATTTCTATGAGTTGAACAAAGAAAGATTATTAAAATAACAATTGTCAGAGTGAAAAGTTGCTATGACACAAATGTCACTCTTTCCTTTTCCTTTATAAGTGTCTAATGGAAGTTGTCTTTATCGCACCCATGGCCTATACATGGCCTATAACCTATGTTGCGATTAAAAATGGAGCAACCTGTATATCCAAAATGACATTCAAAACAAGTTAGAGTATGTTTAAAGTGTAAACTGAAAATCGTTTTTTTTTTTCAATAACTCAAACTATTAACTAAAATATTCAATGAAAATTCACGAAATTTGTATCAAAATAAAATCGGATCCGCCATAGATTTTTTAGGGGGGTCACGTACCTATAATTAATCTCCCATATAATTTCTGACCCACCCTTTTGATGCATCCTGTAGAATAATTAATAAAAAATCTAATAATGTAATTCATGTAATTCATCATAATATCATACATATTAGCATATCCATCCAGCTCTAGAAAACAGGCTTTCGTAATGATAAAGAAAAAGCGAATTTTTCTAATTTATTTTCAAAAAATAATAGTTATTATACAAGTTGCGACTTCTCTTGTTCGGAATCAGTCGTTCGATCCGTCGGAGTGGCGTCCGCATTTTGCCGAACGGGCGTGTAATTCCAAGGCTGAGCCTCTCCTGATGCAAATACCAGATAAACACACGTGGAAAATACGTATAAAACGACGGCTATGATAAAAACTATCCTCCACAAGCTTTTATCGCTCTGAAAAGAATCCAACAAAAATTGAAGCGTTAAGGTCCAATAGACATGTAACAAACAATGAAAAATTAAGATTTTTCCGAGATAATTACTCAAGGGAATTGATAATTGTGAAATAATTTTAACTAATCCTCGAAGGCATTTTGCTTAGTTACTACAGAAATTTTAAGGGGGAGCTTATTAATATCATCTCAAATCGGAAAATTTACAAAAAGTAGGTTATACTATTTGTTTCAAAATTATTCCAAAACAATTCAATTGCCCAGCACATAATTCTCTTAGTAAACAGGGAAATCGATATTTTTTAACCAACCTCGTCGTAGACAATGTAATGGATGCTGAGGGGGGTAATGGAAGAAAATATCTCGGACGATGTGTTTATGATGCCCATCAATGCGGCGGAGAAATTCGGCGCTAAATCTAGGTGGTTCGTGCTGTAACCACCGCAATTAAACGATCTAAATCCGTAAGCTAAAGCTAGAGTCAGCACGCAGAATAATTCACTATCCGTTGGTATTGTAACGAAGAGGAATAGCAAACCTGCGCAGCCCAAGGAACCTAAAATATAAAACTTTCAAGATAGTATACAGAGGGTGAAAACGCCAAAAATGGAATAAATTTATTATTTCGGTAATACCGAAACAAGTCAAATTTTAATTATAAATTGACTTCAACATTTAACCCATTTTATTTGGGAAGTATAGGCTTGTAATATATGTATATCGTTGGAAAGGTCTCTTCATTCTCTATCCAAAAATGGTAAAGTTTTCCAGTTTATTTGTTGCAGATTTTGAAAAACGATTGTATAGTCAATAAGAGTAAATTCTTACCTGTTGCACTCATCAATTTTCGCGTATTAGTAATAGATAAGTAATTTCTTTTGACCAAAAGATCAGCAAGATGTGTTGCTACGTTAATAGTCAATAATACGAAAACCGAAGGCAGAGAGGACACTAGACCGTTCTAAAACAAATAAGAAAATACAACTTTAACCAAAAGTATTATAGTGACTGTTACTCCAAAGTTATGGAAAAAGAATCTCTCGATTAAAAATTCCTGCAAAATCTCTCACCGATTCTATATTCAATTTCATCACTTTATCCATGTAAATTGGCATTTCAGTGGTGAATATGCTGTAACCCCAACCGCTGCACAAAGCCATCGTCAATTGCGCTAGGAATGGTTTAGAGGTGAATATGTCTCGATACGGTATAGGCACATTCTAAAAAAATAATTTATACCATCGAATAAAAGAAAAATTAATTTCCTACATAAATATTCTGCGATTTTAGTTTAGATTCGATGTAGGTCCGTTCCTCTTCCGATATAGTTTTGTGGGTAGCCGGACATGTAGCACCATACATATAGTAGAAAAAGGCTAAAACGAAACCCAAAGAGGGTATTAGATAGAAGGTCAAAGGCCAGCCGATCCACGAAGCGCAAATATACCCATTTGCTCCAGCGCCTGCCACCGTACCAAGGATATAACCTACAAAGAAGAGAGCCTTCGTTACGTAAGAATTGGGGAAATCTAACGTGGATACTTACCTGTCGACATGTAGCCATACACTCGACATCTTTCATTAGGAAGCGCCCATTTTCCGATAATACCGTGCAGGCAGGGCACCACTAATCCTTGCCCTATTCCCTGGATTATCCGGCACGCCATCACACCTTCGGATCCGAAACGTTCGGCCACGCTCGGTATGACGACCATGCACAAGGAATTGATGAGCAAGGCGAGGAGCAGGAAATTTTTCATGCCGAATTTCGTTCCCAGAATACCGACCGGTATTTGTGGTATCACGTAGCCCCAGAAGAACGTCGACAAAATGAAACTTTTGTTTGTCCAATTGTAGTACTAGTAATAAGAAAATGTTTTAATAAAATCGTTCGTTTTACTGGAATTTAATATCTATGCAATGCATGAAAAAAAAACTAATTAGAAATGCTGTTTCTTTTTGTATGGTTTTGGGTTGGTTTCGCTTAATAATGCCCACCAAAGATCCCTATTACACTATTTAGAACTGTCTAGAACCATTAAGAACGCTCCAGAATAATTGAGAACTGTCTAGAACTATTTAGAACGCTCCAGAATCATTGAGAATAGTCTAAAACCATTTAGAACGCTCCAGATTTGTTTATAACTGTCTAGAATCATTTAGAACGTTCCATAATTATTTATAACTGTCTAAAACCATTTATAACACTCCAGAACTATTCAGAACGGTATAGAACCATTCAGAACTGTCTAGAACCATTTAGAACGCTTCAGAACCATTTGGAACGCTCCCGAACCATTTGGAACGGACATACTGGACAAATTAAAGAAACCTAGACGTGCAGATTTTTTGCACCAGAATATATTAAAAAATGTCTTGATTTTATGTCATGCACTAAAATAAGAGTAAAATTTGTAAACTATAAGTGTAATCATTGTTTCATTGAGTTAAAAATTTCATTACGTAGATGTGTATTATAGTAAAAATCTGATATTTATATGTATAATATTATTTATAATCGAACTTTCATTGCATCTGTAAAGGTGAAATGTGTTATTTTTTCTGATTAGATGAAAAGGACCTTTTGAAAAACTTACAGGGACATCAGGATTAGGCGAATATTTGTTCGTCATTGCAACTAAAGATACCGAAAAACCGAATCTTGTGTAATACATTAAAAAACCAATTAAAGCCATAAGCAACATTTGAACATGTCTAACTCCTATTCGTGGACCTGGAAAAATTTAATAATAATAATAATAATAATGATGCACAATTTAATAACAGTATTGTTTACGTATGCATGTTTTTTATTTAAAATGGTTTAAAAATACTTTAATATCACACATTCTATTTTATTAAGGTTTTTAATTAACTTCAGAGATTTCCTGTCACTTTCAATCACGTTTTTCCGCGACTAAAGTTAAGCAGTGGGAAACTTGCATAAAAGTATTAAACTCTGCCGGAAAATTTTATGCGGCGAGGAAAAGGATAATAGAATTACTTGGGAACTTAATGCAATTTAGTAATGAAACCTCGGCATATTTTCGGTTAAAAATTAGGTACAACAAGGGGGCCACTTACCTTTATTAATCCTTGATTCATCAGTCAATGTTTTTTCTTCCATTTTTTTATGAGCTTATATCAAAGGTCGCGTGTTTGATCTATCACTTGCAACAGAAGTCGACGAAAAGATACCACCATTATTCCCGCATTAATTAGAATTGAATGCCTGCCTTATTTGTTCGGATTTTAGATAAAATCGTATTGTTTTGAAGTTCAATATTTATTCTTAATCGTAAAAAGAAAGAAATAAGTCAATATACATGTAGTATGGGACAAATGTTTTTGGTAATCAAATAAGTTAAATTTACGTAACGCATTAAAAAAACATTAACCAGAACTGGAACCAAAACGTGCCTAATTGGGTTAGAACAGAACAGTTAACAGAAAAAGTAATGTGTAAGTAAAGTAATGTATAGGTAAGTGCAAATTTGTTTGCAATATGGTCAATTCTATGAGTTGTACAAAGAAAGATAATAATCTTTTTAATTATTTTAATAAAAATAACAGTTGTTGAAGTGAGAAATTTGCAATTCCACAATGTTCTTTCTTTTTCGTTTATAATGAGACTAATTGTCTTTGTTGCAACCATAGACAATTTGCACCAATCTGTATAATGAGTAAAGTGAAATGTGTAAAGGATTTATAAGGGTATACACCGCGTATCATTAAATACTTTATTATTTAATTAATTATACATAAGTAATCTTAATTAATTATTTACTTATTTATTTAAATCATGATCACCCACACAGTGATATAAACGTAACCTTCACTAATACTTTTTTTAGAAATAAATAAATAAATGATAAAAGGTAAAAAGGTATACGGGTAAAAGGTATAAGGTATTTCCCAAAGGAAAACTTTCATTATCTTTTGATTCCCAAGTTAATATAATCAGCGGTATCCCGTGAAAATAGCCCAACAAAACAGCCCAAAGACAAAATTGTCCGAGATCGAAAAGCCCCGACATAATAGCCCAAAAATAAAATATTTTTTGAGAAAAAACGTACCACAGTAAAATAAATATCACAAATCATGAATTCGTCGAGCCATTTTTAGGACAACCGGTCGTTATTTTATCAGGCAACAGAATTAAAATTAAATGGATTATGTAATATATCTTACATGAAATAAAATGAAATTATAGTTTACTATAAAATAAAACAGATAGAAAAATGTTTTAGAAACTCTAGAAATCTAATAAATAATGTTTGTATTTAATTTAACCGGAACAGTATTATCTCATATGCTATATTGTGTTTGGGCCATTTTGAGAGAACCTAAGTTTCTCGTATTTAGAAGTAAAAAAATGAAATTTTAACTTTAACCGATTTATTTGATTCACGATAAATTTTATTATAACGTGATTGGACCGAATTTAACAATAGTTGGTGTCATACTGATTTTTGTTGTTGTTGTTGTTGTTGTTGTTTTTTATGCGGGCGGTCTTTCCAGCCCCGTGACCACCTAGATCTAATGATCCTCTGTAGTTTCCCGCTGTTTCCCAAGGTCATTGATTCTGCCAGAGGTCGCAGGTATTTGCAAACCTCAGCAGTTCGGATGCCCTTGTGTTTTTGAGATCGCTAGGATCTAATGAGGTCCTTCCCCAGGTATTATACCTGCGCAAGGATAATGCTGGACAGTGACACAGTATGTGTATGCTGTCCTCATCAGCCTCCCCACATAGACGGCATGTTTTCTGCTCTACTATTTTGAGGCGGTATAGGTGCGCTCTGAGTGCTACGTGTCCTGTGAGTAGTCCAAGCGTTTTGCTCAGCCTGTCACGGTCCATAGCCCAGAGCTCGGTTGCCCTTTCTTTTGAGGGTGTTTCCATGAACTGTTTGGATACCCTACAGCCTGTCGAGTTCCTCCATCGAACGAGATGTTCCCTTTCTAGGAGTTTGTTTAGGTATTGTTTACCTTCTGCAAAGGGCATTCCAACTATCTGCCTACCAGGTTGCTCCATGGCCCCCTCTCTGGCTAGATTATCGGCTACCTCATTGCCTTCTATTCCCTGATGTCCAGGGATCCAAATTAGAGTCACTACATTCTCAGCCCCTAACCTGGCGAGGTTCTGCATGCAGTCCCGCACCACGGCGGAGACCGTGGTGTTTTTCGCCAGTGCCTCTAGGGCAGCGCGGCTATCCGAATAAATATTTATTCGGGAATGTGTGGCTCCATTATTTATGAGATGCTCTGCACATCTCAGTATAGCAAATACTTCGGCTTGGAAGACCGAAGCATGTTCACCCAGGGATATGCTCTCCCTGTAGTTGGTATTTTGCCCGTAGATGCCCGATCCATGGCGGTCCCCACACCCCGAGCCATCGGAGTACCAGTTTTCGCCCTGATGTTCCATCAACGGTTTTTGTTCCTTCCAGTCTTCTCTGGTTGGTATTTTTACCCTATAGGTGTGTTCAATCATAACCTGTTTAGAGGTTCTGTCTTGTCTTAATGTAAAAGGTGTGTTTCGAAGGACATGTATCCTGGTATGTCCAGTTCCATTTTCCTTCCACTCCCCTTGACATTTCATTCTGTATGCTGTCTGCCGGGCGACATTTGTCACTTTTAGGTCCAGGGGTGGAATATTGAGCGCTATTTCTAGCGCGTCAATTGGTGTGGTTCTCATGGCCCCTGTCGCAGCCCGCAGGTAGTTACCTTGCAGGCTTCTTAACAGGTTCCGATTCCCCACCAATTCTACCCTGGGCCACCAGACTACTGCAGCATACAGGAATCTTGGTATTAATACCGTTTGGTATAGCCAAAGAGTTACCCTAGGTTTTAATCCCCAGGTTTTTCCTATGGCTCTTCTACAAGCCCACATTGTGCTGTAGAATTTTTTCCTCTTTGTTTCGAGGTGGGTGTTCCAATTCAGTTTTGTATCTAGGTGGACTCCCAGATATTTGACTGTATTGGAATAAGGGATCTCCACCCCCCAAAGCTGTAACGGCTTTGTTGGTTGGAGTTTGTATTTCCGGGTGAAGATTACTGCTGCTGTCTTTTCTGGGTTTACCATCAAGCCAACAGCAGCGCACCAGTCCTCTACGATTTTCAGGGCATACTGATTTTTAATAATTTAAAAAAAATCCTCCCATAAAAGGAAATTTCCTGATAATGAAAATAGTGATTAGGTTGCGTCTGGGCGAAGGTGCATCGGGTTGCTTGCTCAGCGCTCGTGTATCCGGTTCGATTATTGGAAGGTACCAATGGGGTCACTGTCCATAACTCGGGTCACGATAATTAGCAATATCATGATCAATCGTGTGACCAAATTGACCAAATTTGTGTGTAAGTACTACAACTAAGGGCGCAGGCGAACCCTGGCCGAGACAGCTCAAGTCAATATTCAGGCACTAAGGCATCTAGCGGGCCCATTGTCCCATTCCTGCTGCTTATGCATCAATGAAGCCGAGTCTCTCAATGAAGGCCTCAGTCCTTCTTAATGGACGTCCGTTTGTGCTATACCGCAGCCCCTGGAAAAGGAACTTCCCTTTAACCCCAAGTTATAGAGATGCATGCTTTTCCAGACAGCAGTGCCCTGTTAGGAGCCCTGCTCTTTTTTAACCTACTCCTTGGTAGTTCTACAGCATTTTTTACTTTTATAAGTTTATTGTTTTAAAAGGTTTTTTTATTATAACTCTCACAGTAAATAAAACAAAAAATAAAATACTGGATTGTTCTAAAAAAGTGAACTGAAAAGAGTTAAATAACCAACTGACACTTCTGTATTCGAAGCATTTATTCCGGAACTACATGTAATTTGCCATCTAATGCCCCTAAACAAAACGAAAAATGGTAGTTTTTCAAAATCATCGGAAATTGGTATCCATTCTTTTTTAGTGTTGTATTAGTGTAATATTAGAGCAGAGTATAACTTGTAAATACAATACTGTTCAGTTAATACATTTTAACATATAACTTTAACATAATACTATTTTAACAAACACTTTTCTTTGGACTATTCCACCTTCGTGGTATTTTGTTTCAATCGTGTATTTATGATAATTTTCAATAATTCCAATTAATCATCGGGCATCCTTAAAAAATTAATGCCTTGGTTAATTTTAACTCATGTTTATAGATCATGTTCAGTCCAATCTTATAACACTTCCATATTGTAACCACATCATATGATTCCATACTTTTCGTTTCTTTTAGTTCTCATCTATTATAAACGGTTTAAGTAAATAGACTGTTGTTCCTGTTACACAATTGAGCAATAAATTATTATTATCCTTAATTTTATTTCTCATTGTTAAAATAGTAAAGTAAATAAACGTAAATACTTTAAGATAATGTTCTAGGATATTAAATTTTATTTTATAATGCACAGAAACCTCACAATAGAGAAAAAGTGAAAAAATCTAAACAATCTTTTTACGTATGCGCTCCATTGTAAAAGTGGTTGCCTAAACCAAAGGCGTTATGTTTTCATTTAAACCTCATAAATCATAAAATGTGCAATAACGAAATAATAATATGAAAAGAAATACATAATGACTTAGAAACTAGAAATGAATTACATCAATTCAACAAACGGTACCTTAAATCTAATATGTACGTACATTTATTTGCGCCCTAACAAATTCACCCTTAATCTTAATACCATACCAATTTTGCGCATTTTTGTAATAAAAATATCTCATAATTTATCATTGTTTCCAGATCTCATACAGGCTCCGGAAAGGCTTCTTTAATAAATACGGCCTATTATGTCATTGCAACTTTTCACTCTATCAAATTTTATGTTAATAATCTTTCTTTCTTGAACTCATAGAAATGACACCATATTGCAAACTGATATGAACCAAAGGTGTATATCATAATGATAGTGTGAAATTGGAGATTTTTGGGATACGCCGTATGTTATTTCTTTTATTTTTCTGTAAACGATACAAACACAATTTTTGAACTAATATGTTGCACGGCTGCGCTCATTCCAACGGGGGTTGATTGCTGTACCACGCGCCACTATTTTATTATTTGAAAACCACCGCCGCGGTGCAATCAACTGTAACCGATATCATTTAAACCGTTCAATCGTCCTTACTGGGAGGATTGTTGTGTTAATTGTGCTGATTTCGTTCTGTCTGGAAAGGTAATGATTATATTTTTATTTTTACATATCATTAGGTAGTTACCAGATTTAAGAATAAATTAATGCTTTTTAATTTAGGCAAAAATTATTTCAATTTTTAGTAGCAATATGGAGGTAGGTTGTAATGAATGTTTTTCTTAATTTACAGATTTTTTATTTTTTTGGAAATTGTGGTAACTGGTTTTTTGAATCATTGATAGATTTAGATAAAAAAATGATAATTTTTTAGTTTACATGTTGTATAGAATTTTTCATTGATACATGTTTAATATTGCGCGGCCCATTTTCAGTTACCAATTTTAATATTTTTCTTTTTTTTGTTTCCATATCTATTTTTGGAATTAAATACATGATTTTTAAATAATATTTTCATGCATTTTTCCAAAAAATTAAAAAACGTATAATATTATGTACTATTAGGTGCCAAATTGTAAGTGTAGTTCACAAAAAAGCGTATTTTGTATCTAAAAATCTGAGAAAAACTGAGTGAATTTCATTTTCTGCATCCTGTACAACAAACAGGGCGGTTTTATTTGAGTTTGTGTAAATAGAAACCCAGATATCATGCCAAGGAATCACTTCCTAAACTATTTCCCATTTTAAAAATAAATAGGGAGTACCTATATGGATCAAATGAGCTAAAAAATACCCATTGCTCAATGCCTGAAAATATAGGGTAATCCATTTGAAACAACAAAGTTATGGCAACTTTAACTTAGCCCAGTTGGTCAGACAATTTTAAACGACCTGTAAATGAATCATGAAAATTCAGTTTAGTTTCATTTAGTACAGTGCCGGGATATTATCGATACCAAATTTCGATCTTCTAGGTCCATTATTAGCACAGATATCATACAAAATATATTCGGTCGTTTTTCCATAAAAATTTCGAAAAAAAAACTAAACTTAAATATGGTGCTATTTTGGATTTAATGTTATTATCAAAGTCTAGTTAAAATCACAGAATCCAAAAATGAAGTCAAAAATGGTACTTTTCATTTAAAATACCGAAGTTGACATCTACTTCCGGTGTGACCGGAAGTGACATAGTTGAAAATATTTCAGAAAAACTCATAACATTGACTATTCCATACTGTAAATTTTCAGATTTTCAGATTCTAAATTTGCATCATCTTTACCATATTTATTGGCAAAACTCTCAAAAAACGGATTTTCAAGTAACAAAAAGAAAACTTACACAAACAATTTGTCATCTCTTTTTAATTACCCATTTGAACCCAGCTTAATTAATTACACAGTTGGCACTACTGCCGCACGTACCAGAAACGAAATACTTCATCCCACCTTGCCATGAATTGTCAAATCAGGTAGATTAAAATCCTCATTCGCTTGAAAAGTATTTCGAGCGACTTTTTAACTTCGTCCCTTTTCATACCGGTCAAAAAGGCGAAACTTTCCTGCAAACAAGATACACGCGTTACTTCCGACAACGAAAATGAACGATAACATGAAAAATTCCACTCCGATAAAAATAGAATACTTTAACCCTTTGGACGGTAGAAGAGTGGTCTCGCATTCCTATCGCCCTTTCGCCCAATCTCCCATCATCAATTACAATTGCACCGCCACTGATATCCCAGAAATCTCCATTAAAACCGAGCAGCAAATTAAGCAGGAATCCAGAGATGAGGTATGGTTATTAGTTTACCATCAACTGCATCTTTACACACGTTACTTTAGCATTAGGAATAGCTGTAGATTTTGATCTCCAACGGCGCTGTATCTTTCGGATTACTTACAGGTCGTTCTGGTGAACGGATGTTGGGATACGACGGCCAGCATTCCGAACATTGTAGCCGAAATGCACGTGAACGCTAAGGACATCGGCGGCGTCCACAGCATCATCATGAAGGGCGAGGATCCGATGGCGACGGACTCGCCGCGGGACGGCGCCGTGCCGAGCCCGCGCGGCTCCGACAGCGGCATCGAGTCGGACTGCACCGAAGGGAACCTGTCGTGGCTTCTGAACTACAAAATCCAGGAACTGCCGCCCGTTCCAGGTGAGAGGCGCCGCGCCGATTTGGGTTTTATTTATAAATTGTTGAATTCACTGTTCACCTGTTTTTGTTGTGACAAATATCCATTACCTAGGAGGATAAAGCTAAACGGTTTGTTTACAAATTGAGGACTTTCGCGCAGTGTGTCCCTGTATAGTTTTTAGAGGAAGTTTCGATGTGGAATAATGTTGAATATTATTTTATTTATAAATATACAGGGTGGTACCCGTAACATCAATTCCTAAGATATTATTACGTTGGTTAAATGTGTTTCTATGTTACATTTAATTATAAATTGTGCCCCAACAGGATATTTTCTTAGAACAGTGCTACTCTATAATTCGTCTCTAATCTACAGATACAATCTTCTAAAGATAATTTTAATACTACAATAAAATTATCTACATTCTACATACACTGTTTGTCAAAATTAGGGATTCGCTATTCTGAAGCCCCACAGAGAATTGGCTATAGCCAAGGTACAGACGTGAAATTATCAGAAGACATCTTGTCTTAGCATCTACCAAGTAACACCTTTCTCACTTAATTCTAAAGGGTTTTAAAATTAAACCAATCTTTTAAATGATACCAAACTATGTTCAGAAACGCAACTTCTTGGGGAAAATTTGACCGCCTTTGTGTTGTCGCAATAAACTGATTATTTCTGAGAAGCATCCGCTGATGTCCGCCGGAAAACGCTTGAATGTTTGAGTTAACACCTCCACCTTCATTTTCATTGCTCATAAATAGGGTGGGAGGATGGATTGAGGATGCGAAGCCTCTATTACTCAGAATACCATATTAAAAATCCAACTTTTAGATGCATCCTGGGCAATTGTATCACATCATTTGCTTATGTTTTTAAGCCTCTTTCCTCCAACCTACGGGGGCACAAATGTCAAATAACCATACGATATGTTAAACAATGACTCGACATTAGCAAAACTCTTCTCATAATCATTCCTCACTAAGAATTGATGAAGTTAATGCACAAATGGATTTTCTCAAGATGTGAACATGTTTATTATTAATATGTTAAAGTGTTTCATGAAATGCAATCAGTTAATTTGCAATCAATTAACTTCTACTAGCAGGTAAAGGTTTTCTTTTTTTATCAGATGCCACGATTCTGGATCATGACCATCGAAACGTTCATCGTAATAATCAAGAAAATTTGAAACACCTTGCGACTTTTCAACAACCCACCGTAGTTCACGTGAGTATTTTGTACCCTTGTTTCTATTATGGTTCTTTTGTGATGATTATCTCGCATCAAACACCAAAGAAAACCTCCTATCAAATGAACTCGATTAAGAAACTTGTTTAATATCAAGTATTTGAAGCCTGATTGTTGGTCAAATATTTAGTGAACATCCCGCATGATTATTTTTCTGTTATACAGGTGCCATCGATTGCAACGAAAATTTCGGAAACGAATCAAGATTATTTATACAAATATTCCGATCTCAAAAAACCGCCCTTCACCTATACGGAGTTAATAGAGTACGCTTTGAGCGAAAGAGGCGAACTCACCGTTTCCGGCATCTACCAATGGATCTCGTGAGTATCGATAACATATTTAGGATTTTTTTAAATTTACGGTTTAAAAACTTTATTCAAACTATTTAAAAAATGTTTTCTCTCGATGAATCGATTTGCGCAGTTATCGGTATATCAAATGCCGATACCTTCGTGCATCAATGGACGAATTTAAAGGGACACGTATGAATTAAACGGGGGAAAAGTAAGAATTTAGGGGGAACAAAGGTTAGTCCCTTTCTTAGAAAGCGTATCATTTTGTACCAGGCGCAAAGATCACGAACCTCCGTACATGAACACAAAGAAAGTGCACGAGGATAGTTATTCGCGGGATCATCGAGGATTTCTAGCGTATAAAATGCAGGTCAAATTAAATTACGACTAATTAAAAAAATACGCTCACTACGCTCAAACTATTCTACTAGTTTCGATAAAAAATTAATTGGTTAAAGGGTAAAGAAAGGTATTTGTATTTGTATCGCTCGTTACTTAATTTAGCGACATTTCGAATAGTCCTGGTTTGAAATTAATGAAATATCCTGGGAAATCGGGGGCTAACAATTGCGTTACCAGAATAGAAAATCGGTGAAGTGAAACCATCGTTTAGACACGCTAATTGTTCGAAGCTTGATCATATCCGGGAGGGGGCGGTTTGAAAATTGTCTTGACGTCCCCCTGCGCTTTGCGGTGTCAGCAGGTGAGGTGAGGCGCTGGATATTGTAATAAACCGTGGTTGTTTGATAAATATTTTTTTAAATATACAGGGTGTTTTAAAAAATGTTAAAATAAATTATTATGAGAAGCTTAAGTATCAGTTTTAAGTGGGGTTGTAGAGAGTTTGATTAAAATATTATTTTTTATTCAAATTTAGGTAGTGATACTTTGGTAATGAAATAACATTAAAATTATTTTTTACGGAATTATTTTTAAAGACAGTTTCTAATTTTTATTATACACACTTTTTAATGCATGAATCTTATAGATTTAATAATGAATTACGTTATTAATGTGTTACTAAACTTTAGTTCATTAATAATCGTCAAAAGATTTTTTATGTATATTTTCCGATTATGTCGAGTGAGTTTTGAGCTTGCTTTCCCTACTATGAGGCCCCGCGTTCTTAGTTAAAATGTGGCGCAATTCGCCGTACCTGGTACGGGATATTGACGATCATTGCCCGTGTAATATTAACCATTCCCACGATTTCGGTTACGTTTTTGTTCCCTCTAAATTCACCAATGAGGGATTGGTTCGAATTATCTGTAAATCAAATCTTATTGAATTGGCGGACTTTAATTTTAATTCAACACCCTGTATAACCAAATTTGATAAATAACGGTTACCAAACTACAAAAGTAAAAATTAATAAAAATAAGTAATTATTTGAAAGAAAATAATTTTGGTTTGATGAATTTTCCTTAATTTCCAGAGAACATTTTCCATTTTACAAACAAAACGACGACAGATGGAAGAATTCAGTTAGACATAATTTATCGATAAATCCGCACTTTAGGAAAGGGGGCAAGGCAGTCCAAGGGGCCGGTCATTTGTGGACCATAGCTCAGAAAAATCACAAGCGATGTTCTCAGATTGTAAGTGCAACTAAAATAACATGAATTATTATCTAAAATAATTATATTTCTAATTTAGAAACAAAGGATAAGACAGTTTTTCCAAAATTCGAATACCAACGTTGTCAAACCTCTAGATAATATCGAAAAGGAATTGCAAGCTGCTACTGAAAGTATTTTAGAGGAGATTCATGGTCAGGTGGGTTTAATAATAATTTCTCTTGTCTATTATTCTCTTGTATAAATATTTAAGACACTAATCTACTAGACTGTATACTTTCTCCAACTTCTTTAGCTAACCTTCATTCTTTAAATAATCCTTTCCTTAATACATTTTTCTAATTTTTTTAATATTTTTGTATGTTATTACAGCATTATATCAATCTTGGGGAACAAAATAACGGATTAGAAGGTATGTCACACATGTATTATAACTTTAAAAATATTCGATTTAGCTTCGAATGAAACGAAAAATAAACTCTCTCAATTTTGAGGGAACGTATTTTTCGTTTCGATTTATTATACGAATAATAGTTTGTTTATTTGTGCCAAATGAAGTACAATATATAGGTACGTTGAATCATTACTAGCAAATAGGTTGTACTGAAGCACTGCTACATCATCATCACCATCATCTTTTGTTAATCATCATATTTTATTCGTAATTTAAATTATTAAACAGGCACGTGGAGCGAACATTTTTTTATACAAACTTATTTGAATAGGTGGTTGGGAAAAGGATAAAATTCCAAAAATATGGCGAATTAAAGTGGGATAGTCATTTTGATCTAATTATTATTTGATCAGAAATATGCCGAGCACAAAAAAAATTTAATTATCGGCCACCGTCACATCATAATTTTATTGGTGAGTGGAAGAAGGATAATATTCCTTCCTAATTCATCAATATTTTCTAATCCGAGGCAGTCCGTTTTATGCAATGGTGACAGAAATTTTTTCCAAGAAAACCCAAAGTTTCAAGTAAAACAGCTAAGTATTACTGATATACTTGATTTCAAATGCAGGTGGCTTCAATACTTCAATAAGACTGGCAAGGATGTAAAAAAACAGTTTTTAGCTAGTTACCAAAGATGTATAAACCGTTGAAACTTTCAAACGTACTTTGTCGAAGTGTACAATTGGGCTATAAGTAATGATTTTTCTTAAATTAACGCCGGTTTCGCCGCAAAGAAGTTTTGATTTTATTTCCCAAAAATAAAGTTCACTGGAATTTTCTCCTCTTTTCAATCACCTACTCAATTATCATCTTCGAATTGGCTCATAAATTATTTAAAACTCCACGACATGTATACAGGGTGTCCCGCATAAGAACCGATACAAAGCAGGGGCATGTAGGGGAGACTAAAATACGTTATTTAACCCAACTATAAGTTAATACAGAATAAAAAAAGCTTTAAAATGAAATTATCTATGACATGAGCTAATAATTTCTTAATCATTTATCAGCTAAAAAAATTGTATAACATTTTAAGGGAGCATCCTCCCTAATGAACCCTTTAAAATACTTCAATTGATCTCTCCTAATTATCGATTAATGCTATTAGTAAACTCATAACATACGAAATTTAGTTGTTATAAGTTTGAGTACTACTGAGATATTTTTTTAATTTGTTACCTCCTTTGAAGGCCTATACCTTCTCAGGAATGTTACTTTGTGTTAAGTTACGTAGAGTTAACATATTTTGGGCTTCTCTACACACCCTGCTCTGTATCGGTTCATATGTGGTACACCCTGCATAATAAATCATTTGAAAATAGAATGCCTTTAAATGAAATCAACAACATTTAAATGTCTGCAATGTTTATAGATTTTTTAGCACCGCCGGTATCGAAGCAAGACATTGTAAACGAGTGCGGTTTGGGAAACGACATATTCGTCACGGACATCAATCCGAACACGTTGGGCTTGAATTTGGTAGAATCGGAGGGCATGGCCGAGACCTACGAAGTCTTTGAATATTATACGGCGAAACAATAAATTGGTAGAGGAATATCGCGTGGAAATTTGCAAGGGATGGATCAAGTCTTTTGTACCTAACATGAATTGGTTTGTTTTTATATACTACGTAGTTAATTTTATATATTAGAGTAATCTGTGCGTGTGTTATTTTAAGGTACGTTTAATATTTTAAATTGTCCAGTTAAAAGGTAAAAATCGACAGTTTTTAGCCCGTTTAAGATAAATGAAACAGCGTACATACATTCCAATGTATTCTTGCCTTTTCAAGCCTTAATTGACGATATTTGAAATGGTCGATATTTTTATACATAATTTCGCGAATACCTACCTAATAACGTTTAGTATAAATTTTATTTTTAGAATACAATAATTATAATAATCAGCTTTGAGTAATTGAATAAAATCTATCTGAAAATTCGTATAGTGCCTAGTAAACAATACACAATTATGAAACTAGTAAATAAAACAAAGATAAATAAGATTGAATTTTTATAATTTTCAATACAAATTATAAACCTGATTTAAAATACTGTACACAAAGAGCAAAACTATAAGATTCAATAAATGTTCTTTTCTTATTTTGATATGGCAATTCCAGATATGGATAAAAAATCTCAAGTTAATATAGCACACTTTGTAAAGAACCTTATAACTGCTTGTCGAGAGATAAAAATATTTAGCCGCCATATGCTCATAGAAATATATTTACAATATTAATTTTTTATGTACTGGCACCTTCGACGATTTATTTTTCTACGAATCCACCAAATATGTCTATCGATCGATTTAAATACTTCAATTGCAACGTAAATAGATAATAAATATCCACTTAAAAATTATTAAGGTATCAAATTGTGCTACAAAAATCTAATTAAATGGATTTACTAACCACCTTGTAGCCTTGATGTAGTACTGTTAACATAAAGTTTCTGGTTTTTTTCAATAAAGGTACTAAACTCTTCAGAAGTTTTATAAATCGATAATAAAGAAAATAATTCTCTTCTCTTCACTCTTCTTATTCATATCTTATTCAGTTCATTGCTGGCATATTTCGTGGATTGTTCGTATAATTAAAAGAATCAATCTTTACAATTTCAAAAAATAGTAATCTTCACAGAAGATATCCAAGTGCCAGCGAACGCAATTTTATATTCAAGATAGTCATTTCCTTAAGATTTATTGTTTCATCCAAATTCGTTAAAAAATTAAAAGCTACCGAATATTACATAATACACTTATTAAATTAATTCCAAAGACTAAATGAGAGATCAAAAACATTGCCACTTGTAAATAAAATTATCTTTTTTTTTTCATATATAAATCTTTTGTAAAATACTATGATGCTTTCACAACCCTTTTTCGTTTAAATTTTATATGTTTTGATTGCACTATGCACGTTGCGAGTGTGATAACATCAACATCAGAACATCCAGAATACTCCTAAAAACGCACCTTTTCCATACTGACTGATATATTTCTTGTAATTAAATTCGAAAGATATCTCACATGAATTTTATAATTTATATTTCTCATACAATCGAAAGTCTAGGGTGCTCAACTTACATTTCATATTTCCAAATAAGTTATTTTAGCCATTTACAGTTTATTTTTGGTAATTTTGATATATTCTACAAAAGGGCTCTAACAAAATCTCTATGAATAATAAAATCAGTTGAACACCCATCATTATTAGTCAGTATTAAGATCAGAACAAATACAAAATGCTTAAGTACTGCCAATACATTTGTTTCAATATAATTTATTAAGAAAATTGGAGAAATCTGGACGGTCCGAATTTATTCCACAATAAATTCCAATGGGTATAACTTATTTGGCGAAATTTGAGCCAAATTGAACACAAATAAACGAAAATATACCCCACAAAATTCCAATTTAATCGTCTCAAAGACACGCCGAGCGAATTTTGTGGGGACATCTTATCTAAAGCTATAACATTGTTATTGGCAAAAAAACTAAACTAATCAAAATACTGGGTATTTTATTTTTCAAAAAAAAAAAGAAAATCAGATAGAAATCTAAATATGTATATATCTATTTGTATATATAAAATTGTTAAAAATTATCATCACAAAGAGCAAACTTTACTTAAATGTAAACCTAAGTAAAAAAATGTATACCTAAGTCACCGTAGGTCACGGTGCAGATTCATTTCTTAAATATCCGATTATTTTTTTACAGTAAATAGCAATCTGCACGGCGATCTACACGTTGAGATACTAAACATAAATTTATCCCGAAAAGAAAACGAAAAATTTTCTGTTTACCAGAGACGCCATATAGTTATGCACCGGTGCAAATAATAGCTGCAAACCACCCTTTGCACCAGAACTAAATCTGGCCATAAAACTTTATCAGTAGGATCTACAACGTAAGATTTAAATTGAATCTACAAGTACACGAGCTTAAATAGATCTAGAAATGTTCGCAAGAATTCAATCCAATCCACAAATGTTCTAAAGAGCCTTCTAGTATATAATAGTGTTCACAAGAGTTTTATTAAGATCCAGTAAATTCCAGAACTACTGTATCACAATAAGTCCAGAACTACTGGATTACAATAAATCCAGACCTTGTGTTTAAAACACTTGCTTCTAAAGCTCGATTTGTACATATTCTTTTTTAATTGGTGCATAAATAGTTATTTGGGTTTATGGTGCAATAAAATAGATGCACCCATTGTAATGGTGAATTAATTATTGCACCCGGTGAATATAATAAGTGTCATCTCTGGTGTTTATCTACTTAAAAACGAGAAAATCAAAAATCAAAACTCGCAAAACGAAAAAAAAGACTTAAAAATCTAAAAGTACGATGTAAATAAGTGTATAACGTTTCCGGAATAGAACGGCGATTTTTCTCTTAATAATCTCGAAGGAATTTATTTAATCCAGTTCACTTTGTTCCTTTTTTTTAAATTATACGTTATTGTCAATTTTTCTTCTACTACAACTCAATAAATATAATAAATAAATAAAAAAATAGACACGATTTGAAAAGAAAAATCGCCGTCCTACTCCGAAGGATAGAACGATAAAAAGATTTAAGCAGCGCTGGAGCTTCCGCGGGAGAAACGAAAATCATTCATTTTAGTTGGGACGACAAAACCAAGAAAGTGTAAAGGTAGCTTTCTTTACCTCGAAAATGGCATATTTTTTACATTATATTTTCCTCCTTCATTAACTAGGTACTTCTTAAAAAGTAAGTAACTGATAATAATACTAGTATTGTGAGAGTGTAGGCACTGAAGTGATAGGTTACGGTCGCACCGATAACCTGCTAGTCTTTCACAAGCCTGTAAATGTGGTGTTGTGCTCCATGCTCGGAAGTCGACACTTCGAATACGTACGCAGTACATAATAGAGTCTCTTGTGTGTCTCTGTTACTTACGACCTGCAACGTACGATTCGATTTAATATTTATTTAGTCGTAAAAACGCCGTCGAAAATAATGAGAAATCTTACCTGTAAGATCGTAAAGTTTTCCAGCACGCTATTCATCATGTACTTCTCCGGGAGGTGCTTCAGTTTGTGGATGAAATTGATCATATACTCGCACATCGGACTTCGATGGATTCTATATACAAATCGCCCGTTTTCGTATCGAGCATATTCGGTTTCCACTTTTTCCACGACCTGCTTGCCGAAGGAGCAAACCTTCGTCGAGCACGTAATCGTCATATTGTCGTTGCTTTCATACCTACAAGAAGTTAATCGCTTGATTAATACTACTTCGGTAGAAATATTGGCTCGAGAGCGTTTTCACACGATGCAATATATATTGCAATAAATTGCTGCGATTTGCACCGCAGCGCTGCAATATTGTAATGCAATACTGGATTGCAGTGTTTATACAAGAGTTAATAAAAATTATCGTATCACATACGTGTGATAACTACTTATTTGAACGTTTGTATTTTAACTGCAATGCAATATTGCAGCAGCATTTTAACAAAGCAACATAACAAGCAGTGATTTATTGCTGTAATATATTCCACCGTTTGACAACGCTCTAACTGTATGTTACAGTTATTTTACAAATTATGAAAATGTTGTTAATAGAAAAATGCTACCTTGACAAAAAAGTACCCAGAAATTAGGAATAAAACGCAAAACACCTAATCTTCATCAATATTGTTTTAGTGTTTTTTAAAATATCCTCCTTTTTAAAGCGACGCACATAGTCAGACGACTTTTCCAATCATTGAAGCACTTTTATTGGACCCTTTTAGTACGGCTTTTAGCTCATTCTGCGAATTTTCTTTGAATGGCATTTATGGAATCAAAACGGGATCCCCGAAGTGGCAATTTGAGTTTGGGAAACAAAAAGATGTCATACGAGGCTATATCTGGTGAGTAAGGCGGCCGGTCGATGGTACTTCACACGAATCAGCATGTCTACATCGTTCAGTTATCGATATCGTTTTTGAAGGAAACTCAGCTCTATCGAAACTAGCCGAGCCTCAATGCGCAACATGTCTGATTGATTAAGCAAAATCAAACGAGCGGTTTAACGGGAGATGATGAAGTCACGTGCTACTTCTCTACTCCTAGCATTATCATTTTCCAACTCAATTCCCTTCATTTTCTCGTTGTTATCATTGATCGGAGAGGTCGAATACCGTCCGGAACAAGGCAAGTCTTTCTATCTCCCGACTGTCTTTAAAAGTTTTGTGCCATTAGTAAATATGGATTTTCAATAAAACAGAGTCATCTTAAGCATTTGCATCGATTCGGTCCACGAAATTTCGTCCAATATGATACAAACTCTTTGTTCAATATTTTAGTCCATTGCAAAATTCGCAGAGCACTACTGAGATGAACTGATTCAATTCAGCTGCTACAACCAAACTGATTGAGAAATACCTCTAATTTCTTGCAAGCTAATTAAGAACATTGTTACGTACATACAGAAACTTGAAATAGTTAAAAATATTAGGCGCAGATAATTTAAATCAGAATTTTCGGGTACTTTTTTTTGTCATAAAGTAAACCGATAAGTGTGCACTTACGAGCTCGTAACACCGTAGAACGCGCCAGTCTCATCTTGGATATTTGAATTTAAGTCGGCCCAGAATTTGACGAGGAAGAACGCGTTTTGCGGCCCTTTGTCGTACAATTCCTTCAGTCCGCCTTTTTTCTCCGGGAATTTGTCGTATATTTGTCGGACGTCGACGTTTTCTAGCAGGGGATCCGAGTAGGAGAGGGTCGGTCCTCCTATGTGAACGAACAGGTGCTTCTGATACTGGAGAATACGCAAAAAAAAGAAGGAATTAATAAACGTATATACGGGGAATCGTACGAGCGATTGATTAAACATTGCGGATAATGGTGTATTGCAAACAAACTATTGATTGGCAATTCTAGACAATTTTAAAAATGCTCAATGCCCAGGATCATCTGGAAACATTTATTTATGAACTGACTACTACATTTTGAAACAATTCATGACAGTTTTAGATTATTTTAGATTTTTTTCAATGCCCTTTAGAACTGCCCAGGATCATCTGGAAATATTTGTGAACTGACTAGTACATTTGAAATAGTTCAGTACAGTTTTAGAAGATTTTAGAACTATCAATGATATTTAAAACTGCCAAGCAGCATCTGGAAACATATATGAACTGACTAGGACTTTTTGAGAAAGCTAAGGACGATTTTAAAAACATTTATAACTGTACAAAATCGTTTAGAACAAATTTTAGTTTGGAAAAATGCCAATCAATAATACAATGAATTGTATTATAAATAGTTAATAAATAATATCAAATCAAATTTTATCCACCAAATAAGTCTCCCGAGAGAAATTTGACAAGAAAATTCAAACTGGTGAACAAATTACCGACTATAGATAGAATAATTAAATAATTTTGTTAAATTGTGCGAGCCGGTTCACCGGGCGCGAGCACGAAAAACGAACAAAGACACGTCAAACTTACTGCTTCTTCTCGATTTTGCGATTCCATGAAGGCTGAAAATTCGACCAGCCTCAATTTGTGCGTCGCTATGGCTCGTCCTTCCCACACGGGAGGCGGCGCCGATTGCAGAGCTCCAACGTCTCCCGGTGACACGGCCGTCGCCGGTTTTCCCGCCGAGTACGCTGCCTGAGCGAACGGTTTTACACTGTAATACAACGAAAAATACCATCAATTAATGAATTCTCCCTTTGATTTGATCCCAAAACTTTATAAATGTAGCTCAAGTTTAAACTAAGCGGTTACGATTGATCATTCAAACACAAAATAAATAAATAAACTTACTCTTGGGAAGTTCCAGGTTGAAGACCGGGCTGCCAAAATTGCTAAAATGAAAAAACGGAACATTATAATAAATAAACGAACGCATATTGAGCGCTAAAATTGTTACGTAAAAGAACACAGGTTCTCTTAACACAATTAAATCCCGTTTTGCGCAGAAATGTTAAAAAATAAGCCCAAGTATAAATAGCATTATAGCACAAAATCTAACATCTACATTACGGCTGCACCACACAGCAAGTAAGCCGGGTTAAAATGAAACTAAATATGTACCTAAATTGGTTATTTGAACTGAACTTCGTTCGAATTATGTAGCTATGCAGAAGCCGGGACTTGTTTAAGAATCGGGACAAATAAAATATACAATAAACAATAAATTAGTAAACACAAATATCCCTTTTAAATTATTGGTTAAATAAATGTATAATAATGGCCCACTGCAGAGATGTCTCATGTCTTAAATATGTAAAATACTCAAAAAGGTCTTATTTTAATCAACAAGTTATCTTATTAACTTGTTACCGTGTTTTATTTTTTCGGTGCATTGTTTACAAATAAATGAAGATATTTTTTAAACGCCCGGTATATTACACACACGTAAGTATGTATAAAAATTCTTAAGGGCACAAAAGCGGCGATTTACATATCCAAACTGTCGATAAAATGAAACTCATTAGGTACTAAAAATAACGTAAACGTAACGTTATTTTGACGTAAGCCAAATGTCATTACTATCAATTTTTGACATCAGAGTTTGCGTTGAATAGGAGATATTTGACGTACGTCGAAGTTAATGAGAGTCCCTTATAACTGGCACAATTTATGCAACCCTTAACAAACAAAAAAAAAGTAGTAAATCGCGGAAAGGTTGGGGATACAGGATATACAGGTGGTGTAAAAACAAACAGGATCCGCAGGCTCGCGCTTGCGCATGAGGTATAAATTTAACGCACATCATGATAATTATAAGAACAACATCTCCCAGCGCGATAAAGAGGCAACTTCCACTTACCGCTCCAGGATAGGAAACGGGATTATGAGTTAGGCCAATATTCAGACCTGCTGACTTGCTGTGCATTGCAGTGGTAGCAGATACGATCTGCGCACTCGACATGCTCGACATCGTCTGTAGGGTTTTCTCTTTGGCCACGTGATCCTGATAAATTAAATTTTTACCATCACCAAAATGTTGTTAGCAGTCTAGTTTACCATAAGGACCATTACCGGTACCTTTAACCTTTTCCACAGGAAAAAAAACTGTCACCAATTATGGTTTTATACGTGTGAAATTAATAATTAGAATTAAGGTATTAAGCGACTAGATTTTAGCATAATTCTCTTAAAATTTTAGAGAATATTTAAGAGAGAAAGATCTTCAGAATTCGCCAAGAAACCTTTAAAAATGTTCCTAAAATACACTAGATAAAAACCTCAAAATTACCTAAATATTTTAGGGGTATAAATTTCAAAATTTCCTTTACTCTACGATATACTATGTGTTTTCCATCCTTTATTTACCCTTCAAATAGAACAAACTGTATGTGTTTAGGCTACATAAGCCATGATTTATCACATAAAAACTTCACTTGATCACATATAAAACACTAAGTATATGAGTACATTAGAAGAAATAAATCAGAACTGTACCTGTATGCATCAAATAGTAATAGAAACTGACAGCAATGAATGTTTCTCCTGTAGCATGTGCATATAATACACTTTGTAAATTATGTGAACTCATATTAAATGAGAATTTACCCAAGAAAATCCCTAAAATTTTAGTAGTACACCATACAGGTAATACTTTCAATAAAAAGAATCTTCAGTTTAATTACTCCGAGTTTACTAGCATAACTTTTACCAGCGTTATCGCAGTGCATTTGAATAAATAGAGAAACTCATTTTATGCTCTAATAATTACCATTATTATAATAATATGTAATATGACCGAGTGTATAATAAATTAATGTACATTAACACCGGAATAACAAAAAAATCAACGTATAGAAATGTTCTACAAAATGAACTGTTACGAGAGTCGTATAATTTATTTAAATTAATTCTTAATTATTTATTACGATACATAATTAGAATCGCAGATGTTCTAAACCTGTTTTTAATTGTCGACCCGCGAAGGTACGTTAATACTGCAAAACAAGACATTTTCGCTGGTTCAAATAATGAACTATCGTTATCTATCTGTAAATTGTGAAAGCATGCATTTAATTTTGCAGTAAACAATGCATTTTGTATTTTTATTTTAATTAATTCTAATTTTAAATTACAATTAAATGTAAACATGTAAAATGGAAATTTTATTAATTCTTATTGCAAAGTTATCTATTTAGTTAGTTTTTTTAAGTGGAAAACTAAGAAACAGAGAAATTACGAAACAATAGTATAATTATTATACAGAGTGTTTCATTGATAAATTTACTATACAGTGTGGCAATTTAAAAACGTACTAAACGTACTAAAATGATATAAAACTGACCCCCAAGGCCTCACCTAACCCAACTAAAAAAATTTAAATAGCAAACCCATACTTGCGACACATCAATAGCTAGTAATTTTTGAAATTTCAATATCTTTCTTTTACATTCAATGCATCTAATCTCCGTATAAAATGTAATACAAAAAAGTCCAGGTCAGGCTTACAAATAAATGTGTACCTGAATAATTATAAATACTTCCTGTACATAATTACCGATACTTATAATTGCATCAAGTTTATGGAAATAATTAAATTACGAAAATCGACACAGATGAATAATGGAAAAAAAACTCTCGCAACATCTTAAGTAGACAGTCGTTAAATCTAAAAGCGAGATTACTTTAATGAGAAAAAGTAATTAGAAAAGTTTGATGGGTAGGCAAATTTGCGTTTTAATGAACTCACCTATAAACTTACAGCTATAAACAATTTTATTATGTAGGTTTACCTATTTATCTTCTGCAACAACAGTAGATACTGCAGTTTCGAGTGTAACAAAAAGATCATTACCCTCTAAATGAAAATGAATTCCTTTACCAAAAAAAGTTGAAAATTTCTCCTTTTTAGCCAGAAAACTGACTTTTTAATTTGATATATTGGCTTGTAATATAACTTTCTTAATATAGTGTTAGTAGATATTTTAAAAAAATAATTGTTTACTTACAACTTTAAGTTTCGCTTGTATCTCTCTCAGTTTCCGCCTAGCTAATACTTGTATATGTGAGCTCACTTGTTTTCTCGTCCTTGTTTTTCCTGTCCTTAATTTTATATATCTTGCTATGAGTTCATTCCGTCCTACAAGAAACAAAACAAATTAATCATAGGTAAAATTACAGAATTCTCGGTGTATTTTTGTCTCTTCAACTATAACTCGAGATGGAGATTGTTGATGTGGAAGAGACAAAGTTAGAACGTTCAATTAAAAGTGTGCGGTACATATTTCAGGTTTCTTTATTGCAGCGAATGTAAAATAGTTCATTGTTGAATGAGCACAACAAGCGCAGTTAATATACTACAAGAAACTGGAAACACGAGCCTTTTATAAAAAAAAATGGTTCGGTCATGTATGAGTTGATAACATCAGGTGTTGAATGGGCAATTATAATCCGAAGTAAACTGAGAAGAAATCATTATAGCGTCAAAGAGTTTCATATTTACCAGATGACAAGTGTCATCGAAGTTTATTGTAAAGCGCACTTTTTCTGCAGCTTCCGCACAAATGTGATAATTTTGAAATATCTGTCTACTATCTATACATACATAAGAAAATTAGTTCCTGTGAAGACTGAATTAAGGACATAATGTCAATTACAGGGAGAGTCAAATTGCCTTTAATGTAATCCGTAATCAGGTTTTTTAATTTATCAAAAAATAATCAAAGTAGAAGAAATTTCGTTTCTGATTCATTTATAAAGATATTTTTTCTTTGTAATCTGGAACTTATAATTTTCTTGTTTGTAATCATTTCGAGAAAAATAATGGGTAAGCCACACTTAAGCAGTATGAAAAAGAAAGCCATGAGGAACTCATTTGAAGTCATCAAAAACTCTTATAAACCCAAAAGACCTTTAATAACATTAATATAGCGTCTAAAACAATGAAAATTTCTTCTAAAAAAACAATGAAATCATAAGAAAACTATATTTTTTTATAGCACAAAATCATGAAAAAAATTTAGATTTAACATAATATAAAGTAAACTTGAAAACGCCTAAAAAACAGAGAAGTAAAATTGAAATTTCAACAAAAACCATTCAAAAATCATAGTGCATCGAAAGGTAGTGAATTACAAAGGTCAACAGTTATTTATTAGGTATTCCTCCACTTTCCAAATCTAACAAAAACATTCAATAACATTCAAATGCAAGCATAATTTACATAATTTTCAACGAGCCGCATTGAATTTCCACATGCCCATTTTGAACGAAACAAGCTGGTAGACCTTCGAGGCAACGCCGATAATACACACCAGCCCAGCGACTCTCCTAGTCAACGCCGCGTCATATTTTTATTCGACGGCCCCTCCGCGTTTTAATTATTCATTGAAAATTTTATGCAATGAAAATAAAACAGGTTGTTTTACCTTTCACGACAATATTATAAAATCAATAACTGTAAAGCCGCTGTAATGGCGTTGGGTTATATCGGCCGCCGCCGATCTTGATCTTTGGCTTTAAAACTCTTCTCTGTATGCTCATCCAAACCGGTTGTCGTTGATGCTGCCGTTCCGTTTCAGTGACGGATCCCAGTTTTTCAGTTAACGCATCTAATAATTTGCTCTCAAGGAGAGTGAATTGGTGTGTAAATTTAATCCGTATAATTAAACTACTTCAAGGAATACCAAAAGTAGACGCCCTTTCGATCTATCTAACTCAAAGGTAACACTATAATATCATGAAAATTACTTAAAATGTATAAAGAGTCTAAAAGCTGATTGCCTATGATGTGAATACAATACACGCAGAATTACATTTGAACAATGTAAAAGATATAGAAATTAAGCCGAACTAAATCTTAAAAGGTTAAAAGAATGGATAAAAGAAGAATAACCAGCGTTCAGTTCAACAAGATTGAAGAAGGTCGAAGAAAGTCACTAACACAGGACCATCAGGCACATACTCAAGCCGGTTCTGGATTTGTTGGCCGATACTTAGTTTCAGGAAGGATGAATTAAACTTCGGTCGTTTTTTATTATTTGTTTTACCGCGTTATTCTACCTGCCGGCGATACACCTTGTTCGAAACGATTATGTTTTTATTTGCTTTCGCAGAAGGAGCGCTCCGATATTCGTGCGTATTAGATCAGAACGTCGAATCCGAGGAGAGCTATTCCGATGAAAATAATTGAAAGGTTCGCTCGATTTTATTTAGGTGTAACAGAAACACCTAGTTTCTCTGCTGGTTCAATCATAACAAATTATTTTTTATCTTTGTATAGGTTTTACATACATTACATACAGGAAACTGTTGTTATTTTTTAGTAGCAAGTACACAAAATAGTAGAAGGAATTAAGGCCTCCAATGCTTTCACTGCAGTAATTACACTAGTTTACAAGGTTTTTTGCAATGAACTTACAATTAGGATAATGAGGGCGATGCATTTTTGGTTAATGAACAAACATTTCTTAGTAATAAAAAAATATAGCAAGTAAATTTAGAACGCTCCAAAATCATTTAGAACTGTCTAGAACCATTTGGAATGTTCCATAACCATTTAGAAATTCCTACAACCCTTTAGAACGCTCTACAACCATTATGAACTATCTAGAAAAATATGTTTGTATAATTGTTTTAAATAACATTGAATATTCTTTAAAATTAACCTTCTCCTCTGATCATTCCACTAGAGTAACAATAGAGGAGCCCATAGGTATATTACAGTACATATTGAACACCCTAAAATCGAAGCCGAAAGGAAAAGCTCCGTGTGAGGGCGAATTTCCATTCTCCTATAATAAATGGAAAGCTTTCACATCGCATAGCTCCGTCTAACCGCTCCGACCCCTCCGAATATTTCATCAACAGTCATATAATTGGAGTGGATTATTTTCTAAACTGGCTCTCGACTGAGGGTAATATTTTAATTTGGATGCTTCGTTTGATTGATTTATAAACACGCACGTAGCCGGCGCGGCGCGCCGTGCCGGAAAATCGCGGAAAAGGCGCGGGAGAGGGAGAATGAAAAGCGCCGATCCGATATATATCCGTTCGCCCCGTTACCAAGGTGAATAAATAATTTTATGCGAGGGAAATGCGAAAATTCAAATTGCGAGTTGAGTCGGCTTTTTCTGCGAAATAGGTATTATATACCTGTTGTTGGACGGTATGCGATTAAAAAATCAATTAATGCGGAGGTTTTTTTATGGTAGGTATGCAGAAAATTTTAATAAACCGGAATCTGTATTGCGATTATATTAGTTTAAATTATTTTAGACCCACCCGTTTTTCTAATGAATTATTTTTTTACAAAGGGTGAATTAAAATGGGATGTTTTTTTTCCTTCTATGACTATTTTCGGAACTTTGAATATTATTATTATTGCAGAAACCTGAACCTAATGCTTACCTACGCATTTGTAGATAGAAAGTTTTCAAAAAAACTAAAAATCAAGCTGGAAATTACAAATAAAGTTTCAAATAGTGTAAACTTGATAGTATGATTAAAAGTTTCACATATTTATTGGTAAATTTACCTGAACAAATTGCTAAAAATTCTAAAACAGTATTTACACAGCATTTGCATAATCACGATTAAAGCTTTTTTTAATAATTAAAAAATATCGCACCGAGTTCACTAGGGACGAATTCCATTCAGTAAATTAATTAAAAAACTCTCCCTGGCGCTTCGGCAATCAATTAAATCATCGATCCCAAGGAACTGGGACGACAGAACAAACAAAAAAAAACATCGGACCGGTGACAACAAAAGGCCCCTCGCCCGCTGCGCGCCGGCGATCAATTAGCGACAATACCTAAAATTAATTTCGCGAAATTTTTCCCAGATTGAGTGTACTACTACCCTTCTTTATATTTTCTTCGGAGGAGCGCGCCCGTTTGGCTCTGCCACTAAACTCGCGCTCGCTCACTAATTGCACATTCTTGACATAGTTTCGGGCCGCACCCTCACCCCTTCGCCGACCCTTTTTCGGGGAGAGCGGTCCCGCCTCCCGCACAGTTTCCACTCTCGTGTCTTCAGTTTCGCCGGTCCTGTGCTAAAGTTTTCAACTTTCGCAGTGGCGCGCCCCGCATAACTCACCCCATTACGTTTAAAACTCCAAAAACAAAAGGGTTGATAACCGTACAATATATTATTATACGTTAAAATTAACAATAATATAATAGATTTTATACCAGATAAAGAATTTTGTGGTGCCTAAATTCAGATAGAGTTCATGTTCCTACATCGATATTCGTATATCTAGTTACCATAACAAGAGCAATGTAATAAAAGCGTATATTTTGTAGTGGTAATTCAAATTAATTCAAACAAACACTCCAAATTTTAGTACCTCTCTTTCAGTGCTATTTTATTCAAATGCGAATTAGAACAGAAAATAAAGTAGCACAATATTGTTAGTATGGTATTTACTTAAAAGTTACAAGGAATTTACCGTTAAGTTACAATAGCAATCATGTCGAAACTCTTATACCGGCAATGAATATAAAGTTAACACATTATACTGTTTCCGAAGTAGCAATACATTAAACGAAATCTCCACATCGGAATATAAACTGAAATTATTCGAGGCGTTCGTTCTTTATGAATAGTTTCGACCGCATGCTCCGCCATTCCGCTCCGTAAAATCGAACGAAAGAAAAGTGCAAATTTGCACTGGTAAACGATAAAACAAATTGCGAGAGCGCCGTAAAAGCGCCAAGAACAAAACGACTGCTGTGATGCTTCTGCTCTTTACTCTACCGGTTACGTTATCTTTTATGCTGGAGAATGAGGAGGAATATCGCCGGGGAGAAGAAATAAGCGCTCGCGATTGCCACCTGTAGATATTCCTTTTTAGCTCTCGAATTCAATATACGCCGCTTCAAACTTTTTTAAGGGCTCGTTCCGATCCGGAAACGTCGAAGAATCACAATTTGAATGGTTGATTTAATTTGCGGAGGAGCTTTCGAGGATACAATTGAAGTGTGTGTGAGTGTATGTGATTTGCCTCGACCGCTTTTTCTTTTTTTTATTATGCCATAATATCGAGCAGATTGCGCTCAAAAAATGCTCAAAAATCACTGTATAATTGGCAAATCAATGATTGATTTATTGATCATCTAATTGAAATTTACAGATAATTATTTATAATCCCTTGTAATAATTTTGTTAATAGCGATTTTTATTTAAATGCCATTTCGATATTCCCGTGTGCGCTGGTTTTGGCACATCCATTAAAAGCGAATTTACCAGTAACCTGTTGTAATATCGAATTGTCATTATGTATAACACATTATCCCTGTTTCGCATTCGGGATTAAACGGTACGAAAATATCCCGTTAATTAAACGAAAACCTCGAACTAAATAATAAAAATATTTATGTATCGTTCAATAAACAACCGTACCACTAAAATTCGATATCCCGATTAGTATTAAATTAACAATAAATTTGTATTTGCAGCGTAATAATGGTTGTATTTGAACTACATATATTGAGTGCATTTGAATAATTAGGACTATTTCCACGGAAAAACGGAATTTTTTGAATAGTTGCGTGTTTCGCTTTGGCATTTTGCAAGTATAATTTTCTTTGATAACGGCTCGAGTCCAATTGCAAAATCGCAATTATCGTGCTTTTAAAGGAAAATTATAAACAATAATAGTTACACTCGAGTTTTTTTTTGTAACGAATTCTTCGGAATAATGAATAATAACAACTTGCGTAAAAATTAGGAATATTTTAAACGCTCATTTAATAGGTAATAACTCATTTAAACATGTTATTCATAAAAATTTATTTATAGGTAGTTGGTGATTATACGAAACTAATGAACTTTTTGAAAAATACAAATTATGTAATCAATAAATAGTTTATGTATTAATGGCAGATATAAAGTTTAATCGTTCCATCGACACATCAGCATCATTTTTATGATGATTGGAGTTTTATTTTTCGGGTTAAATGTGTTAACAAAGTACAATACGTTTGACAACACATTTCATCTGAAAATAGTTTATTTTCATTCTAAAATTCCAGAAACATTTGTAGGATATAAAAGCTATAAAATAAAAACATAAACTGTTATTTATCAAAATGCGCCTCTTGCAATATCGAAAAAATACTAATTACTTGAGGTATTTGTTACGTTTTGGAAGTGTTTTCAGGAATATTAAATTGTTTTCAGCGATTTTAAATAGGTTATTTTATGATTGTATACAGTTTTTAAAAGCCTTTTAAAGACCAAAAAAATTTCTGTGATACAACCAAACTAACAAATCTTTATCTTATTTTAAGAAAGCAGAATTTCAGTCGGTATGCAATATTACTGATTTGAATAAAATTAGCAATAAATTTTATTGCAATCTCGATAAATCGTCTCAGAATATAGGAAGAAACTATGCCAGAGCGCACAAAACGTTACACAATGTGTTATTACACATTTTAATTTGAAAGTAAAAATTGTTTTGATTGTTTTGTTCTATATTACTCATCCATTGTGCAAAGACCGTGCCGGCGTCTGTTGCCTTGAAAATGTGAAAATAGACAATTAATACATGCAAAAGTTAATAAGTACCGGTTTTTTATTACTTAATTACTTGCTTTACAGCTAAGAACACTCATAGGCGCAAGGAGGAGACACACATAAACAAATACCGGAAGGTTCATTTCAATATTACACATTTTAAGCAATTGTTGAAATTATTTTACTTTCTTCACATAATATTAATTAAAAAAATTAAATTAAATTTTTGCCATTTGATCCCACTTAGAAAATTTTAAATAAAGCATATACTACGCTTGTGGTTCTTTTTATTTATATTAATTATTATTTGCTTATTGATTTCATGCAACTGTAAGTATAGTAGATACAATTAATACAGTGAAGTATAATGTGTAATGTATTTGTAAATTAAATCGAACGGAAGAAAAAATGTGAAAATTGCACCTGAACGTGATTAAAATTATTACAACAATTATATAATCATGAAGAGTGTTTCATTGCTATGCATGATTTTTACACTTTAGACAAAAATTTCTATAGGATTATTATTACAATGCAGGTAATATTATTAAAAAAGATAGAGGAAAAAAATCGTCACAACAAATCCATTCGACAGTTTCAAATATCCCCGCATTCCAAGCTACCCTGGCATGTGGAGAAAAGTGAGAAAAATTTCCAAATTTGAATGTCGAAGAATGACAGGACACAGTATTATTGGTTTCCGGATGACCAGTCGACTGGAGGAATCGACAGAAGAAAACGACGAGGGTGAAACGTTTACGTGGTCATGAGCGCCCCCTTCGAGAGCAAAAAAACTCTTGTTTTTCCTTCCCCGTTTGCAAATAATGTTTAGCAACGCACGCCACGCTGAGTGAATTCCATATAAAGCAGTTTAATAATGATTAAATGAAGAAAAGCCTAAGCAATTACACTAAATTGTATACTCTTTGATAATTACAATTAACTAAAGGTTAAACGTTTTTACTTTATACCTAGTATTTTAGATAATTGGAGATATTTAAATAGTAGTTTTAAGGATCACAATTGATTGATTTTCAACTAGTTTTAGAGAGTATGTTTTATGGTGATTTTTCATTCAATTGTCAATTCTTCATCAATTTTAATTGCTTTAAATAACTTTTGAAAATTCAATGAAACATATTAAAATATTTTTATTGCATCTTATATTCAAAGCCAAATATTCAGTAAAATTAACAAAAATTTGACTTAGCGATTATGATGAATCCGGTGACCTCGTTTCCTTCGGAATACGTTTTATCAAATATTACAAATCAATTTCGTAATAAGTAAAATATCCCAATTATTCCGAACTTTTTACCCTGCATCAACGTATACATAAAAAAAAAACAATGCACTATCTATTAATGAAATATCCCATCATCCAGCAAGATTCCTCCTCATACCCGCTAACATCATCATTATACGCAATTTTCCCCGTTTAATTAAAGAAAAAAGGCGCCGCTACTCCCTCCCGGAACGTATTTCCCTATACAGGCGTTTATTGCCATGTAATATGTGAACTCAGCGTATTATTACAGTGTGTTTGTCGATTTGGCTCACGTCATTCGTATAAGGGCGGCAGGACGGAGGGGTGGGTTCTCTCGGGGGGCGTCACGGCACGCCGAAAACGGCACTCGGTCGCCTCGTCGGCAACGGAACAGAGACGACGTGCGAAATCCGTCGTGCCCGACGTGTCCACTTGTCACTGAAGAATACCGAAGAAGTAGGATGAGCGAAGGAACGATCGATTTTACAGCATCATGAAGTAAATATGCTCTAGGATGCTCTAATATACGTTTAGGTTTATCATTTTTTTTATCCTACGTTTTATTAAATTTTCCTAACGAATAAATTCCTTCGATTCTCAAGTAAAGGTTTATTTATAGGTACGTTATGAAATCATCCCGAGGGCGTTCCTATTTCTTTGGAATATTCTTCGCCCTCCTCCTTGCCCGTAGGGCATTGCCAAGAGTGGACAGAGACAGGACAGTTACTGGACGCACACGGTCAATATCTCCACAGCCTGCGCCTTGCATTTCCAATTCTAGAAATGCCCGTATAATTTCCATCTACTACTTCCCTTTTGTGTTATACTACATAGCATAGAGGGACACCATTGTGTGCTGGAAAGTTTTCGACTTTTGGCATTTACATATCTAACGCATTATTCGTTTATTTATAAGCGAACATACGAGATGAATTTATGAATAATTTTTATAATTCTTCGATTGATTTATTGTGAATTTGCATCGTATGGAAAGAGTTAGTACTTTTTTCTGTACGTGCATAAACCACAAATTGAGCTACTAATGCTAATAGACAGATTTTTATTATTTGGGGGTACTGAAATACCTAATAATTGGCAATAAATTTTCAAATTGGAAGAAACAACAAACCTGGAGAGAATAATCTCCAACTGCAAACATGCATAATTGGAGTAGGTAAATTGTGGAGTTAAAAATCATCAATTTGGATGTTTGTTTTTTGATAACACTTACCATACATTTTTCCTTCGTCCGATAATATGATTTTTCGCCGTCCGCAAGGCGGATATATGGCCAGGGCTTCTTGAAAACTCTGCTCGATATCCGGACTCCAGACCCCCTCCGCATCCGCAGCTGCCATGTCTTTTTCATCCTGCGAAAATGTTTTTCATTGAAATTTCCGTTGGACGGGTTTTAAATAAAATAATCCGGATACACAGGTTTTTTTACGGAACGGGGGTTAGATTAGGGCGGTTGATCAAAAGGTGAAGTGACACAGCGAGGCGATGAATGACGGTGTTCGGCGAAAAAGTGTTATAGAAGAGGGGAAATGGGAAATTTGTGGACAGGAGGAATTCCATAGGGAAAAGAACGAAAGTAATAAGAAGGAAAAAGGTGGTATGGCGTCGTAGCTATAAAATTGCTTAAGATTTAAAAAAATTGTTTTCATTGTCAATGAAACAAAATAGGTATGAAATTAATGATTAAGGGAAGCTTTAAAAAATAAACGGTATACATTATTGTACAACATACTTTCACAAGTCAAATATTTTTCCTACCGCTTTATATCTACTTATTTCATGAAATCCTCATATTGTTTTAAAATACCCGCAGGTATAATTCTTAATTAGAGAACTACTAATATAGTCATCAGAACGTTTTTCCAATTACTTCCAAATCGAAATTAATATTTACATTACTAAATTTGCTATATTCTGGTGGGCGTTTAGCAGGAAAAATTACATAACCCATAACGCTCTGCGTTTAATAACGAAACATCGATATGTATGTAAAACAAAATACAACCAGTTGTATTGTTGTAAAGATAAATATTTTTTTACACTTACGTCACTCATATCACCGACATCGAGATTCTTGGTATCTGGGCCCGGGCCGTTGGAGTCGGCCTGCGGGCCTGTGACCGGAGTCCACGGCGACGAAATGTTGGTTGTTGTCAGGACGCTACCTGGAATAAAAAAGAACTTCAATCAACTCGAAAGCACAGAAAATTTCCTTAGTATGTAACTCAAAGGGAACCAACTTACTACTCTCCGAGACCATTTGCCGTTAATTTAAGACGTTAAAATGTTTCATAAGGAAATGTTATTTTTGTTTTTTACTTAGAAGTTTTTTCATTTTTCTTAGGAGGTAACTTTTTAAGGATGTACAAGAAACCACCTCTTTAATTTTCTATAAGTAATTACACTTTAAATATCTTTTTATAACTCTAATCAAAATAAACTTTCCATAATAAGATACATTTGATAGATAGTATAGTATTCAACTGGCTTAACTCATAAACACTCTTCGACGACTCCTCTTATAAATCTCGTTAACAATAGCCCTCTCGAATCTGCATTATATTTACTTCGTAAGAACCTCTAAAATATACCGAATAATTCGAACTATTTAAAGCATTTTTAACGACCTCATTCAATATTATTTCGCCCATTCTTCCTTTAACTTATCGATCGAACGAAACCGTCACGCCAATGTTTTAAAACGAACGGATTTTTTACAATGCCAACATCTGAAAAAGATATGTGTTTCTGGTAATTTGTCGGCGACGGCTTTGATATCAGGTTTGTCATGCTCCTATTATGTTAAAACACATCGTTAAAAAGAACAGTAGGCGCATTAAGGATAATAAAATATAGGCGTATAACAGTTCGAAAAAGGAACAATTATCTTATTGGTTTTCGGTTCGGACATTCGCCGCGCGTTTTCCAGCGAAGCGGGAGCATTTTCATTCCGAGACGAACCAAAACCAGCGCAACATCTTATTGTAAATACAAATTTAGATATTTAATTTTCGTACTCATTAATTGCGATTACAAATTAAACCAATCGAGCATCGCCAAGCGCTAGATTAATGGCCAATAAACCGTACAAACTGTGAGTTCAGTTAAAAAGTTTATACCGTTAGGACGTAAACGTTAGGTGTTAGATATTTGACGACTAATGTTGGAAAATGATGAATGGTTACGAGTATTTTCGAAAACACAGTCGCGATCGTAAAATGCACGTTAATTATACACGCTAACGAAATAAAACGTTGTAGGGGACAAGCAATAGTGGGCATGGAAAATCACATATTTTATTTGTTGTATGAACTCTACTTGTTGCAATGTGAAACTTCCTATATTACTATATTACTGTTAATCTCTCTATTCATTTGGAAGATACAGTCCTGAATAAAATAACCTTAAACTCTTTCAATACTTTTTAAGTTATTCCAAACTCTTGAATTCAACCTATCCTTCGAAAACTTAAAACTCGTAGAAAAAAGAATTTAAAACCAACTCCTGATAAAATAATTTTAAACCTTTAGCAGAACATTGATAAAATGATAGTGTTTTAATAAAAACCACCTGAAGAATGAGAATTATGTACACACTTTTATGATAAGAACGAATTTATAATGTATTCGTTTATATCGAATTGCTGTAAAATAAGGCAATTTGAACCGCACGCGTCGCGAATAGGATAAATCCCAGTTATGGAAACGCGGAAGTAGACTAGCAGAGCTATCTTGTCGCCAATTTCCTGTCGATTATAGAAGGAAAAGTTACAGTTAAAGTCCCAGCCGCGATGGTGTGCCCGAGTCGTCTGTCTCCACGCAAGATTGAAATTACTGTTTTAATTTTCCACTTTACTTTTAACAGTAAAATTACATAGAATTACCAATTGGTCATCGTTAATTGATTAGATTAGTCATAAATTATAGATTCACAAATTATAGAAAAAAGTATGTATTTTCAGGCCGACTTGAAACTGGATGCAATTTATTCCTTCTTTTCCAAATTTATTTGAAATTAATTATTAATGAAGAGGAGAAAAATTGGGAACATCCTAAAAGTTTTCTTAATGAATCTTATCGATTGAAGACACTTAATTTCTATCGAGTTTTCACAAAATTAGTGGAAAATTTATCACGAATACCAAATTTAAAAATACTAATCTTTATTAATTGAAATTTTGATTAAGTTTTTTACAATATCGTACGCCCATCAATAAAAAGTTACATTTTTGTACATTGCTTACAATGAGTTAAGTTAACAATCACTAACTCTTACAAATCAATACATTTACCTTTTAGGAAAGATAAATACAAGAATATTGTATTGCAGATATCAAAGATGAGTAAGTAGGTACATCAAATTTCTTAGTTCTATCATCACTAAAATTTGAGAAAAGTAATTAAAACCAAATTTAAACCACAATAACTTTTAGGGAAGATCTCGGAGAGAAGAGGATCGGGAAATTTATCTAAACGAAAGGCCCAACCCAATTTTTACCCACTTTTTTTGTATTATGTAATTTTAAAACACCTTGTTAACTTCATTAATCATTCGAAATATTAGCTAGGTAGATAAATACCTATATTTATCTACCAATTTTAGGGATAGACGTTATTAAATTATAACAGGAGTGAAATTAAAAACTAGTAGGTATATTTAATAAATATGGCAAAGGGCATAGGCATATAGTGATCGGTATAAAGAGAATGACCGAGGGCGTATAATCTAATGGCATCCCTTTATTAATCCGCCTCTGACCACAGTCGGTCATCGAATCAATGCAAAGAATCCTCCAGACGGAGATAGCAAGATATTACATTCCCATAAATGTTTGAATAGGCGATGGTAAAAACAAAAGAGTTTTTCCGGCGGCCGGAATCCACCAATCGCACACTGTATTGTTTAGGGCTGTATTAATTATGGCTGCCGATTGAATTCCGTTGTGTGTTCTACCTGGCCATGCCGTCATTCCACGCATATCTCGTTACCCCGCCTTCTGTTTGCCGCCGCTGTTCCATCTACTGCGCTGCCTCTGCCTCTTTTGCTACTGCTGCGCTCGATGCTCGCTTACGCTTCCTAAATATCTCCTATCATACCCAGTGGCTTAATCAAGTCGGAGAGAGAAATAGCAACTTGTATTAAAAGTCTTATTTCCATGATACAATTATTTCTCAACTCGACTACATTTCTTGTTCAATTTACGATTTACTGCTTTACTGCGATTTGACCAATTATCGTTTTAGTAGATAAATAATGTACTTTCGGATTAGTGGAAATTAATAACAAAGTGAACGAAATAGTTTGTAAATTAAACCAAATAAAACTGATTAGTAATGGAAGTTACCTCTATTTTTCCCATTATTATGTATATGAAAAGGTTTTTCTATCCACAATTGCTTTGGTAAAAAGTAAAAAGGTAAAAGTATTGACTTGTAAGTGTTAGTGTTAACTCATATTGGTCTATCTGAAGATGGTTTCATATACCGAAACTGTTGATAAATTAATGATTAATACAATTTTCGTAACAGTAGTTTGTATGTACTAAAAACTGTTTTAATTGAGTTCATAAAATTTTCTCATAGCTCGTGTCTGCATTCTTGTAATATTATTGGTAATTTTTTGACATGATATCTTTGATGTGTGGTTATTTTACACGCTTAGTACTATGTAATCGCATACAAACTAATCTAATATATTTTTAGTATAACACCCTTTATTATGAAACTTAACACTTCCATCTATCTACTCATGGTTTTAAATATTTCAAGGTTGTTATCAGATATTTCTCTTCTAAGTTACCTACCAAGAATCCGTTTAAACATTTTTTTGAATTTATCAACTTTTACAGTTTTTAGTAATAAAAAAATTATTGTTTGAGAACCTTTATGAAATTATTTCTCTTCACCATTTTTGCAAATTTCATGATAAATATTGTGGTTACTTCCATATTTGCCAATCAAATTTAGTTATTTATCATATTTAGTACAATTAGTTGCTAATAAATACCATACTGATATTTATTTAATTAATTAAAGTATAACTTGTAACAGAGAAAATTTTATTACGTATTTTAATATTTTTATTCTTCTTAAAATGTCTCTAGCCTCAATAGCCCCACCTGTAAATTTTCATACAGCATTCGCTATTACACAACACCTCATCATCATTGTAATTTACGATTTTAGAATAATAAAGTTTAACCGATTCGAAATAATTTTTCCGTCTTTAACCGGTCCCCCGCGCCACATCAAACGATCCTCCTACGCGATACCTCGTCGACATAAAAATTCAATAGGTAAACTTTTCACTCCATTGGATGGGTTTCTGTTTTCGCCGCTATTCGTCTATGAGTCATGGGATTTATCGGGAATCATAATTAGTAACACAAATGTTAGCGCATACGTCCGGAGTACACTATACAATCAAAACAACACCGAGAGCGATTCGCTGGCCTAAACCAGTGTATTACAAATTCGATGGCACGCTTTGCCATATTTCGATTCGACATAAATTAATCAATGTAATTAATTCATCTAATAATAGTGCAAAAGTCTTATTGATACACCTACGCAGAGTAGAAAAGCATACGCTATTGAAAACTTGGCAATAATCTTTCAACTATATCCACAAAATAAAATACTAAAGGGATCGCAGATGGATTTTTGGAATTTCTAAAATAACTTCAGGATTTGTAGAGGCTATTTCGGGCGGCTCCGTCCCTGTGCAATAGCCGCCAATGCGCTAATAATTCGCATAAAAACCGTGAGTCACTGTTTGAAAGCGAATAATGACTGAAAGACAAACGATTCACTGAAAGGTATAATGTACTCGACGTAGATTCGCCGGGAATAACGAATACCCAAGGGAAAATTTAAGTTACTGATGGTGATAATTGATAAGTTTACTGATAAGACGATTAGAAATTGTTAATATTCCGATAAGAGTAAGTAGGAAGAAATGACTAATTTAGAAAGTTGTGACAAATTGTCTATTGGAACATTAAAGAAGGAAATAATAAATAATCTTTGTATTATAGCACGTACAGGGTGTGTCAATGAAGCGGAATTCCCAAATCTGTAAAGAATTAGTTATTTCTTTGTACCAAATACTCATCATTTAAATCTTAAGAGTAGTCTATTGCTTCGTTACAGATGTGTTAATTATG